ATTTCAGTCCACTTATTTCTTGAGTCTATACATTGTACTTGTTACCCCACCTGTGGACAAAAATGAAAATTACTTTCCATTAGTTTTTTTGTGAGGAGCCCTCATTGAGGAGTGATGTGATAACCAGAGTTACATTATCTTACCAACAAAAAGATTCTATGTTGCTGTCTGTAAGTTCAGAAATAGATCACAGATAACACCAAAATACTGTAAGAACAAAAAAATGGAATAGAAGGTGCAGCCAAGTGGGTCAGATGTTCTAACCACAATTTGGTGTCTTTTGTGACTAAAACTAAACAGATCCACAGCAACATTAAACCCATTTGTTTTGTATAATAAAGAAGTAAGAAATTGTTAATGGTGATGTCATCTTTGCCTCTGTCCTCCAATAGACAATATATAAGAACTAATCAAATGCAAGCATAATTCAGCTTACATAATGTACAAGGAATGTTTAGTACATGTGAAGGGACAATAGCGGTGCTGCAGATGGTACATGATGCACCTATCCAAGGCAGTGCTTGATCAAGTTAATATTGTAGTTATTACTAGTACTCCTGTGATACAATACAGCAATTTTCAAATGAGTGTTGAAAGTGATTCAGGATTGCTTAGTTTTAGCTTTACTTTGCTCTTTGCTCCAGAAAACTTGCATTACTCTAGTAACCAATCATGACATTGGTTGCCAACATATTCCAGTGCTTTGGGCAGTTTGCTAGTTTTTACTAGATTGGTTCTCATTGGCCTTTAAAAATATTTTCCTCATCTTAGATTGGCCATCATAATTACTATGGTATAAGTTTTATGACACTCAATCAAAAAGTGCTCAATAAATATGTCTAAATTACTGTAAGATGGCAACTGATTAGGTTTAGTCAAATTTGAAAAATGAACATGTCAATCTTCACATCCATCAAGGATTCAATCAAGTCTTTATATCTGTGGAAAACTAATATTGCATCTTTTAGGCAGGTGTATCAGTTTAGGTACAAACCAAGCAGTACTATGTCTCATTCAAGTTCTTCAGCATTCTATCAACATAAAACAAATCTGCTGCTAAAATCTCTTAGTTACATGTATATGTAGTCATTCTGTACCACTTGGCAAACTTGGATTATTTTTCAGTTTTCACTACTTATTTTTGCTTATCTTATCCTTAGTTTAGCATGTCTTACACTTATTTTAGCATGTCTTCTACTTATCAATGAAAAAAACAAAAAAATTACATTGAAATGTTATGGAGTCACTCACAATTTCCCATCACAAGTATTCAACTTTTTTCTCAGGATAGTTACTGTAAAGGCTGTACCCACATGACCATGTATGTTGCTATAAAAACATTTTAGCCACAGGTGATATAATTTGGTCTCTCTGGGTTTTTGTCAACCTTTTCCATAATTATTCCCTTGAATTTTCAGGAAAAGGAAATAGAAACCATGCAATGTAAATGACCTTCAAAGTTTGTATGAGTTTGCAAGATTTTAATAAGCCTAAGCCATGTCAGTGAAGAACACGAATAAGAGCATGACCTGCACAAAGTACTTGGGAGTCATACCAACTCTTGGCGTATCAACTTTTTCAGTAACTATCAAAACCAAATACTTCAACAGGTCATGCTATTAACAGGGTTTGTACCCTTCTTCAGAAACAATTTCAAGGACTTTTCCAGGACTTTGAATGATTTTTCCAGGACTCCAAATTTCACCTCAAACCCTTTCATTCCTAAGATTTCAAAATCAATTCTCCTTACGGTCTACATACATTTCTTATGACGTAAATTCTGACAAGTTTATTACTAGACTTAAGCAGATTTCCAGGACTTTCTAGGCGCTGTAGTCTTTTCCAGGACTTTCCAGTCCAGGAAAATGTCAAAATAAAATTTCAGAACTTTCCAGATTTTCCAGGACCCGAACGAACCCTGTATTAAGAGTAAGCAAAAGTCCCTTCTCTCAACACCTTTAAATACTAGGAACTGTGCTTATAAAATAAAAAGAAAACGTGACCCAGAAATAACTTGACACGATTTGCGTGTCAATCAGTCGTTTGGGCTTATTACTAGAGCTGACCTTAAACAGTTGGTCTGATATCAAGTCGCACGTGGTCTCCATTCCAGAATATTTCAGCCACTGTGAAGTCATTTGTTCACTTCAAATAATTTCAAATAGGAATCCAAATTTTACTGAAAGATAAGTGTGGTTAAAGGTTCCGTTTTTGCTCCGGTTTTAGTTTCAGGATAGGCAATTCATTCCATCATTTAATCAGGCTATCTACAGCTTCGCCGCCATTACTAGTTCTCAGTGTTTTTCGTCCGTCGAAGCAAATTCGTCACGCTGTACGCGTTACACGCGCGGTAGCACGCCACGCGTTTTGCGAGCAGCACAAAATTACCACACAATAAGAGAGCAATTCGGTTCTCTAATTCAGCAATAAAGCTTTAAAACTAGTTGCATGTTCTTACAAAAATAGGATGGACTATTGATTGACCAAAGTACACCCTTGTCAGGTCACAAAGGGAGCCCTACTCTGAGGGGGTCCATGCAAAAACCTAATAATAATAATTGATAAAGATACAATAAAACTTAAGAAGAAGCTAAAAAGATGGAGAAAACTTAGCAAGGATGTTTGTAGAAGGTTAACGCGAAATACCTGTTACCTATCGCTTCCCAATCACAGCTCCCAGTGTCTTTATGGGTTTGCCTCGGCCTAGAAAAGAGACTGGGTGTGATATTACTTTTAGTACAACCATTTTGAAATCACTGGTGGTCCCTGTAATCTGATTGGCTCTAATTAATGCGATTTATTCACAAATCGCACCATTTTTTGCTTTAAATCGCATCTTTTTCCCAGCCAATGAGGAGGCTACACGAAACTGAAACAAAACAACCAATCAGATTTCAAGGCTTGTTTAAAGTAACCGATCAAATTGCAGGAAAATGAAAGATAAAGAGTACCATGTGGCAAATTTTGCAACTTTTGTTTCCAAAACTCTTACTTTTTCCCCCCCAAAAATGGATGAATTTAATTTCAGACCGGCTCAGTACTGCATCAATGAAATATTTGAAGTGCCCAAGTCCTGTATTTGGGCGATTTCAAAATGGATGTAATAAAGTGGTAATTAACCTCGCGTCGTGCAATTTTGGTCTGAAATCATATCACGCGTATGATTTGAGCCCAAATTGCACTCCACTCAGTTCAATTACATCATTTGACAATAACTGTACCGCTAAATTTCTTTGCAGTGAAGGAGTAATTGTCCGCATCCTCAACCTCTGTAAACGGTGGTGTAAACGTTTATTTGTCGTGTTTCTTTCACTTAGATGATACCTGCTGTAACTATGCCCAACAGCTTCATCCGTTATCTGCTCTGGAATCACTATTTTCCCTTTTTTCAATGGTTTTGAAGGCTTTTTCAATGGTTTTAAGGCTTCCCACGCCGAAGTGCTCAAATATCCTGCGTAAGATGCGTTGCCAGTTCTATTTGGATCTTCAATATCATTCTGATCCTTTATTCATCCGGAATTTACTCATGTCTATCACAGATCTAGGTGAATTGGTAGTAGATATTTGTTCCTCAACTGTTTCGATGAGAATAACATTCAATTCAATAAGCGGTTCATATGAATAAAGATCATTTCAGCGATTCATACAGTCATTATTTCATTGATTCAATTTAGTCTGTTGAGCAGTGACTATTTTATCATACCTTTAGGATTTATCTCAAGAAATAATTGAGCGAAAAAATGAGGTATAATAACAGTCCTTTCCGACCTCTACTTTTACAAACAATAGCGTCTCTGAAAAACGATTCTCTTAATTTTTAACAAACCTGCGTTTTTCTTTGTTCAGTGTCTTACAGAATTACCCAATTAAATCGATACGTCAGACTGGGCTCATTTTAAGGGTTTTTAAATATGCAAAATGAAAAATACCGCGCAATTAAACAGATGAAGCAAACTATTTGAGGTCTCATTAGTTTCACATTTCGTAGCTTTTGAACCAATCGTATCACTGTTATTTCTTTTCAAACTTTTGCGGTCTGCTTGCTTTCAATTGTTTGGTTCAAAGTAACAAAATATCATTTTTGTGAAATAAATTCTTAATGAATCCATTTCGCTTGTCGAAAGTTTGTCAAAGTAGTTAATTCGTTGTGGATCTTAGAGTTTTCTTCAAGGATAAGTTATTGGAAAGGAAGATGTCTGCCAGATCATTGTATCAACTGGCATTCTGCTTGATAATAGGCGCTCAAGGTAAGATGTTGATTTATTTTGCTTGTCCGGTAAAATTCGTCCTACTTGTTCAAAACCGAGGAAGCTTTTAGAAAAGTCTCTGAAAACTCAATGAAAATCTACCTATAACTAATATATTACTGTTGAGTAAGGCTGTGAATTTACTGAGGGTTGTATCAAAGGAGATGATACTTCAGATGTGTCAAGGTAACTTGGTATCAAGAGCAAGCCTTTTTCCGGATGAATGAACGTTACCTTCCGCACATTGCGTCGTTGCAGGTTGAAGAAATGCCGAACTTATGCATTCACTCTTTTCATCACAGAACGTGCCAATTTATTTTGAAAATCTCCGTGTCATTCGAAGATTGAACATTGTCTAAAAACGGTTGATGAAGCTAAGAAAAACGTTCCATGGAAACCATGTCTAAAACAAAATCTATCGAGAGAAGATGATAGGGCTCTAAAGCCGGCTGAGCTTAATTAATTGCTTATACACCGAGCCAACACGTCACTGACGCATTTTCCGCACTGGAGTTTAATTTGCCCCGTTCCTTAAAGCAATTCCTCGAATATTGCAACAGTAAAATCCAAAACTCTTTTCCGAAACTTTTTGTCCGTATCTTAATCATTTGGAAAGGAGTGACGGGGTTGCTGACAAAAATTTCGTTAATAAGTTTAGTTCACACTTCATCACAAAAACTTTCTGCTGTTAAACTGATCGGGTCACTTAATACAAGTAGTGCAAAAAGAGTGAAGTTTAACTACACTGGAGCGTTATATTCTATCATTTTCTTTGCAGTGCACACATCACAGGCTGCAGGTCCTGATTTAATCATGAGGACAGATTTTGTGAACGTGACGGAGGAAATGAACCATGGGTAAGTTCTTGTCGGATTTAATCAAGACTATTCGATATGTACTCTTATGACGTTAGACGATAACTTCCTCTTGATGGACGTCTGCCATATGGCGGCTCTCACGCTGGCCGCCAATGAAACATAGCCTGCTCTTATTTTCCCGCAATGAAATAAAACTCGGCGAGGCTTTTTTTTTTATGAAATGTATTCCATACATAACTTTTTTCGTTGACTGGTTTGACTCCGTCATTTTATTTCTAATAATTTGAAAGTCTGACAAACATTGAAAAAAAAAAGAGAAAAACTGATGGATAATTTTCGAAGAGGAAAATAAATGCTTGATTGTCGTCCACTTGTAGTTTTTTGAAGGGTTAGGGAATGACTTACCTGAAAATAAACTTTGTGTAAGAGACCATTAGTTTCTGTCCCATCATATGCACATACCATGTAGATAGTCAACTGAATAAGAGAGGAAATTGTTTATGCAATGATTATTCGTTTTTGTTGCTATAGCGACCATTTTGGATATGTTACCACCCTTAAACACACAGAAGACTCATCAGCCGACGCCAAAGGTATTCACGTGACCTGGATGCTAGCTTCTTACATCAAGTACCGTCATTTGGTAGACATTTCTCTTGGTATTAGTCCTCCGCAAGTCACACAAAAAGACGATAGTGTTACCTTGAAGGTAATGAAGCACACTTTCAAATCCTCTAGAGGATTTATTTTTTGTGCAAATGTAAATGTCAAGTGTGAAGGGATTCATAGTACAGAAGGTTTTTTGTAGGTAGGTTCAAATTATTTTTTGTTGTGCATATAATAGCGAACAGTCAAGTGAATCATTATAGGTTCAAGTTATCGCAGCATGGGACGAAATCATTGAAATGACTGAAAACTACAGACTTTCCTTGATCAAAAAATAAGTATTATTCAGGTTCATTATGAAGAAAGGTATGAAAACATGAGGTACTTTGCTAACGAAGGAAACTAAAGACCTAAAAGGTACTTTGTTGATAATTAGTAAGAGTGACATAAAGGTAAAAAGGGACTTCGCGTTAGCGAGATTTTCGACAGTTATCGAGGGCTCGAATCCCTATCGAAGAAACTGCAGAAAATATTTAAGGGAAATCCAAGGAAAACTAAAATTTTTGATCCAACTTAGCGTGGGGTTCGAGCTACCTAAAGGCCCGAGTCGACAATAGTAACACATCTAAGTGAAGTTATTTAGATTAAACCAGGAATTTATAATCTCTTGGATTAAACAGGTTCAGTTAATTTAAGTTAATTTGTCGCCAAATGAAAAATTTAGGTATTCGACGAGATGAATGATAAAACGTTACAGTTAGAGCCGCTTGAAATGTTTTTTTTTGTCGTTTTACAGCGATTTTTTTTTATTCTATAAATTCCCTTTTCGTGACAACGGAATTAAGAAAGTATCTGACACAATCTGCCACTGTAAACATCATACGAGACACTTCAACCATCTTAAGGTCTTTTTCACGGGTAGAAAGAATTGAAGCTTCTATCGAACGCCATTCAATTTTTTTCATGCGATAATTGAATTATTTTTTTTAACTCGGCGTACATGAGCTGTAGTTTTGGTGTCCCATCATGGCAATTAGTCTGATTTAAGTCTAACGGGTTGCTCTTACATCTTCTATTTTAAGTTCGACACTCTTAGCTGGGGATTGGAAGCCACAGTCTCCTTCAAAGTTCAGTTTGACCCAGAGATGATCCTAAAGCCGAAATATTATGACATTGTGACGCCAGTTCAACTTCTCTACTACGATGACTACCAAGAGAATAACGGTGTAGTTACCAAGAAGAACGTGCACAACCACCCTCTCAGTAAAGTTACCTTTGGCGTCGAATTGCCAGGTAAGAGTCAGTCACCAGGAGGGGGGTGTCGGACTTTGTGGGGGATTATATGGTTTTCAGGGTGAACGGAGGAGGGATCAGTCCTTGCTATCCTCCGACCCTCCCTGCCCCTTCCCCTCCTGAATTAATGACCGGTCGATAAGTAAGATACAGTCAGAGTGGAATGCGTGACAGCATGTACGGTGCATTACCGCAGCGCGATAAGACATGCCAAATACTTCATGTTGAGTCAACTTATAGTCTCCTTTACATCTAACAGCTTACATAGGCTCCTCAGTCTCTCTTGGGTGTTTACTACAGGAAGCTAATTGTAAGCTTTACATTCAGTAGTTACGGACTCATGCGCAACTAACTTTTGATCGACATTTTTTTAGAGATAAATTCTTCCCGGAAAGATAACAGCGGGTAAATATTTTTCTTTTTTTCAAAGCGCTATTTGAAAGCTTATAGCACCACACATAAAACTCAGTTTTTTCGAAGTGCTACTTCTTTTCTTCTTATTGTCGTTATTTTATAATCAGTCCGGCCACGATTAACGACTCCGTCTCAACTCACGTTTATTTTTTTTTTTTTAGGCTGTTCACAGCCATTGGGAATGAAAAGTGGAAGAATCAATGACTATCAGATTACAGCTTCCTCAAGTTATGATGAATCTCAACCATCGCGAGCGCGAGAGAGTAAGTAGAAAAACTTTTTTATTGACGGTGGCGCGGAAGAATACTCACCACGCATGTGCAGATGTGGTCATCATTGCGATAACATGACACTTGACACATGCCTGAAGATGGTCTAAGCACTGTATTGAGGGAACTTCTAGTTGTATCATTCTTGTCTCCAGTTTTCCCCAATTTTTGCAGCCGCGCCTGCTTTTTGTTATTTGCACTCGTTTTTCTTACAACCTAGATTCAGTGGTGATGCTGTAAAGAGAAATTTGATGTATGTCTCTCGCCAATCAGACGCGCGTTATTTCTTCATATTTATTAACTTCGTTTTTCTTACAACCTCGATTCAGTGGTGATGCTGTAAAGAGAAATTTGATGCATGTCTCTCTTGGGGGTTTATCTTGGTATTAAATGGGATTACAATTTACAGCCAAAGACGCTTGGTGCACTGACAAGGAGGATAAAGATCAGTTTATTCAAGTGGACTTCCTACTCAAGACACGAGTGACACGCGTGGGAACCATGCGGCGGATTACCAAAGATCACTGGGTGTCTGAATACTTCCTGCAGTTCAGTGATGATGACAACACGTGGAATGATTACCTTGAAAACGGTCAAGTTAAGGTAGGGCATACATTTTGGGGTTCAAGTGGTTGGAGTTTTCGCGATTTGATATATTATGTTCTCTAAAACCATTTTGTTCATCGATGACTTTTGTGCTAATAGGCTGTTTTCGTGATCGTTTAAAGTGAGATCTAGAGGTCTGACAACAAATTAGTCAAAACAAAAATTATAAAAATTGAAATTGCGGAAATTTGTATGATGAAGGACAAAGTTTGCCTCTCCACGTATATCTCCTTACAATTGTTCTTAGGTTTTCTTCTTACATCTAGAACGCCTTAAAATCTGTCACTTTACTGTCAGTGGCGTCGGAAATCTAAAGAACCCCTCAAGCTCTCTCTATTTCTTGTGGTCATTTTATCACAATCGAGATCTAATTGAGATCACGTGAAGCGGCTTTGTAGCGGTCCTTTAAGTATATCAAGAGATCCAGAAGGCGTTCTGCCATTTATACCTAACGATTACACCCTTACTGTCTTCATATGTAGATCTTCAAAGGCCCTCAAAGAGCGGAAGACCGAGAAATGATCGTCCATAAACTCCGCCACCCAATCGAGGCTAATAGTATTCGAATTCGCCCGTGGGCTTTTCAGGAGCTGATCTGCATCAGGTTCGAGTTTTATGGCTGTGACATTCCAGGTTCTCCAGGTACGATCGATAGAGTACGATACATTATCGTTTATTTTAAAAATCAAAATCAGACATTTTGATGGCCAATTGGCTCGAATTGCAGAGGAAAAGAGGAGAGATTGGGACTGATCGCCATCCGGGGTAATTCTTAATGGCTTGTGTAGGGAGGCTCTGCCCGAATGTGGTACAGTTAATTCAAAGTGTTAGATAATCTGTAATTGAGTTACTTAAACGGGCTTTTAGTTCAAATTGCGCCCGTAGGTTAGGTGTCAATACTTGTCAACATCTTTGTTCTGGCGCCAGTGAGAATTTGCAGATAAGAACGGAATACTGCAGACCAGTGTGGCTTGATTGAGTGTTTAACTAGAAACATACGTATTTGACAAAAAACTAAAAAGGGAGAAAAAAATACAGAACATGACGAAACTTGCTCCTTTCCGGGTTCTGAAACGCACGGCGCGGTGTTACGAACTAACGCGCATGCCTGAAAATGCTCACCTATGACGATAAAGCCTTTTTGACGGAAGCAAGGAAAAATTAACATTCTTCCTTTCTCTCATTTATTAATGCTTATCACGACATTGTGTAAATAAGCAGAAGATCTATGCTCAGAAATATGTCACCTGTCGATGATCATTTCTTTCTTCTTCTCCAGCAAGCTGCATCTCTCCGCTGGGTCTTGAATCTGGTGAAATTACAGACGCAGCCCTGACTCACAGCCTTCCTTCCAGTAATCCTTCTAAGCCAGAGTTCATCCGTCTTCACAAGGACGTGGGTAACTTCCCGTATGGGTGGTCTGCACGAGCCGCTCAAGTGCCTCCTGACTACTTGCAGATAGACTTCGGCTCGCTGCGCAGAGTGACGAGAATGTCTACAATGGGAGGAACTCTCTCATTCTTTTATGTTTCGTCGTACCAACTTCAATACAGTTTGGATGGTATAACGTGGATGGATTATCATGAGAAAGGGAAGATTAAAGTAAGTGAAATTTAAATTGCGTTTGAAGGGTTTACCAGATCTCGTGGCATTAGAACTTGTTTTTTTTTGTTACGGGTGTCTTAGGAGCCAAGAGGCCCACATATGACTAGACAACACAACGGAGGATGAAGGGAATAAGACAATTGCTGCCTATGGGTGCGAAGCTACACATCGGCATGAGTCTTAATCCAATGTAAAATTTCACTAGAGTTACTTTGTCTGACACATAATGTTTTTATGGACCCAGCCCGAAATACGAAGGTTTCGCCAAGGAGAGCAAATTAGCGCTACAGGCTATCACAGGTCAATTAAATTTAAATAATTCTTTTTTTTCTGAACTACATTTACCCTAGCGCTTCCTGGAGAAGGGCTTCTCCCCTATATAAGCCATACGCGTATCTGTCGCCTCAAATCGATTTTGATCATTGACTGCTCAAATCAGGTATGGGTGTGGTTTTTAGGTGAACCACGAGAACGTATCAAAGTATTCTAAATGAATAATTGAAAAAGAGTTGAATATTCAATGTCATTCGAGCGTACTTTGTGGGTGAATTTTCATCAATTCAATTCTTTACTTAGCAGAGCTTCATTATACCACAAAAAAGCAAAAGGGATCCGCAAATAAGAAAGACCTCTCTGAAATCAGGTGTGGAAAAAGGATAAGTTAGATGGTAGAAGAAGGAGAGACAGTCACTCTTCTTCCGTTCTTGTCACCCCCCATTGCTCTTGTCTCCCCGGTAAAGCGAATAAAAAACATAGCAAAAAAATCTGGGAGCTAGAAATTTAAGAGACTAGAAACAAATCAAAGTTCAAGTCAAATCTTTGATTGTGATTAAGGCTTTAAATGGACCAAAAAGCAGTAAAGAGGCCGTTTACGCAGTCCTTGCCAAGCTCGCCGAACCGTTCGTGGCCCGTTACCTACGAATCATCCCTGGCACTAAGAATATGGCTATGAGAGCAGAAGTTTACGGATGTTTCGCTGAAGAACTTCCACCTTATGCTGGTAAGTAGAGTAAATTTAGAAATTGTGATATCAAAATATTTGCAAAAAATGTTTCGAAGTCGTGAGAAACAATCGATCGTATAGTTTAAGCGATCATCCAATTTTCTGGAGAGGAATGTTGTCAGTGACCTTGTGACTAATATTCAATAACCTGAGCAAAAGCCATCATCAATGTGAAACAAAGAGTTAATTTTAAGTTTAATTTTTTCGGTCTGGCTCACGCAAACCGGTTGATCAGTTTTGTTGTGATGCTGTTGAGTCAAGTAGCATTCGTCGTCAGCGATAGGTGAGCTGTAGGTCGGTTGTAGGGCAGTTACTGTCACGCATAGCAGTTTCTTTCGGAGCCGCTTCCTCTCTCTCGGATGGTCGCCGCGCTACATGATCGTCTCTTAGGGAACCAGTCATTAGAAATCACCTGAGAATGGGGACGTCGGAAGATTTTGGGGGGGAATCACATGCTTTCCTGGGGAACAGAGGAAGGGGGGGGTTCAATCGTCCTCCACAGAATATCAAGGGGGGACTGTGGAAAGCGGACTACCCATGAAGAGGGTGGGGTTCACTAGAACACTACAGAGCCTTATGGGGGGATCAGGTTAAATTTATTGTAACACAAACAAATCCTCCGAAGAGGCTCCCCTCCCAGACAATAAATGACCTGTCCCTGACAAGTGCAAATGAAGAGTATCGTTTTTCGTGCAGGCACCGTATCATATTAAGACTGAATCTAAACCCTTTTGCTGTTGCTCTTCAGGCGTCTCTTTGTATGCTCGACGGTCCTTCCTGTTGGATCCCGACACTGACAGGTTTTATGCCTGCATGTACACAAGTGAATCGTGAGTATCGATACCGCAGGTTTTTTTGCTATTTCTTTAGAGCTTTTGATAGTAACCTTTCAATTGGGGTTTCATATCGCCTATAACAACTGACCAATATGAGACTCACAAAACGCAATTGAACTTGAAAATCGGAACCGGTCTGCTGTCTTGTTCTTGACCGTTCAAACAGCAGAAAATTTTACTTATCCAACAAATTTATCCTAGAGCTGAAAGCAGCTGCTTTTCAACCACAGATGGTGTGGAATGGATTGGTAAGTAAACATGACTGTTCTATTTGAGTATAACTCTAGTGCCATCTCCCCCCTCAAGTTTATAATTAGCCTCCCAACACCCTTCCACCAATCATTGATTCAAACGTAACGCACATAGAAAGACGATTTTGCCATGCGAAGGATTCTATTGGTGCTTGAAGTCCTGGTTTAGTTTCTTCCGATGATTTTACTGGTGCAATGGATCTCATAAAGAAAAGCACTTCAAAATAGCAATATCTGAACTTGTCTCCTTTCACGGGATTTTCTCGAAGCTTCAACATTTTGTACCTGACTCACATCTATACAACCCGAACGTGATCTAGTATAAATATTAATCAGCTCCAAGCTTATAACTGCATCTTTTTTTTAGCTGTTCAGCCTTTCATTATCAGTGTAGCTGCTTCAAATCCCTCCTTGAAGGAAATATATGGTTTGGACCGAAGAATGAACTTCCATCGCAGTTGTGACTCGGGTGAATCCTGGCGACAGATCACGGACGGTTACTTTAACAAGACACTGACAGAATCCCAGCTGATTAAAGCGAAAGCTCTTCCAGAAAATCTTGTGTCTGAGATGCCCACGAGTGACCTGACAGCGCTCGCTGACTCTACTGGGACTACCTGGGGAGGTGAGTGATTTGAGAAAAAATTTTATATTACTGATGCAAGAAGGGCCAGTCATTATTTGTTATGTTGTGTGGGAGAAGGGGGAGTTTGGGGAAGATCATATGGTTTTCAGAGGGAGTGGAAGAGGGATCAGTCTTCGCCAACAGAGTTTAAGGGGGGACTTGAGCAAATTGACTGCCAGTTGAATGCCAGTGAGGTGGGATCAGGTGACACAACCCAATCCTCTAACCCCTCAGATGATAAATAATAAGCGGTCCTCAGTGGATCCTGTTGATCCGGTTTCGGTTGGTTGCCTCTTGTTCCTTGTGCATGCCCTCCCCTGAAAAGTGTACGCTTTTCCTTTATTTTGTTTTCCAGTATCCGGGCGTGGAATCCATGTGATGACTGCTGGAAGTGACGCGTGGAGCCTGGTGGGCACATGGAAATGTTGCGGCCAGTAATGAGATGGATGGGTGTTGACAGCTGTGAAGCTTGTAAATAGTGCACCTTCATCACATATAGAACTCATGTATAAGTTTGCATATAACTCATAAAGTTAGAAAATGGGACTCTTATGGGGAAAATATCAAATAAACATTTTTGCGGTAGATTACAGTTTTGTTGGGACATGTTACAACTAAGAATTCAATATATTTGGTAAACAATACTAGGAAAAGGGCTAAGGGATATCGAACTGTAACAAACATAGAAGACGCGTCTTTCTTTTGAATATTTCTTGTGGTCTCACACTAGCCTTATGGTTTATAAACTCTTAGTAGTTTCGAGAGATCATTTCTGGGTTGTTAACAACACAGTTAACTAAACCCAGATTCGCTGTAAATTTTTATTTCAATTTTGAAACTTCCAAGACAGTTTTGTTGATAAAACTTAGTATCCCCTAGTTTGCTCCTCGGGAAGATGAAGGACCTGACATACAGTTGGGAGCAAACTGCAGGTAAATTTCTTGAACTTTGGTGAGAAAACCTCTGCTTAGTTTGAAATTAATAAGGAGTTTTGTATTTAAGTATGACTTGCGGTAATGATCAGATGACTGCTAAGATAAGAAATAAAATTGTTGCATATGAATCAATGTTGTTGTGTTGTTGATGATGATATTTTACGTTCCCTGCCGTGTTCGGGTTGCATATTCCTTTATTTAAACGGTCTCTCTGAGTTGAATTTCGCGTTCTTTTCTAACTAAGTTTTTCGTCTATAGTCTTGATCCCCATTTCTTATTTCGCCCTGCTTTCAGGTTCTGTCAAGTTAACATCATGCAAAGGAAATAGTTCTCACAATTCGCTAAGCTTCTTAAGGTCTTTCATCGGCACCCGTTTTTTCTTTTGTTTCTTCACATTCCAACCACTGACTAAGAAATATCACCCTTTTTTTCCTAACTAACTACTGAATATCCAACTATTCGATATTCAGACTAATACCCTATTCACACGAAAACTTACACATGTTTTAAAGCTTTTTTGTTAAAAAAAATATTTTCTTTCTAAAAGCTGCTTTGATCGGTGTTTTTCGACTTCAAATTTGGCGCAATGAAAATAAAAGTTAATGACCACTTGCATCTTATGGAAAATTTAGTTTCCATTTCAAATTTTCGGATTTTCATTCAGTTAAACCTACGTGTTCTAATTAAACATGTTTTAATGGTGTGAATGGGGTGTAAGAAAAAAAATGAGTTTATCAACACCCTACATTACACCTTTTGGAAACATGCTGTTCCCATCATCCATAAGACCGTTTCAAATCACACTTTATCTTCTTCCAGTTGTGTTGATGTGGGCGGCAATGAAGTGTTTACTCATCGCAGTTACTTCCTTATTTTATAATTGTTTATTGATGAGGAGGTTGGATTTGTTTCCTCTATCTGTTGCATTATCCTCGCGAATTTTCGAGATAAAGTAGGATTTTATTACGCGGTTTTTCCATTGGTCCGACTGATACAGTTATCAATGGAGTACTTAGTTAATTTTTAATCTCCTCCATCCATTTACTTTGTACAGTTTCGTTGATGTTGAAGATTTAAAAGCTATTATCAACTCTTATTAGCACTTCTGGCTGACATACATTTTGGATAATTGGCTGCTGAATTCTTAAAACTTAAGTGTGCTTCATACATCATCATTTCTACAGTTTTCTCTCCGCACTATCGACCTTTTTATTACTTACAGGTTAACGGAATAGACAGAAAGATATTTAGTTACAAGGAATCATCTCTCACATAGCGAGGCGCTTGAATTTACGTACATTAACATCGTCGACACGAAAACATTCCTCAGACATGCTGTTATCAATTATAAAGTACTTTATCAATTATCACCACTACTTTCAATTTCATTGTTAAATCTAGGTGAAAACAATGATATGCTATCTCTAAGATTAAGACTCGGTGAATATTTCATTGTTTATCGGTGAACATCTTGAAGTAGAAGGAACATTGAAGAAAGACGACCATGAAAGAAGCTAAAGCAATTTGTTTTATTTTCTTTTGGCTAAATCTTTTTCACTCAGGTAAATTTTGACTCTTTAAAGGACTTTAGTAACATATACAAAAAAGCTCCATGTAAGTTTAGAAGATTTTCACCGGAAACACCCAAGTGTGATAACAAGGCAGGTTCAAAAGTGAAAAAGGGTGATCACCGCGCTTCAACATGATGAACGCGCTTCAAAATCGATACATTGTTAATTTTCATGAGCCTTGCTCGTATAAAATGGTGAAAAGAAACCCATACCTTTATTTTTTCCGGCAATTTTTGGAATAGTACTCACTAGTAACTACGCGCCCTCTTCGATGGACCATGCATTTGATCACGTTCTTGTGTGGCAAGTAATTATTACTTTCCAGGTTCAATTCTACGTTTCTCTCATTTGCTCCGTTACTGTTTTAGTTGTAACGAATAATTTAAGAACGAAAGCCTCAGTTTGTCTATACACACACTTGCATGTTATGACAGACTGAAAGTGAATAATAAATCAAGGAATGTGGTCTTTCCTCTACAAATGTACTCTAGCTTGTTTTAATCAACCGTCTATGTTCATGTCAGCCTCATCAATCTACGGAAAGTACAAGAAGGGAACTTAAAATTCTTTCGTATAGCAGCATTTTAGCGCGATTTTTTTTTAACAATTGCGGATTTGTACAAAAGCCTTCACTGTATACTACACGCGCCGCTGTTTATATCTTGTATGAAATTTTTATGTTGCAGTTTGTTCTGAGGATCATCGAATACAACGAAGGTCAAACAATGTAGGTCGCTTGCATGTTTTTTGTATGATTTTTAGAGTAGTCTTAACCCTTTCCACACTGATATCGGTATGTATATTCCCTATACCGTTCTCTAGACATTTCCTACCATACTGACAAGGAGAATTTGTTAATTAATCAAGAGCTTTTCGGTTGGTGATCATTTCCTTTATTTTCATGACAATAATGTTTGATTCAGGGGTGATACTGTAAGGAGAAATTAGATGCTAGTCACTCTTACGGATCAAAGGGTCAACCAGTCTTGTTGTGCTGATATTGTTTCATCGTTTGTTATTCTTTCTCTTTTTTTTTCAATTCCCATACATCCCTTATGCCTTGAGAGGTGTTCATATGATAATTACCATTAAGGGATGCATTCTACTACAATTCTTTTTCGGGATATTCTCGAATCATTCTCAGCTTAGTTTTCCCACGTCACGTCAGAAGAGCCTTGCAGTCTGAGGCCGACTGGAGAATTCCGCTGATGCGTTTTGTATATACAGATGCGACGCCATGAAGAACAGACAAACTTAAAATCCCTTCGAAGTACTAGTGCAAGACCCGTAGAGCGAAAAAATACATTTGGCAGTGAAGCCTTTTAACATCTGACTCAGTTGTATTCCATGAGCATGAAGTAAATTTATGTATTTTCGTTTTTAGGTTGAACCTGCATTACAGATGACCGTCGGTCACAACCTGAACAACAGTATGGCCATGAAACACGGGTAAGTGGATGAGTTACACAGGGTTAATTTAAAAGCTCAGTACCTAGGTCTCCCTTCTTTGATGAACCGAGAAGTGCAAGAAAGAGTCTGGACATGAGTCAATCCGTAGTACCCTTGACGTCTGTTACGGCAGACGATAACTTCCAAAAAATTATATATCATGATTTACTCTTTAAACGTACCTAGTGTGTCTATAAGTTTTCTGAAACTTATGTCATTCCCACCATGAAATCGAAAAACCTTTATCCGTTTACACCCTAACATCAGTATGTATATTCTCCACACTGTGCATTTCCTAGAGTGCTAACATGGAAAATTTGTTTAATAATCAATTAATAATCAATAGTTGTTCATGAGTGATATTGTCAGGGTGTAGAACTGTTGTAATTCATTCAAAATAATCACTAAAATTAACTCTGCCTTTCACTGAGTTAGCTTCGTGGCTTTGTCTCTACCACTGCCGTTCTTGTTAACCGCAGTTCTTTTTTAATAATTTGCATTCATAACAGAAACGGAAGTTTGTTTCGGTCCCCAGATCTGAATATGGATATACTTTCATAGTAAAGCACTCCGCTGAGTCACGGTCAGACGTACGTGGCGTTCATGTGACCTGGATGCTGACGCCATTTGTCAAGTTTAAAAAAGTGGCCTCTTCTTTAATGATGGGCTCTCTTCAAGTTCAGCAGAAAGACGACAGTGTGACCTTCTTGGTAAGCTGACAGAGAGCTTCACCATTAGTTAATCACTTGAGTTAGACGCATAACAATCTTTAAAAGTAAGTTTTGAGCTGCCATGTGGTTTTGACCCAACTCGCTCTTGTGTGTTACATCTTTCAACGAGTGATGTAACGGCAAGAGATAATTTCGTCTTTCTATGGGCTAAATTTCCATAAAAGGCAGTGTGAGGGCACAGACCTTAATATGGTAGATCTCGGAATCGGGTCTTGATCCTGACCTAGGGACGTAACAGTAATATTCAGGCGGAAGTAACAACACTCGGGGAATTTTGATACTCTCAAATTGATGTTATCGTACAAAATGGGCCATGGAGTTAAAGTGTAGAACGAAAGAGGCCTACTTTACCAATTCAGCTTAAAACACTTAATTGAGACTTCACCTTGGGTTCTCTGTTCTTGTTTCAGATTGACCGAATTTTGTGGGCGGAAGAAGTCAAAATTAACTTCACTGTGATATTTGACAACGACTTCTCCTTAAAAAATGGAAGACATCATATTGTAACCCCAGTAGGCTTGCTATACTACAAGGACTACACAGACGACGGTCACGTGATAACCAAAGGAGCCTCTTTCTCCAGTCCCCTTCAAACAGTTACCATAGAGATCAATATACCCGGTGCGAATGGATTTAAAATATTTCACCAAAATCACGACAATATTGTGTATCCTTATTTGGACATTTAGACATCAGCTGTTGTTCTATCAGTGAATTAATTTTGATAATGATACGGCAAAAAGATACTGGTTAAATAGAGTTTTTCCGGGAAAATACAAATCAATTGTTGATAGGATATCGGGAAACACCTGTAATTATGTTTCACATAAGTTACGTAAAACCAAACCATAGATATCAAAACAATTATTCAAAGTAATGGTAGAACCGAGTTAAAAAGACTCAGAGTTAAACGAAGCAAACTGTCTGAAGCGAGGAAAAACGCAGACGACCGAGTCGCCATTGGTTTTAGCTTTGTATCGGATCGAAGAGGGGGAGGAGGTGTGGGGTGAGTTCTCTAACCCAATCACAACGCGTAGCTTAGAAAACTATTGCAGTCCAGAACAAATTTCGCATTCAAATGAACATATTTTTTTACAAAAGGTAAGCATCAGCTAAGGTTGTGTCGGTGAAAACCCAATATATTATATATTTATATATATATAAATAGGATAAAAATAGAACAACTTTCTTTCAGGGTGTGAATCTGCCTTGGGGATGGCGTCAGGTAAAATCAAAGATTATCAACTGACGGCCTCTTCTACATACTCATATCTGCAGCCCTACAAAGCCAGGCCAGGTATGCGGACCAAACCATTGTTACCTACTGTATTACATCGTGCGAAATATATAGATTTAGCCAAGCCTAAAAGCGGAGCTCGTACTTTTTTTCCCGTACGTCTCAAGGGCACAACGCCTTACCCCGGCCAGGACTAGAACCCGGGTCGTCCGACTCGGAGCCCAGTGCACTGACCACTGGACTACTGGAAAAAGCCGTGGCGTTGGCGTGCCCGCAGTACAGTTGACCATGCATGTTAAAAGAAGCACCTTGTACGTACGGTCGTACGGTCATAAGTCCAAATTTTTTCGGCTTGATGGGTTACTACTACCATTTTGTATAATTATGGGGCTACGCTCTGCGAGCTCCGCTACAATAAATACAATATCGAGTCGGATTTTAGCCCTTTGACTCCTAAGAGTGACCAGCATCTAATTTCTCTTTAAGATATCACCCTTAAATTCACACATAAAAGTCACGAGAATAAAAGAGTTGATCACCACTAAACAGCTCTTCCATAACATGGGGAGCGAGAATATTAGGTGATGTTAGGGTGTATAAGATGAATGTATCACTGCTGAGTTGTGGTATTGAAGCATCGCTAGAAATAGTATCATTGATATCACATCGTGTTCTTTTCTAGTAACATCGTTTTAGACAATTGTCCATCGAAGGATAATCAAGTCTTTTGCACCAAGTCTTTTGCACCAAATGACTAAGTAAGATTTGGAGAGAAAATGATGTGTTTTAATTGTATGCACTTTTCTTTCGGGTTTAGGCGGAGACAACGATGCGTGGTGTGCCTTCATCACAAATGACCAGCAATATATTCAGATTGATTTCACCAAGAAGACACGCGTGACACGAATTGAAACATACGGCAGAAGCCAGAAACAACACTGGGTCAAGAGATATCTAATTCAGTTCAGCAATAACGATATGGAATGGTACAATTACACGGAAAATGGCTTTGATAAGGTTAGAAAAGACTCGTCTTCGTTTAGTTTTAAGAGGACAACGTATGCGTAAAGTGCGTTTACATCGGTAAATCTCATTATGTCCATTTGTGCAGAGTGCTTCAAATATGACAAAGGGGCGCAGAGGGTAGAAATCGAGGCTACAAAAGTTAACTTGGATGTATGACATTAACAAGTTCTTAAATGATGTTTCTTTTAATTCGAAATAAGCCCCTGGGAATTTTTTGAAAGGCTAGAAAATTGTACAGGACTTATGGGTTTGGGCGATTGTTTAAGTCCCTGCAAAGTTTACTCGAGCTTACTCATTCAAAATACCCCTAGAACTCGTTTGATTTCATTCACGAACTTATCTAGTGATTATGACATCGTTATCAACTTATGCATGGATGTCGAAATATTCGAAAAAACTTTAGGCCACAGTTGTTCGAAGGATCGATAACGCTGGTAACTCTCTCACCAAAGCTAATAACTCTCAGTTATCAAGGGTTGACAACTGGATAGCTCTCTATCCAGTGTTAATTGCAATACGTTTTGTTTACTTTTATCCATTAGAAAGCGATTTATCCATTGTCTGGTATTATCCTCCCTTTGAATGCCAGGGCAAAGGGCTGTATAGAGCTCCACTTTAAAAGCCACAAGAACGTTTTTCTTTTTACTCTCTCAATTATAAACGACAAAACTAGATCAGTCGTTTTCTTTTTGAGTATGGATATACTTTGAATTTTGTTTCATTTAGGAGTTCCCTGGGAATTTCGACAGGTCCACCTCAGTTTCTCACCACCTGAAAAATGAAATTGAGGCGCACAGCATCCGCATAAGGCCGCTTGCTTGGCAGAAGCTTGTTTGCATGAGATTTGAAGTGTTCGGCTGTCCCATTGAAGGCGCTCCTGGTAAGTTTGTTCAGGCAATACTGAATTAGGTTTTAAGCTTCCACGATCTGGTAGTCTCCTAATTTGATACTCTCTTGGTCCAACGGCATTCTGCAAGACCTGATGTAACAGCAGAGCCCACTACCTCGTTATCATGGCCTTTCTTACAGAAAATTGCATCGACCCCCTTGGTTTGGAGTCTGGGTATATCCCAGATGAAGGTCTAAGTCATAGTGTGGACACTTCCCAAACAGTGTCAAATCCTACTGATATCCGCCTGAACAAGAACGTCCCTGGATTTCCCTACGGCTGGCAAGCGTCACTGGGGCAACTGGATTATCTACAGGTGTAGTAGATTACAACAGGGTTTGTTTAGCATTCTAGACCTGTTTTTACAATGTTAGGGTAGATTGAGATGAGAAACATACCAAAGTCATCAATTAGCAATGAAGATCGAAATGACTATAACAACATAACAGTTCTTGTACTTTTTGTGATCATTTTATACATTTATATGGCGAGATCGGAAATCACCTAAACATGTCATTTGTCCAAGAAATATTGTGCTGTTGACACCCTATTTCTTGCTGGGGTGAGGCGTAAGGGGAGCGCTTTTTGATTAAGCTTCACACTTTACAACCTATAATCAGTATGCAAATTCTCCATTCTGATCTCTATACATTTTCTAAGGTGCTGACAAGGAGAATTCGTTTAACAATCAAGAGCTTCTTTAGTGGTTGATCATTTCCTTTATTCTCGTGACCTTTATGCGCAACTCAGGGGTGATACTGTAAGGAGAAATCAGATTCTAATCACACCTAGGGGTCGAAGGGTTAATGTAACTAGACTGAATATAGAAAATGGCAGCGACTAACCAGTAAAAAGAGCATATCACAACAAGCCAACTCAGTCGTGAAATGTCGATGTCTGGCATAGAATTTAACCTTGCCTCAAAACATTTCGTTTTACTTCACTTGGCAGTTTCAAAGAGTATGTTAACAATTCACTTCTCCCCCCACCCTTCAGGTTGACTTTGGCTCATTGCGGAAGGTGACTCGAGTGGCGACGCAGGGGGCAAGTTCGTTCTTTGTAACACGTTTTCAGCTGAAGTTCAGTAACAACAGTATTGAGTGGTTAGATTATACAGAAAATGGAATCGTGAAGGTAAAGTTGAAAATTTCAAGACGATCTGATTCCTTTTCACAAAGACGATATAGAAAGATAAAACGACCCTTCAAATTTAAACGGGAACCAAATTATCGAATTCATTTTCAAGATTCTAATCCTCACGATATAGCTAAGCAGTTGACGAAAAAATCCCACGCGGGGGGAGGGGGTTTACCTCCTAGTTATGGGCTAATGGGGATGTGCCGCTGAATGGGTTCGCATTTTCACGACTGGATTGACCATAACAGGGTTACATTTTCAATAGAGTTACAAGAATGGAGTCGCAAATTTTCGGGGGTAAGAAAATTCTGGTAAGTAGGGAGTTAGAAATGGGAATATTCGCAGTTAAAAAGTGTGCATACAGGTCCGGAAATGAAATGAAATTCATTGTATGTGGCTCTTCAAATTCTGATCTGAATAAGACTGTTCTTATTTGCGGAAGATGGAAAACCGGACCACCTTGATAGACGGCTTCAAAATAAAAGCAACAACAATCAACCAAACAAATAAGTCAACGACGAAAATAAGGAGCGCAACTCCCTCGTGCTTAAAATATATCCATGTCCTTAACAACGCTGGATAAAAACACACTGAAGAGGGAAGGGACAGGAATTTGGCCATTTTACCGATGTTCCAAAAATGACGAATGTGTTATGGCAACTCTTGTCCTTGATTCTGATTTTCAAGTTGCAATCAATCAACATAACATATTGTCGGGGTCGTATATCCTTTTACGCGTTCGCAGAGGCTATTTTTGTCAGAGACAATTTTCGTCAGAGACACCATCAGCACCTGAGGAAAGAGTTTGAACCTCAGTGTGGCCATGTAACATCCGCATGCAATCTAATTCTCGTCGTTTTTCTGTTGCAGGAGCTGAATGGTCCAAAGAATGGCCAAGAAGCTAAAAATCCGATTCTGGTGAAATTATCTGAGCCATTCACGGCGCGCTATGTGCGTTTCATTCCCACCAGCGCTCCAGTTCTTAAAGTAATGCGAGCTGAGCTGTATGGCTGCATGGCTGAACCGTTGCCTCCGTTTGGTGGTATGTGAACCTTCACACCCTAATTTCAACATACAAATTATCAGCCCACCTACCCCTCCCCTAGCACAACATTAACCCTAACCTGTTATCAGTTGACTGTTCAGACCCTGCCGGATTCACATTTCTTAAAAGAAACAATCCTTAGTCGAACATGTTTTTTATCTGCAGGTGTCCACGAATACTCTCGGAGGGCGGTGCTGTTGGACCCAGACTCCGGACGGTTTTATGTCTGCATGTACACTGAGCAAAAGTGAGTAAAAAGTGATTTTCAATAGGTAGAGTACATCTCTTTGAAGAGGTTCTCATTCTATGAGTTATCAAATTAATTCTCTTGTTTGCTAGATCAGAGAGCAGCTGTTTCTCCTCGAGTGACGGAATGGATTGGACAGGTAATGTTAAGCTATCAGGGAGAGCAATGGTTAGCACACTGGAACGGTTAGCGCACTGGAACATTGAATTTTGATGTTCTTGTCAAATATAAAATCCCCGGCAGAGTACCTGTCAATTCAAGAGAGGCCAGGCGGTCACTAAACGACTTAGCCATGGGTGTGTAAGAAGTCCTTTTGTTACGCTCAAGGTCTTCATTACTGATAAATTAGATTATAACTGGGTAATTGGCGATCACCTCGCCTAGCTTACTTTTAACTCAGTCCCATCTGGTTTAACTTTTTCTTTTATTTTTTATATGGAGAAAACGTGATGACAACATGGTTGGGCGGAGGTGAAATTTTTCGTGGACAAACAAAGTCGGGGGCGAAATCACAAAAATTGTAACGTTTTTCCATTCAGCAGTAAAAAGAAAAAGATGCAGACCTTCTAAGGAACATGATTCAGGGAATGCTCGTGTTAAAATGTTTCTCTCGAACTCGTCCCTTGGAATATCGAGATCCGAGTAAAAAATAAAATTACACTTGCTCTCCGAACCAGACAATAGATGTTCGATGTTGGGTCAGTGTTGCACTCATTGAGCAGAATCAATCGTTTGAATAGCGATGCAAAATATTGTGGCTTTTTGACTGAGCCAACTAAAACTCCTTATATGTAATTTACTAGGTCTTGATGAATCCATCGTCAGTATCATTGCTTTCGACCCTACAAATGCAGCGCTCTTTGGAGTAGACCATAAAATGAACTTTCACCGAAGCACCAATGACGGTGTGACCTGGAAGGTTATTTCCTCCCAATACTTTTATAATTTAAAGAACGAGACATCCCTGATAATGAGCACAGGGATACCAGAGAGCATGGTAACTGCCACGCCCAGTTCATTTTGGTCCGCGACTTCATCGAGTGGAAAGAAGTGGGGAGGTTGGTAGTTTTAGCATATTAATACTCGACGCTGTGCATGATAGAAAATGAAAAAGCATTTATAACATTCGGGTAGAGCATAATTCCCCAAACCTTTCATGCTTTCCTTGACAAGTTTCCCCGTTCAAAACCTGAAATCTTTGCTTTTAAAAGAAAGGAAAAAACCTCGGAAAATCGTATCTTTGGTTATTCATTGAGATCAAACCCCGCCAGTCTAAATGCAGCTTAATATACCACGTCATATAGATGTCTCCTCATTTTTTGACCACGTTTCATAACTTTGAAGCCTCTCCTGTGTTCTGTTTTCCTAGCCTCCCATTAAGGAAAACTAAGTTAACGAGAGTGTCATTCAATTTACAGAAAATAAGATACTGCTTTACAAAATTAAGCCTATCTTTCCCAAGTTATACGAAGTCTCACGAAATGATGAACAAATCCAATGCCTGCTTCCATACGAGCGCCTGGATCGTTCCAATTCGCAACCAATTTTCGAAATGATTAATTCGGACGATCCAGCGCTCTTATGGAAACAAGAATTACCAACGTCCTCTTGAAAGTGTTCTGCTCGTTCTTTGACTTGTTACTCTTACCAATCACAGATCATTTGACTCATTTTAGTTTCCGCGTCAGGCGTACACATTATGGCCGCTGGCAATAATGAGTGGTGTATGGTGGCATTGTGGAAATGCTGCGGAAACTGATTAACTCACACGATGTATCATATCAAACAGGCCTCTTTAAAGACCTTCTTTCCTCTGTTTGTCTAAGGTCTTGTTTATTAGACTAAATAGTGTAAGAATTGTAAAATGCACGCCCTTTTAAATTATTATTTTATGACCAAACGAAGGCATCGAAAAAGCGAAGTGGTCGTAATTTAAGGCATGTTCCTCTTGTATTTCGTCGAATTGAACGCTGGTTTGATGTAATGATAAGTGAATAACGGATTTCCGAAGGGGAAACCACACGAAAAAGAGTTCTTTAAATCTTCATCCCCGTTATTTGGGCTTTCACCCCCTTCGAACTTGTTCTAGTGGGATTGTTTCTCGCCGAATCTTTATGCAGTATCTTTCGCAAGTACGACATTTCGTCACTCGCTATGGTTTCTACTTATTTTCTTTGTATTCAGTGAAAGTAAATAAATAAACTTTAACATAAAGTAAGGTGGTTAGAGAGCGAGTGTGCAGATTGAATTGCAGACGTTGGTTGCCTCACCTGTAAACACATGATACTTGGAAGAAGGAAAATAAAAAAAAACCCTGCAGTTCCTCGGGAGAAATCAGACAATAAATAGCGCTTCTTTGGTCCACCAGTGATCCAGAAGATTCGATTCATCTTAAAAGTAATTGTGGAAATCGCATTCTTATTTTATTTTCTTACGTCAATGGAGGTCCTCTTTGAAAACACTTCTACTTCGGAAACTTTTTTTCTTCTCCCGAGGGTGTTCAACTAATTTTGGTTCCTAGTGAGCAACTGCACTAAACGTTTGACTGAATCTTTTCAGCATTTCAACAGCTGACCGCCTATACTTACTGCTTATTTGTCAAGAGAAATTAATCCAATGCGTGGAAACTAAAAACATGATAAATGGAGTGAAAATTACTATTCTAAAAACCATTTGACCACGGAAATTTCGAGTAGATATATCCCATTTTTTTAATTCTTTGTGACGTTGAACTGATTTGCCTAAGTATATCTCTGTTGATCCATGTAATGTTCGTTGTCTAATATCATTAGTCTAGACAGGAGTCATCCTTATATTCATTCTCAGTCCTTCTTATTACATTGCACATCCCTTGTGCGCATAAGTTAAAGCGTGATCAGCGCTCGAACTTTTGAAAAGGTTGGTCTGGCCTGGACACACCGCTGTTCTTCAAGTTTATCCGATACAAGTGAAGAAGTGATTACCCTATAACTTCTCTCTATAATATCCATACATTATAAATCCAACAAGCGAGTAACGAGAATACTCAAACTTATCAGGTAGAAGTTGTTATCTTGGTCTAACACCAAATTCTTGTATTTAATTATCATGAAATTTTTGTTAGCTAGAAGGGAGAATTTCTAGAACGTTTAGTTCATACTTGAAATTAAATAACATTGAACAAAAATATTCAATCAGCATGTGAAATACATCATGCTAATCTGCCAGGAATGAGTAACCAACTGATTCGAACACATCCCTACAGTTAACCGTAAGGATGGTTTTGTTTCTCAAGCTCGTTTCTCGTTTTTCACACAGAAAAATTTTGTCCTGAAAATACAGCGGCTTTTGATTCGCGTTTTGATTTCGTGTGGTTTTCTTTCTAGAAAATCCATTCTTTTTTCACCTGTTTCATGCGGTCTGCTTTATCTTCGTCCAATCATAAACATAATTGCACGAAAAAGATCGTGCATTATTTATGCGTTTATCAAATTTTGTTTCTCGGGGCGAAGCTAAGCATTCGAAACAATAATGTTATCATTGAGAATTGACTCACAGGTAATTCTAAGATTGATTTTCTTCTACTCAATCAAGATCTTAATAGAGAAAGGATCCTCACTTTCTAGCTTAACTTTTAAGGAGATGTAACTTTGTGTTATGGAAGAAATCACATTACCGCCGGTATTGATAAACCTCATACACAATATTAACAGTCAAGGACACCTCAAAAGTTGGCAACTGAAGAGTACTTTAGAAACACACTCGTTGACGCTTGAATGGACCAGGACAACTACCTGTAACATCAATGATTACCAGTCCGTTGGATCAGATTCTACCTTACAGAGCTTAGAAAAAAAGTCTGATCAAAGTGTTGTCTCAAATGAAGATTGCGGCGACGAATATTCGAGTCAAGCTATTTATGTTACAGAAAAAGATGCAACGTGCGAACACTCCGATTTTCCTTCGGGACTTCAACGAATTCTGGAAGATGAGGTTGAACTGTACATTAATAACGAATGTGAAACCCCCGAAGCCATGCTGACCGAGGATAAAATCAAATACGAAACACAAATTTCTTTTCAAGGGGAACCGCGTAAATTCAGTACAATGAATAAGACACAAGATTGTCGACGAAATTCCGGCTGTAAAGCTCCAATTCATTCATCACCATTGGAAAACAAAAGATACTTTGCTGATCACACAACTAACGAATTAGCGGATCAAAGAATATCAGGAACACACAGCGACCCCTTCTTAAAGCAAGTCAGTCGCAAGGAACGAGCGCTTTGTTCTTGTGGAGGAGTTTTCTCCTCTCGAAATTCATCTGTTATCCATCTGTTATCGACCTGTCCTGTTAGCCTGTGCTTTCGAATCGAACTCGATTATGACATACAACAAGTGCTAGACAGTTGGCATGGCGACGAGAAAGACATTGGGATGGCCTGGTGGCAAAGTTATAAGACCAATGGTTTCCCAGATGCTACGACGGCATTAGAAGAAAACCAGGCCAAACAGTTAGAAACGCTGGTGAGCCAGTTTATCCAAAAAGCAATGTCACAAAAACTGAAAGATCATAACGGAAATGTGTTTGTGATGATGAGGGGCCTAAAAGATCTTCAAGATTAACCTCAAAGTGCCGAAAGGAAATTCGCAGAAAATAACTTAAGAAGCCAAGTCAGTTTAACCCTAAGACCCCTTTGAGTGACTAGCATTTAATTTCTCTTTACTATATCTCACCTAAATCACACATTGAGTTCACGAGAATATAGGAAATAATGATCTAAAGCTAGTGATTGTTAAATAAATTCTCCTTTTCAGCACCTTAGGAATGTATAAAGAGGAGTATGGAGAATATGCATACTGATGTTAGGATGTAGAGGGTTAAAATTAGACATATGTGTGCGTTCAAACCTAAAGCATGCAATAGCGACTACTTGAGGTACTGGGGTACGTGTCAAATATACTTTACCGAATTGAATGGGTCTGTAGTAGTTCTAACTAAGGCTTATGAATCAACGTTTTAAATTGACTCGCAGCAAAGGCCAGCTGTAACAAAAACTAGTCCAGACACACGACTGAGCTTATGGATTACAAGAGCATCTGATGAACCCTTCATTTAGTCCATAACAGAGCCATGACAGGTGTAGATAACATACAATTTACAATGAAAATCCATCATTGCAACGCCCTACACCTCTTGATTGCAAACGCCTCACAATACGGCATTTTCCCTGCAGTTGTTTACACTATAAGCGAAATTTACGAATAAACATTTACACAATATACAGAGAGTTTTTAGATGGAGAATTTTTACAATTGCACTACTTATTCCGTTCACAATACAAGGCATCTTTAGTTTTCTTTTATTTCAGTGATTGAAGTACACACAGTGACAAAACCTGCAAAAAGTTTTTAGAGGAATGAACCCATGAAAAGTTTTCAAAATATATAACAAAGAACGCTGAATTACATACATATGAAATGAATGTTTCCGTTTTCATGAAGTAAACCATTTTTGTTTTTATGACCATAACTATTTTAAAACATTGGCTGAAAAGTAATATTAAAGTTAATGTTTCGAGCACTATAAAATATACGGGCTTTTAATTCGAGGATAAAAGAGATTATTCCATGGAAAGTGCGCAGGAATAATTTTAATTCACAAGTTGCGATGCATCAAAAAAAAAAAAAAAAGACGAGTGAGTCTTTTATGCATTGCAACGAGTGAATACAAATCGCTCAAACACTTTCTATAGTATGATGTTTTTCTTTCATACATATTGAGATTTTTCACATTTTAATTCAAAGATCGGAAGCCAATAATTGTGAAAATACATGGTTCATCTGGTCGAAGACACGAACGATAGTATGTCAGTGTAAAATCTTAGTATTTAAAAATAAGTAACCTTTCTCCCACCCTCCCCCCCAAAAAGACAAAACAAAACAAAACAGTGTCATTCAAATGTAAAAGGTGTCTCATGAAGGCTAGTGCCCTTTGTCTTGATCCACCTTTCTACATTAATTTTGAAAGGTAGACCGCTAATTCGTGATAAATCCAACACTAGTTCTTCGAGCGTTTGACCAGAGAGCTGAAAAACTATACCGCTTTGACTGTAGAACTTTTTTCCTATTTTTCCATCACCTCTCGTCTTGTTTTGTTTAATGAATTCTTCCAGCCATTGATTCAAAGTACCACGTCCGATGTTGAGACATTCACAAACGAACGCTTGGAATTTTTGCTCATCACTTAGACGAGCACATCTGTTATTTACCCAGTTCACTGCCAATTCTACATCGCCTGAAATGTCCTTCAATTCTTCAACGATGTTCCACAATGTGTATTTCCCAATAAACTTTTTTCGCACGCCGATTGATAACATGTTCCAAAGGGCGCTGCATAGAGGACTGCAAACATTTTCGATCAAACTTTCATGTTTGGTGTCATCAAGTGCCTCTTCGGGCTCTTCACCGAACTCGACAATGTGTAAGAAAACTCGTTGAGTGGCTGCATAAAGTGCTCCTTGGGACGAAGACTCTGCTCTTGGCCTGCCAACATCGCCATTCCCCCCGGTTGGTATTGGTCTTTCATCATCCGTTAAGTTTTCAGTTCCATCATCGCTAACTTTAGAATCTAATGACTTGACATAAATATTCTCCAGAGAGTTGCTTTGACTAAGTATTGGCGTAACCACTCGCTCTTCAATAATGTCATCTTGATCCCTGGGCGAGTCTTCTGTTGCCGTAAAAGTATCTCTCACAACTTCATTCTGAATCTCATTTCTAAAAGAGGAGTGTTCGTTCTGAATGTGCTCATTTTCTATCACAGTCCAGAGCTTCTCCTCTCTGTTAAAGAAAGCTTCAAACCTGTCTGATAAATGCACTTTCACTTCAGAAGAGAGGATGTCATTGTGTGAATGCAGAACTCCGCGTTCAACTACAGCCCACGATCCATTTTCACACTGTAAGTGCCAACCAGAAAGACAAATTCTGGAGAATTTGTTGGCTTCACCTACTTCCTCCTCGTTGACGTTTTGACCAGAGCAAATCTTCAGAGCCAGTTCTAGAACACGAGGCGAGCTAATGATGGTAAAATCACATTGCTCATTACGAGCACAGGAGGCACAACTATTGTCCCCTTCCTTGACAATTACTGTTGAAAGTCTGGAAAAACCATCCTGATTATCCGTTCTCTTCACTAATGGTTCTGTGGGATACAGGAACTCGCATGGAACTGAAGGAGATTTGTCATCGCTGTCTGTCACACATAGCAGGTGTCTTTCAAACTTACTCTCAGTACTTGCATTCAGTGAAGGATTGTTAACAGTTGTTTTCATTTCCTGGCTTTCTGTGTCAATCTTTAAGCAGGCGATGGCCTCCACATCGTCGACTAACAAAGAATTTCTATTATGATTTCCTGGCTCGCTACAAGAGTTAAGTTTAGCAATTGTATCTTTACTACGACTGTATGGTTCTGAAACCATCCCAACGTCAGTTGACTTGGGAACCCTTCGGCTTATTTCACACGATTTATCGCCGTTTGAAAAAAGTTCTTCGCTGTTAGAATCCCTAACTGCACATCGACCTGAAGCGTACCAATTCCCTTTAGAAGATGATTTTGATAATTGTTCTTCTGTTTCGTCATTTAGCGCATACTCAGGCGTCGCTAAAGAAGAGGTGTTCAAAGCAACGTTGTCATCATCAAAGATCTCTCCATCGTCCGGTCTGGACCAACCACTTAAGTCACTATCTTTCTTACTAACATTGTCCGCAACCTTTACTTCAATTTCATCTTCATCTTTTTCATACGAGCCTTTAAAAGTTTCCTCAACGGAAAGAAACTCGGCATCATCATCGATACAATATTCCGCTTCTTGAGAAATTCTGCGAGCTTCAATCGAAGCTACGAGCTTCGTTGGGCCACTTCGTCTGTCTTTCTCAGCGTCCATTGACATATCCACACAGCCATCCAATCTAGAAGGGCTTATGACGTCATTTGACATTCCAAAATGCTGTTCGTAAAACACAAGACCATCGGGGCATGAAACCTCATTTTTGTCTGTCTTACTTACATTCAAATTACTGTTATGCCGACACTTTTCCTTTTCGACTCTTTTCAGCGCCTCCATTTGCCTTCGGTTCTGCTGATACTTCCTCAGCTGCAAGTACAGAAGATTACTATGGGATTTCAACAAAAATGCACAGAGAGGTAATGTATGATGTGGGATGAAAAGTGTGCTAGGATTGGTCCTAAAAGAATAGTTAAGGACCAATATGTATAAACACACTTTATTTCAAAAATGAATAATGGTAACCTATGTGAAACAAACGATTAATCTCGAAATAATTTTTTCTATCGACTGAGTTGATAATGTAAAGTGACCACCATAAAGAGTTTCCAAGTTGACGTTTCGAGCATTAGCCCTCCGTCAGAGCGATTAATTCCAAAGAGGAGTTTAAGCCAAATGGAGATAATCCTCTCAATAACTTCGTCTTCGAGTGTTTTTTTTTTACTCCCATACAAACTCCTTATTGCCACATTGCCTTATTGCCCCTCCGTCAGAGCGATTAATTCCAAAGAGGAGTTTAAGCCAAATGGAGATAATCCTCTCAATAACTTCGTCTTCGAGTGTTTTTACTCCCATACAAACTCCTTATTGCCACATTTCCGAAAGTAGTTACGATTAACAGACATCCAAAAGGACATCCCATTAGTTCCTGAACCTTACTTTACTTCATCAAAGTCGCGTCACCTTTCGTTGCAACGACAACCGTGCATTTAATTAAGAGCAATGGTACATAAAAGGGAAGATTCTAGGATCTGTAAATCACAGCGAATGACTTTGGTATTATTTCAGTGATAAATACTGGTAATTACTGCATCGCTTCACCCAAACCATAAGGTCAATATGATAGCCGTTGCATTGTTAAGAAGTCTATAACTTCGTTGGTTACCTTTTTTCTTTGAATTTCTGAAATCCGCGGCCGGAGAGGTGTAGAAACAGTCACGGTTTTTAGAACCAGCCTTCCTACATGATTCACAAAGACAGAAAATCAAAGTTTATCACGCAATAACATGAAGTCATTTATCAAAATCGGTGCAAGCTACATAAGAATGGTTACTTCCTTCTAGAAGTAAGCAGCCTAAACTTAACATGATTAATAGAATCACAATCTGCAGAGGAAATTATGTCTTGGACCAAGATGACGCTCCAGAGTTTAAAAAGTGATTATAGCAGGGGCACTCTTGACAGTCACGGTTTTTAGATTCATGAGAATGGTTACTTCCTTCTAGAAGTAAGCAGTCTAAACTTAACATGATCAATAGAATCACAATCTGCAGAGGACATTATGTCTTGGACCAAGATGACGCCCCAGAGTTTAAAAAGTGATTATAGCAGAGGCACTCTTGAAGAACATACCCGTCGCAAAACTTCCTATCGACACATTTCAGTAACTGGTTACGATTTACCCAAAACCGGATATTGGTTCCTGAATCTTACTTTACCCAATAAACGTCACATCGCCATTCGTTAGGACGGTTTCACAGTACATTGATTTAATAACAGTGCCATACTTAAGAGTGCCTTTTGCCATCTTTATTGTGGGTTGGACAAGGTCGCATCAGCTGTCACCGCTAACACCGCTAGTGCGCATACCCAACAACGAGAACAATCCTGGTATGCACTCTGCTCTAGTGACTAAGAATGTGCGCTTACCAGAGCATCAATTGTATTGAACCTGAGTATTAACCCTTTTTTTTCATATTCTCTAAAAAACTGAGCACAAAAAGTGTTTATATGTAGATTATACCTTGCAGAGAATGTTTGAGTGGCTCCTCCTCGGGAGTAAAAAGATTTGCTTAAAAAGAAAAAAGATAAACAAGGTTAATTGTGGAAATACTATACAGCAATAAGTGATCGTGTTTCTCCGTTGAGGAAACCAATGATCATTATTTTTTCCGCGAGCAAGTTCGTGTTTCAAAAGAGTCTTATCTGATCTGTAACTGACTCTTACGCTTACACTGATTGCGCATATTTTTATTCGCTCATTGTCAGACTGGTTTCGTGTAATCAGTCACTCTTTTAATCTAACTTTGAACTGTTTATAATTATAACACATAAGTGTTATAATTTAGGATTCTTAGGAGTAGAAGGTTTTATACATGTGAGCGCAGCTTTCTGACTACGAACGTCAATCTCTAAGTTAAGTTAGTTCTTGTTTTTGAATGCAGTTGTGTGGATCTCGGAAACACAAGCAAGACGCAACTCCATTCATATAGGTAGGCAATAACACTAAATCGTTGTAGATGGAGCAAGAGATGTTCTTAGCGATAAAGCCTTTTACACAACCCATACTATCAAGGAAAACTCTTCCTTAACGTTAAGTGCTCCGCTTTTCCAACAAAGGACGTGGTTGAAATAAACTTTAGATATACAACTTACATGTTCCATCGTCATTAACCAGAAATAAACCAAAGTTCTCGATACCAAGAGACTCTAGTTTGGTAGCCAAAGAAGGAATACGAGGAACCTGAAATAATTGGAAAAAGACCGTTCATTTCTCTACACTGTAAAATGATGTGGAAAAGTAGCTGGAATATTCATGGAATTGAGTACCAGTCCCCCTACCTCGAACTTCAGTTTGGAAACAAAAACTTCAGAAAAAGCAGAATTTCTTTTATTTTCATTACTGGAGCCTAAATAAGCTCAGAAAATTTGAAGTTGAGCAAATTTAAATGCTTCAAATCACATAGCTATATGTAATCCTGTCATTGAACGAAGTTTGCTCTAAGGAAAGTAATAAAACAATCTGGGTCTATTGGAGGGGGGTGTGTTTCAGACCCACCCAGTGGATCTGTCACAGGAACCATGAGATGTGCAGATAATAGAAATCAAGTGACACAGTGGTAACTACTACAACCATTCTAAATTAAAAAAAATTAGATCCAGTCCAACTAAACTGTACATTATTTCCTGGTGGGAATACTTTGAGATGTAAGGACCAAAACAAGGAAATGTGTAGAGTAATATTACTATGCTCCCATATGTATGCCTAAAATGGGGAACAAGTGTTAAGGGAAAAAAGTCCATCCACCATCCAAATTCAAAGTGAACTTACACTGTGGTAGCAGTTTCCAAGCTTTCTACTTACAACAGTGTACAATGTATGTTTGCTAACACAACAGTGACAAAAGTATCTCTCTAGGAACCACTACTTTAAGTAAAATTAATCCTTTTCACCCTTACATAAGCATGCATATTCTCCGCACTGTTCTCTAAACATTTCCTAATTGTACTGAAAAGGAGACCTTGTTTATGAATCAAAAGCTTACTGACTCAGTGATCATATCTTTTATTCTCATGACCCTTATGTTTGGTGAAGAGGTGATAATGTGAGAAGTATTCAGCTGCTGATCACTCATGGGGGTGAATTGGTTAATCAGACATTCCATTTACCTCTTTTGCTTTTATGAAAACTAAAGAAGGAAGTACTTGAAATGTGCCATCATCAAAGTGAATAATCAGTAGCTGGGAAAAGAAAAAAAAAAACAAGAATTCGGTCTTGATATAAAAGGAACAATTAATTCACAAAGTACCTCAAATTATCATGTGATGTACACAAGCAAAGTTAAGCTCTGAACACATAACTTCTCAGTTAAACTTTAACTTAAATTACCAACCTTGTAATTGTGCACTAAAAGATAGAAGCGGTTTCCAAGTTTGGAAATGTCTAAAGTACCATCTTCGATGTCAAATCTGTGCCCTGGAATTAAAAATAAACCAATGCTGATTTCACAATGCAAATATAATACAAGTTAGTTGTAAAAAAAATTCTAACTTCAAGCAACTTTAGAAGGAAATTGTGTGGGTGTCTTCTTGATTATAAATTAAAGTGTAGTAGTCTAGTAGTCTAGCACATCAATGAATGATCCAGTGAAGTTTTCTTGCACAAAGAAAGTCTTCCCTTGCCGGTATGCTATACAACACAAGAAAGCCTAAAAACCTTTTATATTTCATCTCTCTGTTGCTATGTGCACAATGTGATTGCTCAATTTGGTGGGCTAGCTGTACTCTGCTATAAAGTCTGCCACAGCCTTCAAAGTTGTTTTTGTTCCAAAAATCTCTCTTTTTTCATTAGTTACTGTTCTTAACTTTTAGCCATAAATGAAATTAAAATTAATTTTATTAAGATAAAAAGCCTTTGATGAGCTTTTATTACAACCATTAACCATTGGAACGAAGAAAACTTTAGCTGATAGGGCTTTTGCCAGTGCAGCTCCTAAACTCTGGATTGGTCTTCCTAGTTCAATAAGAAATGTAAATAACTTAATTAAATTTAAATCTCTATTGAAGACATACTACTTCAATGTAACATATCATAATTGATATTTAGTTTTAAAGTTTTTATTCAAGTTTTTAAATTTTTGTTTGATATTGTTTATATTATTTAATCGTTTTGTATATTTTGATACAAGGCTGCGTATTTAAATTTTTATCTAGCATTTATATTTATATTTACTTTATTCTATTTATTTTATTGTGCATTTGATCATATGCACATGTAAAATGCACATTACAAATAATAAATATCATTATCATTATTATCATTATAATTATTATTATTGTGTATTACAAAATGCCACTAAACAGCAATTTCAAATGGACTCCTTTTGTTTTTTAAGACCATTTGCTGGATTAAAATTGTTTTTCCACCCTTTTTAATACAAAATGATTTTAACCATAACAAACATAAAATGTTACCAATTCCATTAGCTGTTACTGTCCATACTTCCATTGATGACTGTTGAAGCTTACAAACGTAGCAGCCAGCACATCTTTTAGTTTGTGACTTTGTACATAGGGCAGCTAACAACTCATCCATATCAAACACACATGGAAGGAGAACTGTGTAAGTTCTTTTATCCCATGTGGTGACAGATACATGAACTAGTTCACTGGAAAAAAGCAATTAAAGCAAGTTTATAACATGTACATACAGTGCACAACAGCATGTCAACACCAAAAATTGCTCCTTTAACCCATCAACTCCCAAGATCTGATTATTAATTCTCCCCTCTAGCTGCTACACATTCCCTTGTAAATTAGTTATGAGAACTTGGTGCCAGATCAAGATAACAGCGTTTACCTGATAAGTTTGAATCATCTCATTTGCTGAAGAATGTATGGATATTGTAGTGAGAATTTTTATGTTAATCACTTGTGGGAGTTAACCCTTTAACTCTCGGATCAAATTATCCTTACTGTCAACCATGCAATTCATGTAATGTTAGTTTAGAGAATTAAGTATTGGATCAACTAATTATCCCCAAATTGATATTTTTCTTTATTCTCATCACTTATCTGGTTGATATTGTATTGATATTGTAAGGAGAAATTCTGTCTTGGTCACTCATGGGAGTTAAAGGGTTAAAGGGTTAATGCCAGATGCTTCTCCCTACATCTGGATTACAGAGTGAAAAGTGGAGTAAAAAATAATTACCAAAAAAAAACATACTGTGCAGTTGTATATGTAGTAGTTAAAAATTGTACTTTTAGATCAAATTAATCTTAAACCAAATAGATTTCTTCACTCCTTTGCTCTAGATGGGTTAATAAGCATATCTCACAAACAACAGAAAATTCCAATCAAATTAGTTGAAATCAGTTCAACCTGAATTTATTTTAATCTGCAAGATATACACTTCTTGAGGTCTCACCAGCATTCACTTGAACCACAGATGATGCTGTCAGCCTAAAAAAGAAATTATTGAAACATTATGTGCAAATTGCTGTTATTTGTAATGATCACTTTTGCTTAAATAGGGAAGGAATATTAACTGTCCTGAAAACTTACTAGGCTTTCATCTTCATCATAAACTGGGCCAGACACATCTGCAAAGTTTCCTTGATTGATGAATTGCTTCTTGAATGCTTGCCTCTTGTAATGCCGTATCCAAAACTCTTTGGCCTCTCTTAAGCCATTCACCCAGTCTTTCATTGCTTGCCTAGACTGTAAAAGAAAAAACACCATGAAGACCAAAGCCATATTTAGTACACTGATTGCCATGAAAGAAAGCTTGTTATTTCAATTTTTATATGGCAATTCATAAATGATGGGCTTCTTCCACAGCGTGATGTATGCAGTACAGCAATGTGTGTACTGGCCAACTCTCCAGAATATCTGGAAGTCTCATCTATGCAATAAAAACCTCTTTATCACATTTAAAACTTTTTAAATCTCCCAGATCAAAGTAAATTTGAATAAGAGTCAAATCAACAAATTTTAATTCCTTCTAAACTTTGGACTTTCTGTTTAAGGGTTGTTTCATATTTGAATGAATTTTGAAGCTTTGGATAACCTGTGTTAATTTTAGTTTCAGTATGTGGGGACACTGAGTGAAGCCCTCAATTCAAATATTATTTTTTCTCTAATAGGAGAAGGGGGAATTGGTAAAACTAAAAATATGGCTAGATTTCAGATTCCTGCAAGGAAATTTGGATCTCTGGCAAAGTGGTGTCCATAGGTGTAATAATCAAAAAATATTTGGCCTCTTTTAACCCTTTAACCATTCACCCTTTCACTCCCAAGATCTAATTAGTAATTCTCCTTACTATCTGCCATACAATTCTTATGATGCAAGTTCAGAGAATTTGGTATTGGATCAACTAATAATCCCATGGTTGACATTCTTCTCTATTCTCATCACCTGCCTGCTTGATATTGTATTGATATTGTAAGGAGAAATTCTGTCTTGGTCACTTGTGGGAGTGAAAGGGTTAAGAGCAACTAGCATATACCGGTAGTTCCTCTCCATGATATTACCCCTAATTCAAACATTAAGGATGAAAAAAGGAAACAATCACCAACTAAAGATGCTCTTGATTGTTAAACAAATTCTCCTTGTCAGCACCTTAGGAAATGTATATAACACAGTAAAGAGTATGCATACTGACATTATGGCATAAGGGGTGTAGATAACTTTAGAATCAGTACCTCAGCAGAAAACTTGTACTCTTTAGCCTCTTTGCCATTAAGTGTCAGCTTGAAGCTGCAGTTCTCGTATTGTTTGCTGGACATCAAAATTTCTGTTATACCACTGACCTAACAACATAATCACCAATGATTAGCAAAATGATAACTACATCAAGTGTCAAGCCTTGAAACAATCATCCATATGAGCAAATTCTATGATGTATGGTAAGTTTTATAACTGAATAGAATTAATGACGAAAGTCCCAATCAGGCTCTGAAATTAACTGCATGAATAATAATAAATTGCAGTTATTTGACAGGTATGTGGGCCAATTAATACCTTGACTAATATTAACTTTTTGATAATATAGCTTAATATAATTACAGTATTGTACAACTTCAATTACATCTATAAGCACAATGATAATTTTGATTTACCTCTTCCAGACATATTTTTAAATCCTCTTTTGATCTTTGCCTCTTATAATACATGTCCTTGCTTTCATACTGATATATCACTGTCTCCAACAGCTGTAGATCAAGAGAAAATTAGAAATGCTGTTATTCATCAACTTTGTTATTCAATACAGGGACAGATCCAGGAATTTTTAATAAGGGGTCCAACCTTTGATTCTGAAACAAAGAAATTTCTCTTTTTTTAACATGGTCTATATAAGCTCGGAAATATTGCAAGCAAAGTAAATATCAAATACTTTATACTGGGAGTACCAGCCTGTAATCTTGTGATTTAAACAATTTTTGTGTTACAACATGAGAAAAAGAATCCACAGGTCTAATAGGAAGGGGGGTCTGGACCCCTTAGAACCTTCTCATGTATCTGCCACTGGAATATACAAATGTAAAAAAAAAAGAAAAGTGATCAAAGTTTAGGTGAAGAGCTAACCCTTCCTGTTTATGGAGTAAAATTACAAAAGCATCCAAAAGCTCATGATGTAAATTTTACGGTTAATTTTCACATTTTACTTTATCCATCTGAACAAGTACAAATATACCACACTGCTATGACCACGTCAAAATACCTCTTTACTTTCTGCGGTGCTTTGTGGTAATTAATTTTTTTTGCAGTAATGCAGTGGAAAATGAAAATTGGTACGAACTTTAAGATTAACACAACATCCATTCATGGCAAGCACGTTTCGATGGTAAACTATTGTAAAAAAAAAAAGAACAACAGAAGAACAACAGCCAGAGAAAAAAAAAATAGGGAGTAACTATTAGTGCCAATATCAAGAACAACTCTCAAGTGCAGACCATTCCGGCCTGAGTTATAACATACCATAATGCTCTTCGCGAAGAAAGTAAGTATAATATGGTGTTTCACAATGACAGATCGAAAGATTAGCAATTTTCCCCTAGTTTTAGTTTTATGGTTTCCGGGAGGCAAGACATCATTTCAATTTCAATTCACGATTTCTAAACACTAATGACTCTGTCGCTTCAATCGTACGGAAGTTTTTAAATCAGACTCACAAAATGCATACTTCTGTAAAGAATAGCTGAATGAAAACAAATGAAACTCTGACTCATAGAAAGTTTGGTCGCTTATGCAGCCCTTACCACGAAGAAAGCCCGTTTTGGTCTTCCAAGCTTGTTTGCACGGTGAAAAATTAAATTTCCTTCCAAATGCGGAGGAGGACGAGTCTATAGGATGAATGTAAAAAAAGCTAAGAATGGTAAAAGTTTGCAAACATCGTATTAAACGACAAAGATATTTACCACTGTTTGACTCCGTACTTCCGTATCAGAGGCCATGTTTTGACAGCCTTGGCCTCACTCTAAAGTAAACAAAAAGAGACGAAGTGGAGTGGAGAGCAGAAAGGAAAGGTCACTTTGTACCAGTCTTCCTCATAGATTCCTTTTTTCAAGATGGCGGCTTTAGCTGTGGCTTGTTCCAAACTCTGCTCTTTTAGTACATTTGGGGCGAGATCCGCTCTCATAAGTACCAGAATTAAACAAGGTATTGTGTGGAAATAGTCATCATGTTGTAAAGTCCGTCGTAGGATACCTAATCAATTTGAGAAAAGCCAACTTACTCACAGAACGATTAATCAGAGGCATTAGACTCATGGACAAAATTGTGACGGCATTTAACCCTTTACACCCTAACATCAGAATTCATACTCTCCATACCGTTCTCTGTACCTTTACTAAGTTGCTGACAAGGGGAATTTGTCTAACAATCAAGAGTTTCTTTAGTTGGTGATTATTTCGTTTATTCTCATTACATTAATGTACGTGTGATTTAGTAATGATATATATTGTAAGAAGAAAAATTAGATGCTAGTCACTCTTAGAAGTTAAAGGGTTACGTTTTGAATTACTTGTTTATGTAAGGGTATTGATTCACTAGTGAATAGAAATGAGAAAAAGTTTAAATTTTTTGTAATGTGGGATGATTTTTAATTTTGGCTTTTCTTTCCTACTTTCCACCTTTCTCCATTTACTCAATTGTCATTACAAAATGATTGCATCATTGATAAATCATATTCAGCAGTTGAAGGTAGAAAAAAATATAAACAAGCTGCCTTTTAAAGTGTGAAGAGGAAGAGGGTGTTCTCCTTATGATTAAATTTTTATTAGACTTGTTGGCAACAGTGACAAATCTTGTGTTCTCTATCAAATTTGTAGGATTGACCATCCGGCTCCTGAGCTCAACACAGCAGAATTCCAGGAAAGTGGACAAATCATTGCTTTCTAGATTGAGAAAGGAAACTGGATTTGGCTTTGCTAAGTGCATGGAGGGTCTACAAGCAAGCAACAATGATTATGATACAGCTTTGACATGGCTGAAGGCTGAGGCTGAGAAACAAGGCTGGGAGAAGGCTGCCAAACTACAAGGGAGGGCTGCAGCTGAAGGACTTGTTGGAGTTCTAGTGGATGGCAACTTTGGTGCCATGGTTGAAGTAGGTTATGAAACTCTTACCTGCTTGAAAAACAATGTATCTTTTCGCATGAATTTTTTTTTTCTGTTGTAAACTGTCTTTAAACTGAGTTTTTTTTAAATCAAGGTGCATTTTTCCCAGTAAGCACTAGACACTTACAGAAACCCCCAATAGAAATCTTGAATAATACGATAAAACATCCAACCTTGAATCATCGATGAAATCCTCTCTGATACTCCGATTGGCTGGTGGTTGAACTCTCAAGATTCACTCTTCACATTTCCCCATGAAAGAGTGAGAAGGATTTTGTTAACTACCTTTGCACTGGTAAATTTTGTCTATTCTCACAAGGAGAATTTCTTTGTTAATTTTTTTACAAGGAATTTAGGGATTAAGTACAGTTGAGTAAATGAATTTTTACCCTATAATGTGCAAATTTGAGGGAGAAAAAAAGAATATTGTCTGTTGTTAAGATAATATACACTTTTTTGTTGTTGTTGTTGTTTCTTTTTAGGTTAATTGTGAGACAGACTTTGTAGCAAGGAATGAACTATTTGTGGACCTGGTATCCAATGTGGCAAACACAGCAATGGCAAAACGGAAGAAGATTGTAGATCAGAATCAAAAAATTAACACATTTGCTGGTGAATTTGAACACTTAAGAGAAGTTATTCCAGAGCACAAATTGAGAAATGAGGAAGTGCAGAACAGTGGAGAGACTGTGGCAGAAACTGTGGCAAGAACAATTGGCAAACTAGGGGAAAACATCAAAATTAGCAAAGTTGTTACAATGACAACTGAAGTAAGCAATGTAATTGGTAGTTACACCCATGGTCCTTTTGTAAAATCTGTAGCAGGGTGTTCCCTTGGAAAGTATGGGGGTTTGGTGGCACTAAGGCCAAAAGATAGCACTACTAGTTTGAATTCTGTGCAGCAATTGGCCAATAAGGTAGCACAACATGTTGTGGGAATGAATCCAAAGGTTATTGCACAAGATGGCAGTGGTAAAAATGACAGTGCTCTGGATGGAGAGACAAGTGATGTGCTACTTGAGCAGGAATACCTGTTGGATGACAGTCTGACAGTGAAGGACTTTCTAGAGAAGGAAGGAGTTGAAGTTGTTGATTTTGTTAGATATGAATGTGGCACACAGTAGCTCTTGGAAATACTTGATAGACATTTGCCATTACCAAACCCTGACTAAGCACTAAGCTAAGCTATGCTGCCATTAAAAGGCTTAGGATAAGAGCTGGTGTTTCAGATGCATTTGATAGCTTTGTTGCAGTAATAAAGTAGCCCTACAGATGTGTTTATTTGACTTTTTTTTATCAATCTGGACCATAATTTTAAATTAATAGCTCATCTGTTTCTAATTAATCTTTACTAGGTTAGACTTGCCCCTACTTCCTTTCCCCCCCCCCCCCCCCCCCAAAAAAAAAAAAGTGCCAAGAAAACACAGGTGGCACCAAGATACTCTCATCTACCCTTTTTACAATTCAGATCTTTTACAGCAATTTGTTCAATAGTTAAAAATTACAATCCTCCTCTTCCTTGGAAAGTGAGGCTCAGTCATCCCTCGTTGCAGTCCTTTTGGGTCAACTCATTTATTCGCTGCACCACTCTTTTGGCCGAATCATCAGCAATGGTAAAGAAGTCTTTTTTCGGATCTTTAACGAGTGACTCGAGCTGATCTCTGTGAATTACTGGACCGCTTGCGACTGTGATCACGTGTGCTGCATTTATCCTGGGATCCTAAGGGTTGGGGTGAAAAAAAGGATTGAATGTAGTAAAAGAAGAGAAGCTTTCCCTGCGCTCATTGGTTGATTAGAAAAAACGCGCACCATTTTTATAACCAACCAGAATTGAGCTAGCAAAGTTTTGCGTGCCTTTTCCCGCGCTTGGAGGCAACTAAGGGCACTGCGATGTGTTCCCAGAGGTTCATTGATGGAAAAGACCCGCGCCACTTTGACATCCATACGTGGACTGATTAATGTTCCCGCTTGTGCGCGGATAATTGTCTTACCAGAGCAGCTAATGTAACCCTGTTAATCGGGACAACTTTCCTTTATATAGACACTTTGGCTCTTCAACCCGCGACGAAAATGCTAGTCCTTTCGGTCTACCATAACCTACCGAGTTGTTCTATGAAGAACTGGTATACCAGAGGAGACAGCTACGAGGACTAAAAACTCCGCAAACACTTCGCGGAGTTGTCTCGGAGGGGAGTGTTATTTGACATATTTGTCAGAAAAGACTCACCAAGTAGAAACCTCTAAAACCACCATCTGAAAATACAATCAGGATCTTGGATTCTTCCAGCTTCGTGCCACTCTCCTCCTTAAACAGTTCATCTGCTGCTACCCTCAAACCCTCTTCAACGTCTGAAAATATACGTGAAATTTAAAAAAAACCCTGAATGTAATATCTCAGTTTCACTTTCCGCGATGGATACGGTGTTCTTAGTTAACGTTGTGTGATTGTTCAAGAAAATTCGCGGCACTTTCTCAGCCACTCGGATGCAAACTAGATTCGATTGTGACTTTAACCCTTTACTTTTTGCTTAGCCCTTGACCCATAAGAGTGACTAGCCTCTAATTTCTCCTTACAATATCACCCCTGAATCAAACATTACGTTCACGAGAATAGAGGAAACGATCACCAGTTATGGAGGCTCTCTATTGTTTGACAAATTCCCCTTGTCAGAACTTTAAGAAAGTATACAGAGCGGTATGAAGAATATGCATGTTAGTGTTAGGGTATAAAAGGTTTAGACCGCTTAGAGTAAACGTACCCGTGTCTCCATCTCCGTAAACAATTGAGCCAATGGCAGACTCGATGTCATCCGTGGAAGAAAATTTGGTGAAACTAGACACCAGTGTTGGTCTCATTGGGAACTTTACGAGACACACACGAGTTTTCGTTGATCCCAATTCCATCAGCTGTATCATAAAAGTTGCAAAGCTTTTCATCGACCAAAAGCCCTCCTCTGTTATACTTGTTGAAGTGTCGAACAACATTGCCACATCTTGTGGCGTCACGCACACACCTGAAATGGGACGATCGAACTGAAAAGCGCGCAGTCTAGTTCATCAACCCTTTAACTCTCAATATCTGAATGTAAATTCTCCCTTCTAGTTTCTGCACATTTCTTTGTAAATTAGTTACGAGATTAAAGGGGGTAAGTTTCTAAAGAAACTGTGGTGCTGCGTTTGTGGGAGAGTATAATAAGGTAATTAAGTATTATCAACCGAACTGATAACGTAAATTGGCCACCGTAAAGAGTTTAAAAGCTGACGTTTCGAGTGTTGGCCCAATCGTTCCGACGAACTGGGCTAACGCTCGAAACGACAGGGTAACTGTCTAGGTTAGATATTAGTGACGTTTGTCCGATCGTATTTCAGAACCTCGTGCGTCTTTACTAGTCGTCTGTGTGCATGGTCTGTGTTTTTGCGTTTGCGAAGTTTAATACGTTTATTGCGAAGTTTTTGGATCCTGCGTTTATAACTACTCAGGCGTACAGAGGAGACAATCGGTAAGCATGGGTTTTTTACCTTTCTTAGTTTCATTTCGTCGGTTTTATTTCTAGTTTAGTTGTTTTGCCGTTTCGTGTGTTCGTGTTTTTATCACATCCAATTATTGTTCGTCTTTGTCCTTTCGCGTAGCATGGACTAAATATTTTTATTTGTATTTTAGTTTGACGGTTTTGAAGCATTGGCATATTGTAATAAAGATAAATCATTGCAAATCAACATGAAATCCAGCGCTCTTGATCAGTGCTTCGACGTCCTTTACTTTTAATTCTGAACTTGCGGTAATCGCGCCTGGAGTCAGTTACAGTCAGCTTTTAAACTCTTTACGGTGGCCAATTTACGTTATCAACTCAGATGATGATACTAAATTACCCTAACAACGAGAATGTTATTTTACATCAAGATAACGACTTCTAACTGATAAGTTTGAGTATTCTCATTACCTGTTTACCGGATAATGTATGGGTACTATAGGGAGAGGTTACATGTTAATCCCTTCTAGGGGTAAAAAGGTTAACTCTTACGAACTGACGAGTTTTTTTTTTCTACTAGCCACCATAAAAGTCGTTATTGATATCATGTTAGATAGAGAAATTGTTGTTGCTAACTGTCATATCAACATCACAACCGACCCAAGAGAGCAGCGTTTTTTTTCTCGAAAAAGAAAATGAATGTCTTGAAGGCTTTCTTGTTTTCTCGATGCAAAACGGAAAAAAGTCGCTTTTGTTTGCAGATTGGATGACATCCTTCTGCCAATAAGTTGGTAAATTCACCTGTTTTTGGTATGATCTTTTGGAAGTGATGAGCTACTTTATGTTGATTACCTCTTAGAGGAAAAGGGTCAGAAAAACGTGTAGGGTTAAAATCACATTTACAGATATAAACCAGAGTCTAGATCTACAGGTAGTATTTCCCTTATTTAGCAACCGGAGTAAAGTTCTGGCTGACAAAAATGGAATGAACAGTAGGCGAACCAAAGGCGATCCAGCCCCAACCCAACCAAAACGGAAGTCGCTGAACAGTACGAAAAGTAGAATGAAACTAGACGCTAGCAAACCTACATAGATATGGTTGGATTTGGGTTTTAAAATAACGCCTAAGCGTATGGTGATCACTGAAACCAAAATTTATTTCATGTGTCTCACCAACACAAACAGAAAACGGACTTGATATTTCGAACAGTCCAGCATACAACAGGCAAGACTGAATGACAGGAAGCTCTCTCACACACTGGCTTAATCCCACCAAAAGACCACTACTACCATTTGACCGCATTCAAGGGCGAATCTTAAGTTGCAACTTTTAAGCCGTTACCTGGCTGACTTACCTTTTGCCAAAGAAATGGTTGACAAGATGATGAACGTGATCGTTGCTGTGCGCCTTTTCATCCTGTGAGAGAGAATTAGAGTTGTCGATATCAACAGATTTGTAAACAGAATAAGAGAGATGGCAAGTTTTGAGCTCGGTAAAGAAATAGTGAAAGATGTATTTTCGTCTTGCCATGAGCGTGGGACAAAGAAAAAATTCTGAGTCCCCAAAAAACATCTTTCTCGATATCAACAGATGTTGCGACATTTCTTTCATCGCGCCATGTTATCTTACCCTTTTCTCGACACAGTTTCTGCTTTTTAAGATATAAATCTTACAGGAAGTTCTCGAAATTTAGCAAATATTTTGAGCCCAGGAGAAATTTCCAGTTGATCCCATAGAGGGATAGTCCAAGTGAGGTTAGTCCTGAAAGAGACTGATGTAAGCGGCAATGACGAACGTTTTGACAACTTGAAGTTGTCCTGCATATTAAACGTAACCCGTTGGTCCGAGCAAAAATTTCAATTTCCTAAGCTTACTCAGAGAGTTATCCAACGGTTCTTGTCATGTGGTCTTGTATCAATCTCAATACGATGAAGATAACTCAAAGACTTAAAAAAAAAACTTCTGAATTGTCATACCTCGCTGATTTTGAGAACGGATTTCGTTTGAATTCAATCTCTAGAAGTGATTCTAAAACAACTAATGCACGTATGAAGTTATCCAAAACCTTAAACAGCTTTTAAGAATGGTCAGTGCTTAAAAAATTCGTGTAAAAAAGCTGTTACAAAAATTAACATATTAAGTTAGGACATTGGCACCTGAGAACCATGTTAATATTTGTTTGATTGCAATGAAGTCAAAAATATTTCCTTGAGAAGAAGATCAAACGAAACTGCATGTTTAACTTAACATTTTTAGAAACGAAGTTCGAGATTTAACGAGAATTTAGAATTTCAAGTGTTTTGTAAATGATACATTTGTAAGGTTATTTAGAGCAAAGAAAGAAAAACTGGAAAACTTATTCAAGTTCAGTGGAAAATCATTAATTCCGGTTGCAAAATGAGATTTGTTAATTGTTCTTTTCAAAATAGTGAATAAGAAATTCCATACGGAATCGTGAACCGTCTCTTAGTAACACTTCAATCATCATTATCTATCACTGCAATCACGGAAGGGATGTATTTTGGAAAAACGTTTCAGACAGTTTCTAAGACATCTGAATGATGATGTTGAAAACAAAATCAGTGAGCGAAAGAATACATAGGTGAAGTCCACTAAATTTGGCTGTTCTTTGTGAGGAAGTTTATTTGTCACAAGGACGAACGTAATTATGATTTTCAAGGTTCTAAATGAGCTGTCATCTTTCACTGTACCTCGTCGAATAATGACGAAACGTAAAAGTCGAGTCCAAGGCAATTTTGTCTTAGAAATTAAAAAAAAATGTTAAACGCTTATAAAAAATAGTTCTTGGCAAGTGCGACGCGGTGGTTCGTCTGGAATCCTTTTGCGATATAGCCATATATTTCTAACATCTTGACACTGGGAACGGGACTTTTATCTCTATGTTCAAAAAGGTTGCCTAAAATTCCCAAAGCTATTACGTAGGTCAAACCAAATTTGTAGAGCATTGCGTTCAAAGTCCCGTTCGCTGTTTCAAGATATCAATGGCCTGGACCTCTATCGCAGGAAGATTTCTCAGACGAAAAATCGTTTCGCAAAATTTCACAAATTTTGCTGTGCAAAGCGATAAATGGTTGCCAATTCTTGAGCTTCGTTGGCGCTGGGTCAGGCGCTTGACCTAAAGTATTAGCTCCAAGAACTGATGAATAACAAAACTTTTCTCCACAATGTCAAAATACCATGCATCAAACAGGTCACGAGATAAAAAAGATAAAATCATCTGCTAGATCATTGGTTTTAATCTAGATAACGAGGAAAGGACGGTATCAGAGGCAACTTCAAAGAGGCATTGCCAATCCCATCTTAAGAGTGATTAAAGGGTTAATCCGTTAATTAAGGATTGAGGAGATAAACTGAAACGATACGTACGCATGGAAAAAATAGTTCTATTAATTAAGTCCTTGGTCAGATCGTGGGATTTATTTTTGAACGGGCTTACCACTCTCATTAAATCTTAATAAAGTTGCGCTTGCGTGTAATTGTTTAAGTTGGATATTTGTTGCCTCAAATGTTTCACGGTTTCGCTCGATCGATTTCTGATCAAGTCGAAACGTCTTTTCTTAACACAGGGTAGATTGGCTAAAGTTTGCTTTTCCATTACTTAGTCGTGAATCTTTAAGAGCGCATGGTTGTTTGAGGTATTTGATATAACCTCTGTAAAGATTGGCCTCTTTGCTTAACACTGGTAGACTGGCAAGAGATATCAACTGATATTCTCTTGTATACTGGTTATAGCTGAAGTGCACCATCCTATATCTAGTCCTTAATCTCTAAGAGTGGTTGTTGGATTTCTTTGATTCAGACTCTGAAAGATCTGTGAATTTTACTCTTCTTGCACAAAAGGAAACAATTTCCATTGATGTTTAAGACGTTGCTAATAGCAAAGTAACTTGTTTTTAGTAGAAGATACAGACGTAAGCTTATAACGCAATGCGGGCTTGCAAACTATTTAGACACCTACGATTAATTATCATGCACTCTTCTATAAGTTGTCAAAAATTTAAACGAACACCCTAAGTGTTTTACATTGTACAAAACTCTACATGAAATAAACACGGAAAGATAGAAAAATAGTCAAGAGACAATAGCAAAGAAACTAGCAACAAAGATGGATTTGTGTGGATTTTACAGGGGCATAGTCGAGATATTTCAAAGGGGAAGAGAGGGGTGGGAGGGGGGTTCATACTGTTTCTCACCCAGGGTACTGATTAGATTGTCAAGTCAACTTCGCCGCTGAATTTCATCGTCGAAATGATATTGTCTTGGACGAAAACAGAGTGCGGATGGGTGGAGTGGGTGGGTGGAGGACATGTTTACAAAAGAGCTGCATGGATGAATATGTAAACCGGAAAAGATGATGGGAGGAGCTTATGAAAGGAGAGTCTTGTAACCGGGATGAAAATGTTGTTTACAGGTAGATAGGTCTATATGCAAGGGGCTCATAACTCGAAGAAGGGGAGGGGGGGGGGGAAGACTTGCTATCGGAATTTCGCGGAAAAGGCTGAGTTTTCAGATGAAAATAGCATGACGTGACTGTATCAAACTTTTTATTTTGCCCTACCGGTAAATGATAGAAGATTTTTCACGCAATCTAGTATTGAGGCATGCGGTGGGGGTCAAGGATGATTCTCAACTTCTAAGAATATTCCTCTCTTCACAGGATGCAGTGGTTTCCAAGTTTCTAGTCGGCTACGAACGTGCTCCTTTTTTTCTTATGAAAATCAGAAACTTTGCCAAAGAAGGAAACCTCAGCGGCGATGGGTGAGGATGGCAACACAAAAGCAAAGTCACTTTTCGTGTTGAAAATTCAAGAAACTAGGCGGGGAATTGTTTATGACGCATTATTTCGTCAGGGGCAGAAGGAAACCACATTTTTTTTTTCATTTTTATTATCATGAGCTTAAAACACCGTGCATGCTAAGACGAATACACGAAACAAGGGATAGAAATTTAGGTAACAAATGGATAGTAATACTTTCGAAGAGTAAACTATTTTAGTTCAACAGAATTGATAGTTATCAGTAATGAGCAAATACAAACTAAATTGCGCTAAGGAACACATAAAAGAAAATGAACTTTTTTAATTAAAATGAAACAGCCTTACCAGATTGCTAGTTAAACAGTAAGTTTTCTTTTGTTTATGTTTGTTTTTTGTCTAATTCATATTCGAAAATACTCAAAATAAAAGCGGAATTTGTAATCAATTTTACGTCGAGCGTACTCTTGCTCATAAAAGCGAATTTAGTTTCTGCAATCAAAATATGTTTAGCTGTTTGTCAGTAGTATCGATGAAACATGACTGTGGGCAAGAAATTAAAAAAAAATTGAATCCTCGCTCAACAATTACAACAAAGAAAACCAAATAACCCCATTGTGTACTAAATCGACTGATTAAACATGCATTCTCAGTTTTGTTTCGAGTTGTTTACTTCTTCATTATTCGCTTTTTATCGTAGTTTAACGATTGATTGTGAGAAGCCGCCTGAGTAATGTGTTCAGCGGAGACAGTAGAAGAAAGCGTAGGTGTCTTACTAACGAAAAATGAATAGTGCAAAAACAGTAGAGATGTTTTAAATTCCATTTATTGTCTTAGTAGTCTTCTCAAACAGCCGTTTCGTGCGAGTTATAATGCTTATACGTGATCGATGATAAGCTTCAATTTCCATCTTGTAGCCGCTAACACGTTCATGCAGCACAAGAACTTCCTGTGCCAATTCTTGCACGAGCAATATTGTTGTCCGTAAAATATATTTACGTGATGAAAATTCCACCACAATTCTCCTTTTCGCGTTTTTTTCCGGCTCAAGAAATTCTTGCGCAACTCCGTCTACATGCATGATTTTTAGACAACACTGTACAAACGCGTTGAAGATTGTTTTTTGGTTATTGTTGGTACAACTGATCATTTTTAGTCATTACGAATTATGTCTCAAAGAAGGATCTTCTCAACTATAACTAGAGATTTTAATTTCCGATTAAAGCAAACATTATCTCTCGTGGAAACTCCACAAAAAAAAGCAAAAAAAAGCAATCGTTAATAAGATAAATATTTGTTCCTGGTTAACATAATATATATTTTTCCTTATCGTAAGAGTCAATTACGGTATAAAAGACGACTCGCAACGAAAGAGGGTCCACTTAGCCAAAGCTTGCAACAACGAAACGTCAAAGTTTGTATCAAGGTAAGAAATATTCTTAAGGAATAGAAGACATACTAACATTTTTTCATCAGCCAGAAATGATCTTAGGTAATTTAGCAATTCAATTGAACACTAACTTTATGCCTGTATAATTCATTTACACAAGAAAATGTTTCTAAGTTACAGTTTTGTTCTTATAGGTCAACACATAACATGAAAATTCTCTTGGCCGTAATCGTTTTTGCCCTCTATACTCTACACGTCCAGGGTAGGTTTGCAACATTTTATTTCGTTACAACTGTAAACATAATAAAGGCTCGCCTTCCAATCCGCCGAATGAAAAAAAGGTTCTATTGGAAGTAGATTTTTTTTCAAACGTCCTTCTTCCTGAAAACTTAAGTCATAGTTTTTAAGAGAATTTTTCTTTTGGAACAACTTACAACTGATTCTCGGTAGGGGAAAGCAAAGATCGTTGGGAATTTCGTTCAAGTGACTTGGCAAACAAGTTCTTTGATAACAAGAAGTGTTACGAATAATTATTGGATTTTTTAACTCAGATTTTTGCTGCAAAAACGGTTACAACCCAACTTCTACGCGCAGCATCGAACAACTGAAAAGCGGCTAAGCATCGAAAGAGCATCTCATAATAACTTGAGCTGTATGATTCTTTTTTGACAAAGGTTAGCCTTCAAGCAAACGGAACTATTTTGCCAATCAATCAACAATCGATACAATCGATTCTCTTTTTTTTTCTAAATCTTATCTCACTCATTGATATCTTGGGAACCTACCGAAAATAACAGTGAAATACCACGTTTGATTTTGAGATGGAAGTCTCCTTCATTCAAAGAAGAACAAAAATTTACTTTACGCGGAACGAACTTCTGTCTCAGTTCTGTTTCTATCTAAAAGCCAACCACTTTTGAGGTAGATCTTTCTTCTAACCTTTATTTTTTGTTAAAAAAACCTAAAAAATCTCAGTTAATTAAGCAATGCCTCGAAGATGAACATGATGATTAAATCGTCAAATGAAACTGAACAGAAGAACAAATATGTCTGATGTAATAGCTCGGTGTTGTTTTTTCAACAAGACATGTATTAAAAGACAGTTGATTGACTGGTTTTTTAAAACAGGAAATTAAATTGGTTCACATATGTATTGAGCACTTCTAGGGATAATTCTAAACAATAATGTATATAATGATAACACCCATGATCTTTTCTAAATTTGCTGAAATTGATGGGGAAGTCGAAATTGAAATCCCTAGTGACAGCTGCTCAAACAGAAGACAATCATCATGCTGGAAAAACATACAGAAAGGAATAAGAACCAGTATTTCTTTTGTACATATTTTCATGGTTATTTGCATCACGTATTGCTGCATCAGCGGATAAGATATCGATCATAAGGAACCAGTGATTACACCAATTAGGGCAATATTTCTATTATCCAATCAAATGTCAGCTCAGAATTTCAATCGAAAATCGCTCCATTTATCACAGGTCAAAACCAGTTTAAGACATGCATCCGAGAATGGGAGAAAATCGGATGCTTTAAGGACAACATCAACCCTTCCCGGACTCTCCCTGAGATGCTTCTAAACGACAGGGACAGTAACAGCAAGTATCATGAGATAGGCTACCGGCTGAACTGGCACCGATGGACAGAATCTACCCATAGGTAATAGCTTTGATGATTTTTTTAGTCCAATGAAAGCAAGCAACACATGTTTCAATAAAGGTGGCTGCATAGTGTTTTAGTCTAATTATGACACACGCATCGGCGTTCTGTTTTCATGGGGAATGTTTGATGTTTTCTGTCGTGAAGATCACAAAACATCACCAGAATGTCATAAACAAGGATCGGAATGTTGTTTTCTGTAGTTTATGTTATAATAGCGGTGTTCATTCTTAAGCTTAACCGCACCAAAGGGAGGCTCTCGTTAGCCTTCATTTTTTTTTAAATTTTACCTTTCTCCCATTTGCTTCTACCACAATTTTCCACAATATTTGGAATTTGACCATGCTCATCCCGATCATTTTAAATTCTAAAAAAAATTGGGGCTACAAAGGAAGTTTCTTCGCTTTTTGCAATTTTTTTTCTGCGGCTAACTTAGAACTCGTCTCATAATTGTTTTTCGTTAATTGAAAAAAAGGAAGGGCACAGGTTTAATAGATCACAAACGAGGTCAAAATGAGGTAAGAACAAATTTGTGGGTGTGGCACTGATGTTCTTTCCATATGATGACGTCATCTGTGATAGATAACTGAACAGGCGCACGGCAACATGGGATCTATTTGTTTTATATAATAAGGGGCTAAGAATGACTAACATCTAATATCTCCTTACATTATCACCACTGAATCAAACATTATTGTCACGAGAGTAAAGGAAATGATCACCAACCAAAAAAAACTATTGATTGTTAGATAAATTCTCCTTGTCAGAACCTTAGTAAATGTACAGAGAACATTACGGATTATATGAATACTGATTGATTGTAAAGGGTTAATGGTAATTCAGCTTATTATATAATCTCCTATGAAGCCATCTTTACATTAACATTTAGGATTCGTTGTGATTCTTTTTAGTCTGGCATGTCGATGTGCGGAAAAAGCTAAAAAGAAAGGATACACAGTATTTGGTCTACAGTTTTACGGCGAGTGTTGGAGCGGCCCAAATGCAGAGCTGAACTTCAACCGCGATGGCTCGAGTAATAGTTGCATCATGGATCTTCAAGATCCAACTGACTGCGACAAAAAATCACTCCAAGAATGTGTTGGGAAGCAGAAAACCAACTACATTTATAGACTGACAGACAGTAAGTTTGAATAGAAGTCTCAAGTTTTTTTCTAGATTAAAAAAAAAACTTTTTTTGTTTTGGTTTTCATTTTGACGGACACGTGGCTGTTGGTCCTGCATGCATAATCTTGAAGTTCCGACCCACTGCCACAAAGTATCAGTACAAGAGGGCGTAGGGGGAGGAGCGGCAAAGACTAACTTCATCTATAATTGACAGAATACCAATGTAAAGTAAAAAGAGATTCTTGTCTAAGCCTTACTCCTTCCCCTATTTTTGCAATATTTAGACGAACACGTGAGGTTTTCATAAGAGTGTGGGAAAATCGTTCGGTACACTTGCGAGAAACCAAGAGCAGCCATTTCAAGGGAAAATAACGGTCACTTACATTTTTCTTGTTTGCAGTCAATTCTTCTCGGTACTTCCAACCACAAATGATCAATACCCCCATAAGAGACATGGTTTGATACTACTCTGGTTTACAGATTTAATGAAAGTATCCGAAGAAGATCAGGTGTGATCTAAACGCTGCAACGAGAGGTCCTTCCTGATCATATAAAAGGACCTCTTGTTGCAGCGTTTAGATCACCCCTGATGAAGGAACTAGACAGGAGTGTCGAAACGTTGGGTCTATGAATTGCAACTTCTTCGGTTACATTCATTAAATCTGTAAACCAGAGTAGCATCAAACCATGTCTGATTGTCCACCTGGTTGCCATGTGAATTTTAATATTCCCCCATAAGAGTTCTCAGTGATCTGTTTGCTAGGAAGCTTGGGTCCCAACTGATTTAAGAATATTTTCAGAGGAAAACATCGCTTGAAATTAGAAGATCAGACACTATGTGAACCGATGGTTTGTTTCACGCAGCTAGTCTCAATCATTCCGCATGTGCTGGTAAAACACCTATCCCAGGTGAACTTTCGCTCACATTTCTTACCGAGGGTTTTGACGATGTAAGTGCTATTGGTCTATCCTTTCACTCTTACTTTAGACCCAGGCCCTCAAACCCCTGATATTGATGGGGGCTTCACCGAGTGGTCTAGTTGGACTGAGTGCAGCAAGACATGTGGTGGAGGAGAAAAGATCCGTGAGAGGTCATGCACTAATCCTGCACCCCAAGGAAATGGACGGTTATGTTCTGGTGATAACGAGGAGGTCGCCCCCTGCAACAGCCAGGAATGCAACTGTAAGCTAAGTTTAGCCCTCTTCACGCTAATTTCAGTATGTATATTCTACCTACTGTTTCCTATACACTTCCTTGGGTGCTGACAAGGAGAATTTGTTTTGCAATCAGGAACTTCTTCACATTTAGTTGGTGATCATTTCCTTTATTCTCATGACCTTAATTTTTGATTCAGGGGTGATATAGTAAGGAGATATTAGGTGCTAGTAACTCTAAGGGATCGAAGGGTGAAAAGCGGTATCGATGTATCTAAGTGATTTTTATTACAATTCCGTGACTTTTGTGACAGTCTCAGATACTACCTGCTAATTTTTGCGTGATCCTTTTGTACGCAACGTAGACACAGCCGATGTACAGTCACAGGTATTTGTCACGCGATGCAGTCACGCAAGTGAAGGCAAAACCGCTGATCTCCTAATGCCGCAATACGCCAAACAGTTCATTCTAAGAGTCGTTTTTTTCTCATTTACTAGATTGTGATATGATCATGGATGTTGGTATCATTATTGACTCGTCTAGTAGTGTGCGCCGTGCAAATTTTGGGAAAGTAAAGAACTTTTTGCTTCAACTTGTTGAAAAAATGGACGTGAACGATAGCATGGTTCACGTGGGTGTCATCCATTACAACCACAAAGCATACCTGGACTGGAATTTAAAGTCCAAAGAAGCGATGAACGCCAATGATTTGAAAAAAGCTATCGAAGCCCTGGAGTATAAACCAGGAGGGACTAGGACTGATGTGGCCTTGGCTGCAGCAGAAAAAGAACTTCTGAATTATAGAAATGGCATGAGGCCCGGTGTACCTCATGTACTTTTGGTCATCACTGATGGAAAGACGAGTTCGAGATCCGTTCCATATCCGAAAGTCCTTGAGCCATTTAAGGTATTGAGATTCTCGAATTTAATTGGCACGTAGGCCCCAAATTCCAGATCTCTTTATCTAAGATGCTAATAACATCTTATTGTGACTCTTACCCGATACAAATGAATATAAAATGAGCATTAGTGTCGTTCAGTTAGCATTGCCTTTAAAAAGCCAGCCTTTTCTTCTCCCATATGTAACCCCAACAACTCAAAACGTTATAGGTATGAAACGTTAAATTTCCATATCTCCCCCCCTCTCCCCCTGCGAGAGAGAGGCTTTTGCCAGATAATTAAATTGAACATAAGCAATAAGCATGAGCATTTTTTTTCAATCAGAAGGGAAACGTAAAGGTGATCGCCATTGGAGTTGGTAAGTTAGTGGATAATAAAGAATTAAAAGAGATTGCAATGGGCAATAACGGCAATGTCCTTCAAGTGGAAAACTTTGACGTACTTGTGTCCAAGATCACAGATATCGTAAAGATCTCCTGTGCCCAAAGAAAACTTCAGTAACCAAGAGTAAGATTTTTTAATTTTATATAACCTCATATTTAGTTCTATAGGTCTATTTCATAATTCTTTCCATAATTGATACAATAAAAATGGTGCACGTGAGATTGACCTCATCGAAGATATCACCCAAAAAACTAAAATATATCTGTATTAATCAAATTATCAAGCACGAAATAAATTCTTAATCCTTTTTATCAAAACACAAATGGGAGATATGCCTAATCGTTGTAACCTCTTTATACCCCTACTATAGCCTTGGACAAAAACACTCTACTCCGTTCATGATCCCCCCTCCCAAAAAATAAATAAATAAATAAATAAATAGAACAGGAAGGAAGGAAACTTATGGGAGTCGATTCCTGCTTGTTTAGATTTAACTTTAAAACAAATACGGAGTAACATACATAAAAGACACTGAAAAACACTGGTTCTGGATTTCAAAGTTGTTGGTCAAAATCCTCATAAAAAATACACCTTCCTTGTCGATTGCAATTGTTGTTTATGTTGCTGATGTTCTTGTTGTTGTCAGTGCAACAGACTTGTTCTAACGTTGATACTTTTATAATTGCAGGTTATACTGAAGTAACTTGTGAAGAAACATAGCGGTGTCTCATTAAATCCCAGGGTTAAAAAAGCTAAGCTTTAGATTCATGTGAATTAGTGCGGTGTTGTCAGGAAACAATAAAATTCTGTGACAAAGAGATTCTGAAAATATCTCCACTGAACTCGTTTTTCAGAACAACTTCCACCAAAACATTTTTCCGACTCAGTGTCTCACCCTTTTATCTTCCTCTCTTCGTCTTTTCTACCATAGAAGTATTCTTGATAAAAATAATCACATCTGTGATAATCAAAGAAGCAGTTGCTCGTTAACCGCGCGTTGTGGTTTGCAATAGCGAGTGCATTAAGGTCACAGCAACACCATTCTGTCTGTGATTCCAATTTAATCTTGAAGAGTTAGTTCCTCTGAAGCGCTAATGATGCATCTTTCAACAACTTCAAACGCGCTACGGTCGTGTAGCGGTGACCAACCAGAGAGCAAATCTGGTACCAAGACTATCCACGGCTAAGCTGGACCACAACCCTCATTCCCAAGTAGGAACCTGGGTACGAGATAAGATTCCGTCTCGCTTGTAAAAGGTTACTCCTTCGATAGTTACGGGAAAAAATTATTTTAAGATAGGAAATGTGATGGAGAATATTTAGGCCAATATTTTCTCTCAGTAGTTTTTATTGCCCTTACCATAAATTGTTTTCTAAATAAACGATCCATGAGCTATGCAACAATAAAGAGATAATTGTTACAAATCGTTGGGGTATAGGGACGCCTGTTGGAAGCAGCTTTGTTCTACGTTGATTGTTTAGTAAGGAAACAACACGCTTGCATTAATTGAGCATTCATCACACCAACGCATCGCATGTACGTGTCTGCCCTTTCGTTTGTGATAACCAATAAAACCCTTAGCAAATGAAATGCCAACCCAATCAATTAACAAGTTTGTTAGTAAATGAAACTCGCGAAAACTCCGCAGGTGAGTTTTTATTAAGGACGGTTTCCATAACAACCAGGACGTTAACCAAAACAGACTTAAATTTGATAATTTGTTTTTAGTGAACCAAAAAGTCTCTGTCAAAATACGCGTTGGAAAATCGATTTAAATTTTAACCAAAACAAGTTTGAATTTAAACGAGAAATTCGTGTTTAACCACAGATATCTAGTCGAAACCCCTTCCCCTATTTAACTACAGCTGGCAGCTGCTCGAAATAATTAAAAAAACTGAAAATTTCTATTCCTGTGGCTATTTAAGCTTTATTTGGAAGTCAACGAATCAGTGAAACGATATCAAACTATATTAAAATTAGTCTTTTGTGGTCTTCATTGCTTTTCCCACCCTATAACAAACAAGACTATTTGAAGTCAGAATGCTTAATTTTCCCCAGAATGTAAAAGATAATATAAAATTCTTAATTCATAACCAGGACAGAATGCCAATAATAACTCCGTTGGATTTTGAGGAAGAAATTCGTAAAATCAATTGTGAGGCTTCTAAACTGCCTCCGATCACCAAGAGAAATGGTTATGAAAATCTTTGTAGAACAGAGGATAAGCTCCGTGAATATTTTTCACTCCCAGATATTTTTTCAACCGCAAAACGACGAACGCGAACTCGAAGAAAAAGCAAGAAAAATGATGCGAAAAATACCAACAAGGAAGAAGAAAAGAAGGCCAAGAAAAAGAAACCTCTTGCAATAGGAAAAACGACAGGAGAAATAACAAAATCATTCTCAATTGTTTCCAGTCCCGGTGGATCAAACTATTCGCTGATTGCAAGACGATCCTCCTCAAGAGTTGAAGAATTATTTGATGTGGAAGATAAAAACTTATGAAGAACATCACAAGAAGTTTTTTCGTCCAACAGGGGACAAATCATGAAGTGAACCCAGGGGTAAAGAAGTTAAGTGATTCAAAAAAATCTGCTGTCTAAATGAATTATTTAAACAGAATTAAAAAGTAAGGCATTTGTTCGATAATCAAGGTATTTTTCATCCTTCAAACGAACACAAGCCGATAAAGAGGGAAACCTAAGAAAACCCACATTAACAGCACAAAACAATACTACATTTAGACCAAATATATCAACGTTTGACATTCTGAATGATCTATATTGGTAAAATTTAGATGCAGAAGAAATAGATGAACAAAATTTACTGTTAGCAATCGAGTTCACGATATTGATGAGGGCTGCCTTAGAAGATGTTCTGTCATACTTTCGATGTGCACTGTAAAATGAATAGCGTATCCAAATCTTTCCTTGTCTAACTTAGAAATAAGGGATGAAACATAATTATATATTTTGTTTTACCTGTAGTATATTAGAATATCCTATGTTAGAATTTCTTTGTTAAAGATAAATCTCGTTCCAGTCGGGTAAAACTGCTTGCTTCGCTTTTTCAATATCGATGTAACTTTTCGACTTCCACAATAAAATAAACCAACTCTGGTCCTGGAAATAAAATTCAAAAAAGGAAGGATAAAGAAGCAATCAGATATTCAAGGATCATTTAGCAACAGATCCTTAGCCTAAGGGTCTTTTGTGACACATTTACACTTAACCCTTTAAAAGTGCGAGCTCATTAACTACTTGGAATCTGTCTAGATTACTTGGCTTTATGTGATCTGTTGAGTCAGTTTTGTACCCTGGCAAATAAACTTATCGTGTATTTTGGTTTCCCGGCTTGGGTTTTCCTGCCAGCCAGGGAAAAAAAAACACCAGAACAAGGGCCTTAATGGACGCTCATCAATGGGGAAAGTTTAAATCCTGGATTAACAGTGACGTCTTTCCCACAAGCCGCCTCAAACTCGTGGTGACTTCGATTCGTTTGCATTTTCGAGGAGGTAGCTTGTTCCATGCTTTCAGTTTGTAAAACAGCGCGGCAGTAGCGGCGCAGCGAAAAATCAAGGAAAGTTTGGGCCAGGTTCATTACGCAAACAGACCCAAACCTCTATCGTTTTTACTGTACTATTGTACTAGCTCTACTATTGCACTAACTCCACTATTGTACTAACTGCACTATTGTACTAACAGCACAATCGAGGACGCGCTTATTCAAATTTTTCACGCAAATCGTGAAGAGATATTGGGTTTTGACCGTTTTTCGCCATAAAAAAAAATCCGCCCGAAAGCAACAAAAGAAGTAAACAGAGCTGACCCAAATCAATGAGGGCTCAGTTGGAACTCTTGGAAATTTTCCAACATTACCGTGTTCATAAGCTGAAAAATTAAGGTTTAAGTTTCTGGTTGTAATGAAGAGACCGATCATTATTTATCGCCTGGGGAGGGGAAGGGGGGTTTGATGATTTTGGTTGTGTTACGACAAAATTTACCTGACCTCTCCTAAGGCCCTGTAGTATTCTTATATTTCCCCCCCCCGTATTATTTCCTATAGTCCCCCATTTTTACTTTGTTGGCGACGACTGATCTCCCCCTCCCGTTACCCCTGAAACTGTGTGATGCCCCAAAAATCCCCTATCCTCCCTCCCCCCTCAGCAACAAATAACGCCTGGTCAATTATTGAACACAACCAGTACTACACATACGTTGTTGTCTCAGTACTCGTCCATAAAAATCGGAGAAAAGGAGGGGCGCTTATTCTAGGGGATGTGCTAATTTGGAGATTTACATTATGTCAGTTTACCTCGGATTTTCTCGGCTGACTCGGTCAAACAGCGCTTTCCAAGAAGGTTTACATTTGTGCAATCTGCCTGTGAGCCATTTGTCTTGATGAGTCATGTTAATCTAATAAAAATGACATTAACACACAAATGCTGCATGATAGAAATCTGCTTGCCACTGCTTTAACCGGTCTAAGTTATGAGACGATTTTCGAGTTTCAAATAACCTCATTTTTAGAAATTTTAAAGTTAAAAAAAGGTGGCTCAGAACACTTTTGTCTCCTGTATCGTAAACTGTCATTGTGTTTGTTCAAGACCGAAACCACACATATATCAGAGGGACATCAATTATCGAAAGTTTTACAATCGTGTTTCTCGTGACTAAAACCTCGCGGTCCTGAGATGGGGGGGTGGGGGTGGGTATACCTAAGGGTACACCTGCAACAAGTAACTAGCTCCTCGATTGAGAAAAGATGAAGACACTGACGCAAAACGTGAATTGTGTTCTCTAATATACACATTACCTGATCCTCAGACTGTGAACATGTAACGTAAAAGTTACATATAAGGAAATCCGGTCTGTTGCTCTCCCAAAGCTGAAGAAAAATAGAATGAAGTATTATTTCGTTGTCATTTAAGCCTCGATCAGGCAGTTGGCATGTTTTGACTTGTAGTTCTCATCGACTTTGATGTACACGACCCAGTGTTCCTGGCTTAGTACAATCATGTCGAAGGTCGATCTTATTCCCAGTGGTTGCATTCCCTTAATCCCTCGTGGTCTGGAAACGAAGAAGTCCTCGTTTCCCGCTCGCAAGTCATAAACGTAACCTTCCCTCAAGGATTGAGATCGGTCGAACGTAGCTTATTAAATCCCCGTTAGTTCTCGAAAAGTGAAGGCGTAATGCGCATGATTTGTATTTCAGGGGCATAACTGCTCGACTAAGCGGAGATGTCTCTCGCAAATGATCATGGCTTTCCATCGCGCCGGACAGAAGACGCATACACCGTACACCGGCATTAACTGCATTTGGTTCATGCGTCAGCTAGTGATCTGCGAGATATGAAGCACACAAAATTTGGAGCCATGAAAAATGCGCAAGGGATTGTTGATAACAATTCTAGCTTCTTGTGTGCTCCCCACACTTTCCAATTGTTCCGTAAAGCGATTAATGCACAGCTTTGCGTGGACCAACTGTTTTATGATATTTTCAATGCTCTAGATTAAGTTTTGTGCAAAATAGAAATTCCCTAGGTTAGGGTTTACTGCTTACCCGCACAGCTTATATCAGCGTACACAAAAGGAACACGAAGCACGTTGGCTGTTTTAAAAAGGTGATACATATATGAATCATCGAAAGTCAATACCTCAGTGAAGGTGGAACGCAAAAGATCCAAAAACCATAGGAATGACTGCACGTGTTTACACACCCATATAAAATACAATCTGTGCAGTTTGAGTTTCCTCCTTGTTCTTATCTTTTCTCTGCGAAAGACACAAATCCAATCAATTTATTCATCGTGATCAGATTTTACACTGATCTGATATGTAACTTTTCTTCAATTGAAACTCGGAGACGGCAGTATAATCACTTTATGAATCAGAAGAAGTTAGATCTGCTGCACTGCAGTGCGAAGCCTTATGGCCAGGGTCTTCCAAAGCTATGTTTGTCTAAGGAAGTCTCAGGAAAATCCGTGAGTTTGAAGACTAAAACTTCTGCAGTTATTACAAAATCGCCCGCTGATCGAGAGTTTTTAATATCTCGTCACCACCAATCTAGTCTTCATCCTCATGGTTATTAGGGGTGACTGTTTAGGAAAACCATCAAAGTCACCAAGGAAAAAATTGATGCTGCAGTATGTGTTGGGAGCTCGCTGGCCTTTGCAATCTTTCAAAATTGTATTCACATATTGAGACCGAATAAATTAATGACAATTTTCAAAATGCTAAGAACGCTGCCGAACGTAATGCTCAATCAGGTCCAAAAACAAAACAACGTATACAAAGGAAAATGTCGGTTTTCCTTATCAGTCTCCTCAACTCGTTATGATGTCTTTAATAAACTAGTGTGTTAACTTTTCACCTGAGCTCCTGGATAAGAGCAGCGAAAGGCGTCACACCGATACCGGTCGCTATGCATAGACTGACGTTGTACCGCCAAACGTCCTGGAAAGACAAACATCCTATTTATACTAGTTGATATAGAATTATTACAAAATGCGATATATGCGATTCGTCTACTTGAACGATGAGGGGAAGAGGGGGAATGGGGAAGAGGGGTAACTGAGCGGATTCATGGATGGGAACAGCGTCAAAATTTCAAGTATGTTTGTCATGCATCAAGCTAGGTAAATAAATGAATATATATATATATATATATAAATGAAATTGAAATTAATTTTTCAATATATAAAAAAAAATTTCTAAGCAAAGATGAAACAACTCATCATACCGTGCATGGACTTCCGTATGGGCCATCCACAGAAATTCTTGTTTTAAGAAAAGATATGACATTTAATATATGAAATACTAACATTACCAAGCCCTCATCCCTTACCCACTTTGTGCCTAACAGAAAAACACTTTAGCATCATCACCTATAGCAGTCAAAGCTGTACAAACATCTACTTTAGGGAGACTGGGGCTAGCCTACAGATCATCTCAGTTCATTATTTCATTCAAAGTTGTTGTGTGCTTGTCTACCTTTGCAAATTTTTTTTTTAAGATTTTTAAGTCAATTCTTTCACACCTTCAAAATGAATTACAACATTATGACGTGACTCCTTGCAACACATTTTCTTCTTCGGGCCCCCACATAACCTTTCCTCTGCCTTTCATGTGGACTGGTTAAAAACATATTTTCAACGCATTTCTTGACCTGAATCCTGTAATTTGCATCCAACAAAGCTGAGAGTTTCACGTTTTCCTACATCACCTATGTCTATATACTCATCACAGAGACTCTAATTGTGCACTTACTTAATAAAATGCCTCACATAACAAAGGTAATCTTCATCTTGCTCTACAGAAGCCAGGGTTTTCTGGTTATCATCAAATTTCGCCGCTAATAGTCTATCAGCAAATTTCTCTGGAAAAAACGTGGAACGTTTAATCAGTATACAACTAATCAATACTCTTTTATCTTTTTAAACTCTGACAAGACCATAAAAAGGAAATGATTCTGGAGTTAATAATGGATCATTGGTAGTCATGTGAGGTAAATAATGATAACCAACAAGAAAAGACAAAATAGTTCTGATCGCAGTATGCTTGAATAGCAGCCAGATTCTTTCAGATCCCCTCACTTCCACCCCCCCCCCCCCCCTCTTCTCTCTCTCTCTCTCTCTCTCTCTCTCTCTCTCTCTCTCTGTGCAATGGAAAACTTTGTTTTCTCTGATTGTTCAACATCCTATGGGTAATGGAGGCGCTGTTGTAGCGAACTGCAGCTCAAAAGTTACCTCTTCATACTTCCGAGGAAGTGTCTAAATCTGTCTCGGAATGTATGACCCGTTTTTACCTTGCTTTGTGTTCCTGAATGTAACAATCTTTGTTCTACCTAAAACTGATTTTTCTAATAATTCTTCATCCTTGACGTTTACGAGAGAAGGCACAAATGCAAGTTGATGCCGCATGTTTGTGGCAGTTTGCATCAACTTGCACAAATGTAAGTTGCTGCCGCATGTTTGTAGCAGTCTGCTCGACTGACTGAAATTGTCCTTTATGAAATTGAATTAAAATGTTCTATGAACCAGGAATTGTTTTCTATTTTGCTTAGAAAAAATTCAAAAGCTACGGAAGAAAACAATTTCTGAGCACTTGCGCAGGTTCTCGTATTATAAAAATCGTCTCTCGATTTCTATTTTTAATTTATTTAATTTTTACTTTTTATTTACAAAATTCGCCCTGAGGTAGGTGGGCATACAATAGAATCCTAGGTTCCCTGCTAGGTAAACCCACCAGCTAACCATTCCTCTAAAAAATTGACAACCCATTCCCTGGAACCCCAGTAAACATAATAGTGGAAAAAAAAAAGAAAAAAAAATCACAGACGCGACTTATAAGCAAAGTGCTTTGGTTGTTGTTGTTATTGTTGCTGTTTTTCTTTATTTCAAGACCATAAAATTATTTTTGGCAGGAATAAAAGGGCAAATCACGAGCACCTCTGAATAAGCTACCTACATATGCATTATCACCTAACTGGAAAGAAGTTCATTAACAAAGAACGACTTACCGGTCCAGTCTCCCAAAATCTTAAAATGAATGGAGAATGATGAATCTTCTGATGAAGGACACTGCGTAAGAAGACATTGGTCACTTCAAATAAAAACAACCCTCCCAAACATGGATTCTTCGGATCAATATCAGTATATGAACAGCTGCGCATCCACCTCTCCCCTAACCCAGCATTAACCCTAACTTGTTATTCGTTGGTTTTGTTGGGTTAGGGGAGGGGAAGGTACGCAGTTGTTCAGATCCTGACGTTGATCCGATATCTCTTGAGTTGTAATTATAAACTCTGTATATGATGACTTCCTGTTTCCGATAGAGCAACTTTCAATTGGGTTAGGGGAGGGGTAGGTGCGCAGTTGTTCAGATTCTGACATTGATCCGATATCTTTTGAGTTGTAATTAGAAACTCGATATATGATGACTTCCTGTTTCCAATAGAGTAGCTTTCAATTGCGTGTCGAAAATAATCTGGGATTAAGCTATTTTTTGTTCTTTGAGGTTAGTCTGAAAAAAGTTTACTAAGCCCTTAACCAATTGGATACAAAAACCAATCGAAGTTTGACCCACGCTAGGGGCACGTTATATACATATGCACTCTGATTTGCGGTTTCTTGTAATATGGCCCTTGTTGTACTTGCTATTTGAATTTGATTCTGCGATTAATCAAGAAAGATCGTCGTAGTAAGATCGTCGTAGTCATATGCATACGAGAAAAAAAAAACATTATAGTAGATGTTCAGTATGGTAGATGTATAGTAGATGTTCCTTCAAGAAACAAAAGAATCGCACTAGCAGCCACTTAGGCGTAACAAAACTCTGAGAGCTTGCTCGCGAGCTATAGCTAGAGAGAATGATTATGCAAGTTTGTTCATTCTTCCTTTTTAATGCAAACAGGGTCAAGAAGTTCTTGATTGAGCTATGGTTGGGTCACTTTGTCTTGCTCTTGGGCGAGATACTCTACTTACACTATGCCTTTATCCACCCAGGATTATAAATCGATACAGGAGAGTTGTCAGGGAAACGGGGAGGAAGGGTGGAGTAGGGGGCAACCTGTGATGAACTGACATCCCATCCAGAGGGAATATTCCTGGTCGCTTCATGCTTAGGTAAACGGGATAAGCTCTGGTACCGAGGGACCTTTTGGCACAGGGACCCACGTTACCGCTGCCTTATAATTAGGGACCTTAAGCAAACCACGACGACGACGGCAACGAGGACATGGAAAAACAATAGATTTAATTAACAAAACAATAGCTCAGCACGTGCGTTTGAAAATTTGAACAACGTGAAATCACCACAAATTGCGTCGTCTGCAAACCGAAACCGCGACGGCAAATTATTTTAATTTCCATTTGGGACTCAACGCTTCTTTTATACGTTATGCTGAAGTTAAGGTGTGGCGCCGTATGAGACGGTGAACACATTCAGCCATTTTTGAAATTCTAATTAACGGCAGAAATTCATTTTTTAATTGAAGTCTTCACTGGCGTTGCCGTCCTGACTGCTTAAGGTCCCTATTACTGCGGTAGTGAACCTCACCTGAGTCAATGTAAAGGGGTGCCACTCAAACCTAGATACATCTGCACATTTGATGAACACGTACTAAAACCAGACCGGCAAAATATTTTAGTAGTAATATGATAACTTATAGAGTAAAGCAGGCATTAAAAGCAGTGTTTGTCTTTACTAGAGGATAAATTGGTGGTGACAAATGGGAAATTACCCTTTTCTTCAGAGTATAATTCTCAACAGCAATTTCATTTCTTGTGCTTCAATTTAGCTCTTAACCTTTTTTCTTCCACTTGTGATGAAAGAGAATCTTCTCAAAAAAGTCGATTAATATATTTTTAGGCAGAAAGTTGACGAAAAGAAAGATACATATCATTTATAAATATATATTCTTTGATATAACAACAAATTCTTGGAACTAAAATCGAAACAAACGTGTACCACACAGTGCAGAGGGTTGACATTACGTTCTCAGGATTGATTTTGACAGTTTTGTCAGGTAAAGGCTCGCGCCAAAGTGATTGGGTTAGGTTATCGAGATATTTCATCCACAATGTTAAGTACATGAGAAGGTGAAGTCGTCATACCTGCCCTGGTGCTGCTGAAAACTTCTGTTTTTTCATTTTCACCTCCACTACTCCATCCCTGTGTTGAACCACCTGACAGTCGTAAGAGAAACAAGAGAAGAGAGGTTAGTTCTGCAATCCAGAACTTAGCAAATAATGATCGAAAATCTGTGTTTAAACCACACTTGTCCACCGTTATTTTCTTATCAGAAGGAGAAAACAGCATGGAGTAATTCAAGGGCATCTGAAAGTTTGAAAGTAGAAGCAAAATTCTTTACATCAATAAGTTCCACTTTCTGAAAGCTTCTGAAAACTCTTGTAAGTCGCTCCGTTACGTAAATGAGAAGAGGAAAAACACACCATTTCCAGGCCTAGAAATTGAAAACAAAGAAACATATAGGTGAAGACAAGGAATGCATAGTTGTCTTATAACTAAGAAATATCATAAATAAGTTTTTCTACATAACTTTCTTCTAAGAATGGCTTATAAACTTCAACGCTCTGCAAGGAAGTTCATCCATGATATCCAAAGGGGCGCCCATAATAACGTCTTTCGTTCGCTACCAGCTAACGAAACAATTGAAAATGTCTTCACCTACTTCTCGATAAATTTGAAGTTAATAAGGTTTAATGGAATGCTCGTTCCAGTAAATTTGTACGCATACGGACAGCGACAAATTCTTTCTTAACATATTTTTAAAGCCATCCTTAATCGCTTCTTTCGCTCGATTCCACACAACTAAACATTTGTATATATAGGCTGCGCACAACTTTATGCTAGACGAAGAACTGGAACTCAAATAACTTCAAATCTTGTCTCGGAAATATTGTACATCGTACGCCAGAACGTTCCTTTGAAGAAAATACTGTATTTCGAGTTAGTGTTCATTATTCATGTCTGTCTGCTGTCTGGGATTTGCCTCTCGTTGGATGTTCATTCACAATCAGTCGTGAGGCGATGCACAAGTCACGTGATTATTTCACCGTTGGGGCTTTCGGAAGTAGCTTTGACATCCGGTCGTTCTGATAGGAAAAAATTTTGGGTGTAGCAGTAAATTTTAGAAAGTTGCAAAACCAATATCGAAACGAGGAGAATCCAATACAACAGATATTCTGTTTGCACTTGTTGGATATGAAGATTTCTTATAACCAACTCGTTATGCCTCATCGACACAATCTACCTCCGGCTCATCTGCTTGAAAGACTGGCTCCTCTGAGCACCATACCACGTGACTGGTATTTGAAATCTTGGTCTTATTTTCAGCCATTTTACATCCGGGGGAGTGAGTATCCACGTTCACTTGGTGTTTTATCACTCCTCTAGATAAGGAAAAAAATCAAAGACGGAGATTCACTCCTCAGAAACCATGTATATGCACAATTTTTTTTTGTTCGAAACCGAAAATAATATTTTAAAATTTACTTCTTATTACCATTTTAGATTGTAAAGAGTTCGCTTCACTGCGGTGAAGAAAAGAATTTAAGAGATCCTCGCAGCTAAGAACACTACTGAACTAGTAGTTGAAAATAGGACCTGAAGTGCAAATATATTAATTTCATATATCTAAAATCATCATTCATCACTTGGATGGTTTACTTGGACCCAACATATTGACCAGCTCCCAGTTGGCTTGTTAGCTCAGTTGGTACAGCGCTGCACCGGTATCGCAAGGGTCATGGGTTTAAATTTCGTACGGGCCTGAATTTTTTTTCAGGTCCTATTTTCAACTACTAGTTTAGTAGTGTTCTTAGCTGCGAGGATCTCTTAAATTCGTTTATTCACCGCAGTGCAAATATATGAATTTCATATATCTAAATCATCATAAAAATCATAATCTGAGTTAAGAATTATGTTACTTTCGTAGCTCCCAATTGTTCAGAGAGATCGCCAAGGGATGGAAAAAAGCGAAGGAAATCACGAGTAAGCGACAAGGTAACTATGCATTTAAAGTGACGAAATCAGTAGTTGTCTTCTTGTCACATTTGAAGACAAGTCCCTTTTTAGAGTCATAAATCGCGGTCAGTGGGATTTGAAGCGCACTTAGCCGTTTAGTCTATCGAGTATAATCCCGTGTGAAAATAACCCAGCAGGAAAAACAGTTTAAATTGAAAAACTGTTCCATTTTGTTTACTAAGAACAATTTCCAATTGAATATCGAAAGAACTCCTGGATTGCTTTGGTTTTGCTTTACTTTGCTCTGTGATTGGTTCAGAAAACTTGCACCACTCTCTAAACCAATCAGATGCAAACTAAAACTAATCACGACTTGATCATCCACGTTTTCCCGCGCTTTGGGCAATTTAGATGTTTTTACTTTGAGAGCTCATAGGCTTTCAAAGGTATTTTCCTTTCTCCTGTTTGTCTGTTGTAGCTACTTTGTATGTTTTTTTTTACGAAACTCAATTGTAAAGCGCTCTATATCTGGAAATTGCATCATCGACTCACCCGAGACCGTGGATCAGTAGAAGTAAAAAGAACACAATGAAGAGATGATGAGTATACCAAAAGATCTCATATGAGGCGCGCCTGGAGATCAACAACAAACAAGAGATTGAAGCTGAGTAATGCTGAGATTGTCATAAGCTCTAAAAGTAAACACTACAAAGGGCCAAAGTAAAAAAAGATTATTACTAAAATTGGTAAAACCCACCTCACAGCAACCATAGACGTTACGATCTAAAAAAGAATTCGAAGAAATATTCTTTAAACGCGTTGATAAGCGAGCAGGGGGGCTAATAAATTAATAAATCAGTTACTCATTGGGGATTCCGGACGGGGAGCTTTTGCACTAAATTCAAATGAATATGAGATTTAATGACCACAAGACATAACATATCATGGAGAACATCGGATTTATGGCTGGGAACCACGTCATCAAATCGCTTAGCTTCGTAACGTAGATATTTAGATATTATTGGAGGAAGGAACTTACTGAAAACTCTTTCGGAGCCATACCCGCCCAGCTTTTAGAATATATTAATTCCATATGCAGTATACACTTCTTTAACCTAAAACTCCAATAAGCGAAACAGATAGCTATAGTAATACAGGGTATGACGTAAAGAGGAAGTTCGTGATATATGATGCATAGACATCATAAATTATCCGATAACAACATTGGACGTACCATAATGAGTAAGACGAGAGTCATCAATATTCCAGTTGTTCCACTGACTAAAAAAAGGAATATCGGCCAAGATCGTTAATCAAGAGGTACGTTAGATCGAAATTTTAAAAGGGCGAACGTGAAAAAATATCGTGTTTCTTACCTGAGGTAAGGTACATTTTCAGTGGATCCTAAATATTGATAGGCAAAATAATAAAATGGCAAATCTGAGTCACACAAAAAACACTGCCTGTTAAGTTGCCACGAAGTGGCGGTAAGGAAAATTTAATCGTAAAACCAAAGTTAAAATGTCAATTGTGGTTCAGTGTTTACCTGATTTGGATAGGAGGCAAAGTTTAAATCCTTGAATTCATCACTGTAGTTTGCAGAAAATCTCTTGGCATTTAAAATGTGGGCTCCGATATGAATTCCTGAGGAGAGAGAAAGTAAAAATAAAAATTCAGCCAGGAGACAAAAAAATGCCAATCGTGCAATTGTTTTTTACTTGTATTTCGGAAATTTGACGAGAGGTGATGTAGACAAGGGAAAAGGGTTATAGTCTTATCTGAGTGACCCACCAGCTGACAAGATGATCACAGCTGCACATGCCTTGTGAAACCAGATGCTTCTGTCTAATAGGCGTCCAAACGAACGGGTTATAGTCTGAAGTGCAAATAAAAAACATACATTGCAAAGCTGGCTTCTTATTCAAGGTAACCCTTACAGTTCTCGTAACTATTGCTTTGATGACTCAGCATTACTATTCTATGTAAGTTGTGAAATATGTGTAATATTAGTTAATTGTCTAACATTTTAATCACAGTCATAACTCAAGAACTCTGTGAGAGTCAAACATGTTGGGAAATTCTTAATTCTCAATTTGCCATCTATCTATCCCTGCTCGTAAAGGGATGTCGTTGTAAGGGTTTCAACCAATATAGTCGATAGCCATATCTGGAGCGTTTATAAAAATCATGGGGTTTTACTCGGAACTCGACATTTGATAAAGAAAATATCCTCTAGAGTAAATACCAATTGTTTATTCAGGGCAATTCTCTCATGATGTTAGGAAGACAAGCGAAATACCGCAATCAGTGAGCGCGCGCTAAGATATTTTTAAATTGGTTAGTTAGCGAGCACGTGGCGCATATGAGTCGCATTTTGGGAAGTTTATTAGTGAGCAAGTAAGTTTTACAGCGCAACCATTTTGGTAGTGTTATCATGGCGGATTGTTTTTAGAATAGCTTTTTTTTCGCAATCGCTTATGATCGCTTGATTCTATAGACGGAGTACAGTACAGTCCTTTGAAAATGCGATAAAGATTCTCAACAAAGAAAAGCTGACCTTGTAGCCTCACCTTATTGAAATTCCTGATCAAGGACAACATATTGCGACACATTGGAAGGAGTATCAGGGAACAGCCGACGTAGAGAACCGAGGCTGTACCACGTGACCAACACAAACTGTCCTAACAATTCGATAAAAAAAAGGTAAGAAAAGTTTCCTTAAAATATGACAGTCGAGATCTTATCAATGTAACCAGTCACTTTCAATTCAATTTCGAAAGTCATTCGAGATTGCATTGGGTTTGCTTTACTTCGCTCTGTGATTGGTCTAGAAAACTCGCGCCACTCTCTAAACCAATCAGATGCCAAAGATAAAACCAATCATGACTCGGTTGGCTCTTAAAAGTATTTTCCTTTCTTCTGATTGACCGTTATTTATTTATTTATTTTATTATATTATTATAATAAAATTATTATTATTAAATTATTATTTTGATTTTGTTTTTCGACGCTCCATCGAATAGCGCTCTAAATTACCCAGTAAGAAAAGTTTCCTTAAAATATGACAGTCGAGATCTTATCAATGTAACCAGTCACTTTCAATTCAATTTCGAAAGTCATTCGAGATTGCATTGGGTTTGCTTTACTTCGCTCTGTGATTGGTCTAGAAAACTCGCGCCACTCTCTAAACCAATCAGATGCCAAAGATAAAACCAATCATGACTCGGTTGGCTCTTAAAAGTATTTTCCTTTCTTCTGATTGACCGTTATTTATTTATTTATTTTATTATATTATTATAATAAAATTATTATTATTAAATTATTATTTTGATTTTGTTTTTCGACGCTCCATCGAATAGCGCTCTAAATTACCCAGCGAACAGGTGGTGAGAATCAACACCCAGTCCTATCAATGACAAGGATTTATCTTGATATAACACTGATAGACAGGGAAATGATTGACAAATAGGAAAGAGAATTATTATTCAGATCTTGAGAGTTACTTCACTTACCCCTAACATAGCATACAGGTAATAATATTGAATACCATCTCTGTATTTGTAGAAAGTGCGCAGAAAAACAAGGACAGCAATCGCTGTTATGGCAACCTACAAAACAAAAATTATAATAACACATACAAATATTTAGTTGGTTATTTTGGTGTCAGCATAATATGCAAGATTTGACTTCTTCGTTACATTTCTTAAAACATCAGCAAGCAAACTGCAACTTGGCTTGGATCAAAATGAATTCATTTCTACAGAGCGGAATTCAACAGCCTTAGTAATTCTTTTTAAAATATCAAATGGTAAGGTATCAGCTCCACCATTTTGTCGACGTTTTGTCTCAACAGTTGCGCCATCCTCTCAAGATTTTTTTACCAATCAATGGATTGTTAGATCATTATCATTTTTTCCCGATCTTGTTTCGTTTGAAATCTCAAACGATGAAATATTAACCTTTGTTCCTATTGGTCGCTGGGATTATTTTAGTTTTGATTTTTCGACACTCAATGTGAAAAGTGCTGTAAGTAAAATGTATTTACGACTGTGAATATATGCACGCAGTCTTTTCGTAGTCGACGTTCCGCGATCGCAAAGTTTTTGTAATTACACAGCATTTAGGGTTTGTCTCAGAGACCTCTCCCGATTCATCGGAAGATCTTTGATCAGGTAAAATCAAACGAAAAATTGTCTGTTATTTGTTTTTGTCACAACATTTTTAAAAGCAGCAAGCTGGCTGACGCATGACGAAGCCAGATGACCAGATGACTTGTTCGAAGGTTGGATAGCATTATCAGCTGAAGAAAACTCTATCCGGTGGGTAACGCTACACGTTTTGCTATTACTTATCCGCCGGATAAGGATTTATCCGTTGGAAAGCGTTATCCGCCCTTTATACAACTGGACCCTGTCCTTCACTATCTAGCGGATTGTTTGTGGTGTCAATATTTCCCGGTCGCAGGGCAACTCCACACGCTTCAATAGCGTTACTTTGGCATCTGACAAAAGCACAAAAGTAAGATCTGTTTTTCTCAGAATCGCTTTCTACTTTTGTCGGGATCTTCGAAAACGTCTCGATGAAATTCGATTTGTACTACTTAGAAACTCGTAAAACCGTGACACTTTGATTTGATTTTGACAGGACTCGGTTGTCTACTGTCAAACCACAGTAAAGTTCAGGACAAAGAGCAAACCTCAAAACCACAGATTAATTTCTGTAGCTGTTTGCGATTAAGTTTTCTCACGCCCAAGTGGCTTTCCGCTAAGAGCTCAATAAATTTTAAAAATTTTCTGGTGTTCGCGGTTTTATGAGTTTCACAGTACTTAGTTAATACTCGCTGAAATTAGACTGATTCGTTTCTTATGGTATGGAGTAGATAAATTGCATAAAGAGTTTTAGTCGGCTCCTTCCGGTTATTTCAACTGGGGAAAACCCATTAGAAAAACGTCTTGATCAGATTTCCAAACTTATCTACGTTACCGGTTGAACCACCATATGGACTCAGAGAAACATTTCGGAGACATCCACACTCCCCCTTTTAGAAAAATGGACTTGACCCTACACCATTTGTGAATAAAGACGAAAAATGTTCAATTCAAAGATTGTTTGACCAGATCCTTCCGTGGCGTTCAATAAAAAAACGCATTCTTTTCATTACAATAGCGTTGCAGTGTTACTAAGACCGCCTTACCGGAAGCGCTTTTTACATTGGCACAATATTCAACAATAGCGAATGATTACCGCGATTATCAAGCGATTCAAAGAAAATTTCTCAGTCAAAACAACGGAAACTCCGATATTAGAAAGTTTCTTAATATATGATTATTCACTTGAATCTCGTAATTAAATATGATAGAATTTTAATTCAATTTCCATCATCTTTCCTCAAGGTTTTAAAGTAATTGTCCGATCAACCTTGCTGGAGACAATCATTTTCACCTCAACATGGCCGAGAAAATCAGACTTATTCAACTGTTTCACGAAATGTTACACGATTGCTACCATGCGATGATGACTTTTACCAAGCGTTTGATCAATAGACGATTTATACTGCAATCGGTTTCCATCGCGCGTCGTTCAATATTATAACGGAAAGCGTACTCACCGGTGCTAGAACATTCTCAATTATTCTGGTGACCCAATGAAAGACTAGTCTGATCGTCATCTTCTTTACCATGTGCTTGAATTTGTTTTTCTTTCTTTCCTTCTTTCGATTTACAACGCCATACGACTTTTACCAAGCGCTGGTACTGGCCCTGTCAGGCTTATATTAGATTTTCTTGTTGAGGTAAAACTAAGAAGGATATCATTTTTTCCCTGATCACTCTAGTGTTTGATCGTGTTTCGGACACATGGACCGGTAACAGTGAACTCAACTGAACTCACAAGGATTTAATCGCAAAGACTGTTTTGAATTGTGACAATAGTCACTCAACAAAACCTCTTTGTCTTTTGATGAGAACACAAAAACAAACCGGTTTCCGGTTGGACGACTCGTTGAATATCATCACCGCTGAAGAACAGCCAACAAAAGCAATATGAACACAAGAAACCCACTCTAACAAGACTAAGTTTCCCTTATATTCTTCTTAAACAAACCGCTTTATCTCTGTCTGTAAGAGACGAGCTCCTAAAATCTTCCCCTCAAACACGCTTTGTATCTACAGAAGCGGAAAAGGAGAGGAATAGACGCCCGCTACTTCTAAAATGGTGAATCTTATCCATTTCCGGGACGTTAATAAAACTATTACGACGAAGGGGGTGTCGTTGTGTTCCCAAAACAGCATGAACCTCATTACTTGGCATATATTTTAGCCTCCCACGTTGACGAACTGATTCTTATTTTCCACCTAAAATGCAGTTTTTCCACCTATTGAAACGATACAATAGGGCGTTAGAGTCGGAGACAAATACAAGGAAATGCCACTCAAGCGGAGGGTTGGATGATCAAGATAAACGAGATTGAAATTACATTAAGCCGATCGAAAAAAAAAACTCGAGGAGTTGCATAAACATTTAACTCAGTTTACACGACTCCCTTTCGAGAATCCTTCGACATTTTGTAGGAAGGTAAAGCAAATCATTCGTTCTTCACATCTGAATTCAACCGTTCTTTGATCTTTACAGGATCCTCAGGAAATTAAAGGCCACCCGCACGGTTATAATTAATAGGGTATAATTAATAGATCGTAAGATTAAGGCGTGGTAAAAAGGGTGAGATGTAATGCAAGTGAGAACAAAAGCCTCCCTGGGTAGTTCCGGGGAAGGAGGCATGTTTATAACATATACTTCTTTCCTCTTCTTTTCCTGACCTTTTTCTTAAAGTGTTGATAGATACATTACTTAAAGTACAGAAATAATGTTTGTGTGATATCATGGATGCATGTAGTTTTCGTGATTACGCGTTGTCACGATTAAGTAGAGATTTGTGTTCATTAGTGAAAATTAACAAAATCACCCCTGAAAGGGACTTCAACTTCTAAATTTTTCTAGCATTCTCCGTTGGAAGTTTGATTGAACAACATTTGAAGGTTCCTCGAGACTTAATTTTGTTCACAGGAATATACAATTCTTCTTGCACCATGTGGAAATTTTAGCCCAAGGACTAATGCGAAAGTAGTTGGTATTGATGGTCTTCTCGGCAGGTCATCGCCTTACTCCTCCAACCGAGGAAACACCCTTCTATCGCATGCGGAAGAATGGCCCAAAGCAAAGGCCACTGTGTAATGCTTAAACTGCGCCGGTATGAATTCTTCTGAAAATATTGTGCTCACTATTACCAATGATCGTGCTTGGTAGTTTTACACACCCTTAAGGAAGGGCTCTTCGTGCGCTAAACGTCCTTTCAAACCCTCTAAATCCCCTTCGACTTTGCATCGGCTCATCAGAGGGTAAAGCTAGGTGACTTTGTTCTGCATTTCTCATGGATTACCATGTCCTTTCGTAGGGCTTTCTTGATGTTTTAAGTACATTAAGTTTTTGAAGTTTGATTCAAAATTGTGCGAAGGTCGTTCGATCACGTTCTCCTTGCTTTTTTTATCCTTAGAATACAGAGAGTAAATAAAGTAACACTTTCCATCATTCCCTTGACTTTCCACGATCCATACTAAAATAATGATTTTTCTATGCTGGAAATAATATAGTGGAACTCTACGACTTTCTAGATTTTCCATGAAGAAGATTTAGCTGTCCGAATCTCCATATACAGTACTCGACAGAAAACAGGTGATGCAAAAAAGAAGACATATTTATTAATAATTTACGACATCAAAACGTCCTATAAGAAAGACCTGCTTCTCATGCGCCTTTATGCACATCAGAAGATGAACGATGACTGTCTACTAATGTCGGGGTGGGGTAGGGGTGAGGCTAAAACTTAGACTAATGGAGGGTAATACGGGATAGGAAAGCGCAATTTAACCCGTCACCTCCCCATTGAAAGTGTTTGGCTCACTCCCAATTCTTTCCACCACTCCCATTGCCGCGACAAGAGGGGACTCGCCCATGTCAATAGGTTCAGATGGCGAGCTTTCATGGTTACTCCCGCCGTTCTCTAAATTGTCTTGCGCATGCTCGGTTTTATTCTCCTTCCCAGGGTTCGAGTCAGTTGCCAATAACTGGCTGATAGAAAACGCCGAGGGAACGCTCGCGGGTTTCATAGCCGGGACAGTTACTGATGCGCTAAGCAGTATCCTTTCTTCGCTTTCTTTGCTTTCTTCGCTTTTCGCGGCAACCGGGGATGTTGTATCGCCTGTCGCGCATTCAGCGCTATCGGTCCAAGAATGCGCCTGCGATGACTGCGTTTGCCCTTGCGTTGACTGCGTTTGCCCTTGCGTTTGCGCCTGCGCTTGCACATGCTTATCTTGGTCCTCTAACTTGACGCTGACAGGCGAGTTTTGCTGTCGCATTTCAGCGAGCAACCTTTCTGAGGTCTTTAGTTTATCTTCGTAAGTCTTCACGTTCTCCTGTGATTGAGATAATAGCTGTTTGCAGTCTTTTAATTGATGCTGAAGTGTTAAGATGGTTGACTGCATGCCTTCAACTTCCTCATCTAACTGGATGACGAAGTCATTCAACTCTAAAATGGGAGAACAAGGCGATTTTTTTACCACATCACAAGAAACACCGTTTAATGAGCAGTTACTCAAGAAAGCATTCAACCGTGACACTTCGTAACGAATGCCACCACACTGCAGAAGAACATTGTACCCAACTGAGCTTTTCGAGACATGAGTCATGCCCCCCACCCCCCCCCACCCCCCACCAAAAAAGAAAAAAAAACTTAGCGACGACCAGCGAAAAAATATAAGACGCTGCCCTTTGCGGCACCTCCTCTCAATCTAAACGACACCACAGTATAGGGAAATTTGGGAATAGTGATGAATAATCAGCTCATTTTCGCACTCACCATCCTGACTGCCTTTTAACTCGTCGCTGTATTTCTTCTGAAGAGCAAGCTCAGCTTCCAGTTGCGCCACTCTTCCCTGAGATAACTTGCTACCAAGCTCCTGGTTTTCCTGAATCAGCATGCGGCATTTTGCCATCAGTTTCTTTCCCGTGACACTACAAAAAAAAAAAACAGTTCAAAGTATCAGAAATATGACAGTCGAAAATGTGAAATTAAAATAATTTGTACACGCGCGTTGCCTTCAAAGCAGTCGGAAGAACAGGTATCATTTTCAATATGAGAGCATAATGATACCAACACAGACAGATGTGGAGAGACATAACTGCCGAAAACCTCATGCCAAAACAGTACTTGGGTGTGGTTTTCAAACGATGGATGTTCGCGAAGTTCCATGTTCGCTCAGGAACTTGCACACAGGGTTCGCACTCTATCGGGGTTTTAAAATTCCAGAATTTCCATGACCTTTTACAGTCTAATCGTTTTTAATTACCTACAATTTGATATATTTGTTACATTTAATGCTCAAACGACCCCTCCATCTCGGTCTTACTTTGTTGGTGTCACAAAACATTTTCAATAACGTTACGTGGGTTTCTCTTATCTACACGCCAATTCTAAACTATTCACAGTATGAAAATGGTAGTGTGTAATGCGATAACTTTCAAAGTTTTCCACGATCACAACGAGCACGGCACAGATGGATTTGCGAAGAACTTGTACTAAGGTTTTTTAAACGAGCACTGTTGTATAGTCGCAGACGCCAACGAAATTTTAAGACCACAAGGTCTTGCCGAAAAGGTACTTGTTCTCCAGAAAGTTAAAAACATTGTACGGCTCCACAGCTTTTGGATTAAATGACCGTCTCTATGACAGCAAGGTTGATCGCCAATACTTTTCAACCACCGCTGAAATAGTCGGATCTTTACAGAGGCTACATTCAAAAGTTAAGCAAAGGAATTTCCCATCACCTGTCAGGGGTAAACTTCCACGCATTCAGGTCGTTCTGAGCTTGTTCCAGTTTCTCTTTTTCAGAGTCCAAGTCCGTTTTCATTCGTTGAAACAACAAATTAACCGCGGGATCAAGTAGGGTGGAGCGAAGCTGGATCGAGGATGGATTTTGAGCTTGTTTTAAATCGTGGATTTGCGTCTGCGGATAACAAATAACAAATGTTTGCTTCGTTGCCCGCCTTCCACTTTTCACTTTGAACCTGCACGAGTAACTAGTACACTGTGATGTGACTACCTTTCCATCTGCCCTCGCTTTTCAAGCACTGAACAAAGTGGTAGATTACTACAAGGATGCAACAATGACACTAACCTACCATGACAATTCTAAGCTCTAACTCATTTTTTACTCTATTATCCTTCATACTCTCTCCCTTGTAACTGGGTGCTTCAAGTAGTGTTAGTATTGAATATGATGTCCTACACGCAAAAGAAAGAAAGCCTAAAATGCAGTTCCTATCAATCTCCTATAAACCTAACCACTAAAGAAAAACTTTTTCCTGAAGGGAATGTTTTGTAGAAAAGGATGCATGGTGGTTAAGATCATTAAGGGCAGGGTTTAACCCTTTGACTCCCAAGTTCTGACTGTCAATTTTCCTCTCTAGCTGTGACATATTTCCTTGTCAGATCAAGATAAGTTGTATCTGATGTGTTAGTCTTCTCGTTACCTGTTTGCTGGAAAATACATGAAAATTGAGGGGAGAAGTTACATGTTGAACACTTCTGGGAGTTAAAAAGTTGAAGGAATATCAAATGCCCTACTTAATCATAAATGAGGGGTCCTGAAATAGTCTAACTGCGCTACACAATCTCCATCCTTTAAAACTTTGGTATCATCTGATAAACTGGAACGAACATTGTACACAATTTTGTTCAGACCAACAAAAAGTGTGTAGAGTATCCATTGAAATTGTTTTTTTGTTAAAAAACAACAATGGGGCAGAAGGTATGCATTCAAACATAATTACCAGTATATTTTAAACTTTCAGCAGGCATAAATTTTGTTTTTTATCAAAGCAAGCTTACTCATTTCCTACAATGTATTTGTGAACTGTGCACATGCGCTGTACTTTATCCAAACCACATACAAGTACTTACATGAGTAAAAACCTTCTTAAGACAAAGTGGAAGTGTTTGCAGGCCTTACATGTAGATCAGAAAATGAGCAAGACTTAACCAAGATCAAGAGTCATTGGATCACTGAAACAATGCTAATGGTGTGATGAACTTTGAGTGTGCTTAAAATTAAATGAGCAGAACAAAAGAAACTCTGGTTCATAATTGGGAATGATTCCTCTAATAAAATACACTTTGCAGTAACAATGAGAAGTCAATCATTTTTCTTATGAGAATTCCCATTCTAGACATAAAACCCAAATACATTGTAAGTTCAAACTCTGCTGTAAATTTTTATGGCAGGAGAATACAGATGACATTCAAGGGAAAGGTCTGAACTGCCATTTTGTTACGTTCCAGATTGTTTTGAGTTGTTAGTTTTTAAAAGAATTCAATTTTTTTTATGGTTTTTTGAAACTTACTTGAAAACCAGCAAAACATATTTTGATCAGCAATGCTATAGCTTATTTTGAAGCCCTTTTTCTGTTTGGGTTAAAAGCATCCTCAGATGTAAGCCCCCCCATTTATGAGCCCTTCTAAAACCCCTTACAAAATTGTATAAGCACTTGGCTATTGGGCCGCAGTTTACAACTTATGTAGATATGATTTTGAAATTTCAAATGTGCTGCCTTGTCAATTTTTTTAGTTCATAATTTTGTGGGGACCAAGCACATTTCTCACCAGCTTTGACAGAGTCTTGTATTGTTCACTGCCACCATTTTCAGCATACCAAAAAACCGCAGTAACTTGATGTTTGTAAGCCTCTCAACGACAAACACCATGAGTTAGAATTTTTCTTTCTTCCTTGCAATAAACTCAATTTGGGTTTTATAATCTAGCCTCTGTACAACAGCCACCTAAGGGCAGAACAAGCTGGCTGTTTCAACAACTGCCATAATACCAAGTTTTCACTCAGACTAATGAGCATGCATTACTGAAGCACTGTGATAGAGCCTGCCCTTATGAACAAGGTGGCCTTAGTAGACAGGTTTAAGTATACATGTACATGTACATGTAGTTACCAAATATAAGGTGCAAGCAATCCAAGTACATGTATATCAGTAACTGACCAAATGTCTAAATTGTTCCTCTGATAAAAAAAAAAAATATAATTATACTGCTTGTACCTTAATGTTTATGGATGCTTTTTTGGTAGTGTTTATAATTCAGTTCCTTGAGTTTATCGAAACCGTTCATCAAATGTGAAGAATACATGCAAGTCTTCACAAATGTTCCAGGACAGTTCTGAACTGCTCTCTGGTTGCTATGGATCAACAAATGACAATTGTCTGTTACCACTGAAGGTTGTCTCCCTCCCGTACCACTCCATCCCAGTCAGACACTTGACCATGAGTTTACGCAGTGTCTCTTTTGAATGTGCAATAAAACTACCCCATACAAGCGGTGGTTGTACAGTGCATTATGAATGAAGCCTTGTTTTCTGTAGTCCTCACCAGTAGGTCTTGCATTTCTTGTTCCTTTGTGGCTAGCCTCATCACTAACACATTCTCGCGCCTTGTGGATTCTTGCTGCTGTTGTTTAAGCTTCTCTCCTGTCTCCAAGAGCCCAGCAAGTTCTTCTTTAAATAAGAAAATGATAAACTGTCACCAAAAATACTCATTCACTCTGACAAAGGTCTAACACTTGAAACATCAGCTTAGAAACTCCTCACAGTGGCTAATTTACATTATCAACTCAGTTGATAAAATTAAACTATCTTGTTAAAAATACTAGTACATTAGCTGTCATAATTAAGTGAAAGCAACTATATATTTTGACATGATTCTGATTAAGTGTCTTCATGGAGCTCAGAAACACTTCACAAGGACCCTGACAGGGGGTAGGCCTTGGATCTCATAACCCAGGAAGAAAAAAGACACAATTTCTCCCTTCAATAACAATAAATATCTAGCAGAAAGTAATGGGAATGAAGAAAAACACCAACAGCAAGATTTTTATTGGATCCAACACCAAATTTTTGGAACTAACATTAAAGAAATGCATAGCAGACAGCAAGGTGGATTATTGTAAAGATATTGAATCCAGAGTTCAGGCTTTCATTTGGGACCAAACTCACTATTCCACATTCACTGTGTGATTTTTCACAAGTTTTTCAAAAACACATTTTGGTCTTAGACATGGCTTCTGGAAGAATTGATGAAAGTCAATTGTCATCTGATGAAGAGCAAGAAGTCTTTGCTAGTTTTACCATCAAAGGAATTGAAAAAATGCAACAAGCTCATCAAGCACGGCAAGAACAAAACTTACTTCGCAATGTGGATGATGACAGGAAAGACTTTTTCAACCTACGGTCACAAGAAAGGGGAAGCGATTCTGATGTTGAGCTATACGCTAGTGACGAAGAAGAAGAAAGTGACGAAAGTAGCAATGAAGAATCTGCCACTGAAGAAAGCCAACCAAATGCTCTTCAATGGTCTAGCACATTGCAACAGATTAATGTTAAGCAATTCTCCATTCATCATGGCCCAACCAGAGATCTCGGAAAAAAATGCAACTGCCAAAGATTTCTTCAATGTACTTATTGACGATGCTTACATTGATGAAATTGTCCAATAAACAGTTGCATAAGCTCATTCGAAAGGGGATCAAATGTTCACAACAACCTGAGCAGAAATTTCAGCCTATCTCGGGCTGAACATTCTCATTGGAATCCATGAACTTCCTCAGCTGGCAATGTACTGGGATTCTGACAAGTTAACTGGAGTTGAAGATTTCAAAAAAACAATCCCAAAGTACCGCTTCATGACTCTGGGGAAATATTTACATCCTGCAGACTCAACTGCAGAAGACCAAAACAATCTCCTCTGCAAAGTTCGCTCCCTTATAACTCGCTTGGAGCAAAAGTTTGCCAAATCAAAGAACAAATATGCATATGAATATGTTAAAAGTGAAATTTTTCAATTAGGCGAAAAAATTGGTTTGTCCTTGCTCTTGTCTCGCAAAAAAGAAAAAATTGCTGTGCCTTGTGACATGTCACAATGTGGAAATGGCTGGCAAATTCAAAATTGACCTGTGTTAGAAAGTTTAGGATTCCTTTTGTTGAGGAGAAATTTGTGACCTGTTTTTTGGTGTTGTATTTGAGGAAAAGCTTTTTACATGATTATGATGGAAAAGGAGTGCAAAAAAGAGTCATCATACTGATAAATACTTTCAAAGCTGAAGGCAACCTTGCTAATGACTCACTGTACATCATGAAGTCGAATCAGTTCTCTAGCTTTAGAATTTTTTTGAGAGAGCCTGATGCTCAAGTTGAAATAAAATTTGACAAGGGGAAAGTATATTATTTAACATGCAACTTTGTGAAGTTTAAATCATTTTGGCAGTGGTCTGTGTGTTCACTGTGGCAGCCATTTTCTCTGGTATTTCAGAGGGTAGTCTGAGGTCTAGGGTGTAGAGCTCACAGAGTCAATGAAAAAGCCCCTTTTGACAAAAAAAAAGTACAAAGCTACAGGTTTCTCAATACACATGGACTAAAAGGGGTAAAGAAATTTAAGCCCTTATGCAATAGGCACTGTCTACTGAGCAGTATGAATGGTAAACACAAACTCAACATGAAATGACTCAGTTTCCTTTGGTTTCCTTTACTTTCCCCTATTTTGATAACATTCAAATTAAAGAGAAAAACAACACTTACTACTTGCTTGTTCTCCATTTTGCTTCTTTTCCAGCTCATCAACATAATCAACCAACTCCTTCACCCTGAAGACAAAATATAACTGTAAATAAAATTGCTTGCAAAACTTCATTAGAAAAGGTTACTCATTGCCTTGTTATCTTCAACTGAAAAGTATACTAAACATGTTTTCACCAGGAAACTCTTGACACAGATTACTATCAAGGAAGGTGTCTCATAATTTACATCAAATTATTATTACTCTACTCAAAAAATCTTTTTTTCCTTTACTACCATCAACACTTTTCAGTTTACTCTTACTCTTTTAAAATTCAGAGTTGAACAATATTTTACATCACCAAGCACTGAGATATCAACCAGAGGGTTTGTGAGGTTTAAAGCCTTGTAGTGAACATTATTTTGTGATGCTGAATCTTCAGATATCAGAAATGAGCTATTCTACCGAAATGCATTCATAGAGAAACTTCAATGAAAAAGAAGTGTCATATAGAAGCCAAACACAATGGTGCAACTAGGAAAGAAAAAAGCCACACCACTCTACCAGTAGTTCATAAATAGAAAGCAGACACAGGAATAAAAGAAAGAGAATGAGTAGTAGGTGTATGATTAATTGATCATTAACTGATTAGGTCAAACCGGATGGGAAAATATTTAGCTTTCAGCCGAGATGTACAGACCTCAAGCTAAATATTTCTTATCCTGTCCTTCCATTTAGTCAACAAGTATGTAATATTTAGTTGTTTCCCTTACAATATTGGTAATTCTGTAGATATTGTAATGCTTTCACTTGAATGTCATTTCATTCTTGGTGACAATGTACCAAACCATGTGTTATGTCTCAATTTCAAAACTAATTCCATTCTTTCAAAAGCAATTTCCTGTTCAAAATGTTCACCTTTGCACAAAACTACATTCCCCTACAAAGTACAGTGAGGAAACTTGAGTGAGACAGACTGACTGTAAGTAATCAACCAATGTGGTGATCAAAATACTAATAAACGTAAGAGATCTCTTGCCATTGACTTCAAATGCTTGGTTCACACAATGAAAGTCCAACTGAGTTAGGCTTCATATAAATTGGCAACAAAGACTGTTCAAAGGAAAAATATTTGCTGAAAATAAATCAGCATAAGCTTTCAAGTTGAGATGTAAGGATGTGCCTTTTGTACTTTCAACAAAATGTTGGGAATAATTAAATTGTGAACAAAAGCAACTTTTTTTTACACCTCAAGAGTACATGAACTTGTTTACCTTTTTACCCCATTTTCTCTGGCAAAACATGCTAAGCTAAACGGATTTCACTGAATGAAAATAAGAAACAGAGGCCTGAAAAACTGAGTTTCAAGGAGTCCCTAACTTTTACTTTGAATTTTACTTAATTTGACGTCCACTAATATCAGTTTAAGCTGCCACTATTTTCAACAGTGTTTACAAAACAGCTTTAAGAAATGTTTAAACTTTGGTGAAAATGGGGTATAAATCGAACGGTTTAGCTAAGGGAAGGCAAAGTTTTGCAACGCATAGTTTAGATTTAATAAAAGTAAAAGGAAAATGAGTTATTTCTTTGAAATCTACGTAAGAGGGAAATTGTAATCACAGGTGTATCCTAACATTCGTTTATAGTTCATTAAATCGATCAAATGATTTATATAAGAGCAACAAGATAACATAAATTGATCTCCTAAATATAGATAAAGAAGTTGTGATTGCTCTTCGCATTTTTTCCGCCGCAATCAGGACGAATTAGTGCACAAGGAAAGTGTGCAGATTTCTTCTCAAAAATGGCTAGAATAGATGTACAGTTTTCCATTAATTGGATGCTATGTATATGCAGAAGTTTAAGTAAGAAACTAAGTGCAATTAGCACCGATCATCAGTTCCGTATTTCAAAGCTTCATCATGCATTACTAACTGAATTCAGCTGTCACTTGGACACTCACCTTTCCAAAATGTCTTCTTTCGGCAGGTCCTTTAGATCCTGCACATCTAGCCGCGCCTGTAAAGAATTTCGTTCTTATAAAACTATTTTTGCATTTATTCTTTGTTTAATACGCAGTTTCGCTATAAAACGGAAAACAAGGGACAGAAGGCGTGCTTACTCGTTTTGGAGCAATCTCGCTGACATCCAGTTCCTCGTCACTTTTTCGCTTGTTTCCTGAAACAAATGCAAATATGACTTAGCTTACTACAAACTGAAATTATTTAACGTTAATCTGGTGGTTACCTTCTTCATTTTCTGCCATTTTAAGAGGGAAATTTCAGCTAGTTTTCTCGTCGAAGTTCCACCGTCATGACAAAAATCGCCATATGCAAGGACAAGAATCCCTGCAGTGCATTATGGGAGAGTTATAACAAGACCTTACTGTGTGGGGGAAAGAACAGTAACCTCGATGCCAATGCTGACACCTTTTGATACATTAAGGTACAAAATTGGGGAAAAAAATACCTAAACTTATTTAGAGTTTGACTTTTAAGATTTAGTTACAGTCAAACTGACCCTGGAGGAAGTAATGGGCGAGGGATTAACTATCTGAAGGGCGCTTTTAGAATACCTCCCCTGTAGAAAATTCCTAGAGACTTTAAAACGAGGCTTGCACATGTCGCCAAAAAAATCCAAAATGGCGGATGAACTATGAATTTTTCCCAAGTCTGAAACATGTGAACGACTTATTATTTAGTTTTTAATTATTTCGGAGAACTGAGAATTCTGAGGTTTTCCAGTCATGACAGACCACAAAGAAGAACAAGATCTGGAACTTGAAGCTCTAAGTTCCATATACCCGGAAGAATTTACTCGTAAGTAAGATATCCTCACCAGAATGAGTTTAGTGCGCAATCGAAGAATTCGTCTGGCAAAAATAAGAGGTTTATGTTCTGATTATCTGTTCATTCGATTTTTTCGATTACATGATCGGTACGGATTCTCCCATTTTTCTTATATTTCTGTGCTAGGATTTTTGCACACTCATCAACTTTAAATGGGATCTTAGAGATAAAAGACTTGAAAATACACATCGCGGGTTAAGAAAACTTTCCTTTAAATACATGCAGTTCTCTTTCAATGAGAAAGGCCAGCCCTCTTAAATTACGAGAAGTGAACCCAAATAAAGTTCCGTCCCACATCTCTTATTATTTCAGCAGTTAAATCAAACAATATCCCTTAGTTGATCATCATATTACTTCTCGTCACCTCTCTTCTTACAGATAAATAAATCTGGTTTTGAGAATTTCCTCTTTGGTCACTCCTGTTTAAAAAAAGGAAGAGTTTATGAATCACTGTCAGCATCAGAGAAATTGCAGACCTACCCCTCCCCTACCTCAATAATAGCCAACTGATGACAAGATAGGATTAATGTTAGTTTAGGGGAGGGGTAGGTGTGCAGTTGCTCTGATGCTGATGTTAATTTGAATTTATTCTTGTATTTCTTGTTTTTCTCTAATGTATATACGGTACATATCATCCCATTAAGTCAGAGTGTTTAACCTTTTAACTCTAAAAGGTGATTAACATGAAACTTCTCCCTAGATATCCATACATTATTCAGCAAACAGGTTATGAGAATATTCAAACTTATTAGGTGGAAGCTGCTATCTTGATCTAGCACCAAGTTCTCATAACTAATTTACAAGGAAATGTGTAGCAGCTAGAGGGGAGAATCAACAATCAGACCTTAGGAGTTTAATGAGGATGTATTCTGAAATTAGCATAACCAGATGAACATTACATTCTTCTACTTCCTCTCTTAGAGATTGAAAGTGATCCATGTTGTTTTCAAGTTTCAATTGCTAGTGAACCTGAAAAACCAGAAGATGAGGACTGTAGAGGTAATCATAACATAGCAAAATTGAATCCCTGGAGAAGCATTACTGTGCTTGACAAATAATTTAATACTTTGGCAGTGTGACTGCTGTCATGGAGTTACCAATTAGTGAATATTGGGAAGAAAACCAAAACAAAATTAATGTGGCCTGTAAAAATGCGTTCCATATGGTACAGGTACACTTCTCTTTTCAGCAGCAGAAGTGATGTACTGGTTTGAGTTTGTTGCAAATTCTATTCATCTTATTTTTTTCATTTTGTTAGAAACCTTAGAAAATTTCCATGTCCTAACTAAAGTTAATTTTCTGCTTTGAGCTCCTGGCCTCTTTGGAAAATCCATTTTAGCTTTCCATGTAATTCTTTGAAAAACTTAGCCCAACCTTTGTAATTTCGGCTGATCTTTAATGTGATTAGTATGGATAGTTACTGGAACTACACATTGCCTGGATTATTGAAACTGACACTTAAACACACTTAAATATGTGGTAAGTAAAGCAGTAACTACTCAACATGTTCTTGTTTCAGTTTGTGCCACTTTACAGTTCACTTATGTAAACACATATCCAGATGAGCCCCCTGTTATTGAAGTGCCATTGTTTGAAGGGATGGATAACTCAGATGCAGAGGGACTTAGAGAGTACTTAGAACAAGAGGTGATGCACTTTTTCCTACAAAGATAATGCGAAATAGCATCTATCCAGTTGATTTAGCAAACTCTATGAGGGAACTAGAAGATCCATTGAGTACCAGGGAGATTCCCTGATCAGGAGAGTTGACATATTTGTGATCTGCCACAGAAAGAAGTGCAGTAATAAGTCTTGATGACTGATCTTTTCAGAGTCAAATGGCTCTTGGAGCAAGTAAACTCTACAATTATTGCATTTGAATGTGTGGTTCAAATTTGGAAAGTAACCATCCTTGGTTGAATTTTTTGCTTCAAAATTATGTCCACTCTTAACTAAAACAACCAGTTAGTAGATATGGGAAATTGAAAGTAAACCCATGAAGGTAGAAAATGTTTTGTCAGCAGTTATAATTTATGGGCAATCATTAATCTCATATAGGCACAAGAAAACCTAGGGATGGCAATGATTTTCACTTTAGTATCAGCTGCACAAGAAAAACTCAACACATTCGCCGATAGATTAAAAAATGAAAAAGAAGATGAGAAGTTGAGAAAGGAAAAAGAAGCCGAGGAGGCAGAGAAAAACAAATTCTCAGGGACCCCAGTAACACTGGAAACATTTGTGGCCTGGAGAAGAGCTTTTGAACAAGAAATGATGCAGACTAAAGAGAATAAAATTGAAATGCTTAAAGGAAAACTCACTGGTAAGGTGTCTTTAGTATTGCATTAGAGACATTTTCGCAACAGACTAACTAAGTTAGCTCTTGAAAAATTATGGTCTGTGAGAATTTTGGTGAATTTTTGTCTAGAATCATAAAATGCTCTTGTTTTTTTGCAGTTTATTGAGTTTTTCTGATTAAAATAACTTACTCAAGATGTTCTCTTATCATTCTCATTGTTATATTTCATTAGTTGGGTAGTTAGTGTCTAATTTTAGCTGTCTAATTTTCAGTCATTAAATTTTACTCACAAACCTAGTTGCTGTAGGGTGTCTTTTTTCTGGCACCCTGGGAATGAGGTTGCTTGTGATAGGTTATTATGTTGCATTTCTGGGTATGACATAAAATCTTCACAGTGCCCATCTTCAACTGGGATTATAAACAGGAACCAGTGAATTTTTAAGGCAACCTGTGGGTAACCTTAGGTGGTATCTAAAGACCATTGTGAGACCAAACCCTATTTATATAATATCATGTCATTATTGTTGAGGTCTGTGAAAATTCAACGCATGTGTCACTTTTGTGAAAGTCTGGTTGACTCATGAAACAAAAGTAAACATATCCAGACTGGTGGATAATCTTCTTTTGGTGTGTTTTGCTTTAGGGAGACAACTCTTTGAACAAGATGACTCAATGAGAGACTCAGATGCTGCCTTCTTAGAAAGTAAGTTGTCTACAATTTTTCACTCTGAAATTTTCTAGCAATGGATTCATATCAATGATCAAGATACCAAAAAAAGTTACTTTGTAATGTGAGATTTGACGAAGAGATCGCACTGAACATTCACCCTTACATGGCCAAAGCCCATCAGTTCTATTGAACCCATTAGCTGCAAATGTTTCCTTCATTTTCATAATTTTGTTGCTTTTTTTTTATTATTTTAAGGTGAAGTAAAGGTAGATGAATCACTTTTTCAAGACCTGGATGACCTAGACCTGGATGATGAAGATATAGAATAAAATTATTATTTTTCATAAAATTCTCAAAGTGGTTCTCAAAATATTTATAGGAGACACGTTCTTACTAAGTTGTTATGCAGTTGAACTTGAGACATCAGTGAGCCTTGCTCGTGGCAGTTCTTCTTTTTGAAACCTCACCCCAAAAACAGTCATTGGGAATTTCCTCTTGAACTCTTTGAATTGGGAGACTGGGAGTAAAAATCTCCCCTTTCTTTACCCCATTTCCCTTCCTCCACACCTATGTCTTTCGTCTCCCACCCATTTCCCCAAACGCTGCAGATAGATTATTAAAAGATTATTGCATTCCCGAACTTTTCTCACCATTTTTGATCTCTCCTCTCTTGGTTTCCTATGTTCCTGACCTAAAGGTCTTTAACCTAAAGGACGCTCTTTGGTCGGAATTGTCTCGCACACTCGGCAAAACTTTCGAGGTACTCCAGTTGCAAGGTATCAAATGGTCGAGTTTGAAGAGAAATTCACTCCTCTCACATTTATACGATACGATACCTTATTCGTTACGCTACATTTTCCCCGCCAATATAAAAATTCGATGCTGAGTAAACTTCTCTCGGTGAAAGAAGGTTATATATAAGTAAGAAGGCAATTGAAAAGGGCCAAAATATCTCCAAATAGAGGAAACAATCAGACATTTTTAAGCCAAACATGAAGATAATGATGGGCATAAAATGGAATCACAAACAAAAACATCCACCTTGGATATTGCTGTTGGATCTTGGCATTCGAAAGAGAAAACAAGGACTTGAGTCTGAATGAAGAAGCAAATTCTTCCCGCAATTTCAAACCAGTGGTTTTGGCTAAGAGGAAAGTTCCCGAAAATCACTGCAGGAACGAGATTGAGAGAGCGGTAAGGAAGATGGACTGAACATTACATACAATTCACGTTATTAGGCGTTTTGACTGATTTCCATAGAATCTTTCAATGACCATTTGGTGAATCTGCTGACAAAAAAAATCTTCGGATCTGAGTTTTGAAGGTTTTATTGCATTAATGATCCCACGTGATAACCTCGAATGTGCCGATTTTCCTCAGAGGAACTTTGAAACGCGTACATTCAATTTCACACACCTACTTGTTTTCACATTTTATTGACCTCTTTAATTCACTCATAATCTAGATTTACTTAAACTTAACTTGTTTCACTCTCTTGAAAACTACGTAGCATTAACAAGCTTGTACGTAACTGACATCTATAGAATGATTTTGGTGAAAGAAACGTCAACCTGCAAGCACACAAGAGTGATTTGTACAATGAAAGGAAAACGAGGGAGTCACTGTGAGAGTGCAATTAACCTGTATATGACCCAAGAAATAACTTTCTTCTACATCAATTGCTATTTATATGCAGCTGTGGTAAAGTTTTATAGAACTCTTTCTCTCTTCTGCCATTTTATTCAAATTCCTGCAAATAGAATTCAACAGGATTGTCAGTTTAAATCTCCTTACCTTTTTAAGGCATGATATCATTGTTTTATAACTTAGGCTGAATCGGCATTGTGAGGTGAAAAAAGACTTCAAGATAATGATTTTCAAACATCGAAAAGAAAATAACGACATCGTGGCACACCTGCCGAAAGATCTCTGAGCGCGTCGAAAGTTTCGACTTACATTGTGAACCAATCAGCTGGCGCTAGAACGAAACGAAATTAAGAAAAAACTGTGCCATCATTGTTTGGAGTTGGAAGCAAGCTGGTTGATGATAACTCAGTAACCAAGACATAAGAGCTGTCAAAAATTAGAGACCCTCAGGATGCTTCTAACACAGCATGATGTTGCTAGGATACACCAGCTTTTATGAGAGTTTGAGAGCAAAATTCAATAACATGCCGGGAATAAATAGTTCACTTAAGTCCCCAGCTTTAAAATTTATGTCCAGCCCTCAGGACAAAAGTACTTTAACCTTTAAACTCCCATGAGTAACCAAAACAGAATTTCTCCTTACAAAATCAATACAATGTCAACCAGACAAGTGATGAGAATAAAGAAAATATCAATTTGGGGATAATTATTGATCCAATATTAAATTAAATTCCCTGAAGTAACATTATAAGAATTGTATGGTTGACAATAAGGAGAATTACAAATTTGGTCTGGGAGTTAAAGGGTTAAGAATCTTTCCAAAGTAATTCTGAAGGTGAGCCTCCCTATCTAGGAAAATTTTGAAAACAATGGTAGCTCATCGCATGCTGTGCTTCATGCTCATTGGTTCTCAAGTGATCAGCCACGAAGGCAAGACCAATGGTCTACAAAGAATTGCTAAACAATTAACGCGAACCTATATTCTATCAAAAGACTAATTGAAACATGATTTTGGTGAGACAATCCGTAACAATTAAAACGAACCTACAACCAAAATCACTCCGATTGCAGAGGTTGAGCGATGCGATGTTTTACCATGTTGATGCCTAACTAAGGCCGAAATAAATGTGTTAACTTGGTGCACGTTTCGCCTTTGAGCTTTCTAATCATTTAACCGAAAAAGTGTTACGTATAAGGTGCTGAGTAGCCCACGCTGTTATTTCCTGTTACCCCCATCCCCCACAGCCCAGATAGGATGCCAGTCCACTGCTGTTAATTCTCCCATGCTCATTTTTAAGTTTCCTGAAATGTTTTTAAATTCTTTTTCATTTTCATGGGTTGAGAGAGGTACCGTGAGTGTAAGTTGTACAAGAAGACAACACGATGACCTGGCCACAGCACGAACTCAGAGCATTCGATCCCAATTGCAGCGCGCTAAGCACTAAGCGTCGTGTTAAATGGCCCTCTTTTAAGTATCTTAGTATTTCTGAAACTTACCAAATAATTCCATTGTTAAGACTCCGAGGTTTCATCCTTGGATTCGTCTAGACTGCTTGCAACTTCACGTTTGGCATCGTGGTCTTCCTCCAGTTTATTCTCTAACTTTACAAGGAGATCATCGCTGTCCTCCTCGCGACCAAATCGTCCTTGATCTTCATCCTCAACAATTTCGTCACGTCCAAATCGCCCTTGGTCAAGTTCTTCGCGTCCAAATCGCCCTTGGTCAAGTTCTTCGCGTCCAAATCGGCCCTGGATGGAATCGCGACCAAAACGGCCTTGGTCATCTTCCCGTCCGAAGCGACCTTGGTCTTCTCGTCCAAAACGGCCCTGAATGAAGTCACGTCCGAAACGACCCTGGTCTTCCTCTTCTCTGCCAAAACGGCCCTGCATGTCTTCCCGTCCAAAGCGACCTTGGAGATCCTCTCTGCCAAATCGTCCCTGTATTTCATCTCGACCGAAACGACCCTGCAATTCACGTCCGAAACGGCCTTGAAAATTTCTCCCAAAACGGCCTTGGAAATTCCTTCCAAAGCGACCTTGGAAATTTCTTCCAAACCGTCCGGGGACTGCAGACCGCAGCTGTTGTTCCTCCTCTCCTCTATTGAATCGGCCCTTCCAATACTGAGGCTCTCTCTTATCCATTTCAGATCCAGTATCTGCGAAACGACCTCGCCAGTATTGGTCATGACTAAACCGGCCCTTCCAATACTGAGGATCGCTTAATTCACCCACAATGTCAGAAAAACGTCCTTTCCAGTATTGTGGATCATTCTCCAAGGATCTCGTAAATTTTCCTTCGGCAAAAGCAGGGACATCATTCTCGTCAGCAGCTTCCTTTGTGCTGTCTTCCAGCGCTTTTGCATGAACAAGCAAGAGATGACAGCAAAACACTGCTAGTATGAAAGTATTTGATACTGACATCTTGATTACTCGTAGCCGACGTGTTTCTGTAAGATACCACAAAGATTATTTCAATGATTATTTCAAGCTACTGGCCGTCAGCCAAACTATCAAAGTGCACACAACTAAATCCAGACTTAGTCAAGTAAGTGGAAGAGAGGGAAGGAGGAGGGAAAAGAAAGAAACTTCGAAGTATGGCACAAACATTTGATATTACACGCTTAAAAAATCTGATGAATAAGAAACCAAGTTAAACCTGTCACCAAACTCTAAAGCCAAACATTGCAATGCTGTAGTAAAGCTAATTTATAGTTGAATTAAAGCCTTTTTGGCTTCGGTAAAGTAGCAAAGCTTCTTGATCTCTTTGACGTAAAACAAACTGGTAAACTCAAGGTTTTGTAAGCTATCTTTTGAACTCAGCTTTGACCGCAGGTTTCGGTACAAAATGTTTTTGATGTTTCAATTAAAGATTTTTCTGTCAACAAATTTAAAAAAAATATTTGCAAATCAACCTTGCACATACCAGACAGAACACCAGAAGATGAATCATATTTTAGCAAAAATTGAATATTTGACAGAATTGGAAAAACATTCTCCGAACAAAACCCAAGCAATACTGAATTGTTTTTGAAGCTAGAAAGTTTTCCTCCTGTTCTATTGGCTAAATGCATAAAATGTCAAAAAAAAATCAACAAAACCCTGTGTCACCTTTTGTATTGTTATGATGTAATATTCTTGTACTTCATTGTTGAAAAAAACTCAAATTATAACTTCAGACAATTTATGCATGACTCATTTCCTATAAGTGAAAATACTAGCAAAATCAATCATGTTTGAAGCTGGTGGAAAATAAGTTTCTTACTTTAATTTCTTTTTGGAAATAGACATAACTAACGCAAACCTTTGACCCTTCCCGCCTGAGGGAATCACAGCTAAAGATTCTGTCCTCGGATAAAAAGTTTAAGCTCTATCACGGGAATTTTTTTTCACTTTTCACAATAAATTTTTATGTCTCTGAGGGTGGAGCCAAGATAATACGCCTCATCTTTCCGTTGGAGGTTCATTAATTCTACAACATAGAAGATTTAACATAAATTGGAAGAATTATTGCCTTGTACAGCCAGCTGAATAGACCAGATGCCAAGTGCCGATTCTCTGACGCGAGCGAAAACATACGGGACATAAATATTTTATTAAGGAGACCAAAAACTTCTCGAAGTTTCGAAGTGTTTTTCCAAAATAAAACGTTATAACACCCATGTTTCTCAGAACGAGATTAAAAAATTAACAGATGTATTTTATGATTTGATCTCCGAGCCATCATGGACATGCTAGACGCCTAACTGACCCTTTTCGAAATGAATTTTCTTTCTTTTAGTTTTGACATGGGCATAACACCCAAGTTTCGAAAACAACCTCGGTAAAACAGACGCCTTTATAACAGCTTGAAATTATTTTTCCGCTGGGATCAAATATTAAGTTCCTATTCCAATTCTAGAGGAAAATAACTCTTTTATTTGAAAGCAAAATGAAAAAAAAAAATTCTTATATTGTCCTCTGTTCAGCAAGTTAAAATATTTTACATGAAGAAATCAAACGCCTTTTTTTTTTTAAGCAAGCTCACTCGTGCTGCCTCTTATCTTTCTCATCGATCAAGGAGTTGCTATCAAAGTCATAGCAAACGTTGTTAACACACAAAATAAGCTACGTGGAAGTTTCTTCAATCAATTTCGGCTGTTTGAGCTGGTATTCTCAGAAAGTTATCAATAGTCGTTTTACATGGCGGGCGTTGATAAGACTTTAAAGGGTTGATATAAGTCCATCTTTAAACAATTCTGAAGAGAGTCGTTTTCATGCTCAGAGGAGGAACAAGATTCACAATCGCTTTCAAAGTGTAAAAGTCTAGATATCAAAGCTTACGATTTTCATCGGGGGGGGAAAACATTTTTGGTAAAAACGATTTTTGAAGGGCAACAATAATGCTGTCAAAAAGAAAGAAACAGTTATGGCTTTAAAAAGTTATAGTTAAAACAAATGTTTCGTTTTCCATTGACTTGTGGCTCAGATTTGTGGTCAAAATATAGTTCCTTTTTAATTTTAAAATATTTGTCACATTTTAACGTTTATTTTTTTCGAAGAAAAAATTCGACATAGTGTTCCTAAACTTTGTGGCTTAAGGAATGTTCTTATGGTGCGATTATATATAACTTACCCTTAGAGTGATAAAATGACGAGTTACCAGTTCGAGCTTACAATACCACCTTAACTTCTGTATGTTTATGGATCTTCTGGGTCGCGATCGTTCAACAGACCGCAATATATTCATTGAGTTGCCCACATCACCTTTTGTGTGAATGCAAAGCAGTTCCGGCGTGCGTTGTGGTGCTTGTATCAATTAAGTGTGGGTCAAATAAATGAAACAATAGCCGCTTGATTATTAAAATTAGCAACTATATCAGGCAATTAACTGAAATTGAGTAGAATTGGCCGGCACAGCGATCGCCAGCAGGTGGCAATGCGACAAACGGGTTCAACATTGCGGGAGATGGCTCATGTGGGCGAGAAATTTCTTAGATAAATGATTTGACAGAACTAATAATGGTAGATAACTAACTAGGATAGGGCTAGATACTCGATTGATATCGATCAGAATGATCACACAAGATGTGAAAAACACATTGGTATTTCCATATCTACGAGACTTATCTACTTGTTCAAAAATGCTAGACTTTACAGATGAATGTTTATGTCTCAGCCTTCACGAGAGGTCATCTGCCAAGTGGGAATAATATTGCATCAAAACATTGTGATGTTTTGTTCCTTTCTTGTAATAAGGGCGACCGAAATAAAATAAATTATTTCAGAAGAATTCAATTCCTCGAGATTTCATTTTGACTTTTTGAAATTCCCGATAAGAGAACATGCTGATTTAATTTCTACCATTTCAAAGATTATACCGGAAAAGATAAGATGGGAACAACTTCTAACTGTGAGCTGTGTTTGAAGTTAAAGCTTCCTACTTACGACAAACACGCTTCTAAAACTATTGACTTGAAAAAGGAAAAAAAATGCAAGTATTAGAAAGCAACACAAGATAGAAACCACATTCTTTCATTTTATACATGTTTGGAAACATATCAGTTTATTTGTGGTCAATTTCCGTGCAAAAGCCTAGTTAAGATTGCTCTTGTGTTAGTTGAGTCCTGGCCCGTCAGGGGGCAGGTTCTCGCTCATTCCCGCTAATGACCAATCTTCACACTGTATTTGAGATCAGCTGTAGTGTTTTTATTGGTAGTTATCGCTTAATCCGATTGCATTAGCACTTTCAACAAATGATTACTTTTCATGACGATATTAGTGGGCGTCTGCGCGTGCGCTATAGCGTCAGCCTAAAATCGGCCACAAAATTAGGTAAATTTGCGGTGCATTGTGAAAAACAAGTTTATCACCCCGCTGCATAAATTCCATACTTTTTTTTTCTAAGATAAAACTAAAACCTCTATTTCCGTAACCAGTATGATGTCATATCATTAAGCAGAGCTTTGTCAATTTTATTAACCTACTAGTGATATCCGCGTAGAGATATAAATCCTTTCCCCTCAAACTAATCTCTTGTATATTTTCTAATTGAATAAGCTTGGAAGACACCTTTATCTAAACAAGTTAATGAAAAGCAATTCTTGAGTGCTCGTCACCTAACTCTGGATCCCTTTGTACATGTTTCACACTGTTTTTTCCTTCGTGCAAGCAATTTTTTAACTCAAAATGGATATTCCTCACAAACAAAATAAGCACGTAAAGGAATTTTTGTTTGAAGCGTCAGTGGCATAGAGGCTGACGCTTTTTGCTCTTGGAAACTCTATGGTAAAATGTTGTGATAGATGTCACCTGTTATCAGGCGTCGCTTATATCAGACTCGTGTTAGATTTCAAGTGCTTTCAATTTGATGGTGCAAATTCGGATCTCAAATTGAACCATTTGAATATTTGATTGTGAAGCTCAAATTATAAGATTTAAAAAGCACTATTCTTTTCTATTTCTTCTGCAGAAAGTGGTCAGGCATTCAAAACAGAAAAACAAAACTTAAGCTTCCAATTCACAAAGTGGTTTTCTCTTATAATCTGTGAACAAGAAGTTCAAATGTTCTCGTCTGAACAATATCAATAAAGAAGATTGTGTTTCCAAGTTGCAATAATTTGTTTCCCGACTCTTTTCCGAAAGGAGGAAATCTTGCATTCAATTTAAATGCTTTCTCATCGAGTTACAGAGGCACTTGGCATGCAAGGACCGCCGGGAATGGGAATCTACGTTGAGGCGGAAATCCAATAAAAGTACTGTGAAGAATTTACTGGCAAGCAAAAAGTATATTTTTATCGTTATAAAGGCCAAAGTTTCAGTCCATATTTAATATCAATTTTGCTAATAGAAAAAAGAAAAAGGTAGAACCGTAAACCCCTCAGTAAAGCAAGCAATGTTTTTCTCAATCATCCAAATTACACTATTTGTAAATTTCATTCCCTCCTCAGAGTACCGTGTGACTTTCTAATTTCAATTTCCTGAAACAATAATTGGAAGACAGTTTTGTTTACGAAGTGATTTCCCTCTCAGTCGCTAGTTTTCTTTCGGCGGAAAAAGTTATAACACGGAAATCGAGCGGAACAAGGCAAACAGTAACCAACAATCATGCTGTAGTGGTAAGGGTTATGAATCATGGAGGAAATTTTTACTAAGATTTCTGTTTTGTCGATGTGAGTGTAAAAATAAATCAAAAATGAAAATAGTTTTAAAACAATAGTATGAATTTGCATAAAGAAAATTCCTTTGTCTAATTATTTGAGAGGCGGTTTTAATTCGATCGATTTAGAAAACGACAAATAGTGCCAAACTACTTTCTTATGATTCTTTTTACTAAATCAAAGTCAGGTCAAAAATATAATATTTTTTAACAGTTCCAACTGTTTCAAGTAAGGATCTCTTGAAGAGTTCAGCAGCATCTGCTCCTAACATAGCTACAAACATGCTTAATTCAATCTCAGCGCGATTTCTTACTCAGAGCTTTATTAATTTTTTTTCATCGAGGCGGCAACTGCACGAAAATCATATTTAATCCTTTAAATCTTTGCTAAGTGGTATCATAAGCTCTTCTGCACCAATTCGGGAAAGCGGCGCCGAAAAAAAGTAGCTTTTGTTCACATCGCAAATTTCTCAGAAATTAAGAAAATAAAGCGCAGACCTCTGGCAGTGTAAGGTATTATTTGGTAGTGACAAATAGGAGTTATTTTTCACAAAACAGTTAGGTTTAAGAATATTATTTTGAAAAATTGGCAGAAACATGCCATAAAGTTAACGCAAAGGCGTGTAGTGGAAAATTTAGTGTTTTTCGGTTTAGGACTAAAATTGTTTTTTGAGTGTTTTCAGCGCGAAAAATTGTTTAATTTTACGAATTAACTTGCACATCCAGATTAACGCCAAATTGTGGGGAATTTTAAGTGCTTTAGGACGCGGTAACACTTTGGAGCCTGAAAAGGTACAGAATTTACTAAGGGATTTGCTCAACAAAGGAAGGCTCTAGTCAAGAGTCAAGAATACATTAAGTGGAAAGACGCCTATGACACAAAAGGATTCCATTACTTGTTTAGTAGTTATTCAGAATGCGCAGAGTTGAAAGGGAACCAGTGATGTCGTTAGGTAATTTACATGCTTTGTAGATCTCCTTAGTAATTTTATCGCATGGTGCTTCTAAAGGCGTGAAATTAGGTCATCAGAATCGCCGTAGTGAACAAATAAGAACTCAGAAAATCGTTGTCTGAATTTAATTGTATTTTTTTAATCAAAATTTTCTGTAAATGAGGTTAAGCTTGTACTATCCTTTGATCGAAGATGTAGGAAGATCTCCAGGCCGATCCACGACATAGATTACCCTGGGCGCGATGTGACAATTGAAAACTCTGTGGAAGTAGTGTCGAAACTACTGAAGAACGCTCTTGTTCTGCGTTCAGTATGGTAACTGTTTTGGCGGCATCAGTTAGTTTCAATATTGTATTTGAAGAGCGGTTCATTTTCTTCTCTCAGATACTATTTTTTGGCGCATTAGTTTGGTCATACCACTAAGTTTTACGAATTTTAGTTGTACTAACATTCCGCTGATTTTTGTTCACATATTGTACAAGGATGGAACATCCCACGAAACGTTTATCAAAAATATAACCCGACTTAGAATTATTTGAGGTAAACTTGTTTTACCTATGGAAATGTCTCTGTGGGAATTTCGATTTAAGAATCTTTTGACTTTTCAAGTCAGTGTCCTGAAACTCTCAGACTTAAGTGTGATACAGTTCATACTAGGTTTGTAGGATAGGGGTTTCCTTTAGCTTGTGGGCAGGCTACTTTGTTTTAAAGTAACAAATGATATCTTTTTAGACAAAGAAAGGCAGGGCAAGGTCAGTTTCTTTCAATTTCCACGTATTTCAGTTGTAAGAGTCCGGAAATGCATCAGTTGGTTTGCCTGTAGTAAAGGATGATGGTATATCCCCAAATTCTCTCAACTACAATAAAGAAAAAAAATTGGGCTATTTCCCCTGGGGTCTGCAGGGAGGAATTTTCTTAAATAATGTGACAATAACAAGTGCTCTTAGGGGCCAGATGGAGAGTTATGCAAAATTACTATTATTAACGTGATTTTAGCCTATTTTCAGACCTTTCTGCAGATATCAACGTATAATACATTTCAACGGATGAAGAAATGGACATTTACACGTGTTCTATTTCCAGAGGCCAGGTATGCGCCTTCGCATGTTTGCATAAGGCACTTGAAAATGTGATTCGCCCCTAAATTAATTAATTTTTATGTTTCGATTTATGTAAGTATGCTCGTGCATTCGAGTGTGTACTGTGCATGTCTTGTGCGTGTACTGTGCACGTCTTGTGCATGTACTGTGCATGTACTGCACATGTACGGTGCATGTATTTTGTATGTATTGTATATGTACTGTTGGTTGCTTCATAGTACGGAGTGGTCAAACCGCGAACTTTCGTTGTAGTATTATTAGCTTTCAGTCAATACCATAAAAAAGATACAAAAAAAAAAACTTTAAGTGAACCTAAAGTACTAGAAAAGGTAACCCCTAATGGTTACAGAGTTCTACTCTTTTCTGGTATGCAAGCTGAACTAACAAAGATAACTCGATTCAAATTAATTTTTGGAAAAGTAAAAGTTACCTGAATAGAAAAAGAAAGAAGCAGGAATTTCAAAAGAATCTTCTCTTTTATGCAAACTTTATTCAAGCTTTCAGGGCTACATGCTTAACCAATGGCTAGACACGTTTGAAACAATCAGTCTATAATTGATAATATTTTAGAGCTTCATTGCTATTGTCACACCATCTGCAAAGGGAATCATACTAATGGTGACACGAGTGTCTTTGTGAAGTTTCATGTTCAAGTTGTGTATTGCTCTTGTCCTTGGATTTGTAGCTATTTCCTCAGGGTCGCAAACTGAACCGTTCAACAAAACCTAAAAAAAATATATAAAAAATTAAAACAGTGTCAAATAATTTGCAAAATTTTATGCAACTTAATCTCTGCTTCTACTCCTTGAGAGCCACTTTTTGGTCATTTTCAGCTTCTACCTGATACGTTTGAACATTCTCACTACCTGTTTGCTGAATAATGTATGGATATTATTGGGAGAAGTTTCATGTTAATCACCACAGGGTTTTAAGAGATCTATCTATACATCCTATACCTTACACTGACCCTATACTTACATTGTCAACTACTATCAGCCCTCCCTGCCGCAGAAGCTGCAAAGATTTTTCATAGTACCGGTCATATTCAGTCTTATCAGCATCAATAAAAGCAAGATCAAAGCTTTCAGCTTCTCCTGCAGCAATAAGTTCATCTGTAAAAAGGCAATTATTTCAGGTCAGAGTTATTACCATTTGATGTGAGTGTATAGGTTTCAAAACACAATAAGATATATCTTTTTGTTATAGCATAAATCTGTTCTGAGGGTTTTTAATGTTTATTTGCTCAAGTATTCACCATCTGTCCCTCTGTATCTCCACACAGGATATTCTTTTGCTATTCCTAGCTGTACACAGAGCTTCTTGTCATGTGAACCTGGTATGTAGTAACCTCTAAAGTAAAGTGTGGGAGAGCATCTGACCAAGGAAATGGAATTAGCTGATTTTCAATAACTCACCAGACATCAACAAAAGGAGATTATTATTACCTAGAGTAGCGAGGGCAGACTGTATCTTAAATTCAACTTTTGACTCAACACCAGCCTACATAAAAAATAGTAAGAATAAAAAAGTCACTGCATGTAATGAACTGAGCTGTAAACAATTGACCCAAAATAGGATTCATTCTTCTTCCTTCTTATTCAACTAACTTCCCTACAAATAAGTAAAGAAAATTTGTTTGTATTTTCTCATTCTTAACATCTCTTGTCTGGATTGTTTGATATTATTAATCCTTTAACTCCCAGATCAAATTTGTACTTCTCCTTACTGTCAAACATACAGTTCTTATAATGTTATTTCAGAGAAGTTAGTAATTGAATCAACTTATTATCCCTAAATTGATATTTTTTTTACTATTCTCATCACTTATCTGATTGATATTGTATTGATATTGTAGGGAGAAATTTTGTCTTGGTCACTCATGGGAGTTAGAGGGATGTTACTAATAAATCACTTCTACATGAGTGCTAAAAGTAGTCACAAAACAATTACCTTTTGTTACAAATTTAGTAGCAAAACTTTTCTTAGCTTACATAATCATTTCACCAGCCAATACTGTTGATACTATATAAAGAGGGTCCACATGTAAAACTGACCTGCCTTAAATGGGTCTTAAATTAATCATTTTCTTAGCATACATGTAAGATGAAATAAAACATTTTTCAGCTTACTTCTTGGAAGTAACGGTCATAATCAACCTCTTTCATAAACTTGTCTGTGACATCACACGCCACAACCTTGCCATCAGATGGCAGAGCTATGGCCATACTTAGTGTATTATAACCAGTAAAAGCACCTGAAAGAAGGGAAAATATGAAAGATTTCAACTAAATTACAAGTTGAATTTGTTATAACAACTCATTAGTTTTGCTTCACCCAGGTTGTTCTTAGTTTCCAAATACCTGCACCTAATAGGTATAAACTTAAGAGACATTTCAACTTATAACTGAGCCTCACTTAAGCCTCTTCACTGGGAGCTAAGAGAGCAGTTAAATAAGCCATGTTTCATCTCAAGGTCCAAATCCTTACCTCTTTACATACTATAGGCAACTATTGAATGAGGTTAAGCATGATATCATGAATTATTAATGCAAAGTTCTGAGACACAAGGTTTGATAATACATGATATCATGCAAAAAACAACTTTGCTAATAGCTTTATGATAATTTTTTTTTAACAATCGGCTAAAGAAGACACTCCTCCATGACTGAGTTTGCAAATGTTTGAGAACACTAAAGGCACTAGGGGCTTGGAAACTAGGCAGAGTATGAACTCTACATGATAAACCTATATCTGTTGCAGATTTTGGGTAATCATGTCAACTTCACACATTGTTTTATATTGACTGTAGGCTCTCAATCAAACAGATTTTTCATTGTAAATCTAATGAATAATAATTAATTTTATCCCTAGTCTTCTTCCCTCCACCAAAGCCATCACACCAAATCCCAATTCAAAGCTTATGGGGATTAAGTGTTTTCCTTTCATCAACTGATTGGCATCACCCACAAAAGAAAAAGTTGACCCATTTCCATTATCAATATAAACTACTGACCTCTAAGGGATATGTCAACTGACTACTGGTGAATATATATTAAGAAAGGCTATGTGCAAAGGAAAGTCTTAAGTTCACATTCCACTTTTAGATATCCAACACTATTTGACAGTGTTATCATCTACCATTATTCCCATAAAATTCAAATGAAAAGAAAAATGAGATTAGTAGACTAATAAATGTCTTTTTAAATGTCCATCTCACCTATTTCGATAACCTTTTTGGCCTTAATCAATTCTATAAGCAACCTCATAAGCTGAGCTTCATCAGAACTACAAAGCATGTCACCTAATGGAAGCTTCACAGTTGCCTGCAAAGATAGATATACTAACATACATGAAATGCACATGAATAACTATGAACTCTAACATTACTGTTGTATTCCCAGTGATGGACCAAGTCCATGGGAGGAGGGGGGGGTTAAGTTTCTAAAGAAACTGTGGTGCTGTGGGTGGGAGAGTAAAACAGGGTGATTCAGTGTTATCAACTGAGTTGAAAGAGTAAATTGATCACTATAAGGAGTTTTAAAAGCTGACGTTTTGAGTGGTAGCCCTTCACCCAATTGCTGTGTAGTATCGCTGAGCATTTTTACACCTAGGGTTCCTCAAAATATGTCACAACTCATAAAATACTTAGCAAAACTGCTCACCAAAACGTCGACCTTTCCTCCTTGATCACCAAATTCTCCGATCATGTCAAAGTAATGACTTATCAGATCAATCAAGACGATAAACATGACCGTATGTAGCTGACAACGCCAATGTGCGCCACGAGAAAGCATGTCATGATTATATGGAGTAGCATACCGTTCAAAATTCAGTCAGGGTATTTTCCTCATCGAAAAATTAATTTGCATGTCGGAAATCAATTTATAGGGTCCGTTATTGTTTGCCTCTTCGTATTATGCAATGGTCAAGACGAAGAATCCACATTAAAGACCAGAAACTTCTAGGCAAATAATAGTGAAAAGACTGGAAAATTAAAGGAAACCCACCGAATGAGCTTTACGATTGATTCTAACCTTTCTCAAGCTGGTAAGCACTGATGGTTCGCGGATTCCATGTTCTGTTACATACTTGCCGACTGGATTGTTCTCATCGCTGATTTTAAAGAGGCTTTTATCTCGACGTTCAAATATCCGACTAACACCAAAACCGGCCACCGCAGAAGTCAATGCGATCCCCACGGCTCCCAAAAACAACTTGTGATCGGCTAAGAGCGACATTGACGATAAATAAGCACAAGACTCCAAGAAGAAATCCTACAATCGATTCGCTGTAACGCTTGCTCAGTACATATCACACTTGAGTTCGAGGCTTCACTTAAAAAAGAGCTACTCCCAGGAATTTTACTGACAAAAGGACATTGATCTTGTGAATAATTGATGAATCGAAGTATGTTGCCGACACGCACCACGGCACGCCAGTGGAACGAAGGGGTGTGTGAAGGGTACCAGGAAACTTCGTGTGTGTAAACTCCACATGTTGTACGATTTAACCCTTTTCAACGTAACATCAGTATGCATATTCTCAATACTGTTCTCTACACGTTTCCTACGAAACTGACAGTGATTACTTGTTTAACAATCAAGAGCTTCTTGAGATGGTAATCATTTCCTTTCTTCGCTTGAACGTAATGTTCTATTTAGGGGTGATATTGTAAGGAGAAATCAAATGCTAGTCACCCACGAGGATCAAAGATTTTTTAAAAATTGCTTCTCAAGGTGTCGCACAGCTGCTCCAGAAATTAAATAGCTTGGGTAAAAGTAACCAGCTGGGTACAAAGTTGATCTCGTCCTGTCTAACTAAATAGGTAGGTTTTGTGTAAGGGTAGCTGTGAATGCGCATAATGCGAATAAAATAAGTTAGTCCAAGTAACAAAAGACATCACGTTGCAAATCGCACTTACGAGTAAACTTTGTTTGCTTAAAGAGCAAAAGTATTGCGGAACTGATTCTTACAATGTAACTTCTAGGAGAAAAGGGTAAGTCTGTCATCAGAGAATGCCCACATAGTACTAGAGGGCGGGACAGACACACCAGTCATTCTTTTTCAGCATCAAAAGGGTATGAACTGCCCTCTTCGCTGGTGGCCGGCTGAGGTGTTTAGATGCCCTACACAAAAGTCGATGCAGTTCTGAGTAAGAGTTGAGATTGAGTGGTAACCGTGTTAGCTCAGAACCTTGTTTGAAAGTTGCAACTCAGGCCTCACTATGCCTGGATGATGACGAGTTCTAGAGTACAAGAGCTGTCGATAAGGCATCATTTCATGTTCTAGCACCGCTTGCAGAAAGAGAGAGGGCGACAAACCACGGGTACTTGGGAACCACCAAGGTGAAAAAATAAAAACTTTTCCTTCAGCTGTGTCGTTAGGATTTAATCAAAGACCACTAAGCACGTAAGTTCAATTAAAGGAATCTTGTGGTAGATCCTCATGTTTATAGGGCAAAAATTGCATTCAAAGTTCCTCTGACCAAAACTACGTCACACAAACAACACATGGAACGCAAAAATTTGAAATGGGTGGTAACAAATAAATCCAAAAACAGGAAAAGGCACCTCATATCTGGCACCAGCTGTCACACAAAACTGGTTTGAACAAATTCCAATGACAAATACTACTGTTCAACAAAGACGACTTCGAAACGTGATTATATGCAAGATACTGCTATAGCTCCTGAGACGACAAGTTTGCACTTGAAGTACAAAGAGAGCAACTCTAGCTTCTTGAGCGCTCTCCAAACTTCCCAAGTGAACTCAAGAAGCTAGAGTTGCTCTTGGCTACGCCTCGAGCAACTCTTACGGAAAGGGGTGATATTGTAAGGAGAAATCAAATGCTGGTCACCCACGAGGGTCAAAGATTTTTAAAAAATTGCCCCTCAAGGTGTCGCACAGCTGCTCCAGGAATTAAATAGCTTGGGTAAAAGTAACCAGCTGGGCACAAAGTTGATTTTGTCCTGTCTAACTAAATAGGTAGGTTTTGTGTAAGGGTGGCTGTGAATGCGCATAATACGAATGAAATAAGTTAGTCCAAGTAACACAAGTCATCACGTTGCAAATCGCACTTACGACTAAACTTTGTTTGCCTAAAGTGCAAATGTATAGCGGAACTAATTCTTACTATGTAACTTCTAGGGGAAAAAGGGTAGATCTGTTATCAGAAAGTGCTCTTAGAGTACTCGAGGGCGGGACAATACAACACACGAGTCATACCTTTTCAGCATCAAAAGGGTATGAACTGCTCTCTTCGCCGGAGGCCTGCGGAGGTGTTTAGATGCACTACACAAAAGCCGATGCAGTTCTGAGAAAGAATTGAGATCGGGTGGTAAGCGTGTTAACTCAGAACCTTGTTTGAAAGTTGCAACTCAGGCCTCACCGCGCCAAGAAAAATTCATATCCTGAACGATGCCGAGTTCTAGAATACAAGTGCTGACGATGAGGGATCTTTTCATGTTCTAGCACCGCTAGCAGAAAGAGAGAGGGCGACAAACCACGTGTATTTGCGAACCACCAACTGGGGAAAGTAAAAAATAAAAACTTTTCCTTCGCCTGTATCGTTAGGATTAAGTCAAAGACCACTGAGCACGCGTTAGTTTCAATAGAGGTTGGTGAACATTTGATTGAACTTTGTTGTGAACTATGATTCTTGTGTATATGTAAAACTTGGATGACGTGAGTCCAATTAACGGAATATTGCTGTACATCCTCATGTTTGAAGGGCAAAGATTGCATTCAAAGTTTCTGTGACCGAAACTAAGTCACATGGACAACACATGGAACGCAAACATTTAAAATGGGTGGCAACAAATAAATCCAAAGACAGGAAAGGGCACCTCATATCTGGCGCCAGCGGTCACATAAAACTGATTTGGACAAATTCCAATGCAACAAAGACGACTTCGAAAGTGATTATCGGCAAGATACCGCTATAGCTCCTGTGACGATAAGTTTGCACTTGGAGTACCCCCATGGATGGATGAAAGTTCCTCTTAAAGCTATTTCGCTAAAGGTTTTCTACAATGGACATATCTGTACATATACCCACGGTCTTAGGTGGGAAGTTCAGACTTCTTAAGAACATATTTTCTAATTGCTTTGTCGCGACAAGCAGAGTGCACTGTGTTGGCCGAGCGACAAATACTGTAAACTGGGTCGTAATCGGGTCCGATCAACTCCCAGCTGGTCACTTCTTCGCTTCCTCCATGCCTCAACAGTTTCGCACTCCAACAAAAACATGCTCCATCTCCTGCAAAATAACACAAATAAAAGTTTTTTTGAGGCTGGAGGGATGTCTGTCTGATGATCTTCAGTTCTCCATAGAAAGCATATTTTGAAAGCGATTGGGTTGGATTTGGATAGGTCCATTCCCCCACACAAATCATTGTATCGCCCCTAGTGTCAAATGTGGAACATTCAACACTGCTTCTATGCCACCGGCTCTACCTACAATGCCACCAAGCTTTTTAAAGATGTGCATGGCAGAAGAGGGGTTAGATTGTACGAAGTGCAAGCAAATTGGTAGCCTACGTGTAGCCGTACCCCCCCAAAAAAGAGTAACGGAAGGAAGGGTCTCTCCTTCAGGGAAAGGCTACACGTAGGCTGGCAAATTGAGAACTAAAGCAAAGTGGGATTCGAGGAGAACTTGGCTAGGGGCTGTTATTTTCCAGTTTGAACAGACAGGCTATAAAAGTCCAGATCCTGGTTTGATATCAGCTGATACCACACTGATCACGAGAAGTGAATACTCACGCGAAGATGCTAGAAATGCTCGATCACCAGTGGTTGATAAAGAAAGTATAGAGGAGGATGAACGGCGAAACACGCCAACTGGTAAACTGGAAAAGTAAACAACACACGTTAATTTGAACTCCATAAAATACAAAATCCTTAATCTTAAAAAAAAAAAAACATCGTAAAGAAAACGTAAATGCAAAATACACCTCAGTACATCCTGCTCCCGCGACTTATCCTATTTTTATTTTTCGTCTTTCCACAACATGTGTTTTAAATCGGGCCTGTAAACCCTATTCCAGGATTGTTAGCCTATTTTTAGACTCCTGCCTTCCTCCTAAAATGCCTCATTTGATTACTTATCTAGAAGTTGATAGAGGAAGATAAACTGTCATATCAAATTTTGAAAGGCTGGTGTTTCGAGCATATGCCCTTCGTCAGAGATGAGAACCTCTCCGAGATTATACCCACCTTCCACAGTTTCCTTATTTCAATCAGTACAACATGTGTAGCAAGAGTTTTCTGACCACCCCATCTCTAACTATTTGTGGTCTCTTTAGAGTTATCCCAAATGCTAACCTTGGAGATCTAACGTCTACACACCACAAGGAACCATCCTCTGTTCCACCAACAGCTTCGTGTTCCGACAAAAATGCACAACAGTTCACAGCTGACGAACATTTTACCTGAAAAACCTAACAATCGTAGATATTAAAACCGTCTGGGTAAAACGCTTCTTTCCGAGGTATTTAGCACTGTCCATGTCGTTCACAAGTCCTTTTACTTTGTTTTGTTTGTTTCCTTTTTGTATTTAACTCCGATCAGAAAAGCTCATCAAGACCCAAAAAACATTTAAGATTTAAGTAATTCATCAAGTAGGCCACAATGTACCTTTTCCTTGTTACGTACGTCCACACCCTCAAGAAATCCGTCTTCTTGGGCGAGTAAAAGTAATTTCCCAACAGTCCCAACCTCTCGCTCACCTTAAAAGTACAACACCACAAAGAGAGAATAAATAGTACACTTCGTCTTTGAACTCCATTTTCGATATTTTACTTCACCTTTCATAGGAGTGTTTAGCAAAAATTCTTTCCACACCCTTAAGGAGGCACCTCTAAATTTTGAAGGGTGCATGTGTGCGTGTGTGTAGGAGTATAGAGTAGAGAATTGTATCGCATGGTATATTATAATATAGTATAGTATGGTACAGAATGGTATGATTTAGTATAGTGTAGTATAGAGGAGGGCCAGAAACCTCAGCAGAAAAGATAATGCAAAACCGGAACTTACTGAAATAAAGGGATTTTACTTGGCTCCCTTTTCAAAGGAAAAACATCATTCTGACAGTTTGAATAAATGGACCGAGAACAACCAAATAGATGGAAAATGTTAGGCTTGGCTTTTGAACAAACAAAGACCAAAGATGGTATCTATTTTTAATGAAACCTGGAATAAGACAGAAGGTAGTCCTACAAGAGGATTCCCTCCTCAGACTTTCACATTTTAGGATGTTCAACTACAGAGCTACTGAAAACCCTCTGATGAGCTACTAGACGTATTGAATTCATTTATGACAGGCATTCCCAAGAGCCCATCTTGGTTTTATCATATCTTCATAATATTTATGTCACCAGACTACACTCTTACTAGATTGGTTGTCTAACTCAGGAGTACTTTCCATCCCTTGGAGCTGTGTCAATGCACATGAATTCACAGGACAGTCACCACTTGACACAACTGCCAGACACTTGGCTTCTCCACAATCCCACAGCCGTACAGTTCCATCCCTAGAACATGCTTTTAGAATAACACCAACAAATAACATAACATGTCATGGAGCACATTATTTGCATGGGTGAGGGTTGGTGGAAATTTTGGAAGTAGCTGGTTGTTGCCTCTTGATGAAGAAATTCTTACAGATCATGGTAAACTTTAAGCTCTATCATCAAACTTTTCAAAAGTGTGGCAACAAAGGCAAATCTGAGTTCTTCATTAGGATTTAAAAACCCAGTCAATTTTGATCTCAGTTGTGGAGTTTTCAAGTCATCAACTTAAATGACTTTATGCAACTTCAAGTCAACAAAGATCTCATATTATCCACATTTATTTAGTTTTGTTTCCTAACTTTCCAGTTTTTTAATCATGAATTTTGGGATCACTACAGGCAAGCTGGGAAGCCTTCCATGGTACTTTTATCAGATCTGTGTCAACCTTGTATAACACACCTGGTGTTAATATGTTAATACTACCCTGTGGCTATATTATATCGATATAACAAACAATTGAGTTAAAATTTATCAGATCTTAAAACAAAGATCCTTTTCGTGCTTACATAAAACATTTCTTCCTCTGTCAACAATAGCTGTGTCAACAACTCCTGCAAATTACAAGTAACAGTTAAAGATAAATTGTCAATGACAGAGGAAATGGCGACCACATATTAAGCAACACTTTAGAAATGAGAAGTTGTTTCAATAGTGAGCCACACTTTTGTCAAATTTCTGGTTGTGCAAGCAGAAAGGATGAAAGAAATTCAGTCCTAGCTGGAATTAAGAGCAGGGAAGATGGACCTATGTGTTGCAAGGCATAGCCCATATTGCTTCTGGAACAGAAAAATTGTAATGTCTTGGCAATAAGTAAATACTTGTTGGATCAAGTTTGTTTGGTCAACTTGAAGATGGCTGGACATTGTTCTTGAATCTTGAAATCTTTTGGATCTGGACTTCATAAAGCACTAGCAAATAGTACCCACTTAGAGTGCAGTAAAATAATAACATAAAAAAGATGAACAATACATCTTGTCCTTGAAATACCTCCTGTATGGCCCTTCAATGTCACAGGACAACTTCCATCTTCTGCTGACCAGATTTTTAGCCGCAAATCAGCACCACCACTTAGAACAACTTTTCCAGATGGAAAGAATTTACAAGTATTTATGTCTGAAATGTGACCTTGAAGATCATGCTGCAAACAACACAAGCACCATCATCTTAATATGTGATCTGTTAAGACACAGATTTAAGGTGAGACCAGAAATGAAATAATGTGTTTTTTGAAGGGGCTGCACAATGAACACCATTATCAAAATTAAGTACCAGTACATTTGCATTTGTAGTATCCTATGCTGTAGTGTAGAGGTACAGGCCTGTAATACTCTCTGTAAATAAAACCATACCCTAACAACACCAGTGGAAGTTTCCCAGACAAGAAGAGTGCTGTCATCTCCACTGGACACACCTAGTCCCCCTCCAGGGGATATATCTATACATCGAACCTGAAAGCCAAAATTAGTAGATCAATATCAGGCCAACTTAAGTTAAAGTAAAAATTTATGTGGATTACAAACAGAGCAGAGGCAAGAGCACTGTCATTCCTCTGCTTAAGCTAAGTTTGATTCTAGACATAGTTAAACATGTGGCTTCAGTTTGCTGCTGTTTCTTTTCCCTGACATAGGGTTTTCTCCATTTCCCCAGTTTTTGTTTCTCCACAAAAAGCAACAATTTAATTCTCCGAATTCCAGAAGTCACCTAAATTTCATGCCATAATCAAAATTTTTGTTGTCAGGAACTTCTCAATCAACGAGGAGAGATTAACAATGAAAGAATCAGAGAAGGGTTGGCCAAACTTACTATTACTATAGGTAATAACACGATTTCAAGTACAATTTGTTGTAAATAAGCACAAGTAAATTTTTCAAAGGCAACAAAATTGCACAAGCCAATACAGCATTGGTGCAATTTGTATTATTTAAAAAAATTAACAAGTGCCTATCACACGAAATGTCAAGAAAAAATATATTATTACTATTTAGAAAAGTACACGAAAAAGCGAATAAAGGGGGTAAGTTTCTAAAGAAATTGTGGTGCTGTGTCAGTGGGAGAGTATAACAGGGTAATTTAGTGTTATCAACTAAGTTGAAAACATAAATTGGCCTCTGTAAAGAGTTTAAAGACTAATGCTTGAAATGACAGCATTTAAACTCTTTACAGTGGCCAATTAATGTTTTCAACTCAGTTCATTAACACTAAATTACTCTTCATGAAAAAACACCGTAGAAAGCCACACTATGAACTCAAAACCCATGAAAATCTTGTGAAATAATTCATTGTAAATTCACAGATTTTTCACAGGATTTTCATGGTTAAATCAATGACATTTTCATGGTCTCAGTGACATGAAAAAGACCTGAAAAATCCCATGAAAAACCTGTGAAAATTTCCATATTCACGACCCATGAAATATTGAGTAAAGTGACCTAGAAGCCATGAAATACCCATGAAAATGGCATTTCATGGCCTTTTCAAAGGTACTGAGAAACCCATGAATTTCAAGCCCAAAATTTCATGGTGTCAAAGTTCACTAGTTTTTAATGGGTTGCAGCAAATCATGACCCATGAATATCCTGTGAATATGTTAAAAATTCATTGACCATGAAAATTTTCCTTGAATTTTCATGGCCTCTACATGGTTTTTTCATGGCACATGAAAGTTAATTGCCAGTTAGTTTTCATGGGGTTGTTAGGAATATGCAAGCACCATGAAAATTCTTTGAAAACCCTCTGAATTTGGAATTAAAAATTCTTAACTTTTCTTGTACCAAAGATGGTACTACAGTGTATAGCTTGCAGTATACCATAACTGTAATACATACACTATCACTTAAATTATACACTGAAGAACTAACCTATCTGTGAAACTTCTTGGTCCTATTGTACAAGCACACACGCATGAAAGACATGACCAGAAGTTTGGATTCTCTGATAGTTTATTTTGTTTCACCAGCTGTACATAAATATTACTTTAGGATTCGAAAATTGTGATAATTCAGTTTACACTTTCTTAAATAAAAAAAGTTGGTATGAAATTTTCTGCATAAAATTAAGATGTTAATGATTTTTAGCTCTATTTTGATATCACTGATTTTCCTTGTGGAGACAGATTCTGCTCCTATCTTTCTGAAGATATATAATAAATTTGATGTGAAAAATATTTGGACGAAATTATTGAAAATATACTCACTGGCTTGATGTATTTTTGTCTAAACTTCAAATATCATTTCCTTCGTCTAATATCATGTGTAAAATGTTATGGACAGTTATTATAATGTCTATTTATGTAACAGCATTCATGTAAATTTCTTGATATGTTTTACACTTGTGATCAATACTGACTCAAGGTAACTAACAACAAAACAATTACCAACTTTCTGCACTCTTGCATGTGTGAAGATATATCTATGGCTGACTATGTCAGTGTCTCTCTGTTTTGGCCACCTGAATGTGCCATCCTTCTTTCGGTTATCATTACTATTTGCATTTTCATCATCGTTTGGACCAAGACAGGCTGCTTTAGCAAGTTTGCATTTCCTTTCATCAGTTTTGTAGACCAACACTCTTCACTGTTTGCAAAATAAAGGGAGCACATCATCAGTTATCTAAGAGCCTTTCTTATGTACGTAATAAACCTAGAAATGGATAACTCGCCAAAACAGGTTCTTTTCAACATGAAGCCGTCAGATACTAAGCGACGCACTGTGGAAGTGAAGTGAGGTATTTCGTATTCAGAATTTGACTGTATTTTTTATTCCTAAGAACGGTCGTAAGTATTTCCATACAAACTCTTGTGATGTTTCGCCAGATGATCTCAGAATAAAAATTTTCAAGTTAAATCAATAGTTAGCGCGCGCGCTCCGATGTTTACGCGTAATAAGATGACCAAGCTTGAACTTACCCCTTCACGTTGTAATACATGTCGATAACTTCATCTTGAGGAAACCTCTTTGAAAAAACTTTTCAGACGGTCCATTGCGTTGATCTGGAAAAAAAGAGACTGCTACACAAACACTACGAGAAATGCAATTGGAATGGAACCATTCCGTTCGAGGTACGAAAAAAACCGCCACTTCTTCGTAAATCACGTGTACTTTCACGTGGTGACCTTAGGTCACTAAGGTCATTTGTTCCACATTTCGTGTAGATGCAATGCGCACTATTGCTGTGCAACTTAAGCATCTGTACTCTGCAGGTGCCTTACTGGAAAAGCCCTAGAAGATTCCTCAGCCGTAAGAATGTAAGAGAAGGCCTTGAACAGGTTTCCAGAGTCATGGCTAACAATCAAAGCCAGCAGTAAGGCAGAAAAAATTCAACAAAGTCGTCCAGGCATGGCGAAGGCAAAAAGGCCCCAAAAAATCAAAGTGAGGATCAAACATCTGGGTCATTGCCTCCAGCCCCATTTGTCTCAACAAAGGAGCAAATTGAAGATCCATTGTTTTTAGTCATTGTTTTGTGATTTCCTGTACATTTTACATTAACAAAGGCCACTTAAGATGTTTAGGGACATTTTCATTCGACGGTTTTCGCGCTGTACACCAAAATTCCATCAGTGCATAAATTTATAACAAGTTAGTTCCACGGATCATGAAAGTCAGCTTGTTGATAAATCAGTGACTGTGATGAACTCATTATTACCACTTTTAATGGCCTATGAATTCATCAATGAAATTCATGGGCAACAGATTTCAGGGAATATTCATGGCCCATTAATTTTGTTCTCCCGAAACAAATAAATTGTTAGCCCATGAAATGCTGTTTGAATGCAATTCATGGGCATGAAATTCATTCTGATGACTTTCTGGGGAAACTAATGGGTCATGAAAGTAGACTTTGAAGAAATTCATGGGTCATGAAAGTAGGCATATAAAGAAATTCATGGGTCATGAAATTAATTCTGGTGACTTTCATGGCAAATCAATGGGTCATAAAAATAGACTTTGAAGAAATTCATGGGTCATGAAAAAAATTCCCCTAATTCATGGAAAATTCAGGGCTAAAAATAACCCCATGAAATTTCATTTTGCAGTATTCATGGGCCATGAAATGATCTTCATGGGTTTTTCACATGAAATTCATGGAATTTTCATAAAACTACAGTTCATAGTGCCAAGACAGACAAAATTTTGAAAGTGTGCATCCACTATTTGCAATTTACACTCATACTTCAACTTTGCACGTGTTACATAAGAATTAATGCTCTTGTTTTCAGCCAATCAGAAGCATGTAATTGTTTCATGCACATTATTATACAAAGTATAAAAGGCTGATCTTGAGAAGCTCTGACTGTGCTTTCAGACTGTTAATGCTCAAGATATAAGCAATACCTGGACACATAACCATGGTATTATTTCATTCAGAGAGCTAGTTATTTCATTTATTTACAACTACTGCACTTACACTTTTGCTGTGAAGATTTTGGAAAGATCCACTTGGGGAAATAAATTTTGAAGAACAATTTGCTTCTGGAAATGACAGAGTAAGGCTAGTCTGATAATTGAATGGAAAAGATGAATTTAGATTTCTTCAAAACTGCAATTATACTAAGCACAAAAAACTTAACACACTTTTTGGCTGATTTCCTACCTTGCTGACATTTTGTACTGAAAATCCTTCTGAGGCCTCAACAGATATGGTGTTATTATCTACATCTTCTTCAATGCTTTTTGCTCTGACAAGTTCTCCATAAATTGTGGGCTGGTCTGAAAAATAACATCTTTGGGTGAAAACTTTATACTTGTTGTGATTATGTTTTGTGTATAATTTAGGTCTTCAAAAATTACCATCTCTTGCTTCCACAGAATGTTCTCTAGTTATGTCTTTGATTACTTTTTAATAAAGTTTGATCTTCAACATAAATTTCAAAAGGATGATGTTTAATCAAACCATCAAATTTTAATGTTGGGTATTTTATCTTAAGCACCCAAATAAGCCTCTAGTGGCCCATAAATATTTAGTGCACTTTCTTGACAAGGAGCTCGTAAGAGACTGGAGCTTATGCAAGAGGGATATATGGCTTATTAAAAAAAAAAACAATTAAGAACCAAATGCCAGTCAAGTGTTATTTTTCATCAGACTTATAAATGATTAACTGAACAAGCAAAAATGTATGAGGTTGAAAACCTATGATATTACTTAGGAGACTATGACAGGCTATCAAATAAATGCATGTTTCTATTCAACCTTGTTAAAAATATACCCATAGAATTATCAAAGTTGGAGTTTTTGATAAAGAGAATTCATGGTCCATATTAACAGGTGGGTGTAATTAAAGAATTTATTGAAAGTCTTGATTTGCTTGCATCTTTAGGTTGAAATTTTTTTTTGTAATATTCACACATGTACATTCACAGTTCCAGAACTTTACATTTAGTATGTTAGCCTTACTGATTCGAGAGCAAGAAATCCAAGCCTTTCCACCAGGGTTTCTAAAAAAATACATTTAGGAAAGATTACATATTACTGAAGACTTATCTTTACCTCAAATACAACCCAAACACAATCAGGCATACTTGAGGCCTATCATAAAACATAGGCATGCATAGCATGCAACAGTAATTTTTTTGGCTGTATGGGCTGAGAAAGAACACTGTGTGTAACTTTCAAATGGATGAAAATATCACATTACTTCACCATAAGAAAAAGAAAAAAGAAACTAATTTATCTGAACTCACACAGATATTTTGTGGTCTATTGTCTAAATACTTCTAAGCAAAAATAAAATGCATTTGTGCCACACTTACTGTTGCTTCCCTCACAACTGTTGTTTAGTTTTGTCACACAACACCATACATTCCCCATTTGAGGGAGAGCGCATTGTGTGATGAGACCAAATAATGGTTGCAAAAGAGACTACACTTACTGCTGTTCCTCTAGCAGAGAGACAATCAAAATTATTTGTCTACAGTAAATTGCCTCCAAAATATAATTCCATGTAATTTTACTACGAAAAGCAAACTGAAACTATGTTGTATCTCCAATAGACCCTAAACAAGATATACTGTGATCTTGAATAAGTGAAAATACATTGAACAAGAGAAAAGGATAATATTTTAAAGAGTGCTCCTTGATTGGTTGTTGTCTATCTGGACTTTGTCCTCTGTGTGTAAAATGCGTGATAAAATGCAGGTTGTTTACGAGGAATTAACATGTGATTGGATTAAGTCCACAGTAGCTAAATGCCAATTTTATTTGTAGAAAAAGTTAAAAAGGTAGGAGAATTGCTTGGAAAATTTACTGACAGTGCCGTTTAGTTCCATGTGAATTTTTTTCAGTGGGATTGGACAATGCCATTAGAATATATGATTAAGTGCATGTTGTTTACAAGAAAATGACACGTGATAGAGCATAAGTCCAGCTTGGCAAAATGGAATTTGACTGTTGGAATACAATTCAAGCAAGTAAAAAAATTGCCTGATGTTCATATAGAGCAATGATTTGGTATGTTCTGATGGCAGTTACTAAAACAAGGAATGAACTAAAATGACCTAAAATGACCATAAGTGATTTCTAAAATGACCTAAAATAATCTAATATGACCTTGAGTGATGTGAACAATGTGGCGTTGCCAAATTCTGGATCGCTTCACACTGGATTGGATTGGATTGTTCATTTCAGTTTGCAGATTTTACGTGGTTTAGCATTTGGTTTTTGGTTTTCATCAAAAATTCAAATGCGTTTTCCATATTTTTTTCATTTTTTCTTCAATCTGAGGGGTAATTAAGCGCCTCCACTGATCTTGAACAGCTGCAAAATGCAAATGTCATTGAGAGCAATGTGTGACAAACCAAATGTCAGGAAGGTAACTTCTCATTGGTTGAATATTGTAGGGATTCGTAGAAGGTCTTATGTCTCGAATAGCCCTCGAGACTTTGACCTTGCAATGTGAAGCACTTAGGTTGATCAGTTTGCAAACTATGGCTTCCAATGTGCCTCATGCATCAGCAACGGAAGAAGGTTAAGGACCTTAAGAAGCAACTGCGGATTGTGTCACGTATTTCTTAACTGACTGATTAAATGATACATACCTTTTGCTTGCCTTCGTCCATGGTGGCACTACACAACACTCCTTGACACAGCTGTGAAAGTGACAACATGGGGTTTTTGGGCCAAAAAACTCCCAGAGGGGCCTATGCTCTATTTTGTCATGCAGACTTTATTCCAGCTTCTTGCGCAAAAATTTTATTTTACATGATCCAATCCGTGATCTGGTCTGAGATCTGATCCGAGATCCAATCTGTGATTCAATTCAGTCCAATCTAGATTTTGTTGGTGCCACAAACTCAAGGTCATTTTAGGTCGTTTTAGGACATTTTAGAAATCACTTAGGGTCATTTTAGGTTGTTTTAGGTCATTTTTAAAGTCACTCAAGGTTGTCCTAGGTCATTTTAGGTTGTTTTAGCTCATTTTAGGTCATTTTAGGTAATTAAGGGTCATTCCTTGTTTTAGTAACTACCATGTTCTGATTGGACTTTGGATATTGTTTTCATGGTATGTGATGGAATGTTACAAAAGTTGTTTGGTGTGTGTGTTGTGAGTACAGGAGCAGAAAAAACGTGTCAACTTAAAAATGATACAAAAAGGTTAGATGCAAACATTTTATATCCTGATAAATCTCAACCTTAATTGACGAGGCTCTCGCGAAGGCCACAGACCATTACACTTATTAAAATTAGCCCAAAATTTACGGTTTCTGTCATTCTTTGTGCACAGCCACTTGATTCCATGACAACATTTGCAAGAAAGCTCTGATATAAGGGGTGCAAGATACATACCCTAATGCGGCAATCTGATCGCAGAGTTTTATATATATATATTTATAATAACTCAAAAACGTTCCACCACTGCGAATACATGGACATACCTGAGGGCTTCCTTCCAATCCCACTGTATGTTCAGACGAGGTACCTCAAAGATGTTTATGTTTCCTTCCATGAGCCATAAAATAGAAACTGTTTGAAAATAAACTACGAAAATGAGTTAAATTCGAAAATTCCTTTGCACATTTAACGTGAATAAGAGCTTTTCTGCAAATCATCGAGGTTAACAGTCCGCCATCTTTAATATTTAGCCACGGATAGACTGGAAACTAATTTATTTACATTGTAAGTAGGTCCGCCAAGTGTTGAGTACAGTTGTCGTTCGCAACTTTTCCTTGGGCCAAGAAAAAAAAGGATAGACTAACGAAGCAAGCAATCATTTTTTTCAAAATGGGGAAGGGGGTGGAAAGGGGGGGGGGGTAGGGAGTTCACAGGAGAGAGTCATTAAGTTTTAAATTCCAATAAGAAAGGGAGTTCTTCCAAAATTTGGAGAATCACTTCCTTTTTCATATTATACAGGTTTTCACAGGTTGACATAAAAAAGTGATCCCTGAACTCATGACATTATGGAGGTAATCAAATAAGTACTTTGCCACCTTCGTGCGAAAATGACGTGTTCTGCTGAGAAACGGGAGCATTATTGAGAACTGCTCAGAAAGCCTTTCCCCCGCTCTGTCATGCCTCACAGAGAACAGACAATGATGGGGTTATTCTGTCCGAAAGGACACTAAATTTCACAGTGTTGCCTTTAACACAAAAGAGTGATTCCCAGTTCAACAGATGGAATTCGATTTGGGCCTTCTTTATACAACCGCTCTCAGTTTCTGATATTGCTTTCTTCTATGCCTCCGATATGTAACCCAGTTTCGACCCAGTTGCTAATTGATTCGTGCTGTCAAAGTGATTGAGTATCTCTGTATCTCCGGATTATGGTATCCCTGTGGTACTCCAAGATGTTGTACTCACGATATGGTACTGAACATTTAGGGAAATATTTAAAAGAAAAATTAGAAAAAGAAACCTTTGATCTACCATGTTTGGGTTAGCTACGATGTTGCACAAGCTCAAAAAGACTAAAGTCAAATCAACAGTCACGCTAATGCTTGATTAAACACTAAATGTCGGCTTCTTATTGCGATAACCAAGTAATCAGCTTGGGTTAATCCGCAATATCAGTTACTAAAAATACCATAAAGATGTTTTTGTTTCACTCTTAATTTAACCAAACATGTTTCAAAATCTTGATAAATTTAATACTTTAGTTTCGATGGCTTCCAACATGTCCAAAGCAGTTTATCTTACTTTAGCTAAACTCTTAAGTAATTGATAATTTTCAAGTTTGCGCATCTTTGCAAAACTGTGGTCAGCATTGTGATATGATAACTTTTATGTCACTTATCCGTGTGGTTTTAATCACGTTTTCCCCGAGGATTCATAGGAATGTGACACAAATTAGCCCAGCAACCAATCAGAGCGTAGAGTCCTTTGTAACTATGAACACTGTCTTGAGGGCAACTCGTACGTGAATTAAGAGAGCAGTCACATTAGGTAGAAGTAGATTATAAATGCTTCTTGAGAAAACGGAAAAGAGGATCACAAACCCCAGGTAAATTTTCACTCAAAGCTCGATTGTTTGAAAGACTCAAATTATTATGATTTTTGCATCAGCTTTCGTGTGATACAGTAATTTTTGACGTGCAATGTTTAGATGCTATCGATCTTTGCAGATGTAATGCTTGTAATCTAAGCAACTTCCTAAAAATGTCATTTAAGCATTGGTCAAACTATGGTGGATGGTCAGAAAGAGTCTGCATAATTTTTTTCGGATTGACAAATCACGAGCCTCACGATTTGATCCTGAAGCAACAAGTAGTGGGACACTCTTTGACGGTGTGCTTTCTGTGATCCGGAACACCAACCAATCAGAAAGAAAGGCTTAAGCTAAAACATTTTACAGAAGCTTCAACACAAGTGTTTCTTTCTTTACCAGGGTTTCATCCGGCCCCGTAAATACTAAATTGAAGCCATGCAGTTGAACTAAAAGGTCGTGATGTTGTGTTGATCTTCAAGATGGAATTGTATTACCATGGGAGTTTGACTGGAGTGTGACAAACGAAGACAATATTGGAAACAAAGAAAGTCAACCGTCTGGTCCCCAATTTGGGGGCCAGATCGGCTTGTTTCCTTCAACTGCAAATAGTTTTGAGGTTCATGAAGTCACCAAGTACATCGAGAATTGGAGCAAAGATGGAGGCATTCAAGTCATACGGTAAACATTTTGTCAACGCCATTTGCATGCGCTCTAATATTTGTTTACATTTCGTGAAGACTCTTCGACTAAATTCGAAACTTGTTGAAAAAGTCTCTCCAAGTTTTCTGACAGCTTTAATAGGCTTGTTTGATCATGGAACCAGACTGAGGCAGGGAGATCGTTGTTTTGTCCAATTTCACGCTTCGCACCAACAATATATTGATGGATGTTTCTCCTAATTCAGTGAAAGGTATCTAATATCATTTTCTCTTTTCTGTGGTCTTCTCGAGTGCTTTTCCATTTTGTAATTAACTATTTGATACGTCCTTTTATCTCGTGTTTATTCAAAAAAATTTGCCGCAGACGTTTTGGTCTTAATTCTGATAAAGCTTTCGGGTGAGCATATCTAAGTAACTTAACCGACAATTTAACCAACATAACTAGAGCACTGCAACAGTATCGTAGAGGTCATGGGTTCAAATCCCGTACAGGCATGAATTTTTTTTTCAGGCTTTATTTTCACTACTGCTTGAGTAGTGGTCATTACTGCAAAGATTGCTTTTATATTCACTTCTGTATCTGCGGTTCACATATATGGTTTCTATATATTCACAGTCATCCAATACTCCTCTACTGGTTACAAAGAAAGTGAAAATTACCAAAATGATATATTTGACCAATCAACAATCCTTAAATACAACATTAAAAATATCTTTAAGTACTTTAAATGATTCCTATTTTTAAGGAAATATTTTAACAAAATCATCCAGTCAATGTAAAATGCAGACTGCAGACCGGGGGTAAAATGCAGACTGAAGACTGTAGACTAGGGGTAAAATGCAGACTGAAGACTGCAGACTAGGGGTAAAATGCAGACTGAGGGTAGAATGCAGACTGAAGACTGCAGACTGGGGGTAAAAGACTCGGTTCTAAAACAATCCGCTTTCCCACAATAACTTCAAGAGTGAGCTGGGATCTAGGCTGTGCAAGTTGTGTGATACTGGCAATAATCGTCATGGCGATTGATGGTTCAATCAATTTTGAACTTCACTTCCTCAGATGGTTTAGGTGTTGAACATATTGTTTTGAGATAAGAACAATTAGAAATGTAAGCGTTTTAATATGCAGTTCACAACCAGCTAATTACATTTCCCTTGTTAGTATGGGTAATCACATGATTTTGAGTGCAATTTGGAATAAATAAGCATGAGTAAATTTTTCAAAGACTAACAAAATCACATGAACCCATGGGGCAAGTGCAAATTGGGGTCTATTATTTATTCCAAATTGTAAGAGGAAAATCATGTGATAAGGTTTTAATAATATACATGAAAAAATACGAGATAGCTTATTATAATTATGCAGAAGCAAAGTGCACACATTAAGTACAAAAATTATTTATTCAAACCTTGCAAGTGACATTGTGCGTTTGGTCAAAACAATAATATATAATGATATTTTCACATCTTTAAGGTGCAAATAAGTTCAAAGTCTGGCTAAACAGTATAAGGAATTGTTCAGTCTGGTTTGTTACTTCTTTACACTGAATTAATCCTCTTCTGCATTGAATCAACTGAAAGCTGCATTTATCTTAACCAATCAGAACTGAGTAATTTTTTCATGCATCTTATTAAGGAATGAAAGTTCTGCTGAGCAATACTAGGTAGCTTTAACATACATGTAGCTCATGTATACTTTGTTCGGCCTTGAAAATAGTAGCAATAGACTTTCATCACACCTTGGCAACAGCCAGTTACAAGTAAGACACAAGACTGTTGAATCTAATCATTTCATTGGCTAAGCAGAAAAACAGTTGTAAAATTGCAACTGACGGAAAAATGTTAGAGGCAAAAGGAAAATTTTTAGTTGTGAATGCAACTGTATCGGTCGCAATGGTGAGCCTTGACTGACTATAGATCCCACATGACCCCAAAGTCATAGCAACAATGGCCATGGTTGATTCTGCATTTTACCCCTGGTCTGCAGTCTTAAGTCTACATTTTACCCTCAGTCTGCCTTTTACCCCCAGTGTACAATCTGCAGTCTGTGTTTTACACTGACTGCAAAATCATTTAACCTTGAAATTAGAGTTTTGGTGTAGGAATTGCATAATAAGGATTTCTTTTAATTTTGTGCATGTTGAAATTTGTTTTAAGCAAAGTAGTAATTTAGTAATTTATTTTAACATCAGTTAGTTACACTGTAGGTAAGGAATTGTTGTAGTTTTATAATACTGTTTGAGTCAAATGTTTGCTTTTCAACTATTTCAGTATAAATTTGTGTGTTTAATTATGGACAGTGTTTTTTTCTCTTTTAAGTTATTGATTATTAAAAAAGAAATATTGACAGATGAAATCATCATTAAATCATTGTACTAGGTATTTTGAAGTAATCATTGCTGTGTAATCTGTAAACACAGTAGTTTAATTTATGCCACAACTTTAAAAAATAACAAACAATTCAAATCAGGCATTGTGGGCATTGCAACAGTCCATTAATAAGTTTTGTTGTATTTGATATATAAAACAGCTTTTGGTGGAAGAATGAATGTGTGTAAATGATATGAATCTTTGGAGAGGTATACTTTTAAAAGAAAAAATGATTATCTATTTGGTGAAATTCCCACTGACATGCAGCTGGCTGTGATAACACATGCTGTTTCACAGCATGATGGAAGTATAGAATTATTTGTTTCAAACTCCTTCTCCTCTTGTGTGTATTTCATGTTGGTGATGCCTGTTCATTCTCGAAGGTCTACCCTCAAGGCTAGTTTGCTTCTGTCATACTATTTAAATTACTTACAGTTGTATTTAAAAACTATCATGAAGAGAGAGATTTGATTTTGAAATATATTGGAACTGAGTTCTGATCATTGTTTTCAGTTAACTTAAATTTCATTCAACAAATAAGATAATTTACAGCAGGATGTTAAAGGAGACATAATTTTGTTTTCTTTTTATGATCCTGCATTTCATGATTTATTCATAAATGTATTAAATGTAAATTATGGAATGGTGCTAATTAAGATAAAAATTGTAAAAATTACACTGCTTTCTAAACATTTTAGAGAATTTGTTGAAGAGACAAGACTTGGCCACTTCATTGTGAATTGTATCAATATTGCATATATCATCAATATTACTTTTGATCTTGTCACCTGTTTTTGTGATAATGATTATTTCATTGCATTTTGAGCTGAATATAGAAAAAGTTCACTGATCTTTGAGTGAAATTAAGGGTTGATGTACAGGTACTGTTCATCTACATTTAGGTATAAACTTATTTGATGATTTTTTTACTTTAAAGACACTAAAACAAGATGTAAAGAATCATAATATATCTGTAATATTGTTTATCTACATGCAAGATCAGTTTACCCACAAAGGCATGCAATGTTTATTCTTAATTACAAGTAATATGAACATGATCACAAACACTAATAAACATATTTAAAACTGTAGGGAACCAGCCAACTTAAAAAGTACTTGTTTGTGAAATAACTTAGCAGTGTGATCCTAGCAATGTGGTGCAAGGCTATATGGAAACACTGTCCAAAACCAAGACAGCAATATTTGACCTCCATGACAAAGGTATATACTAATGATTGTTATTTAATAATAAAATTTCATTAGCCTTTATTCTCTGTATCATTTGTTGGGTTGAAAAACTGATCATGACACCCAGCCAATAACATCTATATATAACATCCATGCAGGGAAGGATTAAACCTCTAAATTCCATATTAATCTGTTTAAAAATATTGCAACTAAAGTGGGGCTTTCATAGTACTTAAACTTATATAATTTTAATTTGTAGTAATCATTTTGCGGCAGAAGTGAAATTTTTAAATGGGGCAGTACAATTTTTAGTGAAAGATAATTTTTTTAAATTAATGGTCACCAGTTGAGGTATTGCATTTTGTTTTGCATATCTCTATTAATAGGGATGCTTAATTTAAAAACAATAATTTATTTTCATCTTTAGAATGAGTTGATCCACAGTTTTTGCTAAATAGTAACTTAAACTGCACAGTAAACCAATTAAACAGCTTATTTTAACAGAAAATGACTAACAGGGAGAATTAAAGATTTTGCTGAAAGCTCTAAACAGATGAAAAGATTGCTATGTTTGCAAACTCAGTCATTTTGGAGGTAGGGATTTAAGACTATGCTATACCAAAGTTTACCTATTGACATGCAATATTTTTAAGAAAGAATGTTTTAGGAGAACCTCAGTACTTAAAAGCAAAAGGTGTTATAATTGGAAAGGCCTCCAGCAGAGTGTTGATGTTTGCTGTGGGCTTTGGTCTCGGATCTCAATTTGCATATTTTGTTTACATCATGTCATGCACTGGACAACAAAAGGGAATTTGTCATGCATTTTGCAAAATGTTGAGAAATAAGAGTCCTTATCAAACAGCCAAAAAGAGAAGCGATGCAGTAGAGCCCAAAAGCAAAGAAATCAAGGTTAAGTTTTTCTCTTTCCCCTGGCTTGGTTTTCCTACTTTTCTTTCTGCTTTCCCCAATGAATTTTGGATTTCATTAAATTTGTGTTCCTTGGTTTGGAAAATGACCTTTCCCATGAATTTCAAAGGAATTCTATGTCACAAGACTTGCTAGGGGTTCAGTTTTGCATTTCATTGGTCATTGGCATGACTGCCTTGACACATGCTAAAATGAGGTGCAAAAACTGAATTTCTTTGGAGGCTAAAAACTCAAGGTTTGTTTTTACCTGAGGTACCTCTACTTTAACAGGTTAATAGGGTATGTAGATTTGTTGGACTTTCATCAAAATTGGCCAGAATGTTTGTCAGATACTATAATGCACAAAAGTGTGTGAGGCTTTAAGGAAATTCTAAATATTCCTCTTGCAACATTCCAGAGCTTGACGACAACCAAAATATTTTGTATTGTTCAACTCTAAAAAATATTTTCTCAGGAACCAATAGAAATATTTGAAAAGCATCACACATTTTGTTAGCTTTTTATCTGCTGAGTGATACTGTCCAGTTTGTTTCAAGGTCTGCAGTAACGTGAAGGCTGGTGATTCGGTAAAGCAAACACCATCAATTTAATAATTAAATTTAGTTTTCTATGGTTTCTTCAAAAGAAGCTCACATGGATGATTTTTTTGGAAGGCATCCCATTTTGTTGACAGTAACCATAAGTGCTATGACACACAATGATTATTGATTTCACATGGATTTGCATAACTTATGCAGCATTTTCAAGGCAGTGAATATTTTCTTTACTTTTCAATGACATTTGATTTAGTTAAGAATCATTCCCCTACTCACTATGGCAGATAATTTTATATTTAAGGTAAACTTGTTACGGCAAATCAGTGGCTATGTTGGGACTGATCATGTTACACTTGTGTTGTACAGTTCCCTTGCAGAAGTTAATACCTTGTCTTCAGATGATGGTCCTTTGAGATGGGTCCCTGTTGTAGAAAGTGTGATACCAATTACCATTCACAGAAAGAAGGTAAAAATAATATTGATATTATATTTACACAACACATTACTATAAGTACTTGTGTGCTTCATAACATGTTGTGGGGGGCTTTGGCCAGACTGTATGTGGCAGTTGATAAAGTAAAGGAGGACAATTTTGCAGATGCCTCTAATTTTAGAATCACTCTAGCCACCTTGTCATCTGGGGTCTGTTTACATTGTTATAAATAACATGCTTATTGTATTTGCTTGTATGGGTGTCTCTCTTGTGAGAGGAATTGGTTTTGTTTTGTAGGTGGAAACAGGAGATGTGTTCCTTGTCACAGCATTGATGAACAATGAGACTGTCTTTAGTGCAGAAATAAACTTAAATGGTTAGTATGATTGTTTAATTCTGGTTCATTTGAAAAAAAAGTTGTAAATTTATGCATTTTATGAGGAAGGGACTTCCTTTTTGATTGTACAAAAATAATCATCTCTAATTCTGAAAGTAATCTGAATGGTAGCAGAGACCAATTTTTGTATGTGGCTCAAAATAGTGCCTTTTCCCTCTAACTGGGACACTGATTCAAGTGTTGATTCACATCTACATCTGCCTGTTTGTGCTATTTTCATGAATTCTAGTAGACTTAATGTGAGCATCAGGTGAGGTGTTGTTTGCAAGGGTCTTATCATTATTTCTAAAGAGTAAAGCTATCTACATGGATAAATTCTCTTCCGATTTGGAAAATTCTGCATGAATCAATTCACCGTTTAATGAAGATTTATCAGCAGTTAATGACCTATTCAATTCAACTCTTCAATCTGTAATGGATCATCATGCTCCCATTGTCCGTCGATCCATTACCTTTCGCCACCATGCTCCTTGGTTTACAGATGAAATTAAGGCTGCTAAGAGAAAGAGGAGAAGGCTGGAAAGACAATGGCATACTGATAGGACTAATGCCAAGCATCAGTTGTACACAGATCAGTGTTGTGTTGTAAATGACTTGACTTGAAATGTGAAAGAGGCCTACTACTCATCATATTGAGGCCAATCATGGAAACCAGCAAATGTTGTTTCAAGTGATTAATACTTCATTATACAGAAAACCTCTCACTCTGAACAGTTCAACTCCTTCTTTACCAACAAGATACCACTTATAAGGGAAAGTTTACCTGCTTGCAGTCCTAATACTTCAAATCTACCCCCAGAGAATTCCGCTATCCTGTGTCCCTGTGAGCTTGTGATCTTCCAACGTGTCTCTACTGAATACATTGCTAATCTCATTAGGTCAATCAAAGTTAAAACCTGTGCTCTGGATCCTCTGCCAGCTTTTGTCTTAATGAACTTTGTTTCTAGTAATTACTGACATAGTGAATTGTTCTTTAGAGGGGGCTTTTATACCTAATACACTTAAGTGTGCTATGATTACTCCACTTTTAAAGGAGTCTAGCTTAGATCCTGAAGAACTTTCATCCATTGTCTAATCTTCCATTTATTTCCAAATTAATTGAGAAGACAGTTGTGGCCTAACTTATGTAGTATGTTGATAAGAACAATCTCAGTGAAAAACTTCAATCTACCTATAAGAAACTGCATAGCATTGAGACCGCTCTTTTGAAAGTACAGGATGACATATTGCAAGCTGTGGACAATGGTGGCACCGTAATTTGGTTACTGCTTGATTTATCTGCAGCTTTTGACACTGTTGACCACAGTGTACTACTCCACAGAAGGGGAAGGGAAGGGTCCTCATGTGGTTCAAATCCTACATGGCTAGCTGGAATCAATTTGTCTGCCTGAATGGAACCAGTTCCAGCAGGTCTGATCTATTGTATGGTGTTCCTCAAGGTTCTGTTCTTGGCTCTATTTTATATCTTTTGTATACGTCTCCTCTTGGTGAAGTTACAAGAAGGCATAATATGAAATTTCATTTCTACACAGATGACTCTCAGGTTTATTTTTGGTTCGACTCTGATTTGTCTGTAATTGTGCCAAGAATTGAAGTATGTTTACATGATATTGTGACATGAATGTCTTTGAACAAACTTAAACTTAATGGTGACTAGACAGCTAGAGCTTTTGGTCATAAGATTGCAATATCGTCCAGTCTCTCAGCTCCTCTCTTTCACAGCGATTGATGGTTTAGTTATAAATCCCTCTCACACTAGCAGCAACAAAGGTGTTATTTTTGACAATAATTTGAACATGGAACAATGAGTGGCTACCATTTGTAAATCCACATTTTTTTAACAATTGTAATATTTCTCATATTAGGAAGTTCTTGTCAGCTGAAAGCACCAAAATGTTAGTGCATGCCTCCATAGTGTGTAGATTGGACAACTCTCTCTGTTATATGGACTTCCAAAATTCTTAATTTGTAGACTTCAGTTAGTTCAGAACTGTGCAGTATGTCTAATCTTATGTGGATCTAAATATGACTGCATTACTCCTTTACTGAGAGAACTACACTGGCTTCCCATAAAGCAGAGGATTGTTTTCAAAATCCTACTGTTGACTTTTTAACCTTTAAATGATTTAGGTCCTAGCTATATTCATGATTTGTTGCAAACTTACAAGCCGTATAGGAATTTACAATCATCAACCAGGAACTTGTTAGTGACACCTAAGGTTAAAATTTTATGGTGATCATGCTTTTTTCAGTTTGTACCCCTAAACTTTGGAATAATCTTCCAGAGCATATAAAATGTAGTTTAAATCTTACATCTTTTAAGAAAGATCTTTTTAAGTGCTATTTTAATTTGTAGTTTTGCTGTAGTTTTTTTGAATTTATTATCTACTAAGTTACTGCTTTGAACATTTTATTGTAAAGCGCCTTAGAGCTCTAGAATAGGACACTATAGAAATTTTTGTATCATTATTATCTAAACCTTCACCCTCTTCCTTTTGTTACTTATTACATTTCTTGTTTTATGCCTTGGTACGATCGGTCCTCGAATACGCCTGCATCACTTGGTCTACTAGCCTACCAATTTACCTCAAGGACATGATCGAAAGAGTTCAGAAAAGAGCTCCGCGTATATTATTTCCGGCGCTGAGCTACAAAGACGCCATTGTGGCTGCAAACTCCACTCGCTTAAATGTGAGAAGAGACGAACTCTGCAAGAAAGTTTGGGACGGTATCTGTGTGCCTGGGTCACGGCTGTACCACCTTATTCCACCAAAGCGCGCCGATTGCCACGTTTATGAGTTGCGCAACAAAAACCATGTATCACTCTTTAAATGCCGGACCGAAAGATTTAAAAAATCTTTCTTTCCAACAATGGCGTCTAACGCCCAGTTCTTGTAGTCAAGCAAACCTAAGCGTTTTTCATTGGTATATAACTACTGACTCTTGTAATTCCCAGTCCCCTTAGACTTTTAATTTTAAAGTCAAATGTAAGATTGTCGTATTTTTTAAATATTTAAAGTATACTTGTAAATTCACATGTATTTCACCACTGGGGTGCTATTTTTGAATACTTTTAATAAACCCTTCTATTATTAATCTATTAATACTTGACAACATTACAGGTAGAAGATTTATGAGAGAAATCCTGGATATTGTAAGTGTTTGCATATAATATTAATCTTATAACTTTAAAATTTAAAAACTTTTTCAGAAATTCGGCTCAAGAAGACATCTGAGTGTTTTGTGCAGTGGAGAAATCGTAAATCAAGTAAGTATTAATTAAAAGTAATTTGAAAAATTGCCTCTCTAACATGGTTACCTATTCATTATGAGTGATATCTTTCAATTGATGTTGTTCAATGTAAAAATAATGTTAACCTGAGAATTTTGGAAATTTATTGAAATCTATTTTTCCTCTCAGCAAAACCATGTAAAATAATGTATCATGAAGTGATATGATTACTGACCTTTTATATACTGTGAGATCAATCATGCTCTAATCTAGGAATGCTTTTTTTTTAAAATCTAATCTAGATATGCTTTTTTTAAATTTTACTAAATTTGCAGAGAGTCATGCATGGGGACTGAACTTTGTATCAGAAGAAGAAGCTCAGAAGTTCTTAGATTTTTGCAGTGTATGTGTCATTTTTCAGAATATCTATTCATGAGAGTATGATATTTTATGTTACATATGTCACCTTTTTATCTCTGTAAGTAATCATTTACCAAGCAACAATCTAGTGGCTGGTAAAGAGTATTCTTTTATATATTAATCATTGTTGCATTGAACGTAAAAACAATTAGGTATAAATGATTGTTGACGTGAAAACCAGTGTCATCATTATTGATTGGATGTACTGTAAATATAGCCATAGTTTTCTCTGAACAATGTGTTGTGTTGCTAATAGCCTGGACGGGTGCGTTCCACATCAACCACATCATCATCAAATCTTTCACTGACCAATCAGCCAAAATCAGGTGGACAGACCAAGGTATCTTCTTGTTTCTTTTAGCTTTGTGATTGTGGGTTTTTTTTTGTTTTTTTGTGAAAGTTGGCTCAGGTTTGTTTCAGTCAAAGTCAAATTACTACAATCCACAAGCAGTGATGGCATTTAGAAGCTTTTCAATAAATTAATAGAAATGTTATTCCTAACTCCGATCAAATTATTTAAACAGCTTCCAAAGCAAAGAAAAGACAGCTAAAAATGAAGTGTTTTTGTGTTGTCACTTCAGCATTTGATACTTATCCCATAAACTCCCAGAAGTGATAAACATGTAACTTCTCCCTATTATATTCCATACATTATCCAGAAAATTAAATGGGTGATGAAAATACTCAACTTACCAGGAAGAATAAAGGGGGTAAGTTTCTAGAGAAACTGTGGTGCCTTGCTGGTGGGAGAGGATAGCAGGGTAATTAAGTATTATCAACTGAGTTGATAACATAAATTGGCCACCATAGAGAGTTTTAAAGCTGACATTTTGAGCTTAGCCCTTTTTCATTTGCTCTTACAAAGGGCTAATGCTCAAAACATCAGCTTTAAAACTCTTTATGGTGGCCAATTTATGTTACCAACTCAGTTGATAATACCTATTTACCCTGTTATCTGGAAGAAGTTGTTCTCTTGATCTGACAACAAATTCTTGTGACTACTTTATTACAAGGAAATGTGTAGCAGCTATAGGGAAGAATTAACAATTAGATCTTGGGAGTTTAAAAAAGCTTGATGGTAGCAATCAAAGTCCTTAAGAAGTCTTCATACTTTGTCATGGGCTATTATAATAACTATAAAAGTAACTCTGTGTTTTCTTCATTTGCAGTTACAATCAAGGAAAGATAGCCAAGGGAGTTCTGATACACCAACAATCCAGATTAATGACACTGATTTAAAAAACAAATCTCCAATCAATGGTACTCTCTGTAATAACATTGGTGACCATTACCAGTCCAGCAGTACCCTTGTAGCTACAGAAACACATACTCCTATCAGTTCTCGCACAAGTACACCAATACCTCGTTTACAAAGCAATGGTGACCCTGATAGTGGATTTGGCATGGAGGATGTTGGTAGTGATTCACTTGACTCTCGTAATATGACACATATTTCACCTTCTCATGAAAACCATCTTTCTTCACGCTTATCTGTTGCCAGTGACTCAGATTACTCAGTTAGTTCCAGGAGTAACTTATCTGATGTGGATGACTTGGAAATGAGCTACTTTAAGAGTGTTGCTGATTTGAATGCTAATGACAGACCTGTGGTAAGTGGATGATTCTGGAAATTTGTCCTTCAAATTTTTCTTTTGCTTCCATTCAGGCATCCTTCATGTAAAGCCTGAGGAATTAATGATTTTCCTGATTTTTTTAGTGATATATTAAAAGTCACTAAGGCACACAAATCAATCCACTACTATACATGTGTGAAGGTGCCTCTTCTAAGATGCTTAGGGGCTCTTTGCTGTGGGAAAACTTGGAAGAAAATAAGACAAAGGAGAAACACAGAGGAGGACAGCTTCATCATTCATCATCAGTTCATACTGTGTACAGTCCCTTCTTCCTCAGATTTTACTTGACAGTTTAATCTTTGTGCTGAGTAACATTAGGTTGTTCCTATGGAGAACTAAAATCCCATTAAAACTTGATTCCACGGTAGAGTGTTACAGACAATTAAAACTATGCAATTTTTTATATTTCTTGTTCAAATTCACACCCACTTTATCATGCTTAAAACATAATTATTTTTTTCATTTCTAGGACATTTGTGCCTCATTTCATGATGAAGGAGACCTTAATAGTAGCTGTGGAACAGACTTGAAACCACAGTCAGGAATTGCTCAGTCACGTCAGGGGGGTGCAACTCGTAAGGCAGGCTGGCTGTCTGTAAAACACGTCCTTGTAAGAGTAAAGACAAGCAAAGTGGAGCAGGCATCAGATAGGAAGTGGCGAAAATGTTGGGTGTCACTCAAAAGTGGTGCCCTGAATTTTTATTTTTGCAATGAAAAGACTGTAAGTCCCCAGGATTTGGATGAACCAAATTTTTCATTGGAAATTGATGGCTGTGTTGCCCAAGCTGTGCCAGAACATGCCAAGTTAGATCATGTGTTTAGTGTTAGCTCCAGACTTGGGGAAGGATACTTCTTCCAGGTAAAGTTTCTTTCATCATTAAATGATTGACTACGTTTGAATTTTTAAGAATGGAGAAAATTGTGTCAGGAAAATATGTATGTTTACAATTCACCTGAACAACCTAACCATCTTTGAGTGGTATGAGGGTTAATTAAGTGTAAGACATGACATAAAGGGTTTGGTATGTATATGAATGAATAGTAGAACAACATTGCCCCTCATCAAAAAACAATCCAATTTCCAGCTCTATATGAACTTCTTGCAGTGTAGCTGCAACAGCCTTGTTTTTATTTAGTTTTCTTTAATTGTATATATGGTAGAAATTGTGTCCTAGCTTTACCTGCATTAGAAAATGTTTGGCACTAGATCTTATATGTTTGTTTTTGTAATATGAAACCAAAACAGAAACTAAGAGGAGGTGGTTTGAAAAATTTTAAATCAGGGAGACAACTTGGATGAAAACAATGAAATAATTTTTGTTTCCCAATTGGTTCCATTTCAAGGCATCTAATCAGACCGATCTTGAGAACTGGATAACAGCAATACATTCAATGGCTGCATCAGTCCTGGCAGGAGCAGGACAGAAGGGAAAGCATGAAATGCTACGTATTCTTACAACAGAGATCAGTAGAGTTGAAAAGAAAATATCTTCGGATTCCAAACTTAAGAAAATGGCAGAGTTACAGTCCACTGTTGTTACTGATTCCAAGAATAAACAGGCCTTTCTTGATCAGGTGAACTGTCCAAAGTTAATGCCAGCTGAAGTTGTAATACATGAATGAAAATATTTTTAATATACAGGTGACTGCATGGAATACATGGTGTGACTGGTATGTAGACATAACTTCAGCACCAAACTTAATTTCTGGGTCACTGAAAATTTGTTAATTGAACACAAGACTTGTTTAGAGTGAAACAATCTTGGTTCACCTAGATGTTTGATTAATCTCAGCAATGGTGAAGTAATCAATAAAAATGCAAATTTTTAATTTTCAGTGGGTAGCATTTCAGCCTGAAATTATGCCTATTGCAAATAACTAAAGAAAAGAGGATTTCTTCTTTAAAACCTGGGTAATGATACCAGTATTTTGTCTACAGATATCAAAGTGGGATAAAAACTTAGAACAGCTCAACATTGACTTCTATCGGCTTCAGTGCTACACAGCAGCCATCCAAGGCAGCCAATTACCCAATCCTCAGACACTTCTAGCTTGTGTTTCAAGAAACACGAAACAGATCCTTTCAAGACTAAATATCTTTTCAGTTATGTCATTCCATGCTGTTGTAAGTGCTAGAGACCCAAGCACTGATGCAGAAGTAAAAACAAGGAACAAAGCAAAGAGATCAGCTAGCTCTGTAGGCAAGCTGAAAAGTGCTTTGCTTACATCACTGAGAATCAATGATGCAGCAAGTGTTAAGTCTATCAGGGATCGTTACTCTGGAAAAGGTTCTGAAACACCAAGATTAAAACGGTAGGAGTGACCACTTCAAATAAACGTACCCTCAAAGGACTTGTATTGCCTCTTAATTGAATGTTATTAATGACTCCCTTTTTTCCCATAGACAATTGCAACCGAACTTAGATAGCATAGATGATATGCCAGAGGAGGAAGGTGCCTTGGTGGAGAGCAGCTCTTTATCATCAAGTCACTCAGACTGGAAAAACCTTGGAAACTTTCTCCGCATCAGCCTGGATAACAATCAAAGCACTGTAATACCTTTACACAATGAAATGACTATACTAGAGGTGGTTGAAAATACTTGTAGCAAACGTCAACTGAACCCAGAGGCCTATTACCTTAAACTCGGATTAGAAGATGATTCAGGTGTAACAGGTAAGGAAAAAAAACTGCTTTTCAGAAAATGTTATCAATATCATCTTTTGCTCTCAATTAAGAAATTTTCCAAAATCTAAAGTAGTGAAAGTTAAGCTTAGACAAAGGATCCGTAAAGCAGTCAAGTGTGCATCTTTGTTAGTTATGATTAAGTAATGTTTACCCTAATCAACATAAGCATACAAAATAAGGGTAGCTGTTAAATGCAAATAATAAAACAGTTTAATGTACTTGTATGGTCAAATCGTACTACTAGTAATGATTTTTTTATCTGTAAAATCTCCATAAACAAAACACAATACTATGATTATTTATATAGTTTTGTCAATTTTACTGTGTTGATTTATCAAAATAAATTCTTTTAACTTTTTTCTTTATTGCAGACTACACCATTCCCCTCCAGGATTCTTTGCTAGAGAGTCATGTTAGTAAAGCCTTAAGATACATATTATCTTTTGATGGTCAAATGACTTTACCATTGAATTAAAATGGTTGCTCAAGTATCTTTACTCTTGACTTTATGATTTTCTGTCAACAGAACTATAACTGTCTCAGGTTATGTGAAAGGTGTACTTTTACTATAGAGTTGGAACGTTCAATGGAGATTGATAGGCTTGATTTTGGTAGGTGACATGTAGACATCTGAGCAAGTTGTACTTATGATTTTTTATTTTTTATAAGATATGTTTCATGAAATATTTTGGTGCATAGAAAATCATTTATGTTGTTTTATTTTTAATGCATTTATCAAGTATTTGTTTGTCATTGTGTTGCTCTCTGGGGTGCAAGTTCTTATTGAGTCAAATGCTACACATATTTTGTTGTTAATTAAGATATTTCACTTCAAAATAAGGCATGTATGGTCAGAACTCTCAATAAAAAGTTTGTGATAAAAACTGTGCCTGCTTTCATGTACAGTATGTTTTTATGAGGCACTGCAATCTAGCATGTTTGATTCCTATAACATGCTTTTAAAAATATTAAATACAAATTTTTCAGGTATATCAGTGGAGAGTAAGGATGAAGGCATTGTGGTTAGCTCAGTTGAGGAAGGGAGATTAGCACATGTTCAAGGTAAGCAAAGAACTACAAAATAAAGAACTCTCATGAAGGGTTGCCATTTTGGGAGGCATTTTATCTCCTCTTATGTGGAGTCAATGAATACTTAGTGTACAGGTAAATACTTATTAGGAACTTGTAAACTGACTAATAGCAATTTTTTATGTCAGGTGTTAGGGCTGGAGATGAAATTCTTGCTGTAAATGATATTAAAGTAGAAGAAGTAGAAAATGCAGTGGAAGATCTTAGGGAAGCGCTTAAGGGTATGCATCACCATTTGATTAATGTCATTCTTTGAACTATGAGATCACACTGGAATCTTGATAGCTACATCATGTAAACTACAGAAAGGATCATGTGAGTTTTTGTTCTTTTCTAGACCCATCCATTACCTTGTTACTGCGTTCATGCCGTGATGAACCACCAGTGGCAAATAAGGTGACATCAGATGCCATTATCACCAGTCTTGTTGTTCAGCCGCCTCCTAAAATAAGGTAACAACCGAGCAGTTAGCGAAAAAGAGAAGAGGAGGATTACGCATTGTTTTACATTTGCAAGTTGCATGTATTGTTGGATGAGACACAATGTACATATAGACAGATGAACACTCTAGGACAATTTGATGAGAAAAGGGCCAATAAAAAAGTTTAAGTTGTCATATTATTACAATGTTTAATCCTCACGGTATGGTATTTATTACAAGTAGGTTGGGCTCTAATTTCACTTTAAATCTTTTGAGCCTTCATTAGATTGATACTTTTCCATCGGATGTACTCTGTTTGGATGTTGGTAAATGTAAATTGATGATGACAAATGCTGACAAATGTTGCTCAAGAAAGTCAACTACACCAAACTTTCATATTGTGTAATAGGGTTGTGGAAATGCAAACAATTAGTTACCGTAGATGTTTAAGGCGCAAGAATTTTGATCATTTTTTGTTGTCACTTTTAACGTTAATAGCTTCAGTTTTCCTATTCTTTCAGTGATACAATTCCTGAGCAAGATCTAAGTGACCTTATTGTTCCTCCACCTCAATGTGAGTGATTTTCCCAAGGCTTTTCTTTATAAATTGAAGCAGAAATATATATTTATGTTTTTGACTCAAGTTTTTAAGTGTGTATGTGCGTCACCAAAGATGTCCTTATGAGGAGTGTCCAATGTAAGGAACCAAAGAGTTTTTAATGGAAAAGCTGGAAGGAATTAAATTCGTTACAGCTTGGAGTTCTTGAAAAATATAGCCGAAATTTTTACAAATTCTACATTAACTATTAGTTTTTTAAATGTTCTTCATTCTTAGCCATCCTTTTTCCGTCATGACTAATATTTGCTTCTTCTGTGTTTTGAAGTGACTTTAAACATGGCGATGTCGTTCCATAGAGGTTTTAATTAACACCAATTTAGGCGAAGTAGTTACCTTCAGAACTAATTTTGAAAGTAATTTGGTCTTGCTATTTATTTATGTATTGTTGTCGTAGCTTTCGACGAAGATTCTGCAGTGGATACGGAAAGCGTTATCACAAGCTATACCGAAGACCTGAGTAGTCCTTCGTCAATACCATCCGGCAAGAGTGTGGACGAACTTCTTCAGGTACCTTCTTTGTCTAGCTTTAATAATACAATAAAAGCTAACCGTATTGCAGAACCGTCTGCCAGGCGAAACTGCATTGTTTAGTCAAACTGTATATTTACTGGAACTGTCTTAGATTTTAAAGTCATGTAGAATTCATGTTGTCGTGTTATAATTATGTTGTTATTTACAAATGGTGTGCGTGTCGCCTTTCAAATAAGCTTACCTGCTGCCCAAAACTTCTGGTTAGCGAACATTTCAGTGCCTTCATTCGTGGGTTGTCTTTATTTTGTTGGGTTAAATGTTATGTCCAAAACTCGACGATTAACGACAATTAACTCTTTCTCTTTCTTGTTCACACACAGCGTGCTGAACAAGTAACGCTGTTCTGTAGGCGGCAGGTGGAATACTCAGACGACGAAGAACCCAAGCCGAGTGTTCGTCTTAGCCAAGCACAAAAGCTGCGGAAAGTTATCATTGAACTTGTCGACACAGAAAGATCTTACGTGAAGGTAAACATGAACGACATCCACAAATTATTCTTTCGAAGGAAAAAAAGCAAACTTCTAAAACAAACAATTGAAAGCAGAGGTCTTGTACAGACAACGTGGTTTTCCCGCCAAAAACTTTCCCGCCGGGGATTTGACGACGCGGCCACCAATTCGCGCGAATATTCGCGAATTCGCGCCTCCATTGTGAATCATGCTTAGTTACCTGGCCACTCACCTCTGACGCAGCAAAGTCTCTTTTTTTCCCAGCTATAAGCAATCTTTTTGAACAGTGAAAAGCTATAGACATAGGAATTCTTGACTGTAGTGGTGATTTTTTGCGATAGTTTTAGCAACAGCTGGTGTTATCTGTGTTGTGGTTTTGTGTGTGCGTCCAGATTGCTCAAGTGTTTTTAATGTCGGCTTCCATAGTCACGGTCAAAGCTTCAGCTTATATGAAGACAATCTGGTAACAGTTAGTCACTCTTTGTGGTCTACCAGGGCGGTCATTGGAATAATTTCATGAGTAACTCTCACGTTGGCGATGAAAACAACATGGCTTCTAGTGCATCTTTTTCCTTAAATGTCCTGCTACAAAGTTTCGTTTGTATTGATGTACAACATTTTCCCTTAAAAATCAAAAAACGTATGAATAAATATATATTAATGCTTAATTTTAGGATCTGAGACTTTTACTTAAACGTTATCTTGACCCCATGAAAGATGAAAACTTCATGTCACAATCAGAGGTAGGCTTATGCTACAATTTTCTAGTGAAAATCGTTCTCTCTCTCTCTCTCTTTCTCGTTCTTTAAGTCAATTATTTAATGGTGTTATACCATTTCACTGACGTTTTTTTCATTCTAATTCTGCCCCAATCAAGGTTCAAGCGTTAGTGTCAACTGTTCATGATATATTAGAGTTTCAAGTGAAATTCCTTAAGGAAATTGAAAGGCCAGTAGAAACAGAGACTGGATTTGAAGAGTTCAGTGCCGTTGAACAGTTTCAGGTATCTTAGGAGTCTACTTTTTAACTATGAGGCCATAACATGAAAGTGCACTTTTCGATTGAGTGTTCAACAAACAAAACCGAAGTTACTACCGCGGCCAATTAGAAAAAAAAAATGATGCCAGCACAAGAAGCCGCTAAGGACTCAATTCATGTCACGTGCCTTGAGCGCAGGAAAAAAGTAAGCGACCAAGACACGAGTGGTTCTTGTTTTGTATCTGATTGGTTGGAAGAGTGGCTCTTGACCATACTCATTGTAGTATTAGAGGAGAAGCAATAGAATCCTTAATCATTTTCTTCGCTAAATTGCGTAAAAATGAAATTCGACGGGAGATTCCTTTTTGTGTGGTAAATTTCGTGAAGATCTAATAGGGATAAGAATTAATTAGAACCCTACGCGAGATTCCCATATCTGTAAGGTGTCTTATTTAGCGTTATTTTACTTTCAGAACGTTATATACACGATCGGAGAGACATTTTTCAACTACACGGAACATTTCAAGCTTTACAGTGCGTTTTGTTCCAGCCACTCAAGGGTTGTTGAACTACTTCAGTCAGGTATGCATTACAAAATAAGATCCACCGTTTTCAGCGGGTATTCTGTTCTGTTAGCCCTTCATCAGAGCGAAAGACGAAGGGTTAACGCTCAAAACGTCAGCTTTGAAACTCTTGACGGTGGCCAATTTACGTCAACAACTCACTTGATATACTAAATTACCCTGTTACACTCTCCCACTAACGCAGCACCACAGTTTCTTTAGAAACTTACCTCCCTTATTCTGTTCTGTAGTCTCCTTTGGTCTCGTCACGCAACGCCCTCTCTCTTCCACTGGTGGTGGACAAGAGAACGCGTGGCGAGACCAAACAACGGCTGTGAAGGAGACTATCTGTTCTGTGAATGCAAAGATCAAAGCGATTTAGAGATCCATCTGTCAATCTACGATCGTCTCGTTTCCCAGGCATTAGTCATATATGGAACTACTGGGCTGAGACTCCATTTTTCCCTTTCACATTCTTGATCCCAGAGTCCAATTTGTTAGTGCGATGTCTTTCTCCTTTTTTATTTTCTTTAGTATTTAGAAATAGAAACTGCATGTGACACTTTTTCTTTTAAATCGCCTGGAATGGCCCAGGAAACTATAAAAATGCTCAATTTATTTGTCGCTTGTGGAGATGGTGATTGTGTATTTTTTTTTCCAGGATCAAACACGGCGCTGCATGAGTTCCTTCATGCCCGTAATCCAAAGAATCAGCATTCAGGGACGTTGGAATCTTACCTTATCAAGCCAATTCAGGTAAAAAGAAAAAGTTATTTTTTACCCATTTACTACTTCGTATTAAGCGGCTAATTATGTTAATTAGCCAGTATTCCTTACCTGCCTACGTAACGTCTTACAGGGTTGGGATGAAGCTGAGATTTGGTGTGCCAAATATGAAATTTGCCCTTAAGTATACTTGTAGCGAAGCTATGAACTGTTGAAGGAAGAGCTTACTTACTTTCTTTCTTTCTTTTTTTTTTTCGGTATATTATTGTTTTCTTTTTGGTACAACGCTCGTGACTAATTCCTAACATCTTTTGTTTGTTCGACGAACGAGTTCAGAATTTACGATCTTTCTTAGTTTTTGTTATACACAAATTTGCCATTGATCTAATAAAACATGTTCTTATTTGCAGCGCGTAGTAAGGTACCCTCTACTATTGCGGACAATCTTAAAGCTCCTGGATAGCTCCAGTGAAGAATATAATTGCCTTTTAGGTAAGGAATCATATGTCTCACCTCAACAACCCATACGCTGGGGCTTACTTATCTGGTTAGATGCAGATAAGGATTTCAACAGATTTTCACATTTTCAGAGGCTGTGACTGCAATTGAAAAAGTTGCTGAGCACATTAACGAGATGCAGAGGATTACAGAGCAGTTCTCACCGGTTTTTCATCAACTGATTGAAGAGTTTGGAGTATTCGAGGTAAATTACAAATCACGGTTACCTTGGGCTAATCGTAAAAAAGTAAAAAAGATACACGCTTGCTTGCGATGGATGACCATGGAAGAATTTTAGTTATCTTGATGGCAAAAAATATCCACGTCTAGGTGAGGTAGGCGCAAGAATTCCAGATAGTGTGCGAGCTCACCAAACTCGAAGCAGGGCAAACAGAAAGAAACAAACGATAGCCGTACATATTGTTTTTAGTGGCTTAAATATCGTAATGAAATGGTAGAGCAGGTGCACCTCTTTAATACTTTCACCCCTTCATTACAAACTGTTTTCTATGTTCAGTCAAAATTGAGACTTATTTTCTTTTTCAAGTTTACAGACTAACATTTCAGTAACAAGGACACTCTGCTATGTCCCCTCGAAGTTCGATAGTATTTGTCGGATTGTTTCCTTGGAAATTCTCCATACTCCACGCTGAACTTTTGCTTTACCGTCTCAATCATGAAAACATACTTCCCCTTTATGTTCCCGAATCGTTCATTCAATTATTTTTCTCTGGTAGCTTGCTGACGTCAGCATAGATCGGCTGACACATCATGGGAAAGTTCGTTGGCTCAATTGCCCGGATGACCTACTGAAAAGTGGAACGCTTAAAAAGTACCCAGTCTCTCCCAGAATTGGAAAAAAGATGACTCCAGGGACCATGCATCTTTTCGGTAAGATAGCATCGATAAAGATAGGTCCGTTATTTGTAATGGTGTCTTTTACAAGTATTGTTTGCTTTGGTTACTGTACTGCCCCTGCTCCTTTGATTGTGCAGAAGATATTTACATCGTTTTAACCCTCACGTTCCGTAGAAATATGTTTTTAGTACGTCTATCTGGACCTGAAATTCCGTACTTTGTTCTACCTTCACAACAGCATTTGAAAAGGTGTTGATTCTTCTTTACTTGGAGCGGAAACAGAAAAAGAAAGAAAAAGATCGGGTGAGTCGAAGATAGGGTTTTGTTGTTCTTGTCTCGCATTTCCCTATTCGTACACATGTACCTTATTAACAAAGGGGGTAAGTTTCTTAAGAAACTGTAGTGCTGCGTCGGTAGGAGAGTATAACAAGGTAGTTAGTGTTATTAACTGAATTGAAAACGTAAATTGACCACCGTCAAGAGTTTCAATGCTGACGTTTCGAGCGTTAGCCCTTCGTCAGATACTTTATTAACAGCTGTGTCTATTTTTCTTTTCAGCCCACTTCTTTAAGATCATCGGATGAAATCAAATTTAAAACTATTATTCCAGCTTCTTCACTGGTTGTGCGAGACCACTGTTGGTTAAATGATGGTATGTGATGTATGTTAACTTGACATGTAATATTCTATGCTGTCCTTACCGAGGCCACAAAGTGATTTTCTAATTTCCTTGGTAAAATGTTGTTTTTTTCCCTCATACGTGCGAGGCGAAATCAGTTGTCAAATTTCCGATTTATGGTTACCCCTTAAACCCCTAAGAGAGATAAGAACCCTATTTTCCCAACAGTATCTACCCTGAATCAAACATTAAGGTAACGAGAATGAAGGAAATAATCGCAAACTCAAGAAGAGTAGGAAATGTATAGAGAACAGTATGGAGAGCTTTCATTCTGATGCTAGGCCGGTTAAGCGAGTGGTGTTAGTAGTAAAGAAGATTACAAATTGACGCTGAAAACAGATGTTAGGGAAAGGCAAATACCTTTTAACATAATAGACCACGATTTGTTTGGAAAATTATAATAAGGGGGGATTTTTTATAGAGGTTACGAGCTGCCATACAGCACAGTATGTCCTCGTGGAAAAGGGAAGTTTCATTTATGTCATTGACATTTGATCGGTGTTTCATGTTTTCAGTCCTGTTTTGGTCATAAAATTGTGTTTCCTTTCAGGTCCGGAGCCAATACATTCGTGGGAATTGGTGAACATTAGCGATACAGCAGAGATTGGCAGACAAGAATGTGCATATGTGTTTGCAAACAAGTAATATTGATACTGGTTCATTTTCAATTGTACATTGTATTGAACTGTCCGTTGGTTGTTGCGAGGGAAAGGACTTTCTCCTTGACATATTAATATCAATCTTTTCATTCACAAGATCTCAATAATAGTTCACCTTTCTTTCTGCTATAAATTACTTATAATTTAGCTTTGAGATTTTGTGTTAGATTTTGCAATACTCCGTTCTTTTATATATTTTTTTTCTTATCGTCACTTTCTGCTAGACAATGGTCTGATATTGTAAAGAAAACTCCTTTTTTTCACTCCTGTCTGGATGTGAAAAGGTCAATTGATAAAACACCTTTCGATCGACTGTCATAAAACCAAAACAAAAGTGACCACACTGGCCATTCAGAACGAATAGAACTATTAGGAGTCAATAAGAACTCAAAATAAAACAAAGAAAGTTGCTGATGAGCGCAAAAACGCGAGTATCCAAATTACGATTGAACCAAGTAGGGGGGGAGGAGGGGGGAGGAGGTAAGTTTCTAAAGAAGCTATGATGCTGCGTCGGTGGAGCGTGTTATGTGATTTGGCCACCGTAAAGAACGGTTGGGGAGGCAGGTGTGAGTTTTGTAGACCAATTACACCGCACTAAGTACGATCAAACCAATGTAAAGTCGGATTACTTTTGTCAGTTGATCCTTTAAATTTTTCCCACCAAAGTCGTTGTTTTTATTTGGAAGAAATATTTGAACCATAACGTATCCTCAGAGTGGTGACCTTTAAACAAGCGCCCGTTACCGTACTTTTCCGGAGACGGTGTGTGTTGAAAGGTTTCATGTGACATTTTTGCAGAACTGCAGAAGAAAAGAGAGAGATGGTTAAGTGCATCAAAGAGGCAATAAAGCGGAGCATCAAGGCTGGTTATAATTTAGCAAACGCCATTGCGCCAAGATCGCCAAGCTTCCGACGTAACAACGCAGACGACAAGCTCAATGCATCGGATCCAGGCCCCTTCTTACGTCTCACCAGTGATCAATCGTCGCTTTTCCGCCGATCGTTCAGTCACAATCCCGAAGGTTTTCGAAATCGGAGAACATCGCTCGAGAGCGACGCGACCCATAGTTCGGATGGTTCCGGAGAAACCGAGTCCATCAGCAGTGCTACCACTCGAGATAGAAAGTACAGTTTGAAGAAAAAGAACAAAGTGGTATCTCCTTTGGGGTTAGAAGATGTTCAAATTAACTTATAAAAGTTTAAATGGATGTCGCAATTTATTGCACCAAGTTCATTCTAAAGATCTAGAGTTTTATTTTTCTATACTGATTTTACTGTAAAAAGGAAAGAGTATCGTTGTAAAAAATACTTCGTTATTTATGCAACTATCGTTGTCGTTGACTTCGATTTCTTACTTTCATGTTTCAAAGTTTGACTAACTTTTTAGTGTGATTCTTTAGTTTGTGTTTTTTTAAATCTGCATGAAAAAAATCGCACTTGAGTTATTCCTAGATGACAGGTTACAGTCAGTACTTGTAGCTTTAATTACTTTATGCAGAGGGTCTATGTATTCAGGCAAGAGAGCGATGGTAAATAATGTTCTTTCTCACCCTGGGCTGCTATCACATTACACGAGAAATCCTGCGTTCTTTTTCTTGTCCCTAATAAGTTATTTATGGGCGGTCTGAAAAGGGTACATGTAAAGAAGAAATTTCTACATAATCATAACCGTGGTAATTTGAACTTTGCGTGTTAAGTCATGGTGATTGATCAGACAATTTAATTCTTAAGCAGCTCTTAAGCCTTACAATTATGTAGTCGTTGGCTGTGGAGATAAAGAATACTTACCCAAATCGTTGTAAAATACTGAATTTCCAAATGCGAAAAATTGAATACATGGTGATTGAATTCACTGTTGTATTTCTCCTATCATATCTGTGACTTGGTGAGGTGTACTTACTGAAATGATCATCACAAAAACATGCCCGCTCTTACTTTTTGTTTGTTGGTCTGTTTGTTTTTTGCCTGACCATGTATCAGCTTTAAAGGCTTGTTAGATAATCTTCCTTTATGTTTCTGCTCCGCATAGTACCAAACCAAAACGTCAGCAAGGCGCAAGGTCTTTCCAAAAGTTGCGTTTGCCATGGAAACCTTCTAAGTAGAAGATGCAGATGTAGACGCTATTTAGTGCTTCTCTTTCTCGTTCCAAATTTCTTCTTTATGTACCACCATGCTTAAGTCCTCAGTGGCAAATCGTTTCTCATGGATCTTGTGTTTGCAAACTCTTTCGGTGTGTTCAAATTATTTTGGTAGATTTGTGGGGTGTCTGTAGGGATGATACATCAAAATATGTAACTCAATAAATTATTTGTTCATATTTAAACTGAATCTGCTGTTGTATTTTTAACGGGATGCTCGAGAAAAAATGGCGGTGGTCATGGCCGGTGTTAGCCATGCGCCCAATTGGTTGAGAGGGCGACACGAGTTTGAAGAGTTTTCGAGACGAACGAGGAGCTCTGAAAACCGAAAGCATTCCATTCCTTGACCACTGCCGCACCTAACTAACAATTGTGCAAGGGAGAAGCTTTATGCGTGTACCTCGTCAAGGTCAATATGCTGATGACTTATTGTCTGTCCTCCTATAGATCACAAGTAAGAACCACACAAAGCGCGTACGTAATTCAGCTAACTACATTCAATCAAAGTGAACAAATCTCGCTGTTGTTTTCATCGCTGTGTTGACCGCCTCTTATTCGATGTGCACAGAAGCTTGTGAGGCACTTAAGATAGCTTGGGGTAGCTATGTATTATCATTTTGGTTATACGATCGGTCTTGGATAGAGAAGGACCCGACTAACACTCGATGGCTTCAACTTAGGTCTAGTAACGTTCACCTTCTTCATCACGCAACGGCTTTAGCCTAAGTCACGCATAACTCTGTCGTCACGAAACACCTTTACACGATCAACCCGAGAGTCTTTCAGCTAGTAGAGCGCAGACCATTATGCCAGCCTTCCCTGCAATATTAAAAATCAATCCTTGCGCATTCATTGACAACTCAATTTCCCAAGGAACAGTCCATCTATTTGTTTGATTCATTTATTATTTTTTGATGCTTAGCTGCATGATCGCAAAAAATTTAATCAAATAAAGTACCGGTAATGATCACAAACAGATCACATTCTATATACCATTGGTATACATTTTTACCAGGTATCAGAAAGGATAACAGGCTTACTTTAAGAAAATTTTCAGAGGCACTCAAAATCTGAGATGCAAAAATATGGCAAAACGTCTTGAACCATCCAACCTAGACTATTCTTTAGTGAAAGACAACTAGGAATCCAAGAAAAATTACTTAACTTACTGCAATACTTCTGATGCCTTTCAATTAGCAGCCACTTATCAAAAAAGTCACTCAGAGTCTTGGATCATTACCATAACTATCATAACCATAATTATCAGCAGCTGCTTGATAACAATAATTAGCTACTCATTTTGGCTTGAGATTTAAAGAAGTAAACTGAACCCATTAAGGATTTGCACAAAAACTGCAAAAGATGCAAGTTAAATGACCCACAAGACTTTTTGTGCTTACTGTTTTTAAATAAGTTATCTCTTTTCAACTAATCAACATGATTGACTGAAGTTTCGGTAAATAAAATAAATACGGTAATAAAATTTTAAACTAATTTATTTTCTTGTTCATCACCTTCACCTTGTGCTCAAGTCAGAACTTTGAGCACAAATGAAAAGATGTATCTCTACCAATACGGCATTACTTGTCAGTATGTTTTCTGAACTGAAATAAAGTTAATACTACACCTTAGTTTGCATGTTTCAGGTGAAAGAGAATGGTCACTTAGATCACAATGATAAAAACAAAGAAGCTGTATAAGAAGCTGTATAAGAAGCTGTATAAGTACTCTTAATATATTTTAAAATATAAACCCCTCCTTTATATTCTTTACAATTTTCTTTCTGGTCTTCTTGTTTGCACAACTTCCCTTGGCAATGCTTTCAATGGGTGGAACTTAGTTCCTTCATCATTCATACCATCTTGGACATCTCCTTCATCACACAGGTGTACCACAATGCTGGGTGCATCTTCAACAGACTTGTGTAGCTGGCAAGGTTGTGAAGTGTCTAAAGTGGCTACGGCAGCCAGCAGATCATAGTTGATCACTGGGTGAGACTCAAGAGTCTGTTCCCAGCCAACTGGAGGTGATGCAGGAGGGGAAATCAGGAACTGCTTTGTTTGAGGTGGAGGTTTAAGATTAGAGTTGTTGTTAAGGGAGGACCGTCTCTGCAAAATAATACACAATATCTAAATGATCAAAACTATCTGATGAATCAACTTCACAAAAGTGTGTTAAAAAATGATTTTAATGCTGGATTAGTTTGTCATACTTTCTTTTCTTGTTATCAAGGCCATAGAAAATGAAATTCTCTTGCGAAAGAAGTCATTCATACCACTAATCCTTCCCACACCATCTTCTATCAAAAATGCTTATGTGATTATTGCAATTTAATCAGCACAGGTCTATACTTGTGAATCGATCTCCCTCCATCCCAAGGAGGAAATTGGAGAAGTAAAAATGTATTCAGAGTCTACTGTAGGGTGTTTACAAATCATAGGTTGATTCAGTCTATGAACCATATTCTTCCTATAAGATCTGATCCTCAAAGATGAATGAGTTGATGACATTGCTGTAAAAGAAGCCTGATTTCAAACCAATACCTCCCAAATACCAATTGATCACTACTACCAAAGGAGCTTTGAGGTCACACATCTGCAATATCTTCTGGAAAGATCATCTGTGGGGATCAGTATTTTATTTCCAATTGTTCATAAAATATGGTAAGGAAGGGCTACATGTCCATCACTCTTTGATGTGTAAATAGTCACCTGAACAAGGAAGATGCCGAGTTCATAGCCCAGAAAATGCTGCCCATGCAGGTATTTCTTAGCTTCTTTTGCGTACTCTTCATTGGCAAATGTAACCCTTGCTCTATGAAAAGTCTTTAAGTAGATGAAGCTTCTGTCACTTTCACTTCCATAAGGTGAGAACAACTTTTCAAACACTTCCTGCAAAGAAGAAATGCTAAGTGCTAATTCTAATAGGCACTAAATAGGACCTGTCAAATTCTGTAGAGTAATAATTACATCAAGAAAAGTAATGAAAGACTATTTACACACAGAAAAGTGAATTTGGCATTGCCTTCTAAAGAGAAACCCTGTTGAGAAAAAAATGCATAACAATACCAGATTTTACACAGGGCAAACTCCACTTTCAGCTAAGCTCAGGCATAAATCAACATAAGAAGTTGTTGTATTTGAGTTAGAAATACTGGTATATGGATGTTTCTATAACTTCAATGTAAAGAGAAAAAGATTGCAGTGGCTTGCTGTTTCCATGAAGGCACCACATGAACAAGCCATCTGAGCCGCAAACATTTAGAAAAAAATTTTTCACAGGTACATTTGCTGACAATTCACCAATTTAATGACTTGAATAATGGTATGACTGTGGGCTTAAATTTAATTAAGACAGAAATTTGCATACAGTACTATAAATACTTGCTCATTTTCTCTGATGAAAAGTTGTTGGTGTGGTTAAACACAAAGTATATCATATAATACTCCATGTTTTTACCTCTAATAACATTCTCTTTTCCTTTTTCAGATTTTACAAGTCTACATTGACAAAGCCGACTTTCTAAAGGCATTGCGCATTAAGCCTTGAAAAATGGTTTGAATGACATCTAATAAGTAAAAGGCCTTGAAAGCAGCTGTTTTCTGCCAGTAACTGGGATGCAAATAAGAAATATTAGGAAGCCAGGATAACCTGGACCTCAAGTCATTTCATTATTAGATTACTAAGCCAATACTGAGAACTATTTGCTTAAAATGTCCCAAGCATTCCAAAAAGTTTGTACCAACCTTAATGCAAATTCTAAAAGTGGAATCCATTCACACATCTAATTCCCCTTAAAACTGGGGAATGGCTGCTACACAAATTTCTTTGATTGTATTGTATTGTATTGTATTGTATTGTATTTCAATACTTGTACCATTTGTGATCAGAAATTATGGTACAAGGAGGTGAAAGTAGGTGGTTGAAGAAGACAGACTCACAGAGGGTTTTAGTCATCTACATAATGACTCTTAATGACAGTTCTGGAAACCCCTGTTATGATGAGGATTTGGGGTCTTTCCCAAGGTCACAACTCCGAAAAAAATTCCTCTAATCTCATGTAGATTGTTATATTCATTTGTTGCTCAGAGTTAGAGAGGCATGATGTACACCCTGCTCTGTCCCCCCTAATTTCTATGCTTGTAAGTAACCAACCTGTCCCTTTTCCTCATGCAAAGCATGACTTGCTGGAACAGAACTTAACATGAAGAATTTTCTGATCAAATTTGTTTTCTTGAAAGTGACAGTCACTAATTATCTCATGTCCGTTCATCATCATTAATATTAGTCTCAATTTTTTCTTAACTCTCCAAAATTTTTGAACTCTGGTGAACTCGAACGATGGATTTTACGTAATTCTCTTTAACAATCGAAACCCGAATCGGTTCATTAACAAACGAAATCTTTCTAGTTTTCATAAGCTTATTAATAGACAATGCAAAACATTCCCCACCTCAACTAAAAAAATCGACCGAGCTGACAATCATTTTTTGCGATCTAAATATGTTTTGTGTATGCTTTAGGATTCCCAACCAAACAGGGCTGAAAAGGCAGCTAAATTAGAGAGAAGTGAGCTTGATGACAACTATTCTCTTGAATACCACAGTTGTTTTGGTCCCAAGAACATTGTATTTCGACGAAATGGACCAGTTTTAAAACAAAACGCTAAGATAGCGAGCTCTAATAATTCACAGCTAAACACAGAGCTTACGATATCTCTCTTTTAACATACCTTTGTTTCTTGATCCTCAAAAACATCGTTTGGTAGATTAGTTACAGAAATACTCCATGTTTGTTGCTCTTCGCCGTACTCGCCGTCAGTGATGTCCATTGGACTCGATATCTCGACGCTTTCAACGTGCGGCTTCATTATGAAGAAAGGAAAATCACTTTGTGTAATGACGAAGTGTTAAGTCATACGCAGTATGAGCTAATTTACCAAGTTTTCGATGTAGAATGGAGTTGACAGGGGTTTTCTACGTCATATATAGCTGCCGTTTACAGGTACGTCTGAAGAAACTATGCACGCAAGGCCTACTGGGATTGTAAAGTGTTTTATCGCGATTTTACAGGAAACGCTAAGTAAAGTAGTTAGCATTTGACGTCATGGTACAAACAAATCGTAATTAATTACTAAATTTCATGATTTGAAATCCAAAGTAAACTTGTTACGAAATAAAAAAAATAACCTGATTATCGAGTAGAAGTTACCCTTCAGACGTAAACCTATATTCCATAATTTCGCAAATTTGAAGAAACTGGTCTCTCTACTAAATAAGGAGAAAAACTTGAGATTGCGAAATTTATATTCCCTCAGGCGACAGCCCATGTCATCCTTATTATGAAATATATGCATCCACCTTTTATTTTTGAATTCAAGGATTGGTTTTGCATTTTAAAGCTAAATGGAAAATATTGTTGTTTTTGTTTGGGTTGTCGCAATCGTAACGAAAACTGAGACAATCTGGATGATCTACAGTATCATATAGAAACCAGGCTAAATATTTAACAACGAGAAATCCAGAGGTGTAAAAATAAGCACTATTAACGAAAGGGTTACAAAATCGGCAAACGTTCCGGCCCTCGTCAGCTTCTCAATGCCGTGAACGTCAAGGGAGCTATGCAACGTTCGTTCAAAACTTGTCGTTGATAGGACGGAGAACTTAAAATAATCGTATAAACCAAAGGAAATAAGGAATGCTGAAGGACCAGGAATATCAATGAAGGATTGCAAATAACGGACGTGAAAGCCTCAGGTTGCGTGTTCTTCATGATGGTCAGAAGCGTGACGCAACTAATGAACATTAATAGCACCTATCCAAATTCGGGTCATGACAACGTGGATTTACACAAAGATTTCTTATGATTACAGGTCACCTGGATCAGGACAAGCTTGCCAGAGGATTTCTGATTACTTCAGCTCTCGTTGGAGCCGGATTTGACAACGTGAAACGAAAGATCTTGTCTTTAAGCGAGTATTTTTAGCTGGATCATGTTAGGGGTTTTTGTCTCTCCTCCTCTCTAATCTCTCACTCAGTTACACACTCCCACACGTGCCAAAAAGCATTGAAATACCAAAATGTAACATGGAGACAAAAACGCAGCAAGAGTTAATCCTGCTATCGCCTTTGGTAATAAATGAGCTTGTTCCCATACCTCAGCGCGAGAGTCTAGAAGCTTTGTACCTTTTAATCACTGATTTGATTCACGTCTCTAATTCTGGTCGGTAGGTTCAGATGAATTCAGTGCAGGCATAGTTTTGGGCATTAATTTACGGTCAGAGCTGCGGGCACAATGTGGGCATGACTGAACTTTTTTTGAAAATCCACTTAATGTTACAGTTCAACAGGAGATAAATTCTGTAGCCTGAGTAATGTCAACAATTTGCCTGCTTTTATCGTTTTCCAACTAGCAATTTTGATTTAGTAAATTGTTTTTCTTAGCAATGTTTACCTTTTGGTGGTAGGAATAAGTAAGGGGCGGGGGAGATTGGGGAGAGAGCTTTTATTTTGAAGTTGTAAATCGAGGTTTATGAAAAATTTACAGCATAATTTTCGGTATAATGCCGTTTTAAGAGGTGACGCTCAAAAGCATAATGTTAAAATTTTCGAGCATATTTAACCTGACCCTACTGGTCTGTGCTTATTGATGGGTGGGAGAATATCATTCCTTCGTTGGATTGAATCACTCGTGGATAAATATGTCTCGATTTTTTCCTCTTTATCAAAGTCGTAAGCATCAGACAACAATTAGAAATGAGCAATTAAGACATTTATTTCATTTTGCCGTGTAAATTGAAAAGATTGAAAATGTGAATTTGAATACATTACTCGTCTTGAGTTCATCGCTAAAAATAAACCTCCCTTGTGGTGTACATCTCACTTTACATAGCTCTGTTAAATTCCTCGCTATAGCCTACCTTCAAGAATCAAACAAACACTCAGAAGTGAGGTAGGATTCATCTTCCTTTTCCAAGCGGCTCAAGACATTTTTAGTTAATCAAGTAGGCTGAAGCACTAAATGTGTAACAGGCTATGTTGCGTGACATGATACGAAGAAAAACCTTCCGAGTCACGTCAATATGCCACGCGAACATGGAAAATGATTGTGGACACTTTCTGGTTGACTGATAAGTTACTGTCAAGTTACTGTCGGCTTAACAACTGATAATTTTTATGAGTACTATTACGCCAACAGGTAGCCCTAAATAATTTTTAAAAACCTAGTCCATGCTTTATGAATTATCAAATTTACAATAAACTTATTTGTACATTAAATTCTGAGCTATTTCAAAACTATGATGATGGCCGTTGACACTTCCACTCATTACATCTATCGCGGTAAGTTCATCTACTCTTACTGACGTCAGAAACGTTCTCCTCGACTAGATTTGCCAGCCAGTGAAATATTGACCGACAAGTAAGAAAATAAAAAAACTCGTATGGCTCTGCCATACAGTTACAAATATTTTACTATAAAATCTAATACCAGCATATTTACATGGTTAAAGCACTTCATATAAATTTACTAAAACACTACACTTACAACTAACACAAATAAAAAATGTATTCTTCGCTATTATTACTGGTAGAGCTTAAAAAACCCTAACTCTGTACCAATACTTCTGCAAAGTAAGTAGTTGCGCAAGCTTTTACACACTTGTAGAGAGGTTGTTCAAAAAAAGGAATGAAACACCTCTGGATCTGTAAAAATACTCGCATGCAAAGTTCTGTGAAGTTACAGCCCGGTTTTAAGCGCAGGTGCGTATCGTACAATTTTTTACCAAAACGTAAAAAAAGGTCTCAAAGAAATAGTGATAAGTTTTAAGAACACTAAAAAGTGTTGTACTTCCCACGCATGCAATGTACGAAATTAAATACCATGCGAAGTTGACGAACGAGCTGATAATGCTTGCTCACTAACGCATGCAAAACTGTACAGCGGTGCATAGCATCATGAATATTACAAAGTCTAAAAGATTTACCGTAATTTGACCTTAAATCTCGGCTAGATCCAAGTTTTGCGTGCTTTTTTGAGAGATTAATTCAAATATCAATTTATTTAAGTTATCACAAAGGAACAATGACTAATTCAACTTCATTCCCAGACTCTCTGTTCGTTCCGCCCCAAAAGCGACAAGTGCGATAGTAGAGACCCTAGAAACGAAGTTGTTGAAGAGAATCATATTCCAATAGGGATAAAACACCGCTTTTACCTGGTTTTACGTAGTCTCTGTACAACTCACTTTCAGTGATACATAAAAATGCAGTAACTCGACTGAACTATCAGAATAAAAAATATAAACTATTTGCTTAAAAACTTTGCTTACGCCTCCGTGTCTCCAAAGTTTACTTTCTCGTACACGTCGTCCTCTTGAACCACTATCTCCTCCGCTGGAGTATCGTAGGATCTTTGTTGAGTTCTTGGCGGCAAACACGGACGGCTGTCTTGCAATGCAGGAATAGTCGCGTATGTTGGATCCTCGTTGAAATTGTCTTGATCCCTTATCGGATTATCACTATAAAACGGGTTTTCAAAAGACGGTGGTACCTCGTTCTTTTTAAGCACGGCACTTTCTTCATCAGTTGCTTCTTTCTCGTCAGTTCTTTGACGTCTAAGCTTCTTTGTCTGAGATGCGTTCGATGCTCGCACTTTAGACCTTGCACCTTTCAAGTAAGCGTTTGCACCTTTTCCAAGCGCGCCATCGCCTTCTTGGTGATTATCTATGTCGTTCACAAAAGATTTTCGAACCGGTGGGGACTTAGCATAACACGGATTCGACGCCCCCATAGGGGAAATATCTTGAAGTTCCATGTAGGTGTTGTTAGTGTGCGACACTCGCGGCGGAGGGGACATCTCATAGCGGGGGTTCACTGAACCCTTAGGGGTTACATCTTTAGGATCCGCGTAGGTGTTCTTGGTGTGAGATACCCGCCTCGAAGGGGGCTTTTCATACTGGTGTTTTGAAGCTCCCCCGAGGGTAACATCCTTAGGTTCCGCGTAAGTGTGGTCTTCTTTATTCTTCTTTTTGGCCGCCGCTATCTCATCCTCTATGGGTGTATCAACCACCTTGGTGTAAATTGGATTGGATGCCTCGGCTCCGGCAGCATTGCCAGGACTACTGTACAGAGGATTGTTTGTCACCTGAAGAAAAGCAAGGCAAGATTAAACACATAAAAATTCCAGTAGGACTTTATTGGTCTGAAATGAATGAAAAACGTCTCAGGTACTCGCCTAGCTATGACTTTTAACCGACAACTCATGGATTTCAAACGCACAGCTCTAATCCTTAATTCAACTCAACTTGGTATGATTTAGTTCAGAAGCTTATTTTTAAGTGAGAACAACAAAACGTACGGCCGATTAAGGCGGAGGAAAGTATTCCAAAAAAAAGGACTCTGACAACTTGAAAAAAAAACAAACAAATAAACAAGCTACAACCTGAGGAGCGGGAAAACGCTAATGACCAAGTCGTGATTGGTTCTCGTTTTGCAGCTGATTGGTTGAGACGGTAGCACGAGTTTTCCTGACCAATCACAGAGCGAAGTAACGCAAAATCGATGCGATCCCGGATCACTTTCCTCACTCAATTGAAAATGGTTCTAAACACTATCAATTGCATCACTTGAAGACAAAATGCCCGAAGACTACTTAGAAATAATCGAATGACAGATTATTACGCCATGTGTTTCAGACAGTTTCATTAATCATAAATTCATCAAAATCTAACCTGGATATCGTTACGTTTGACAACAGAAGTGGGATCCAAATTGTTCCGCACTGATCCATCGGGTTCTTTCCTTAACTTCTCAGCCCATTCCTCTCTCGATGGTCCTGACGTCAGCGCATTTCTATTGTCGCCAAGAACTGGGTCGGAGAAGTCTAAGTCTTCCGTGCCTGACTGGAAACGGACGCTATCATGCTCGTTCTGTCAAATTAAAACGAGAATACGTCCAGAAGATGTTTGTGATTGGTTGGTTACAAATTTTAAAATTTTCTGTGAAACGAAAAAGGGAAAAAGCTTGATAGCGCAGTAATGATCTGATTCATTTTGATTCTATTAAACCTAAAAATATTAAAAATCCAAACTGACAGGGAGTAAACTAGCTGGCTATATACAAGGCGTGACATATGACTCAAACCCTTGAGCTCAACACTGTAACCATTAAGCCACGCGACCTCATATTTCCTTGGGGAAGTGTTTCTTATCTGCTATGGGTTAAATACAGTGTAACAGACAGCTAGCCAATAACAGGTTTGCACCCATTGCGATACATCGAAAAGACAACAAAGATATCAGATGCGACAGAGCAACAAGTACGGCGCCACTAACACTGGAAAATCTCTGCCACGGCCGGGGCTGTCAATTTTTAACGTGTAATGCAAGTCAACTGTGACTCACACATTGATACTGAAACCTGTGCCCAGTAGTTCAAAGAGTGGATAACGCTATCCAACGGATAAATCACTATCCAGAGGATAACTGATAAGAAAACGTACTGCGCTATCCATCGGATAACGATTTATCCAGTTGAGAGCGTTATTTAACCTTTGAACAACCGGGGCCAGATCTGATAAGGACCACATTCACGTAACAAATGAACAAAAAAGCATAAGGACGAATCTTCCAAGTAAAAGGTTAAGACCGGTTTACCTTCGCCTTCTTGTATTTTCTTCTGTAGTAGAAGACAGCACCAAAAAGGATAGCAATAAGGAGAATTATGACCACCACAGCAATACCAGCAATTCCGCCTGACCCCAAGCTACTGGCAGATAAGTCCACAGAGGGGTTTCCTATATTGGTGTTAAGACCTCCCTGGCAGGGCAGCCTGGCTAGTTGGAGTACATCACAGCTTTCCACGCACTGCCGCACACTGTTGCCAAGTATTCTGCAAGCTTCGGAGGCCGGTAGAGGGGAAAATGCGTTCCTTGCATCTAGCGCTGCGATGATCAAAAGGCTCTGTCGTTGAGTACTTAGAGAGATTGTTCGAAGAATCTCCACGTAGAAATAATTTGAAAGTGCTCGTCGTTTTCTGTTGGTGACTGAAATATGACACAAGTTAGGTGACTGAGTACATTGACTCTCAGATACATTTGGCTTGAGGGAGCTATGTAACGGTATTTTGAGTAATTTAGGGGATGGAAGGTCGCATAAATCACCGTTAGGCCCGACCTAGCTCAGTCAAATAAGGTCAAGTCTTGCGAGCCCAAGCACCCATAACTCCCACAATTATCTATTACTGTTTCCATAGCTTAAAGCCACAAAGGGTATTACTTACCCCTCCCCCACCCTTACCGTAAGTAAATCCTATCAGTTTACTGCTACAAATTTTGAGTTCTAGCTGGGGAAGGTGGGGAGAGGCATTGTGTGAGTCGAGTGTTTAGTCAAAAGTCGTAACGCAGTCGGACCCGGCTGGGATTAAACTTTTGACCGTTTGATCCCAGCGGACAACAACTCACTGATTCCAGAGGTATAAAGGATGCATGACGCTTTCATACGGATAAATCGCTATCCAGCCGACAAGTGTTAACAAAATATGTTGCACTATCCACCGGAAAGATATTTATCCAGTGCATGGGGTTACTCGACCTTCGAACAACTGGGCCCAGGCCATTAAGTCTCCCGCAACTTCTGTTCCTAAAGTTTACGTACCTCATGCGCTACATCATAAAAAAAATAGTGTTGAGTGGTCATGCAATATGCCTGTTTTCTGCATGACCAACCCAAATAACTGCATGACATTGATTTCCATAAAATCTTAAAGCTGACTCTAATGTGATCATTCTTACCTTTGTTGGCATCATTTCTGTTCGCTTCCAATACGGTTACAATCTCTTTCTCCAGTTCTATCTTTCTCGGAGAAGATATTTCCGATTCGTTCACAAGGACTGGGATCTGGTACTGTGTCCCTAAACACCTGCCAAAAGAAAGAAAATGGGATTCAGAAACTCATATAAAATAAGAAAACCCTTAAACATTCCTTAAAATTAATTATTCTTTAAAGATTCTTCTCTATATTTGAACCAATACAAATCATTTCATTTGGTTCAACGTCAATCAACCCGATGCTTTCTTCTTAAGAAGCAAGATATAAATACAAAATTTGTATATTACTTACCGGATGGAAGCTGAAATATGGGTCACGCACAATGTATCCCCCGTACAATCGCCACAAAGAGATACTTGCCGCTCACATAATGTCCCTGAAAATCCCACTGCACATTGGCAAGTAAACGATGCTATTCCATCCTGACATGTACCTCCGTTCTAAAGAGAGGAAAAAGAAACAAGGAAGAGAATCTATGAAAATCATATCAAGACTTCCCTATGGTCTGTAAATGCTACGTGTCAGGAGAGGTTTATCTTACTGTAATATCGCTTAATATCGCTGTCATATCGCATAAGAATAGATGATCATTTAGGGAACGAGAATGAGATGGCAAAGATTATTTAGAATCACTAACGTTGAATTAAAAAATTTAGGTTCAATATGTCCAGATGTGCAAAAACGTAACATCACTCCTTTGAAGGATCTTCGCTTAGCCTCATGCACTGCGCGCGTGTCCAGGGACCGAATCCGCCATTTTCATTGAAACGATCACTGCTTTTTGTCTTTGCTTGTGATTCTAAATTTAGGTTTATCCTTGCAAATTTATTTTCATTCCCTTTTAACGTAATCAGTGCTGTATTTCGATACACTTTTATACTGCTTTGAACGCATAATCGTGAGAAAAGCTTTGTTCTCTTAGTAAGATACGCAAAACAGAGGCGCGATTGACTATAGGGACATTTGGTCGAAGGTCGCTTCACTCACCTGACACTCGATCCCTTGGCATTCATCTATGTTTTTCTCACAATGGACACCTGTGTAACCGGACATGCACTGGCAGTTGTAGCCGTCAATCACGTCAAGACAGCTTCCACCGTTGTAACATAAAGGACAATCTTTGATGTTTGGGCAGACACCACTGCTGTTACAATCTAAACATAAGGAAAGAAGAAAGCCGATAGTTTCAGGATGTGCGTTGAATTGCGCCTGTGTAGTTAAGCTATCTTCATTAATTGTAAATTTACTTCATCCCACGAAATCGTGTGTCTTGCTTTTACTAGGTACTTCAAATGTATTCACAACAATCAGAGTGGTATCCCAAGACACATTTCACATATCAAACTTTACCTGTGATAACAACTGGGAGTGATTTCCCTATGAAGTGAAGTGGTTTACTGACTTGATAACAGCTGAAGTGAACATGCACAGTTCCATTAGACTCTTTGAAGTCACTGTATTGCAATGGGACCTTGGTAATAAGGCGACCCCGATCATCGAGTCTAAACAGTGCGCTCACGTTCCTCTGAAGCTGGGGAACGACCAAGTTGTTCTCAGGAGTGTCCACTTTACATTCATAATCAACATTCCTGTCGTAATCATTGCAGCAGCGTTGTTTACCACAAGAAAGTAACGGCGATGATGAATCTTCGATATGTAACTGACCCACAGTAGTGTCTGATGGTTGATTTTCATGCACAGTGTGAGGATTCAAACAAATGTCCACTGGATGAGGTCTATCATCTAAAATCGAGGTAAAAAGGGAAAAAAAAGTTGAAAATTTTTATTAAAATAGGCACAAATGGCCACCTTAAACTATCAAAAACTTTAAGTGGCTCTGAACCATATTTACAGGTTGTTCTTAGCTTTTCAAGGAGATAAATAGTAATGTGGTGATAGAAATTCAGCAAATAGAGTTCATAGCGCATGCTTTCAAAATGCAGACACGCACAGCTTCAATTAAAGATCTGTTTAGGAGGCTTTAGTTTTGCTAAGGTAGCTTTTCGTGTCAAAATAATGAAAACTTGTTGAGAAATAATTGCACATTGTTTTAATACCAATTCCAAGGAAAGAAAGTTAAAGTGTGGAAACAAGGATCCATCAAAGAATATCTGATTTCAATCGACAAATCCATTTTGAGCCTCTTTAATTGAATTTCTGAAAATCTTGATAAGCAAAAGTCCAGCTGGTTACACACAAAAAACTGTTTCCCAAAAATATATATTCATAATCTCACCTATAATTCTCACATAGAAGGATTTCCTGACTGGCGCAGACATGTTGCCTTTACTGATGATTGCAATTGGAATCAAAGCTTCCTCTGCGCTTGACACGTAAAAATCTAGACCATCCTTCTTAGCGACTACTAGCCTGTCTCCGATTATACTAAAAGGTAATTGTGCCTCATCTACGAGTTCATACACAAATGTTTCCCCTGGATTCTTGGTCATTGTTGTCAAGGTGCCAACCAAGGAACCACTGATGGCTGTGATGGACACTTCACTAGGTTGAAGTAAAATTTCATCTGTCGGCTGATACTCTGAGAAAAACACGAATAAAAAGTATGAAACAACGAGTAAAAGGTATGCAACGTAAACAATAAAAAATTTTATCTTTGATAATAACCCTTTAACCCCTAAGAGAGTCTGGCTTCTAGTTTCTCCTTACAGTTCTTCCCTTGTGTCAAATGAAAAAGTTATGGGAATGAAGGAAATGATCACCAATTTGAGAAGCTTCCGATTATCAAACAAATTCTCCTTGTCAGTTCCATGGAAAGTATAAAAGGAGCAGTGTGGAGAATATGTTTTAAAACGCTTGGGTGCAAAGGGTTGACAAGCACGATCTGGAAAACTTGACAAAGTGCTGAGGGATAATCATTCACGATAATTTATTTGCATCATACCTGAAATAACAATGGTACAATTCAAGACAGCAGATAAAGGAGCGGTCTTGATGTATTTGTATCCCATGGGGGAGAAACTTGAAATAATGATGCCATCATCCTTTACTTCTACGCCTATTGTGAAATTTTGGGCTTGGGATATCTCCTGAAAAATTAAGACAATCGTCAAGGAAAAAGAAGAAATGAGAGGACACATGGGAAGGCGTTAACAACTACCACAAATGACGGATGTCAACTCTAATGAGAGACATTGAAATGTACATGATCCACCAAAAATAAGCCCGAGTAAACGTGTACATTTAGTCGGCATAGGTAATCACATGATTTCGAGTGCAATATGGAATAAATAAGCACAAGTAAATTTTTTCAAAGACTAACAAAATTGCTCGAGCCCGTAGAGTTATTCAGTCTGGTTTGTTACTTCTTTGCACTGAGTTAACCCTCTTCTGCAGTGAATCACTTGAAAATTGCATTTATCTTAACCAATCAGAACTGAGTACTTTTTTCATGTATCTTGTTATTAAGGAAAAAGGTGAGGTTCTTTTCGAACCAAGTGGCCCATCCAGCCGGAGCTTATTAAAGAGATAAACGGGTGTGTCCACATCAAGGGAGGAGGAGTGCCGTAAAATCGTAATAACAGGATATCATTTGTACATCATACTCACTGCACTCTTGAAAAGACTATCAGTTTTTATTCCAAACGGCCAAGAATTTTGTTGAGGGCTCAAAGAGTATGTCAGTTGTTGTTTATTCCTGATGATTACACTCTGGTTTGAAGGGTCATTTTGGATGGTAATTTCGTTATCAGGATCATCTCCCTGTAGCATTGCAATCACAGCACCAATTGATGTCTTCATACTAATGATTATGGGTGCACTGCACAGTCCTGTTGGGGCCTCATTCACATCTGAAGAGAAATCATACCAAAAAAGAAAAATTTTTAACTGACTGCTGACAGGATTTCAGAATAAATAACTTCATGAGGGGTGTTTATGCAGAGAAGAAGAAGACGGATTAAATCCAAATATATGCATAGACCCAAAAATTTAGAGTGATTATATCGAAGATCACCGGGATTAAAAAATAGAATTGTTTTTGTGAGTATACATGAAGTGTTTTCGACACACAAAGTCAACCTCTTTGATAGATAGACCTATGAGGCTCGTTGGTAAACTTGGCCTGTGCCGTGCTCTCGGACGGCGGAAACAAGGGAAAATAGCATGCGCGAAAACCGTTTCCCTGACAACCACGACTGCTGTTCGTCGTTCCCACACTCTCTGACTCGCCTGCATGGGCTGAAGGACTGGAAGAGAGTACGGTAACCTTCACTGGAATAACAGGTCAAATTTGTCTCCCGTTATTTTCACCGAAAGGCAGTCCCACAACTGAAAAACCATTTTCTCAAGAACTTGAAAGAGAAAACAGAGGCCAGTGGAAAGAAGGTCGTCCATTATAGAAAACCTGATCAATTGGTTTTCTTACTTTGAGGAACTTTACCAACAAACCTCGACCTTAGTTTCCTGCCTTACGTCCAAACATGTTAAGAGTTGATCGGCTAGCTTACCTTTGACAAAAATAGTAAACAACTGCGTCCTAAATAGACTGTCGGTCACAATGTCACTGCAGTTAATCCAAATATCCAAACTGTGGTGAGCTTCGAAATTCAACCCACTTAGTGTTTTGAGGTTTAATGAAGCATCCACAGTGAAAAACTTGCTTGTCCTCCCAGAATCAAAGTTTCCATTCACGACACGGTCGTGCACTGTACAACGATGCCGCTGACCAATGTCTGGGTCATCTACTGTAACTCTACCAACCACTGTATCGGGTTCATTCTCATATACAGAGGTGGCGCTCAAAGTGATATCTGATGGGGCCTCATTCACATCTAGATTTAAGATACAAGTGAAAAATATTAGCACAGAAGGAAGCTACTCTACCATGACAACCATACAATGTAATGACGGAGAATTTCTGTCTTGGTCACTCGTGGGAGTTAAGTGTTAACGGTGCGGGAATAAAGGCGGACAATGAAAAGGTGCTGTATAATAATCTACTATGCTAAATGGATTTTGATGAGAATATGGCTAACCTAAACTTGTGACAAAATCTATGCTTTGAGCTTCCAACAGCTCGATCAACTCAAGTGGATAAAACCAAATATACCAAAGAGAAAAAAAGTAAGTTATACCATAATGACCAAGCCTGTGCACTCACCGATAACTTTAATGGTAAACGTTTTCGCTATGAACATTCCATGGCCATCAGAACAATTCAATTTAATACTGAAGTCTTTAGTGGATGGCAGTTGAGCTGATTCGTAATCTGTCATAGTAGGTCCTGCAACCAGATTTGTGCCCACAACTCTGACACGCCCACCAGCGTCATCCAATAGTCTACAGGTAGGAAAGTCACCATCTTGGTCTGTCAGTATTATGGAACTAATGAGCACTCTTTCGGCGCTGTTCTCTTTCATTGATGGAGTTTCAAGAGAAAGGTTGCTGGGTGGATCATTGACATCTGTTGATATGAGCACAAAGTAATTGGAAAGTGTTTGATTCAAGATGATAAGGTCGTAAGAAGCAAGTGTAAACAAAATCATCATAGTCGAATGTCAAAAGTAATCCATGAATATAAATATATTCAAAATATCTTAGCTTTGGACACTTCCTTCGCTGAGTAGTTTCACAAACCTTAGAGGCAAAATTCATGTTTGTTTTGGCTTGGGCTTGTGCAGGCCTTTTGGCCTGAAAGGAGGAGGGGTTGGGGGGGGTGGGGAGAAAAGAGAAAGAGATGGAGAGCAGAGACAGACTTAAGGTTTCCCAGGAAAAGCTTGCTTACCCTCATCTTTCGTCAGCCATCTTTTACAATAAAACGTGTGACACTCTCGGTTGAAAATCGAACATTCCCTAATAAAGAACTTACCATTAATGGTTATCTTGAAGGTTTTCTCTACAAAAAGTCCTCCACCATCTGTAGCCCTTATAATGACCAAGACAATGGGATTCGTTTCATGATCCAAAGGACCATTTACGAGGAGCACTCTGTTCTTATCTCCTCCAATAGCAAATGGTACACCAACAGGTCCCATGATGGTGTAGGTGTGGACACCTCCAGGTTGGTCTGGATCCTCTGAGGAAAGGCTACCCACAGGAGTACCCAAGGGAGAGTTTTCATCCACATTTGTACTAGACAATGTCAGGTTGACAGGAACCTCATTGACATCTGAAGAATATCACATGCATGATATATGGTTGGCTATACATTTGTATTTCTGAGTGTTAAGTGGTTGATAGGTGGGTAAACTGCTGAATGGGCTCATAAAACAGAGAAGATGGAACTGAAGGAAGGAAATGAAAGAGAGGAGGAGAAGAAGAGAGTTTGATGGTAGGGGAGGGAGGGATGGGAAGTAGGAGGGATGGAAAGGTGAAATCACATAACCAAGCAAAAACGGAATCAAGAAGGCAGAAGAAAATCGGGAGGTGGGGAAAGAGGAAGGAAGAGAAGCAGGATGGAAGGTGGGAAGGAGAGACATAAAGAGGGGCAGAGGGGCTAATAAGTGAATAAGCACATAAGAAAGCAAATGACTGACTGTACAAAAAATGGCATAAACAAAGAAACAAACCAAAGAACAAAAATAGACGCAAAACTATGAAAGAGAGACAGGTTGGGATGAAGAAGGAAATGAATGGAGAGAACGCAGAAAGAAAAGAAGGTAAGTGGAACAACCATTCACCACTCACCTTTCACCGATAAAACAAAGCTAGCTGACAGTGACTTGGGTGGATGCCCAGTATCAGTACATATCACAGTAAATGAAAGAGTTTTCATGTTCTCATAATCAATCTGTTGGGCTCCCTTCACTTTCAACACAAGTTGCGTGCTAATAATGAAATAACTTTCATCCCTGGGCTGGTTGACGCTAAATAAACATTTGTGATACTGATGTGATGGTGACTTGGCATTGTCTGGGTCAGTGACCTAAGGAAAAGCAAATAAACAATCATTATAAATCAATATTTAAGACTGATCTGCAACAAGAATTGAAATCTTGGCTCTGGTATGTAAGATCTTTCTGTGAAAGATTACATGGCACTAAGTACTCTCATTCACAAGTACCTTCATTGTCCTCAGGATGTACATAACAACTCAGTAAATGCAGATAGAAAGGTTGTGACTGTATACTGCTATCTAAGTCTTGATCAGGCTTACTGGTTATGTGAAACCTTTACAGCACAATGCTTCCATGTAATTGGTCAGTATTCAACAGCCGTGCTTGTTACACGTACCTTCTCTATACTTAAGCTATGACATTTCATGATCTCTTCAAAAATGACTGCAAACTAAAATTCACTTTACTACTACATAAACAAAATTGTTGTAAAGGTACTTGACAAACGAAATTTAGCTGTGAGCAACTAGAGGTTAAGGACATCATAAGATTGAGAACTGATTATGATTATGCTCTAAGTGTAAAATGGGGTATGAAAAAGGGCAATGCCCATGATCCATGGAATTGACTTCTGCAAAATGTCATATCATCTCCAAAGCAAGATAAAATCTTACAATCAAGTCACCATTATACTTTGTTTGCAGATATAGATCCTCTGTTTGATGTTCCACAGTTGTTAAAGTACAAAATATGACAGCCAATTATAAAAAAAACAACAACAACAACAGCAAAGGAAGACATACCACAAACTGTCCAATGACTGTCCCAGCAACAGAATTTTCCAACACAGTGTGTGACCCTGTCAGATTGATAGCTGTTGGAGCCTCATTATCATCAATAATTTCAATGTTGAAAGTCTTGAACACCTGTGTTTGAGAATCATTAGCTTTGACGTTCAGCTTGTACCATGATTTCTCCTCATAATTCAGAGGAGCTTTTACTGTGACATTCACTTTGCACTCTTTCTCTGTTCCTTGTCCATTATATGCACACTGGACATTAGCTATTTCAAATTTATTCAATGTCATTACATCTGATTGGCTGATGTCAAAGGATATGTCATCACCATCCTTGTCAATTGCAACAAGTTGACCCACAGTTGTGTTTACAGGAGCTGTTTCATGCACAGTGGAACTTGTCAGCATTAAAGCTTGTGGGACATCATTGACATTTATCACATTTATAATGAAATCTTCTGTGGTTTGTTCTATTGGGTTTCCAAAGTCTGAACATCTAACAGTTATCTTGTTCAATCCTGGTAACAAATTCTGGGCAACTATAATCTTATTCACAGTCATACCAAATTTTCCACTGCCATCGTTAATTAGCTCCCACTTAAAGTTTGAATGGAGATGAGTGTTTGGTGGGTCGTCTCCATCTACTGCTGTCAGCTCTCCTATCACCATTCCAATAGTTGCATTCTCAAAGACAACAGAATTTGACAGTGTGACTTGCTTGGGAGGATCATTCACATTCTGTATTGTGATCTGAAAAGTCTTCTCCAGCCACATGGGAGGCATTCCATCATCTGTCACTCTTATTTTTACTGCTAAATAATGGCCTTGGCTTAAAGACACATTCCCATTTAAAACAGGATTGTCCCATATGTTTATCAATTTATCTCCTTGAGCCACAAGAAGCTCATTGGGTTGTTGAACTGTATACATAAAAGTCTGTCCTGGCTGTGCATCATGGGAACTTAAAGTTCCAATAATGGTGTTTATAGGTGCATGTTCTAAAAGAACAGTCCCATTTAGAAGTAAGTCTCTAGGAGGATCATTTGTACGTCTGCAATAGTAATCGCTAATATCACTATCCAGTACATCCCAGACATTTGAGGTCTGCCCTTTTCGCGTTTTCTGGCAAGTTAGAGTGGAAGTCACTGAAGAAAAGTCAACTTTAGAATAATCCTCACCAAATTTTTTGTTTGGCTGTGTAAAAATCTTTGCAAGTGCATAGTTCTGAGAACAGGTTAAAGAACATTGTTCATTATAAGTTGTTCCTTGCAAACAGTCAATGTGAACTTGGTGACAAACTGAAGAGATGTGGTCACTGTAAGAATCTTGTGGGCATGAATTGAAAAGTGAGGCAGGGCTGTTACAATCAAAGGCATGACATGTTTTGTGATCACTGGTAAGATAATATCCAGAAGGGCACTCGCATTTATACCAGCCAGCATAGTTTGTACAGATGTGACTGCATGGACCCTTGCCACTATTTGGTGCACACTCATCGATGTCATGACATTTGCTACCTATCAACATTTAAAAGAAAAAAAAATGTAAAAACTAATAACATAAGTATGTTTAAGGAATCAACAACAAATTTTTGTCATTTACTTCTTTGTGCTTAGCCCTTCACACCCTGACATGAGTATGCATGTTCTCCATACTGTTCTCTACATCTGGTACTTTGTGTTTGCTACATTTTCTGTAAGGTACTGACAATAAGAATTTACTTAATGATCAAGGACTTCTTTCAATGGGGATCACATCCTCTTAACAACACCTTAATTTGTTAACTGTGAAGTCTACTTCAGCAGACAATACAAGCCTTACTAATTCTCACTATAATGCATTAAGTCCACTTAATGCACAAGTGCATGAAGACACAATTTAAATAAGATGGGGAAAAACAAAGGGCAAAAATTTGAGTCTGTACCTGATTTTATGTAGCCTGATTTACAAGAGCAGACCCCATTGTTACAATAATGATCACATCCTCCATTGATTATACCACATGGTCTTTGTTCAGACAAATGATCATAACATGTGCCTCCCCAGCTAGCACCAGTTGTGACGGTACGTGTCCTTGTTTGGGTTCCAATGTCGCACTGCTGTGAACAGGTGCTCCATGAGCTCCATCCTGTTAAAAAAATTAATTTTATTTCATTCGTCTTCAATTTCAACCACTTGTATTGATGTTTTAGTCATTTCTTTCTTAGAAAATGCCTAACAAAATGAGAATTGTCTCATGACAAAACATTTGCTAAGGAATCAAGAGAGAAGATTCTGCTATATTTTCTGAGTGTTTGTAAGAAAGCTCATCAGTGACAACCTGAGTAGCACAAAGCAACTTTTGCAGATAATAAGCCCTTTGCCCTGGACATGTAACTTTAGTTTGCAATTTCCCCATAGTGTTCTCTGTACATTTCCAATGTTACTTCTAAGGAGAATTTGTCTAACAATCAAGAGTGGGGTGGTATTGTTGGGAGAAATTAGGAGCTTGCCACTCTTAGGGGCTAAAGGACTCATGATAGAAGATGCTGGTCCATCACAGGAGCACTGTAAGCCACATACCATTTTAATTAACATGCTTTTAGAAAAGTTTTCATAAGCATTAATTAAATCATATAACCCTAGTAGAGACAATCTCTGAGAGAGTGAGGTGTATGACTGAATTTCATTGTTTGACACCTGACAAAATACAGCTCTTGATAAGTCTCTAAAATTGAAAAAATGACTGCTTCTTCGGGCCTGTCCACTGTACTACTTGTAATATGTTCCATATTCTACATCACTTCCAGATACAATGAGCATTACAAATATTACCACAATAATTGTGGTAATATTTGCAATGTAATTTCAATTATTGAATCAGGGTATAGTTACAGTAATGCTAAAATGCAATACATCAAAGTGTATAAGGAAGTTGCAAAGGTTTACTAGTGCTGCTAATCAAACAGAAAATTTGAAAGTAGAAATCTTAACTTATTTCTTTAAAAATTCCAGAAATTGAAATTCATGACGAATTAAAACTTTAAAACAATAGCAACCAGCATGAGGAAAACACTTTCTTTACTTTCCTTGCTTTATGATCATGCTTCATTCTTCTTTGCCATAAATTTGATTGTCAAGTTACAAGAGTGCTACCGAATAAAAGGACTTGGGCTAAAGATGGCGAGGAGGCTCATGAGAAAGCAAAGGGCTTTTTAAAAAGATGGGCTCCCTCAAGCAAATATAATAATCACAGATTATTAAGATTGAATGATGAAAAACCACTAGCAGAGCAGAATTGAGAAGCGCTAAAAATTTCATTTTAACTTTCTTATTTGTTTAAAGCATAATATGCCTACAAAATTAATAACATTAAAAAAACTTTTGGCTGCATTAAAATTACAACATCTGACACACACAGAGGCTCTAAAAATACTGCTATTTAAATTCTGATCTGTTCAATTTTTTTCCTCTGAAAATATTTGTAAAAGATTTAAATGAAACCAAACTTACAAGAATTCTATTTTCTTCTGAACATGTACACCCATGAGCATGTTTGTAGAAATAATTGGTTCTTCAAATTTTTACTCAACATGGGAAAAGAGTTTAAGCTGCTAACTACATAGAATATATAACTTGATGCCTATTAGGCCATGATCTAATTAGCAAATCATTCCATTGAAACAAAACAAGGTTCTTTTTAATTCTTACACTTCATTGCTTTCATTGTCCACAAAAACAAAGGAGTTTCCTGTATGCCTCTTGTTCAACATTTGTAATAGCTTGCTGCTATAAATGAAACAAAAGCTAAAAATTGGACATCTTTATAGATTTGTAAAAATTTGTAGACCAGTCAAAGGGTAAATAATTGCATTAAACCAAGGTCTGTAAATTGTAAGAAAATTGACAACTTCTGAGTTGTTATTCAACATAAAACAACCCCTCCAAAAATAACACACAATGAATGCGACACAACAATTAATATATAAATTAGTGTTATTTAACTTCCTTTTAAAATGGATGATTCATTTTTTTTGCTATTCTTCAAAGATTGACTATCATTATAACTTATTTCTTTTTAAGTGTGGTATGTTTGCAATGATGCTGTGATTAGAAAATGCAATATTTTACACCCACAAACGCCCACACACGATGACGTGTGCAACATTACATAACTGCTTATTGCTTAATGTAAACAAAACATCAAATTTACTTGATTTCCTTATGCATTCAAGATAATTTACTTTTACATTTTTCTTTTATACATTTATGGCATGTTAATGAGAGTGAGCAAAAATTTGTATTTCAGTAATCCATTTGAAGTTGTACAAAACAATATTGACCTGTTTTGACGGCCTCATCAAAACAAGCTATATTGTTTCAAACCACAATGAAGATCTTAGTTCTGTACAGACGTCATACATATATTTACTAGGGAAAGAACAAAGAATATTAAAGATTATATCCTGAGATCTATAAAAATATTGCAAATTTAAGGAAAACTCTTTGTCATTTACAAGGAAACACAAATATATGCTCTTAAAAATGAAATCCAAATACTGGTAAGAGCACTAAAAAAGTTCTTGTTAATTACTTCATTTGCTATTATTAGCTAGTGAAAACAAAAACACTTCAAAGAGTTTGTGTTGTCATGCAAGCTCTATTGTCAGGTATCTAATTTTCAACTTGCTATATGGAGGCTAAAATTATTGTAAGCAACCTATGTGTCTTGTTGCTTTTCTTGCATTTCAGAGAGTAATTATATATTAATCAAAAAACAAAAACAACAGTGTAATTACCAAAAATAAATGAGCATTCTGCATTGTCACTTTCAAGTGACGGGTCATTCAATATGCAAATATACAACTATGGCTTTTGCTCCGTGTCCACCATAGCAAAGGTTGACACTTCAACAGGGTACAGGGAAGTAAAGCTCTAGCTTGTGTGACAAATTGCACCAAATTTAAAACCACAAGTTACACTTTTCCCTCAAATGAGAGAGAAGTAACAGCTCATTACCTGCACAAGAATGCTAAATTTATTTTAGTCACCAGAAAGGTCTCGTCAATTCTTTACCAATTCCCTTCACATCGATTGATATCACCAAAATCTCTCAAGGGTCTCCACATTTAATAGTTTCATCAGTGAAAAAGAGTTAGGTACAAGGTTAGAGTTATGGCCAATCAGAGCGCACATACTATTTGAATTATTTTATAAAATATAATAGTTCCTTCTTTACGGAGAATTTTACTTTTTTGCGTAAATAAAAGGTTAAAAACTATTAAATTCTGACTATCCTAGTCTTCATTCTTCTGCTCTTTCCATTTCGAAGCACCGCGGATTTACTCCCTCAAAACCTTCCCAAACCAACCAGTTTTTCCAACTGTAAATATTTTTAAAAAGCATTTGACAAACCTCATTAAACTAAGCGGCTAACTGATGATAAATAACATGACATAACGACCAGCGCCGTCAAATAGAACGAAATTGGACCTTAGAGAATAACTAAATGTTCCGCTTAGCCAGAGAGGAAGATCCCCAAAAAAAACCTTCCGTGACGAATGATATGCCGACAGGAAGAAGAATTGCAATATCATCCGTACGGTTACGTTGATTTTAGTCCAAAAACTTATACAAGGAAGAATCTGCTCTTGCAAGCCGTTACAAGTCGCGCCAGTTTCCAAAAGCTTTAACATGTACTCAGAGAATCCCAAAATTTTGTTTGAACTTTTAAAACTCGTCTAACCTCACGTTGCATCGATTGGGAAAAATTTAAACTTAAAAGAGTTGTACAGCAAAACATTTTGATAGAGTTTAAAACAAGTTTTAAAACTATTAAACTCTTAAGTTAAGTGGTTTATGATCGCTTTGTCGATAGAAGTAGCCTGAACGGTTTAATGCGGTCGTTAGATAAAGGAAGTATTTCTCAAAGAACATGGATCAAACCACTGATAATATGATGACGGGCATAAATTAAGTACGTATGTTTTCTTTCGTTTTACTCACCGGAGACAACGCAGTTTTGAGGCGGGGGTGGTGTCCATCGCCTCCTCCGTCTTCTTCTCCATGCCTCGCCTTCCGTGATTAACACCAAAATCAACAGGAAATGATAAATCGTCGCTGCATCTTGCTGATGTTTCGCGATGGGACGACTTGGTTGCGAGAAAACCGATCTCTCCAACGCGTGCCGCGGAAATTTTTGGCAGTTGTCGGGTTCTAAAAGGTTCGCAGCTGGATCAATCTTGACTTAAATTGTCAAGTTTCGGTGTACATAATACCTCAACAGCCAAACGTAATTTCTGGATAATTGATTCTCGTCGAGACCTGTACTCATTAGTAAACTACGCAGTTTAATCATGAACTCAGTAAGGAGGTCAATTAGCAATCGTTTGACGTCAATACGTAGTCTTAAAAGATTCGTTCGCATACTATTTTGACGAAAATGATACGTCTAGGGGTGAGATAAGTATAGAATTGGGACAAAAATAACATTTTTCCGGGTTTAAAAATATAAGAAAGAGAGAAAATTTCGATTGAAATCTTCACTTTATAGTAAATTAATCATAAATAAAACCAACTTTAGTAAAAATGGCGATTTACTGATAATCTTTTGATCAAACAATGTATGTTACCCACTGTATACCCCCAAGTACAAACATAGAGAGCGTCACGTCGTGTTGAGAGCGCATTACATTGCTCGCGCGGGAAACTTCCTAGCGCATGTTCACTAGCCGCGTCAGTTACATACGGTCGCTTGTCGACTTGTAGATACTTTAGGAGGTTATAACTTCGCTTTGAGACTGAAATCGGTCGTGCTATGACTTCTTCTTACGTTTTTGTTGAGGGAAAAGACAGCGACAAAGAGAAGGAAGATTCGGATTTAGAAAGTGGAAGCGACGATGAAGGCTTCGAAGACGCTGATCAAGATTTTGATTTCGTTCTCAAGCCATCGAATAAACTTCGCAATGGTGCGAAGAAAATGCAAGAAATGGAATTTAGAAACGATCGATTTCGTCTTAAACAGGACATAATCCGAGTGCGTGGTAAATTTGATGAGCGTTTTTGTCATCCTTGGTGGAGAGTGGAATTCAAATTGGACGCGTTGAAATCTTCGACGAGCTTTAAGCACGCTACTTCACTGCCTTCGTACAGTATTCGAACGGATGACGATGTGAATAAAAGCTTGCTGTCGCAGTTCCTCACCACAGGTTGTGAAGTGAATGATCAACACGTCACGATGTTGCTGGAGTTTCTCGAGAGGAAAAATTTGAAACCCACATTTGAGGATCTGGTTAAAAACTTGGAGAAATTTGCTGAAACCGACAAAGAGGGTCACGACATTGCTGAGCAGATTACAGCAGCGCTGGACCGTAAGCGTAAGTTTAAGTATGTTCTATGCTAATTGTGTTTATATATTTATCCCTTTCACTCCCAAGTTCTCATTAATAGTTCTCCTTACTGTCTGCCATTCAAATAATATTAGTTTGGGGAGTTTGGTAGTGGACCACATTGTGATATTTTCCCTCATTCTTATCACTTGTCTGCTTTATATTTTTTATATATTGTAAGAGAAATTCTGTCTGGTCACTCATGGAAGTGAAATGGTTAAACAAGAGAGACCTAGTATAATTTGCACTATGAAATATATAATTTCACAAACTGTTTATTACCCACGCTGTCTTTTTCTATATTATTCTGTTCACTAGTGTTTAGACTTCTGATATATTGGTCTGGACTGGATGGGTTTAGAGGCTCCATTTGGCTTTAAAACAAAGTATTCAACCACATCATTCAATAACTGCTCAATTTTGACCAGCAAATGTACATTTTTAGAAACCAGCCATGGACCTGTAGGGACAGAAGCATTTCAATATTTCAGCTTAATAATCCACCATCCACTATAATTTTTATTGTGCCAATGTTTCATGGTTCAACTGTTACATGTTATTTTTTTTTTTTTTTTCACTTTTTCATCTTAGCTACTGGTAAAGCCTTCGCTGTTCCTTTGTTTACCAAGTATGCTCATCGGCTGTTTCCTCGTCGTGTTTGTTCAATCTTTGAGGAATCTTCTAAGGAAGAGCTGGAAGAGCTTAATGAGGCCTTAAATAAAGAACCCTGGGTTTTTGGTTATTGGAGTGTTCTCAAACAAAGATTTAATCTCTCAAGCTGTGAGGTAAAGCTGGAATCATTTGAAGACTGCAATCTACTTGACCAAATGCCAATTGCCAAGCAAGATGCATTGCACATATATAATGCCCTTTCACGATTGCTTCGTAAGTATGGCCATACTTATGTAGAATTCAAGATGCTGACAAAGGAGCTAAATGGAGTCAGAAACTGGAAAAAAAGTCTTGACTATTTGAGAGAAATTGATGTTGTAGGGACTTCTGAAGACCATCTGGGTGACAATCGGCATGTCTTTTTGACACATGTTCGTCGTTATGAAGAAGGAATTGCAAGAAATGTTGTTGCAGTCATGGATGAAAAACCTTGGACAAGTAATGTGGAGATTGATGAGAAAGTAGGTTCTGATTGTGCAACATATCTTCTAAAAGTACTGTAAAATTCTGAAAATAAGCCCCTCTGTGTATAAGCCCCTCCACATAGAAGCCCCCCAAACCTGAAACGCAAAAATACCTCCTATAATATGCCCCTCCAAATATAAGCCCCCGAGGGCTTGTTAAGCAATGTGGTCAACAAGTGTTGAAGTTTATTGTCTTTTATGCAGTTCGCTCTTCACTCAAACCTAGAATTCCTTTGGTCCATTGACAAAGTATTTGCAAGGAAGTTCAATCCCACCACCCTGAACCCAAATTCCTTCTGGTGCTCCTCACTTTTCACCTATTATCTTTGTGGTGATAGAATGTAATGTTCCATCTTTGAGCATGGGAAAATCTGTGGCAGAGGTTCCTGGATGAAACTGAGCCTGAACTACATTATCATTTTTACTGAATTTCTGTTCTGATAAAGTTTATTGCTGTTGTGTTTGAACTTGGCATTTTCAGTGTGATTAATTTGTTGCAAATTTCTAGCCAAAACCCTTATATTACCAGTTGCACATTCAAAAATTTTGACACAAATTTCCCTTCAATTATTAGCTCAGCCAATTTTGGAATGCAATTTTCCCTCCTATAATGAGCCCTTCCGAAATATAAGCCCCTTCCAAAAATAAGCCCCTCAAAAAGGCCCTTTGAAAAATATAAGTCCCAGGGCTTATTTTTGGAATTTTACTGTAGTTTTAACACCTTTCCACACATCAAGTGGCCCATAAGTCTTTCCCTCTGCACAATATAACAGGTTTGTTAAGTAGAAGGATGCCAAGAAAAAAGATAAAAAATATCTACTTGGGGATGTGTTTTGATTTTAACTCCAAATTATCAAAAGAGAACGATACAAGAAATGCATTAAAGACAGCAAGGAAAATTAATTTTGAGAACCTGACAGGGAGAGGGTCAAGTTACAGTACATGTACATGTAACCAAAAGAACTATGCAACTCAAAAATGTATGTATGATGTATGATGATTGTGTAGTTGGGGGTAGGGGACATGCAAGTAAATTTTGTAGAGGGGTGTCAAACCCCCCCCCCCTCCCCATCCAAATTCCTGAGCATATCTATATAATCATCTATGTAATCACTTTCCACTATTGACCAGGAAGGTACATGATTCATATAGTATAGTTAAAGTTATATCTCTCGTGCACAGTTCACAATTTTATCCCAGAAATGTCTAATGTATTGAAATGGTGCAGAGAAGACTAGAGAAGCACTGAGGTTTAACCGTATTGTACTGTTTCCTATACTTTATTTATTACAGGTATTTAATGGTGATATAGACCAAATTCATGCAGCCCAACTCATATCAACAAAGCCAGTTGCTGTGCTCTCAGGTAGGGGTGGCTGTGGTAAGACATTTGTTGTGTCAGAAATCTTGAAAAAGGCACTAGAGGAAAAAATGGAAAATTTCCACCAAGAGAACCCTGTAAATTCATTTGAAACAAATATGGACACCTCTGAAGGGCAAGATAAGCATGCAATCATTCGGGATTACCCTGATGATTATGAAATCACTGAAACTGATCCAGGCAGTAAAGAAGATGAAACATCATCTTATGTTGACAAGAAACTTGAAGAGGTAAATGAAGAAGTTTTGCTAACTGCACCAACTGGCAAGGCTGCCTCCATCCTAGGGAAAAGAATTGGGATTCCTGCACACACACTGCACTCAGTCATCTTCACATTTCTCCGCTGGAAGAATCAGGTTGGAAATGTCAATGATTGGAAATTCAGCAAAGTTCATCTTCTAGTGTGCGATGAATGTAGTCTGGTGTCGGTGAGGGTGTTCTACAAGCTGATCAGCATTTTGCGTCAGTATGCCCATCTTAAACAAGTGATTCTCTTGGGGGATGTAAACCAACTTCCATCCATTGAGCCTGGGAATTTTCTGGGTGATATCTTCCACACATTGGAGAAAAATGGCTTCTGCATCACTCTGCAAACCAACCACCGATCAGATTCAGAGCTTATTGTTCAAAATGCTGGAAAAATATCAATGCAGCAGATGCCATTTTTTGATTCAAAAAGAGGTTTCTTCTCAGTTGAATACAATTCTAATGACGATGGTGAGAGTATCACTGTAACTGAAGTTGTTAAAGACATACTGAAAAATGAGGCAAACCCTTTTATCCTGCCCAAACCTGAAGACTCTCAATTTGTTACATTGCGACGAAAAGACTGTGACAACATTAATGAACTATGTGCTCTCCATTACAACAAACACTGCATCAAAGACCACCGTGGGAAACTGAAATTTGAAATTGGAGACAAAGTTTGTGTAAGGCGTAACATGCTGTGTCTTGATCAGTATGAAAACGAAATTGTCAAGATTTGTAATGGAGAGATATTCTTCATTAGAGATATCATTCAGGAACAAGACGAAAGGAGCAAAAAGAAAATTTTTTACTGTCTAGACGATGGTGAAAAGATAATAAAGGTTGATTTCAAGACACTGAAATCAGCCAAACTGAGTCATGCTTGGGCAAGAACCATTCATACATTCCAGGTAGGAGCTCTTTCTAGCAAACTGGAAAATTAAAATCAAATAACTCAAATTTAAAGAAGTTATCTTTAAATTAGCAACCACCTAACAACAACCTGTGTTAAAGAATGGAGGAATGTAACAATAGCTGCAGTGATGCCTTTTACCCCTTCACTCTCAGTAAAGAAATGATTTATGTGCAGGTTTTTGTGGAAAACATAGACCTCATATCTGATTCTGTTGCCAGGTTTGGTGGTACATCAACTTTCAATTTAGTTTAGAAAATAATTCAGAATTGTTTTCATTTTGTGTTACCTTAATCTGTGATTGGTCTGGAAGACTTTCGCCAGAATATCAACCAATCAGATGCAAAACAAAGACCAATTTTAGCAACATTGCTCAGCCTCTTCTTCTGATGTTCACCTCTTTTCCAGGTGTTGACTACGGTTACTCCAGTTCTTGCATAAAAAGAAATCCAACCCTTCTCTTGTGATGACCATAGGGGGAGAGTAGATTTGCTTGTTTGACATGCCCAATTAAATTCTCACATGTAAATGTAAAGGATTGAAAATTATACAGGTTTAGAGAGGTTAACCATTAACTCCCAACATCTGATTCTTTATTCTCCCCTCTTGCTGCTACACATTTCCTTGTAAATAAGTTGCGAGAATTTGGTGTTAGATCAAGATAACAACTACCTGATACATTTGAGTATTCTCATTACCTGTTTACTGGATAGTGCATGGACATTGTCAGGAGAGGTTACTTGTTAATCACCTCTGGGAGTTAAAGGGTTAAAGAGTCAATGTTTTGGGATTAATGTCGGTATCTAAGCAACTGTGTACCTACCCCTCCCCTGACTCAATAGCAGTCATCTGATAACAAGTTGGGGCAGTAGCCCTTTACAAGTAAGGGCTCCTGGCTTGGGTTTATGTTGGGTTGGGGGAGGGGTAGATGCCTGGTTGCTCTGATACTGACATTGATCCATGTTTTGTATGGATTCTGTCTTGAGACTCAGTCTAATGCTGTGCCACATTTTTCTTAGGGCTCAGAGTGTGACACAATTGTCTATGTGGTGGGAAATCCGTTTTACCAGAACTGGCAGCATGTGTACACGGCGATCACCCGTGGCGTGCGGCAAGTTGTATTGGTTTACAAGCACATTTCCTTGTCACGTGCTGTTACGTCACTTCCTGTACCGCGTAAGACTAAATTGAAAGAAGACATGGTGAAAGCTCTGAGAAACCGAAATCAGCTTAATAAGCTTGATGGGGTGAAGACCAACGCCCAAATTGCCCCAGATCCTGGAGATGGTGTCGAGAATGCGGTTTCTCTCCTGCCCTCTGATGACATGAAAGAGGCCACTGTAAGGTCAGTACTAGAGGCTCACTGCGAAGATCAACAAAGAGTATTAGGGGAATGTTCTTCAGGAACATCATCCTCCATCAGCGCTGCAAGATGTTCAGAGGATTTTTGTATCTCAAACAAAAATCTGAATATCAAAAATCACCAGAAGGAGCAAGAAGACATGAGCAATGTCCTTGCTCCAAGGAGAGATCTATCCTCTCACGAATTGGCCGAAGACCACCGTCAAGAAATGGCTGTGATTGCTGCAGAGGCCAGAGACTCCCAACAGATCTCTGGTGGTTCCCCTCTGAAGGTGAAGTGTGGCTTGGAAGCCATTTTTGAAAGTCCGGGCGGAAAAAGGAAACATCCAGTAAACATCAGACAGGACGGCCAGGATATCTTGGACTCAAAGATCTATCACAGCCCGACGCAAAAAAGAAAGTACCCTGAAGGCATCACTCCTTTATCTCCTCCGCAAACGCCACCTTACCTTGGAAAATTTCCATCGTCTCTTTCATCATTTAGCCCCTTGAGCCAGACCTCAAGAGAAATCAAGCAAGCCGCTGATAAAAAACCAGCTACCACAGGAACTACTGCAAAATTCAACACCAAGTGCAAGGTCTGCGGAGGTCCAATTCATGCTGGCAAAGACCAAATAACTCATCTCTTCGATGGCTCCAAAAAATCTTGGATTCACGTTAGGTGTTCAACAAGTGATGCGTAGTAAGCACCGACAAAAACGTCGAAAAGGAGATGATATCGAGGCTTTTGAGCGATTTAAAAATGGTAAATGAAATCTGTCCCGTTGGCAATTGAAGTAGTTCTTAGAAATTGCAGTTATCAACTTCCATTTGTTTTAGAAATGAGACATGAGTAAGTGCAAGATATAGATTTAACCAAGCCTAAAAGCGGAGCTCGCATTTTTTTTTTTTGCCGCACGTCTTAAGGGCACAACGCCTTGTCCCGGCCAGGACTGGAACCCGCGTCGTCCGACTCGGAGCTCAGTGCACTGAACACTAGACTACTGGACAAAGCCGTAGCGTTGGTGTGCCCGCGGTACAGTTGACCACGCATGTTAAAAGTAGCATCTTATACGGTCGGTCGTACGGTCGTAAGTCCAAATTTTTTCGGCTTGATAGGTTAGTACCATTTTGTATAATTATGGGGCTACGCTCTGCGAGCGCCGCTATAATTTTTGGAAAAATTTACGTTGGGTTCTACTGTTAGAGTGTGTTATGGGTAATTGTTGTTACTTCAAGAAATCTCCAGGCTGCTGAGTCATGCTGACTTGCATACCGTAGAACTTTCCAGAACATTTCATTAAGTCATTTGTTATGTAATAATACTAAAACAGTTCTTATGTAAGCTTCTGGAATGTTCCAAAACACTTTGTGAATTTATATAAAGACTCACTTATGTGGTAGTGGGAGTAGTTTTTGTTGTCGGTGCGACGAGAGAGAGAGAGTTACTGTGGAAGATTGCTTATTTCAAGGAACTTTGGAGTCTGCAGTGAGATTGTGTCAGTGGTGAGCTAGGATATAGACTGAGCTGTGCTTAAGTAAGTTTATTAACGATAAGTATTATACTGCTTTTAGAAGTCGCTCCTTGTTAAGAACATTACTCGCTAAAGAAGGTAATTTAGTGTTAACAACAGAGTTGAAAACGTAAATTGGCCACCGTCAAGAGTGAAAAAAAGCTGATGTTTCGAGCGTTTGCCCTTCGTCAGAGTGATTGGAGGAATTGTGGGTTGTGTGTGGGTTTATATGCAGAAAGTGGAGCTACGTTATTGGTGAGAGTGGGATTGTAGTGTTTTTCTGTCGGTTAGATTATACCGCAACAGAATGTGATTCTTTTTACCGTGGAATAGCAAAATTTTTGACAGGAAAATTGTCTGGAAAGAAATATCCTGATTGGTCGCCTATTAAGCGCAAATTTTACTCTTTTACTTTTCTATATGCTTTTGAGTTTTAGTTGGTAAAACTTCTTACATCAGGTCATTTACCTATATTTTACAAGTAAGTGGACTTTCGTGTTTAAACATGAAGACGACATTTTAATTCGATGTTATGGAAGATCACGCTCCTTTCACGCGTTATGCGTTCCATGCTCCCATCAAAAACTGTAATTATAATTTTTAATGCAACCAATGAAAAAGATTAAAAAGATTATGAAAAGATTCCTCCACAGGAAAGAAGAATCTTCAAAATGTGTCCCGCTCCTAAGATGTGGCTTTGTAGCTCAGTTGGTAATAGTGACCGAATCGTATCTTGGAGGCTCGAGATCAAATCCTTGAATTTTTCGCGGGCTTCTTTACTGCATTTGCTTAACAAGCAGCTCACCTGCGCTGATAATTGCTATACTTAAAAATTGTGATGTTATTTGTTTCTGCGTTCTCCGAACGGCTAAAAACGCTTCGAAGTCTTCTAGAGAATTGTCCGTGAACGTTTACGGTCCAACCTGTATTTCTAAGAAAACTAGCTAAAACTCAAGCTGTTTTAAATAAGACGAACGTGTGTAGTTAAGGACTTCGCGATAACGGTTGTTGCCTGCGCAGATAAACGAAATTGGTACAAGATGCATTCAGTTTACTATGGCAACAAAGACGTTTGCTTTCTGGAACTGAAACAAAAATTTGCGAAATCGTCGATTCATCGGTGAAGACATTCTTGTTCTTGAGGTTGTATGAGTCAATGTCAGCTAATCGGAATATCACAAGATATGTGCAGAGCTGCAAAATTGAAGTAATTTGGCAACACCTGTTTTTCGATTTACAGTCTCAAGATCGCCTTTTCGACGGGCTGTAAACCGGAAAGGAAGTTAAAGGAAATCCGCCCTTTTTTAGAATAAAAAGAAAACCTTACCTCTCGGCTCAGCAATTTTTTTACATCTGGCTCCACACAACAAAGTCACTGCTCCATTTTATATAACTGCGCCTCTTTAAAATTTTCAGAATAAAGCTTTTCCACTACGCATAAATATACATCCAACTTGTTCGTTCTGCAAGAAAAAGTAATGTTATATTGTGACGTCACAATAAAGTTTACAACTGAGGCGCGCGAGATGAATGAGTTGGTCCCAGACCGCCTGCTTTTTTTACAGAGGACGAAGAAATTCGGTCTGGTCTCGAGATTTACAAAACGCACATTATTGAGGGAACGTTTGGCGAAATACTCCGTCATGCACTAAACAGCATCACTCTTATACATGAATGTGAGACGTAAGGCCAACTCTAGTCGAGTACGCAACTTTTTAATTGTACTCAACGAATTTTCGAGAATTTTTTATTTAAATAAAGTTTCTGTCTGTTTTGTCACCAGTGCAGGTCGAAGTGAACATCTGAGCCAAACTTCAGACCTCCGAATTACAGGGATCCCTTTGGAGGGTGAGGCCATTATCAGCTCGTGTGCGATAAGCGATCTCTAGAACATAGTGGAGCGAACTTTATTCGTGTACATAGCTTATCTCACAAGAATTCTTTCAACACCTTTCCCCGCGCCAAATTGTTCAGAGGAGACTCTTTAAACACGAAGAAAATATCCACCATTGCTTGTATAAAATATTTCCAGGACACACAAAACGTGACGCCGCAACCATAGATTCGGAAAAGTTTGACCTCCACGGGTAAGTCTTTCGATGATTGTTTATATTTCAATGATTGACCTCTGGTTTGATAAAATTTTTTATTAGCGTGGCTTAATTCTTTGAGCAAAACAGATGATAAAGCGACAATAAAGCGCTCAATAAGCAAATAAAACAACAGTAGACCTCTTTCAAGTCCGTGGTATGGTTCATAGGGGTCTTACAACTCTCCAACGAGAGATAACGTTTTGCCATTTGGTCTCAAGATCAGATCATATTTTTAGGCCAAAAGCCTTGGAAAGGTAATGAAGTTTGCAGTGCATGGTCTATGTCTTGAGGTTCTGGCATTTCTTTTTAAACTCTGATTTGAAAAAAAAATATGTCTCAATCAGGAGCCCTCTTGTTTCAATATGTTCTTGGTGGCAACTTGAGGTAGATATGCTACAATCTGAGAAAGATGCTCTTTTAAATTGGATCGCAAAATAAAAAGATTTTCTCTTACCAGGTTTAGGTTTAAACACCTTAAAGGCCACTCTGAAATTGTAGCCTCATGAGAGGACAAAAGAAAATAAATTTGAGGGACATGATTTCAAATGACACTAAGCCCTTGAAAAATATGAAAAAGGACATGGAAAATTAAATGAAAATAAGTAATCATATTTTGACCTGAAGATGAAATACATACAAAGAAAATTCCTTGCGGGTGAGCTGCAATTTAAGAAATTTCAGAAAAGACTCAGTTGAAACAGTTGAGGCTTTGATGGGATTTAAACCCACGCCTCCCGGATAGTTGATGGGTGCCACTACCAACTGAGCAATTAAGCAGCCTATTTTGCTTGGTTCTTTGTTCCTGTAAAGAAATCAAATCACAATAAATTAAAAAGGTAATGTCTATTTAGATTTATCAGATTTTGATGAAAATTTGTCTAAATGGTAGTTACGCATTAAGTCACCAAACTTTGTGAGGTTTTTTCGTGTTTATTTTTCATATTGTTTCCAAGCTGATGACTGGCATGGAAAACCTCTTAGTTATCTTCAAAATCAATTACATGTGTTGTTTTCACCCCGTCCAATTATTTCACATGGAATTATATATATGTTTCTTTCAGGTACAATAACAAGCGACTAAATCAATACAAACCAACTTGTGTACTTTTTTGACTGAAACAATTTCAAAATATAAAAGCCATAAATTGAAGATTCCAGGACGACGGGTAGAGTAATTGTATCCAGCTTCGAACAGCAAAACAAGCTAAACAGCTGTTGAATGTTGTTGATGTACGAAATTAATTGATTTCGATCGAGACAAAGCGACTTTGGAGTTAAGGAGAAAAAGGCATCGGTCGGGTATCATTAAATTCGTGAAAGATTACCAAATTGGAGATTTTTTTTTTACATTGCATATTACTGTTCCTTGTGTTAAGCCTTTGATTTGGAGTGAGACTGAAGGTGAACATAAAAACAAAGTAATTTGCATTTGAAAAGCAGCAAGGTTCGTATCATACCAAGGTCAACCTTAGCCTCATTCCTGTTCAAAGGCTTGGCAACCAAGCGCACAACTGTAAAATGGACTATTGAACAAAGAAGACATCAGGATACGTAGATTAAAAACTGAATTATTCCATTCTTCAATAGATGTAATCAAAACAAGATTCATCAAACTTCGAGAGACGATGCGTGAGCTAGGTCACTCATGAAACTCCACAAGGGTAATATTGCCCTGATGAAAAAGTTTAGTCGGAAAACAAAACGCTTGTAGTACCAATTATCCTTCACTCAGGGAGTTTCAAATCTCCCAAGTCTGCAAACAGAAATGCTGTCCAATTCATCTGACGCATTAGATAGGTTGTGTTATGCTTATACTTATAGAAATGTCAGTATCTCATTTAACTATTGGGCAACTCTGGCGAACAGTATTTTTGCGTTTCTTCTCGCTCCCATGACAGCGACTGGGAATGCTTTCGTTTTGGCAGCAATTTGGAGAAACCCGGCGCTAAGGACTCCATCCCATGTGCTTCTTGCTGGATTGGCCTTCACGGACTTTTGCACAGGACTATTAAGTTTGCCACTTCTAGCTGCGTATAAGTTAGCACATTTAAGGGAAAGCAGTATGACATGCACACTTGTTCTGATTTCATTTAGTGTCAGTATGTTTTTTGCCTGCTTGACGGTCGTTGTCATAGTGATGGCTGCTGCAGAAAGATGGCTATGCATGAGCAGGAGGTCTCTTCTTACAGTGCGCCGAGTTACCATTCTTTTTACCATAATGGTGTGCTTGATAACTGCTTTTGTAACTGTCCGCGTTATCAGTTTTCGGTATCTATCGAAGGACATAGACAATTTGCTGAATGGAGGTTTTTTGACGGCAGCGGCGATTTGTATTCTGGTTATGGCAGTTTCTTATTACAAGGTGTTTGGAATAATTCGTCACCATCAAAAAGGAGTTCAAGCAAATCAAAATTCCATTAATATTGCTAAGTACAGAAAATCTATATTCACCGTTCTATATATACTTGCACTTTTTGTGATCGGTTACATCCCCTATATAGGTAGCGAGTTAACCTTTCACGTTTTGCAGGAATTCGGAGACATGTTCCTAACATGCTCCAATTTTACCTTAATTTTTGTTTATTTTTCCTCGCTATTAAATCCTTTGCTTTATTGCTGGAGGATTAAGGAGATAAAGATAGGTGTAAAAAATTTAGTAGAAAAATTACTTTGTAAACAAGCAGCAGAGAATGAGGAATAATGTTAAAATTCGTAAATTTCGAAAATTTCCTTGACAAGTTTTGCGTAGCAGAATAGGTGAAAGAAAACTATCAAAAACGAATACTGATGGTGTAAGTGACTTTTTAAGGACGCTTCCTAAGGAGACGGTTGTAGATTTTAGATTATTTCGACTTGCAGGAATGCTAACGATACTATCCGATTTTCTTGACCATTAACTACCCTGAAAACGATTTTCTCCTCCGTTACAATGTTTATTCATGTTGATTTGCCTATCTATCGTTCTTGAAACTTGGCCCTTTAGCGTCCTTTTTGCGTCCCACGCGCGCATAAAAGGCGACCTTCTCGTCCTTTCTTCTGCTGTACTTAGTAATTCGAAGGATCCTGACCTTTGCTACATTTGTAACTTTTGAAACCATGGGCACAAGTGGGACCGATATGAAAGTTTATTCTTTTATTTTGCTAGGTTTAGTTTTCTTTTATTTTGATTAGATAAAGGTAGTCGAAAATCTATTGTACAGTGTACCTTTTTAATTGCTTTGTGATAAGTAGCGATAATCACGCTTAGCGTTTACGAGTAAACGCCCACCTATTAGTTTGAGAACGTTTGAGCTATTGACTGTTTGCGTGGATATATTGACGTAGCTTTTTTTTTTGCCTTAAACGTTTTCATCGCGATTTGTAATTGACTCTGTTTTTGACTCACTGTTTATTTAGAAATGAAAGTTAACTAATGAAAGAGAGGTAACTGTACACCGCAAATAGCATAGCTAATCTAGGCGGTGTATAGTTTTTGTATTACACAACATAAAATAATAAATATGAGAAAACATATACACATGCATATCTGCTAGAAAATTAATACATAAAGAGAGGACAAGATCATTACATACAAGAGAAAGAAATTAAATAAGATCAATACTTAGAAAAGAAGGCGAATGGTTAGATTTGTTTTTACATGCTTTTATCTTATATATAGGAAGATTTCGCCTCGATTAATAGGAATTCGTTGTATTATTACTTCAGTTTACGGTCGTTTTTAGCCTTTTGCCTGACAAGATCTCAAGATCAGATCATATTTTTGGGCCGAAAGCCTTGGAAAGGTAATGAAGTTTGAAGTGCACGGTCTATGTTGAGGTTCTAACATCTTTTTTTTTAAACTCTGATTTGAAAAAAAAATATATGTCTTAATCAGGAGCCTTCTTGTCTCAATATGTTCTTGGTGGCAACTTGAGGTAGATGTGCTACAATCTAAGAAAGATGCTCTTTTAAATTGGATCGCAAAATAAAAAGATTTCCTCTTTCCAGGTTTAGGTTTAAACACCTTAAAGGCCACTCTTTACTGCCCCTTCCCCCACCCCTCAGCTGAAATTGTAGCCTCATGAGAGGACAAAAGAAAATAAATTTAAGGGACATGATTTCAAGTGACACTAAGCCCTTGAATAATATGATAAAGGACACGAAAAATTAAATGAAAATAAGTAATCATATTTTGACCTGAAGATGAAATGAAACAGTTAAGGCTTTGATGGGATTTAAACTCACGCCTCCCAGATAGTTGATGGGTGCCACTACCAACTGAGCAATTAAGCAGCCTACTTTAATTGGTTCTTTGTTCCTGTAAAGAAATCAAATCACAATAAATTAAAAAGGTAATGTCTATTTAGATTTATCAGATTCTGATGAAAATTTGTCTATTGGTAGTTACGAATTGAGTCACCAAACTTTGTGAGGTTTTGTCGTGTTTATTTTTCATGTTGTTTCAAAGCTGATGACTGGCATGGAAAACCTTTTAGTTATCTTCAAAATCAATTACATGTGTTGTTTTCACCCCGTCCAATTATTTCACATGTGATTATATATATATATATATATATATGTTTTCTTTCGGGTACATTAACAAGCTACTAAATCGATACAAACGAACTTGTCTACCTTTTTGTCTGAAACAATTTCAAAAAATGTTATTGCCGATTCTTTGTTAAAAAATAAAAATAATAAAGAATAGAACGTAAAAGAAAACATTTCGTCCCTTTAAGATAATCCTGCAAAGTCATAAATTGGAGATTCCTGGACGGTGGGTAGGGTAATTGTATCCAACTTCGAACAACAAAACAAGCTACTCAGCTGTTGAATGTTTTTGATAAACGAAATTGATTGATTTCGATTGAGAAAAAGCGACTTTGGAGTTGAGGAGAAGAAGGCATCGGTCGGGCATCAGTAAAATCTTGAAAGATTGCCAAATTGGAGATTTTTTTTTACATTGCATATAACTGTTCCTTGTGTTAATTGAACGAAGAAGACATCATGATACGTAGATTAAAAACTGAATACTTCCAGTGGCTCTTTTCTCATTGGGTGTAATCGAAACAAGATTCATCAAACTGCGAGAGACGACGCGTGAGCTGGGACACTCATTAAACTCCAAAAGGGTAATGTTGCTCTAATGAAAAAGTTTACTCGGAAAACCAAACGCTTGTATTACTAATCATCCTTCACTCAGGGAGCTTCAAATCTACCGAGTTTGCAAACAGAAATGCTGTCCAATTCATCTGACGCATTAGATAGGTTTTGCTCTGCTTTTACCTATAGAAATGTGAGCATCTCATTGAACTATTGGGCAACTGTGGCAACCAGTGTTTTTGCGTGTCTTCTTGCCCCCATGACAGTGACTGGGAATGCTTTCGTTTTGGCAGCAATTTGGAGAAACCCGGCGCTAAGGACTCCATCCCAAGTGCTTCTTGCTGGATTGGCCTTCACGGACTTTTGCACAGGACTAATAAGTTTGCCAGTTCTTGCTGCGTTCATGTTAGCACTGTTAAGGGAAAGCAGTCTGAGATGCACTTTTAGTCTGATTTCATTTTGTGTTGGTCATGTTTTCGCCGCCGTGACGGTCATTGTCATAACGATGGCTGCTGCAGAAAGATGGCTGTGTATGAGCCGGAGGTCTCTTCTTACAGTACGCCGAGTTACCATTCTTTTCATCATAATGGTGTGCTTGATAACTGCCTTTGTAACTGTTCGCGTTTTCAGTTATCAATATCTATCGAAGGACATAGACAATTTGCTGAATGGAGTTTTTTTGACAGCAGCGGCGATTTGTATTCTGGTCATAGCAGTTTCTTATTACAAGGTGTTTAGAATAATTCGTCACCATCAAAAAGGAGTTCAAGCAAATCAAAATTCCATTGATATTTCAAAATACAGAAAATCTATATTCACCGTTCTATATATATTTTCACTTTTTGTGATCAGTTACGTCCCCTATCTAGTTTACACGTTAACTTTTTACGTTTTGCAAGAATTCGGAGACACATTCCTAACATGCTCCAGTTTAACTACGGTTATCGTTTATTCTTCCTCGCTTTTAAATCCTTTGCTTTATTGCTGGAGGATGAAGGAGATAAAGATGGGTGTAAAAAATTCAATGAGAAAACTATTTTGTAAACAAGCAGCAGAGGATGAGGAATAACGCCATATTTTCAGTAGTAAGTTTCCCTGACAAAAAAAACATATACATATGCATACCTGCCAGAAAATTAATACATAACGAGAGGACAAGATCATTACACAGAGAAGAAAGAAATTAAATAAGATTAAACTAAGAAAAGAAGGTGAATAGTTACATTTGTTTTTTCATGCTTTTATCTTATATATAGGGAGTTTTCGCCTCGATTAATAGGAATTCGTTGTATTATTACTTCAGTTTAGGTCGTTTTTGTCCTTTTGCCTGTTTTAGCTTCTTGTTCGTCTTAATATCTTGGTAGTTTTAGTATTCTGGTTTTCATCGACAACAAATCTTTGTTAACCGTCACTTTGCTTCTCGTGATTGCGACCCGAAAAAAAGTCCCAAACACCTCGGTAGCCATACGCCTAAAGCGACGCCTCGCTTGAATTTTCTTTCAGTCGCCGCAAGCGTAACACGGAAGTTGCAATATTGCAAAAAAACGGCTTGAAAGTGAGATTGTTGAACCATGGAAAAATTATTTTAAGGCACAAATATTTGCATTACGTCGGTATGTTTAATAATCATTTGGTAATAATCGAACTGCACTGAGATATTTCGAACCGTTTATTGTACGTTACTTTTACTTCACCATCATATTGCCGGTGAGTTAGACATCTGTTAAATGATAAAAGGAGATAAATTGATGTTTTTTTAAATAGTGTTAACCCTATCACACCCTTGTGCTGACAGTGTAAGGTGCAGACAAGTCAACACTGCAACTGACTCTGTGCATGGTATCTTCATGATGACCCTGGACGATCTCGATGATCATTATCTACGAGATGCCATAATAATGATCTCAGGATTTTCCAGAATAGTGCTCTGTCCACCATTTCACACACCCTCTAGATATCAATTTAACCGGCAAAGTTTATTACTAGTCTACTAACTGTTTTCTAATTATGCGGAAGGTTGCTTACCTGACCGTGCGAGATCTGCCTGCATCAGTCCACAACTTTCCTGGCGATCTTCTGTAAAATATTTCCGGAAAACACAAAACGTGACACCGCAACCATAGATACAACCACACAACTGAAAACACCCATCAACCAATGAGAGCGCGCGTACTATCTTTTGAATATTTAATAAACTTTTATAAGAGGTTACATGTAAGCATACTCTTCCAATCACAAAAAGAAAAAAGGAGAGTATAAATGGACAGCTGTATGTTATTTTTTTCTTTATTGACACAACTTATATCGATTTAAATCGAGACAAAGCCAGATTAGAGTTTAGGAAAAAATGTCTTGCGTGGAGTTTTTATTGTCTTGAAACTTGGCCAAATTGGAAACTTCTTGTCACCTTTGTTCATGAGTGTTCTTGCATGACAGCTCTTAAAATAGCCGTGACTAAGACAGACCACGTGACCTTACTAGTTATCAAACGGGAGCGCGGGAAAAAACGATCATTGTTCATGTAAGAGTGCGCTGTTTACCCACATCATGTTACATGTAATTTAGAGATCTGATTCAAAAATTTCCTCGGTAAATTTGTAATCGTCAATATCATGGCGAGCTTTCGAGGCTACTTTTTACCCAAATAAAGAGACTGGAACGAGGATGAAGACGACTCCGAGGTGGAAAGTGAAAGTGACGACAAGTACTTAGAATGTAAAGACATCCTTAATACCACAAGTAGGAAATACCAGTTCTACCGCCCATCGAAGACCCCAGAAAAGCTTAAAGAACTGTATGGTCAGCTTCTGCCAAAGAGAGAAAAATTTGGGCGTGTCAGATTTGGTCGAATGTTTACGTACCCTTGATGGATGGTTGACATGATAGTGAATAAAAGATCTAATGGGCAGCAGGACATTCCGTTTTACAGCATTCGATCTGACGACGGGGTCGATAAACTTTGATCTCGTTGTTTCTGACGCAGGCATGCTGAATCAGTAATCAACATGCCTTTGCAATTTTGGACTTGATCGAAAACAGAAATCTCACTGCGATGCTCAATAATCCGAAGAAAAACGTAGAGGAATTCGCGCTCAGCAGTAAAGTCAACGATGATATCGCCAACCAGATTCGGAAAAGTTTGACCTCCACGGGTAAGTCTTACGATGATTGCTTATATTTCAATGATTGACCTCTTTTTGATGAAATTTTTCTATTAGCGTGGCTTAATTCTTAAAGCAAAACAGATGATAAAGCGACAATAAAGCGCTCAATAAGCAAATCAAACAACAATAGACCTCTTTCAAGTCCGTGGTATGGTTTGTAGGGGTCTTACAAGTCTCCAACGAGAGATAACGTTTTGCCATTTGGTCTCAAGATCAGGTGATATTTTTGGGCCAAAAACCTTGGAAAGGTAATGAAGTTTGCAGTGCATGGTCTATGTCTTGAGGTTCTGGCATCTTTTTTTAAACTCTGATTTGAATAAAAAAAATATGTCTCAGTTAGGAGCCCTCTTGTCTCAATATGTTCTTGGTGGCAACTTGAGGTAGATATGCTACAATCTAAGAAAAATGCTCTTTTAAATTGGATCGCAAAATAAAAAGATTTTCTCCTATCAGGTTCAGGTGTAAACACCTTAAAGGCCACTCTTAAAGTGCCCCCTTCCCCCCACCCCTCAACTGAAATTGTAGCCTTATGAGAGGACAAAAGAAAATAAATTTGAGGGACATGATTTCAAGTGACACTAAGCCCTTGAATAATATGAAAAAGGACATGGAAAATTAAATGAAAATAAGTGATCATATTTTGACCTGAAGATGAAATGCATACGAAGAAAAATTCCTTGCAGGTGAGCTGCAATTTAAGAAATTTCAGAAAAGACTCTTGAAACAGTAAAGGCTTTGATGGGATTTAAACTCACGCCTCCCAGATAGTTGATGGGTGCCACTACCAACTGAGCAATAAAGCAGCCTACTTTAATTGGTTCTTTGTTCCTGTGAAGAAATCAAATCACAATAAATTAAAAAGGTAATGTCTATTTGAATTTATCAGATTCTGACGAAAACTTGTCTAAATGGTAGTTACGCATTAAGTCACCAAACTTTGTGAGGTTTTTTCGTATTTATTTTTCATATTGTTTCCGAGTTGATGACTGGCATGGAAAACCTTTTTCTTTAGTTATCTTCTCAACCAATTACATGTGTTGTTTTCACCCCGGTTAATTATTTCACATGGAATTATATATGTGTTTCTTTCGGGTACACTAACAAGCGACTAAATCGATACAAACGAACTTTTGTATCTTTTTGACTGAAACAATTTCAAAAATATGTTATTACCGATACTTTGTTAAAAAATAAAAATAATAAAGAATAGAACGTAAAAGAAAACATTTCGCCCCTTTAAGATGATCCTCCAAAGCTATAGATTGGAGATTCCTGGACAGTGGATAGAGTAATTGTATCCAGCTTCGAACAGCAAAACAAGCTAAACAGCTGTTGAATATTTTTGATAAACGAAATTGATTGATTTCGATCGAGACAAAGCGACTTTGGAGTTAAGGAGAAAAAGGCATCGGTCGGACATCAGTAAAATCTTGAAAGATTGCCAAATTGGAGATTTTTCTTTTACATTGCACATAACTGTTCCATGTGTTAATTGAACAAAGAAGACATCATGATACGTAGATTAAAAACTGAACACTTCCGGTGGCTTTTTTCTCAAAGGGTGTAATCGAAACAAGATTCATCAAACTGCGGGAGACGACGCGTGAGCTGGGACACTCATTAAACTCCAAAAGGGTAATGTTGCTCTGATGAAAAAGTACTCGGAAAACCAAACACTTGTATTACCAATCATCCTTTACTCAGGGAGCTCCAAATCTACCGAGTTTGCAAACAGAAATGCTGTCCAATTCATCTGACGCATTAGATAGGTTGTGTCATGTTTATACTTATAGAAATGTCAGCATCTCATTTCACTATTGGGCAACTGTGGCAACCGGTGTTTTTGCGTGTCTTCTTGCCCCCATGACAGTGACTGGGAATGCTTTCGTTTTGGCAGCAATTTGGAGAAACCCGGCGCTAAGGACTCCATCCCATGTGCTTCTTGCTGGATTGGCCTTCACGGACTTTTGCACAGGACTAATAAGTTTGCCAGTTCTTGCTGCGTTCATGTTAGCACATTTAAGGGAAAGCAGTCTGAGATGCACTTTTAGTCTGATTTCATTTTGTGTTGGTCACTTTTTCGCCGCCTCGACGGTCGTTATCATAACGATGGCTGCTGCAGAAAGATGGCTTTGCATGAGCCGGAGGTCTCTTCTTACAGTACGCCGAGTTACCATTCTTTACATCATAATGGTGTGCTTGATAACTGCCTATGTAACTGTCCGTGTTTTCAGTTTTCGGTATCTATCAAAGGACATAGACAATTTGCTGAATGGAGTTTTTCTGACGGCAGCGGCGATTTGTATTCTGGTCATAGCAGTTTCGTATTACAAGGTTTTTGGAATAATTCGTCACCATCAAAAAGTAGTTCAAGCAAATCAAAATTCCATTGATATTTCAAAATACAGAAAATCTATATTCACCGTTCTGTATATATTTTCATTTTTGTGATCAGTTACTTCCCCTATCTGGGTAAAGCGTTGACCTTTTACGTTTTGCAAGAATTCGGAGACACATTCCTAACATGCTCCAGTTTAACTACGGTTATTATTTATTCTTCCTCGCTTTTAAATCCTTTGCTTTATTGCTGGAGGATGAAGGAGATAAAGATGGGTGTAAAAAATTCAATGAGAAAACTATTTTGTAAACAAGCAGCAGAGGACGAGGAATAACGCCATATTTTCAGTAGTAAGTTTCCCTTGACAAAAAAAAACATACATACGCATACCTGCTAGAAAATTAATACATAAAGAGAGGACAAGATCATTACACAGAGAAGAAAGAAATTAAATAAGATCAATACTTAGAAAAGAAGGCGAATGGTAAGATTTGTTTTTACATGCTTTTGTCTCATTTATAGGAAGTTTTTGCCTCGATTAGTTTACGGTCGTTTTTAGCCACTTGCTTGTTTTAACAACTTGTTCGTCTTAATATCTTGGTAGTTTTAGTATTCTAGTTTTTATCGACAATAAATCTCTGTTAACCGTCACTCTGCTTCTCGTGATTGCGTCCCGAAAAATAGTCCCAAACACCTTGGTAGCCATACTCCCAAAGTAACGCCTCACTTGAATTTTGTTCCAGTCGCCGCAAGCGTAACACGGAAGTTTACTTTGACAAGTTTTGTTGTTAATTTTCTTTGTCAACCTGTATACCTAACACTTTTCCGTGGCAACTCGGCGCTTGCATGTTGGCAAAAGTTGCAATATTGCAAAAAAAAACGGCTTGAAAGTGTGATTGCTGAACCATGGAAAAAATTATTTCAAGGCACAAATATTTGCATAATATTGGTATGTTTAATAATCATTTGGTAATTATCGAGCTGCACTGAGATATCTCGAACCATAAGGGCCTATTTACATGGAGGTGGGACACCAGGTAGGTGGGGTAACCCGTTTGTCCATATAGTTTCTTATTTTATTTTGATCGCGTCTACATGATAGGTGGGGTGACCCGCCTAGGCAGGTTGCCCGGTCTACCAGGTAGGGTAACCCTGTCAGCCGGGGTGACAATCTGCCATGTTAACGTGTCAAGGTGCGGTAACCCGCCTAGCCGGGGTCGCGTTCATCGCAAAAAGCTCAAAAGCGAAACATGTATGTTTTAAAACTTTATACATTTCCTAGCTGTCTCATGGTAGAAATCACCAGAAACCGCAACGGACACACAAGGAAACTTGAGTTAAAGACTATTTTAATTGGTGTCACAATACTAATTGTTCTTTATTTAATTACTTAATCGTTTTAGGTAAGCTGTAAAAAAAGAAAATGTTCACATTTCGGAATATTAAGCGTCGTAAATCGACCATATTTGGTTACCCAAACTATTCCGTATAACGTATTAAGTCAACGGTTTCTCGCGAAACCAAACATTGCGTAACACAACGCGTGACGCTTTCATAAATAAATACATATGTGTCCGAGAATTAATCTTTCGTCTTTTTCGAGATGTGAGCTCGGGACGCCTCTGCTCAAACTCCTTAATTGCAAGCGCAACAACAACCTCAAGAAACCTCACCCCAGCACCTCGGAGTTGTAAGATTGCATGTAAATGCGTTCTATTTTTCGACCGCGGCTAGGCGGGTTACCTTACCTATCTGGGGTCCCCCACCTCCATGTTAACAGACCCTTATTGTACGTTACTTTTATTTCACCATTATATTGCCTTAAAATTGCCATTGAGTTAAACATCTGTTAAATGATAAAAGGAAATAAATTGATGCTTTTTAAATAGTGTTAAATCAGTGAGTGTATTACTATTATTGCCAGCCGAAATGCTTTTCGTTCCCTAAAGTAGTCCTATGAATTTGATAGGAATGTCTCTTTCGTGCAGCTTGATTAAGCCTCGCAGAATTCACACAGTTGTCGTTGTTGTCTTCAGCATCACCTAATCAGTTATCGGTAAGAAGACGAGTAGCTAGGGAAAAGAAACAACCCTGCCACACCCTTGTACTGATAATGAAAGGTGCAGACAAGTCAACTTTGCAACTGACTCTGTGCGTGGTATCTTAATAATGACCCTGGATGATCTCGATGATCATTATCTGCGAGATGCCATAATACTGATCTCAGGATTTTCTAGAGTATTTCTTTGTCTACCATTTCACACACCCTCTAGGCAAAGTTTATTACTAGTCTACCGACTGCTTCCTAATTATGCGGAAGGTTGCTAACTTGATCTTGCGCGATCTGCCTGCATCCATCCACAACTTTCTTGGTCCTCTTCAGCAAGTCCATGGTGCGTACTTCGCTTAGCAGAGTAAGGTCAATAAGGAGCTGAATTCTCCTCCAATTAATAGTATACAATGATGTTTTCACATCTTTGAGGCGCAAAAGAGTTCAAAGCCTGGCTAAACAGTTCAAGGAATTGTTCAATCTGTGTCAGAATCACTTTCGTTGAAATGGAATTGTCGTTTGCGAGGTTTAACCATGTTTGTTTTGAGGAAAGTGTTAAGCCAGGTCGGCTCGTAATTTTCGATTTTCTTGTCAATTCCCTTCTCTAAACACTACTTTTTCCAAACCGTCAACCAAAAAGCAGTGCTTTTTACAATGTTTTCGTTGTTAGAACTGTCTTTCAGCTGTTTGAATAGTTTGATTTCTCACGGACTCACGGTGGTTTTTAACTTTGCTAGGAATATGGCTGTTGTGAATACAGTCAATTACATGTGTTGCTTTTACATCGTCCAATTATTTTACATGGGATTATATACTTAAAAGCAACTAAATCGATATAAACCAACTTGTGCACCTTTTTGACTGAAATAATTTCAAAATACTTCATTACCGATACTTTGTTAAAAATTAAAATAGTAAAGAAACAATTTAGCCCCTTTAAGATGATCCTACAAAGCCATAAATTGGAGATTCCAGGACGGTGGGTAGAGTAATTGTATTCTTCCAACAGCTGTGTAACTGTGTGGAGTACTTGTATCTAGCTTCGAACAGCAAAACAAGCTAAACAGCTGTTGAATGTTTTTGATATACGAAATTGATTGATTCTGATCGAGACAAAGCGACTTTGGAGGTAAGGAGTAAAAGGCATCGGTCGGGCATCACTAAAATCTCGAAAGATTGCCAAATTGGAGTGTTTTTTTTTTCTACATTACATATAACTGTTCCTTGTTTTAATTGAACAAAGAGGACATCATGATACGTAGATTAAAAACTGAATACTTCCAGTGGTTATTTTTCAATAGATGTAATCGAAACAAGATTCATCAACTGAATTGCGAGAGACGACGCGTGGGTTAGGACACTCATTAAACTCCACAAGGGTCATGTTGCTCTAATAAAAGTTTAACCTAAAATTAACGCTTGTATTACCAATAATCCTTCATTCAGGGAGCTTCGAATCACTCGAGTTTGCAAACAGAAATGCTGTCCAATTCATCTGATGCATTAGATAGGTTTTGCTATGTTTTTACCTATAGAAATGTAAGCATCTCATTTAACTATTGGACAACTGTGGCAACAAGTGTTTTTTCGTTTCTTCTCGCTCCCATGACAGTGACAGGGAACGCTTTCGTTTTGGCAGCAATTTGGAGAAACCCGGCGCTAAGGACTCCATCCTATGTGCTTCTGGCTGGATTGGCCTTCCCGAATTTTTGCACAGGACTAATAAGTTTGCCACTTGCAGCTGTGTCCAACTTAGCACTGTTAAGGGAAAGCAGTATGACATGCACTCTTGTTCTGATTTCATATTGTGTAAGTCAGTTTTGCGCCTACTTGACGGTCGTTGTCATAGCGGTGGCTGCTGCAGAAAGATGGCTTTGCATGAGCCGGAGGTCTCTTCTTACAGTACGCCGAGTTACCATTCTTTACATCATGGTGGTATCCTTGATAACCGCCTTTGTAACTGTCCGCGTTTTCAGTTTTCTGTATCTATCGAAGGACATAGACAATTTGCTGAATGGAGCTTTTTTGACAGCAGCAGCGATTTGTATTCTGGTTATGGTAGTTTCTTATTACAAGGTGTTTAGAATAATTCGTCACCATCAAAAAGGAGTTCAAGCAAATCAAAGTTCCATTAATATTTCAAAATACAAAAAATCTATATTCACCGTTCTATATATACTTGCACTTTTTGTGATCAGTTACATCCCCTATCTGGGTAACGCGTTAACCTTTTACGTTTTGCAAGAATTCGGAGACATGTTCCTAACATGCGTCAAGTTTACTTCGATTATAATTTATGTTTCCTCGCTTTTAAATCCTTTGCTTTATTGCTGGAGGATTAAGGAGATAAAGATGGGTGTAAAAAGCTTAGTGAGAAAATTATTTTGTAAACAAGCAGCAGAGGATGAGGAATAACGTCATATTTTCACTAGTAAGTTTCCCTTGACAAGTTTTGCGTAGCAGAATAGGTGAAAGAAAACTATCAAAAACGAATACTGATGGTGTTTGTTTTTTAAGGACGCTTCTTAAGGAGACGGTTATAGATTTTAGATTATTTCGACTTGCAGGAATGCTAAGGATACTAGCCGATTTTCTTGACTATTAACTACCCTGAAAACGTTTTTCTACTCAGTTACAATGTTTATTCATGTTGATTTGCCCATCTATCGTTCTTGAAACCTGACCCTTTAGCGTCCTTTTTGCGTCCCAAGCGCGCATAAAAGGCGAACTTATCGTCCTTTCTTCAGTTGTATTAAGTGATTCGAAGGATCCTGACGTTTGCTACAGTTGTAACTTTTGAAACCTTTGGCGCAAGTGGGCCCCATATGGAAGTTTATTCTTTTATTTCGCTTATGTCCAGTTTTCCTTTACTTTGATTAGATAAAGGTACTCGAAAATCTATTGTACAGTGTACCTTCTTGACGTTGCTTTTTTTTTTTGCCTTTTAGTTTTTTGTTGCGATTTGAGTTGTAATTGACCCTGTTTTTGGCACACTGTTTATTACATAATGAAAGTTAACTAATGAAAGAGAGGTAACTGTACACCGCAAATATCATAGCTAACCTAGGCGGTGTAGAGTTTTTGTATTACACAACAAAAAAGAATAAATATGAGGAAACATATATCTGCTAGAAAATTAATACATAAAGAGAGGACAAGATCATTATATACAAGAGAAAGAAATTAAATAAGATCAATACTTAGAAAAGAAGGCGAATGGTTAGATTTGTTTTTACATGTTTTGATCTTATATTTAGGAAGTTTCCGCCTCCATTAGTAGGAATTTGTTTTATTATTACTTTAGTTTACGGTCGTTTTTAGCCACTTGCTTGTATTAGCAACTTGTTCGTCTTAATATCTTAGTAGTTTTAGTATTCTTGTTTTTATCGACAATAAATCTTTGTTAACCTTCACTTTGGTGCTAGTGATTGCGACCCGTACAGAAGTCCCAAACACCTTGGTAGCCATGTGCCCAAAGCGACGCCTCGCTTGAATTTTGTTTCAGTCGCCGCAAGCGTAACACGGAAGTTTACTTTAACAAGTTTTGTTGTTAATTTTCTTTGTCAACCTGTATACCTAACACTTTCTCCGTGGCAACTCGGCGCTTGCATGTTGGCAAAAGTTGCAACATTGGTATGTTTAATAATCATTTGGTAATTATCGAGCTACACTGAGATATTTCGAACCGTTTATTGTACTTTACTTTTACTTCACCATCATATTGCCAGTGAGTTAGACATCCGATGAATGATAAAAGGATATAAATTGATGTTTTCAAACTAATTAGTGTTAAATCAGTAAGTGTATTGCGATTATTGCCAGTTGAAATGCTTCTCGTTCCCTAAAGCAGTCCTATGAATTTGATAGGAATGTCTCTTTCGCGCAGCTTGATTAAGCCTGGCAGGATTCAAAAAATTGTTATTGTTGTCTTCACCTTCAGCATCACCTAATCAATTACCGGTAAGAAGGTGAGTAACGAGGGAAAAGAAACAACCCAAACTCTGTCAAATGGCTCACATCAATTGAGTCTCAACATCCAAACAGTGGAATCCTTCTTGTCGGCGATTTAAACCACCTAAACGAAACGACTCTTAAATCTAATTTCAATCTGAAACAAATTACTATCAAATCAAATCAATACAATCAATACAATCAATACAAATCAAACAACAATAGACCTCTTTCAAGTCCGAGGTATGGTTTTTAGGGATCTTAAAAGTCTCCAACGAGAGATAACGTTTTGCCATTTGGTCTCCAGATCAGGTGATATTTTTGGGGCCAAAAGCCTTGGAAAGGTAATGAAGTTTGCATTGCATGGTCTATGTCTTGAGGTTCTGGCATTTTTTTCTTTTTAACTCTGATTTGAAAAAAAAAATGTCTCAATCAGGAGCCCTCTTGTCTCAATATGTTCTTGGTGGCAACTTGAGGTAGATATGCTACAATCTAAGAAAGATGCTCTTTTAAATTGGATCGCAAAATAAAAAGATTTTCTCTTTCCAGGTTCAGGTTTAAACACCTTAAAGGCCACTCTAAAGTGCCCCCTTCCCTCCACCCCTCAGCTGAAATTGTAGCCTCATGAGAGGACAAAAGAAAATAAATTTGAGGGACATGATTTCAAGTGACACTAGACCCTTGAATAATATTAAAAAGGGCATGAAAAATTAAATGAAAATAAGTAATCATATTTTGACCTGAAGATGAAATACATACAAAGAAAAATTCCTTGCGGGTGAGCTGCAATTTACGAAATTTCAGAAAAGACTCTTGAAACAGTTGAGGCTTTGATGGGATTTAAACCCACGCCTCCCAGATAGTTGATGGGTGCCACTACCAACTGAGCAATATGAAGCAGCCTACTTTAATTGGTTCTTTGTTCCTGTAAAGGAATCAAATCTCATAAAAATTAAAAAGGTAATGTCTATTTGGATTTATCAGATTTTGATGAAAATTTGTCTAAATGGTAGTTATGCATCAAGTCATCAAACTTTGTGAAGTTTTTTCGTGTTTATTTTTCATGTTGTTTCCAAGCTGATGACTAGCATGGAAAACCAGTTATCTTCTCAATCAATTACATGTGTTGTTTTTACCCCGTCCAATTATTTCACATGGAATTATATATATGTTTCTTTCGGGTACACTAACAAGCGACTAAATGGATACAAACGAACTTGTGTACTTTTTTGTCTGAAACAATTTCAAAATATCTTTTTACCGATAATTTGTTAAAAAATAAAAAATTATAAAGAATAGAACATCAAAGAAAACATTTCGCCCCTTTAAGATGACCCTGCAAAGCCATAAACTGGAGATTCCAGGACGGTGGGTAGAGTAATTGTATCCAGCTTCGAACAGGTAAACAAGGTAAACAGCTGTTAAATGTTTTTGATATACGAAATTCATTGATTTTGATCGAGACAAAGCGACTTTGGAGGTAGGGAGAAAAAGGCATCGGTCGGGCATCACTAAAATCTTGAAAGATTGTTAAATTGGAGATTTTTTTTTTTTTACATTGCATGTAACTGTTCCTGGTTTTAATTGAACAAAGAGGACATCATGATACGTAGATTAAAAACTGAATACTTTCAGTGGTTATTTTTCAATAGATGCAATCGTAACAAGATTCATCAAACTGCGAGAGACGACGCGTGAGCTGGGACACTCATTAAACTCCAAAAGGGTAATGTTTCTCTAATGAAAAAGTTTACTCGGAAAACCAAACACTTGTATTACCAATCATCCTTCACTCTGGGAGCTTCAAATCCGAGTTTGCAAACAGAAATGCTGTCCAATTCATCTGACGTATTAGATAGTTTGTGTTATGTTTATACTTATAGAAATGTGAGCATCTCATTTAACTATTGGGCAACTCTGGCGAACAGTGTTTTTGCGTTTCTTCTCGCTCCCATGACAGTGACAGGGAATGCTTTCGTTTTGGCAGCAATTTGGAGAAACCCGACGCTAAGGACTCCATCCCATGTGCTTCTTGCTGGATTGGCCTTCACGGACTTTTGCACAGGACTAATACCTTTGCCACTTATAGCTGCGTATAAGTTAGCACATTTAAGGAAAAGCAGTATGACATGCACTCTTGTTCTGATTTCATATTGTGTAAGTCAGTTTTGCGCCTACTTGACGGTCGTTGTCATAGCGATGGCTACTGCAGAAAGATGGCTTTGCATGAGCCGGACGTCTCTTCTTACAGTGCGCCGAGTTACCATTCTTTTTACCATAATGGTGTGCTTGATAACTGCTTTTGTAACTGTCCGCGTTATCAGTTTTCGGCATCTATCGAAGGACATAGACAATTTGCTAAATGGAGCTTTTTTGACGGCGGCGGCGATTTGTATTCTGGTCATAGCAGTTTCGTATTACAAGGTGTTTGGAATAATTCGTCACCATCAAAAAGGAGTTCAAGCAAATCAAAATTCCATTGATATTTCAAAATATAGAAAATCTATATTCACCGTTCTATATATACTTGCACTTTTTGTGATCACTTACCTCCCCTATCTGGGCAACGAGTTAACCTCTCACGTTTTGCAAGAATTCGGAGACTTGTTCCTAACACGCAATAATTTTACTACGATTATAATTTATGTTTCCTCGCTTTTAAATCCTTTGCTTTATTACTGGAGGATTAAGGAGATTAAGATAGGTGTAAAACATTTAGTCAAAAAATTACTTTGTAAACAAGCAGTAGAGGATGAGGAATAATGATATATAGGTGAGAAAAACTATCAAAAACGAATACTGATGGTGTAAGTGACTTTCAAGGATGCTTCCTAAGGAGACGGTTATAGATTTTAGATTATTTCGACTTGCAGGAATGTTAAGGATACTAGCCGATTCTATTGACTATTAACTACCCCGAAAACGTTTTTCTCCTTAGTTACGATCTTAGTTACAATGTTTATTCATGTTGATTTGCCTATCTATCGTTTTTGAAACCTGACCCTTTAGCGCCCTTTTTGCGTCCCACGCGCACATAAAAGGCGAACTTATCGTCCTTTCTTCTGTTGTATTTAATAATTCAAAGGATCCTTTGCGATTTGTAACTTTTGAAGGCCTTTGGCACAAGCGGGACCGATATGGAAGTTTATTCTTTTATTTTGCTCAGGTTTAGTTTTCTTTTACTTTGATAAGATAAAGGTAGTCGAAAATCTTTTGTACAGTGTACCTTTTTAATTGCTTTGTGAGGAGAAGCGAAAATCACGCTTAGCGTTTACAAGTGAACGTCTACCTTTCAGTTTGAGAACGCTTGAGCTATTGACTGTTTGCGTGAATCACTTTACGTAGTTTTTTTTTTTTTTCGCTTTTTAGCTTTTTTTCGCGATTTGAGTTGTAATTGACACTGTTTTTGACACACTGTTTATTAGGTATTGAAAGTTAACTAATGAAACCTAATCTGGGCGGTGTAGAGTTAATGTATTTTTGTATTTGTACACAACATAAAATAATAATTATGAGAAAATATATACACATGTATATCTGCTAGAAAATTAATACATAAAGAGAGGACAACATCATTACATACAAGAGAAAGAAATTAAATAAGATCAATACTTAGAAAAGAAGGCGAATGGTTAGATTTGTTTTTACATGCTTTGATCTCATATTTAGGAAGTTTCCGCCTCCATTAGTAGGAATTTGTTGTATTATTACTTTAGTTTACGGTCGTTTTTAGCCACTTGCTTGTTTTAGCTACTTGTTCGTGTTAATATCTTGGTAGTTTTAGTATTCTTGTTTTTATGGACAATAAATCTCTGTTAACCTTCACTTTGGTTCTCGTGAGTGCGACCCGAAAAATAGTCCTAAACACCTTGGTAGCCATACGCCTAAAGCGACTCCTCGCTTGAATTTTATTTCATTTGGAATTTTATTTCTTTGTCAACCTGTATACCTAACATTTTCTCCGTGGTATCTCGGCGCTTGCATGTTGGCAAAAGTTGCAATATTGCAAAAAAAAAAGTGTGATTGCTTAAGCATGGAAAAAATTGTTTTAAGGCACAAATATTTGCATAACATTGGTTCAATAATCATTTGGCAATTATCGAGCTGCACTGAGGTATTTCAAGCCGTTTATTGTACGTTACTTTCACTTCACAGCTAAACATCTGCTAAATGATAAAAGGAGATTAATTGATATTTTCTAAATAGTGTTAAATCATTAAGTGTATTACGATTAGTGCCAGTTAAAATGATTTTCGTTCCCAAAAGCAGTCCCATGAATTTGATAGGAATGTCGGATCAATATTTGTTTCTGGGCAACCGAGCTCGATATCGATTTGTCGTACTCGATTACCATTCCTGCTCGATAAGCAAACGACGTTTGATAATCGAGCTCGATAACTACAAGTCGAGCTCGATTGCTAATCGAGTACGATTACTAATCGAGCTCGATTAGTTATCGAGCTCGATAACTAATCGAGCTCGATTAGTAATCGAGCTCGGTTACAGTACTAACGAGAAAGACTGGGAAAGAGTCAAACACTGATTGAGGAGGACGATGGCAGGTAGTGTTGTTGCAAGAACCTTGGTCATTAGGTGAGTATTTCGTAAGTTTTCGTTAAGTTTCAGAGATAGCATTCAAAGGGAAGGTGTAAAAGGAAGTGGGAGCAAATGTATTGGAAACAGAAATTTTCCCAAAGCACGAAAACCCCAGGTCAGGTGTAGTCATTTCGGGTATAGAAGGGTAAACTTAAACTTAAACTTCGCTGGAATGGGACTTAATACAGACAAGAACAAACTTTTGGTAATCCTTAGTTTATTGTAAAATGTAAAATTTTTATGGTTAACTACGCAGGGGAATACTTGTGTCACTTTTAGATAAACTTGTGTCACTTTTAGATGAACGTTCAGTGATATATGTATACTTTTTAAAAACAAATAAAACAACTTCTGGTTTAGAGCAAGATTTTATAAACCATTCAACCACTGTGCAACGCAATTCCTTTCCTTCTTACCGAACTAACCAAAAGTAGCAACCTTTTAAAAAGCAAACTTGTATCTCGAAAACCTCGAGCTGGAGGTAATACTTCTGAGCAAAGTAATATGGGTACTAAACTGTGTTTTTCAAACTCTCATTCCTAATGACAAAACACTCAGCTGAATATTTAGGCTTGCAGCTTGGGAAAAGTACTTAATTGCTTGTAAACATGAGGATTTTTGTCTGTCACTGGATGTTCCTTTGGCTTTAGCGAGTTGCAAAATGTTGAGTTGTCTCACTATTAAAATGTAGCCTTGGTGACATCTAGCCCATCTACACTGACAACTAACAAGGAATTCTGAGGCATCCAGAATTAGATCTTTACGGCTTAAGAGGCCATCTCTCTTATTTCCACCCTGCCAATTTCACCTTAAACTCTGTCAACAGAAAGACTATACTTAGGAAAGAACTAAGTTAGATTTGGTTTGATTTGAAATAATTTTCTGGCTGCTTTAGGGGCCATAATTATTTCACCAGTTGGTAGGGACTATCACAACTTCTCGGAAATTGAATAATATGCATATTTTGTAACATTGTAAAATATTTGATTTGCATAGTTAAGCCACGACATTTATATCAGATCCCTTAACAACCTTTCTAGTTTGCTAAGAAAGTTAGAATTTAGGAGATTCAGAGACAGGATTCATAGAGAGGATATGAAGTAAGTGGGGAGAATATTGAAAATAAATTTTCCCACGCTGCCGTTTTTGTTTAAGCGATTCTCTTCCCTAAGATCAGGACACCCTTTTTTTCGCTCGTGTGCGTTCCGGCTTTCTCTACGACAACTTGCATTTAGATATTACTTTGAACTTTTACTGTAACTTTTTAGAGGGTAATTAAAGAAAGGAAAAGACACGCATATGAAGCGGTAAAAAAAAACTGAATATCGTCGCACCTTTTTTCTGACTAATAACAGCGTCATCTATCAACACAACAACATTCGTATCGCACTCTAGTTTTAAAATGTTACTATTTTTCTCCCTAAGAAAGGATTACGACTGAATCACCAATATTTTGAACTTTTCAATCAAGTTTTATTTTTGAACACTGTGATTGTTGTGCGTTAAATACTTCCAAGATCAAAGCCCCGACCACACTTTCGCAGGTGCTTTGAAAAACGTTATTTTTCTCTCACAATCCAAAAAGAGCTTTGCCTCTATCTATGAAAATGAATAAACTGGTTTTTTTTTTTTTTTTTTTTTTTTGCATTATCATAATTGTCATCTACGGCAAAAAAAAAGAAATGCAGCTAGATGATGTGTATAGTAAAGCCCTTATCATCCCGTCAAAAAAAGTGTTACAAGAAAAATCAACATCGGGGAATTCGAAAAGGTCGGTTTTCATAATGAGTTAAAATTCAAGTTGAAATCGCATATTTTAAAAATACGTCGTTTCGTTAGAAAATCTTTCTGGACCAGTGTGGTCAGTAGACCTAACCTATGTAAAACCTATTCAACATAGTCATGGACAGAGCTTAATTGTTTATTTACCTGTCTCTCCCAAAACTGAAAGTAAAAACCGTAGCGTATTTACAAAACCGGATTATCAACTAGATATGGATTGGCTACAACGGCCAAAAAGTTCTGCATGGATTGCTGAGCGGTTCCCGCTCTCCACCGACGCCACATTTGCTCGTCGAGGTAGGACTGCAAGTCTTCCCTCCTTATCCTCCGGCGTGTTTTCTGGCCCAATTTTAAACTGTTCCAGCAGGATTCGATTTCTTGGGTGTCAACCCCATAGTGACTGGGTCAACGAAGTTGAGTCGGTGGACAATCATTTGATGTGCACTTATGTTGTTAATTCTTTGGTCCGTCTGCCGGTAGGAGGCCAAGTCATCCGAGTGCACTTCGGTTCCAGGGAGAACACACCTTGAAATGATGGGATGGAGGGTGGCCATATCTCGTCTTTCCACTTCATCGAAGTAGCTTTTTGCAGGTAAATGTTGCGTCGTAACAATCCCAAAACCCATGTGTACCTTTGTGCACGTCTTCCCCAGTTGTTCTGAAATAATGAAAAAATATATATATTTCAGATGGATGATTTTTGTCCCATTAATATTTTGCTTTAGGCTTTATCCCAGCTATGTGTAATTATCATTCACCTGTATGAAATAATTTTGATATTAAAGCGCCCTGAGTGCTTTTTGTTGTCACATTCCCACCTACTTCGGCTTGCGAACCACATGTTCCAGAAAATTAAGGAACAGTAAGGTTATGAAAATATTTATATCTCAAAAATATTGAAATGATTGGAGGTGAACATTTGCCTAGTATATACTATATCAGTAATATAATATGGCACAAAAAGGTGATTTTTTTAAACTCATTTATTCCTGCTATAAATGGTTGCCATAATTTTTGTGTGCCAATAGTGGACAAGTTGCTCGGAGGCGATTAGCAAAGGATGTTCAAAGTTTGAGTGCAGGCCGAGTGCAGGCGATCTACGACGCTATTTCCCGTGTTAGTATATACTTGAAAAATTAGTGATTTTTAGCTTTGATTAGTTGTTGAATTTACTCTCGTCGCATCTTACACCAGTCCAAAGGGCGTGATTGGCCTGTCCTGAAGGTTTCTTGGGCAGCCATCCTGTAAGCGCCTACTAATTTTTCTTATCAAGCTTGTATTTAAATCCAGGTACCTGGAAATTCGTCGCTGGGAGTCCTCAGCAGAGAAGAAATAAACCTTCTGCAGGAGTTTACCAAGTGGCACTCTGGGGAACTCCTCGAAAA